GTTATGGCTAAACGCTGGATTATAAATCATTACTTTACATGATGTTAAAAAATGATTTTATTGCATCAGCTGACTCAAACTGAACTTTTAAAATGCATATAACACTGTTAGACTTTTCTGGGAACCATCAATAGGGTCATTATCATTGTCACTACTGACTGACTGACTGACTGACTGACTGACTGACTGACTGACTGACTGACTGACTGACTGACGGGTTCAAGACCATTTTCTGAAAACAGCCCAAATGCAAAGATGCTACACATTTTCATACTGTGATATTTGAGACGTAAACAATCATGTCTCCATGAATAAATTCTGCTTTGTTATAAACTCATTGTAGCCTTGAGCTCAAGTTAAGAGGGTGATAAGCAGCCCTTTCACTGACAGTTTAGAGAGTTCATACTAGACCCCACAAACCACAGCTGACCAGTCTCAACTCAAGTCAAGGTCAACATCATCCCTTTTCCTCAAGGGATGAAAAAATCTGAAAAGCCTCAACAGCATTGATTTTAATTCTCTCCAAACTACAACTTCTTCTCTATTCTGTCAGAAAATCTCTTCTACAAGCAGAAAATTATGTTGATAAATGAAGTATTGATCATCTGCCAAACATCAGACCCTGGGAGTTTGAAGTATTTATGTGAATCTCTGAAAAAATCTCTCCAAATGCTGAATTTGTTGTTATCCTGCTGGAGGCCTCACTGGCAGTCTGCAGCAGCAGCTTTTGCTCAGAAGAAAACAGAAGTGCAAATGAGATTAGCGCCCAGATTGCTTCAATATTGATCCGTGAGTGAAATCTGAACTGTGTGTGCGTTCAATATTTACATGGATGCACTTTCCATGCACTCTAAAGGTGCCTCTGCTTAAGTGGGCTTTTTACTGTCTTTCTGTGGTGGCTGCGGACAGATCGTCTCTTTTGGAATTTATACACATAAACAGTATTTTACTGTAACTCTATAGGAACTAATTAATCCCACTGGTGAGAGGATGATAACGTTTTAATTGGATGAATTAAGCTCTTGATTACTCTGCAGATTTTTTAAACATTAGCAGAATAAAATCACTCAACTCAATAGAGTAAAGATTGAAATTAGACAGACACTCCAAAATGTTAAATAATAAGGCAAAAACCTGTACTTTAATGGGCTGATTTAGACACTAACTAATAACTGCACTTGGTTTCCAGGGATTTTCACCAATCAGGGTGAGATATTTGAGGCTGTAACAGAGGCTACGACTGCTAATGTTACAACTCGAGCAACTAAATCACACGTTTCAACACATTAAAACCACTGAAATGACCAAACACAATCAATAGAGGTTGTATTTTATAGCTAAATGCTTGTAGAGCGTAGTTTTACTGTTGCTGCCCACTGGTTTCTACAAAAATGTCACTAAGCTCAAGTGTGGGGGTTGTCGTGTTGACTCATCCTCATGTTTGGCTGGTCTAGGAGCGAGCATCGGCTAATCTGACAAACACAGATTGTTTAAAAAGGACAAAGTAAGGCGTGGCGTATCAGTGTCTGAAGAAAAAGTTCTTAAGCACAACAAAATCCTTTTCTTTTACGAGGCTGTGAACGTTTTTAATCCTGCTGTAAAAATGATTATTTTAATGTGTCGTAATGAGCTTTATGTCCCTTTTAGAATCAGCCTCAAGTGGTCACTTTAGGAACTGCAGTTTTCAGCTCTCTAAAATAAACTCCAGCTCCAGCTTTTGGCATTAGTCACAGAGGTATGTAGATAAAAGGAATAGAGAGAGCTGAGATAATGTCATGATATTTAACTGCATGATTGTCCTGAATCTACCAGGATGTAAGAGTCAAGTTAGAAGCTATTTTATGATGCAAATTGAAAAGGATAATAGCATTCATTCACCAAGAGTACGTTCAGTCATCAATAATAGTTTCCATCTACATAAGCGGACAGGAAGATGTTCATGTTAATGCATATATACCCAGGATGTCAGGCTCATAAAGAGTCTATATGTGGACAGATGTCCTGTATTACCTCTGAGCTGGTTATAACATTACATCCTTAAAGACTGTGCTGCACTCACGCTGAAGAGCAGCCTCATGCTGTTACACTCTCTAACACTAAGGGCTGTCTGTGTCTCTGAAAACATCTCAGAGCAAGAGAAGACTCCAGCTTTCAACACAGCAATGATGACCTAAGAGGTCAGAGGTCACCGGGACCTCATTCCTCTGGTCCTGCAGCAGACAACAGCCTCTGTGTTTCATAACACAAAAGACTCCTCAGGAGGAGTAGGCGGCGTCTGCTCTCAGAGAAAACTCAGACTGAGTGATCTGATGATGAGACGTGTTTGTCTGCGACTGATGTACGGCTTAGTTCATCAGATCAGGTTGTAAAGCCAGAGGCTTTCAGCTGTTCACTCTAATCTGATTCTTGTTTTCATCTAAAAGCCAGGGCCAGGTTTGTTTGTTTGTCTAAGGATTTAGGAAACTTTAATGCTGCCTGATAAGTTATTTGAGGAAACTCTTAATCACCCTGTCTCATATATCATTTTTTCCTGATGTTAACAGTCACTCTTCAGTGTTCGTCTTTTGATAAAATCCTGCAGTTTTTCCAAAAGGCTTCATACAAGGTTGAAAATACAAAAACAAGGGATTTCCTGCATTTCCTCCAAGGTTAAGATGAATCTTATCCGACTGTATTCTACAGTATCTTACTGCAGTGGTTCTCAACCGGTGGGTCCCGACCCAAAAGTGGGTCACGGGCACGTTCTGGATGGGTCACGAACAGCTGGTCAAAAAAGAAAATCCTCAATGTGGTATTTATTAGATATTTGATATTTTCTGTATATGCAACTTCAGTAATTGTCATCCTCATGTTGTCCCTTTCTTGTGCTCTGAAATGCACTTTACTCAATAAACAAATGGATTTATGTTAAAGATTAGAGTCTTATAAGTTTTTTGTTTTTTTTTCATAAAAAATAAATTTGCTTGGTTTGAATTCTATAACAGTGGGTCACGACTTAAGGACCGTGGGAAAATGTGGGTCCCAGAGAGAGACCAGTTGAGAACCACTGTCTTACTGTATATAACTTATCATGTTGTATTGTATCGTTTCATATCGTATCATATCACATTGTATTGTATTGTATTGTATTGTATTGCACTGTAGCATATTGTATCTTATCCAAATGTGTCATGTCATATTGTATCAAGATGTATCTTATCTGACTGTATAATTTACAGTATTTTACTGTATCTTACTGACCATGTTATATTGTATCGTATTGTATACTGTCATTATGTACTGTATTATATGCTGCTCATAGTTTTTAGGTCTATATTGTGTTATTGTATCATATCTGTATCAAACTGTATCATATTATATTTTTTATTGTTACATTAACAATATAATAGTTATTACTTTTCTAGTGTATCACATTGTATCATTTTATATCAAGTTGTTCTGTTTTGTAGCATTTGGCTTTGTTTTTATTGCATCATATTGTACATGGTTTACAGCTGTTAGTTATGTTTCATAGTCTATCATGTCATGTCATATTAGATTCTATTGTATTGTTTAAAATTTAATAGTTCTGCATAACAGCTACACTTTAATATTATATTCTGTCCATGCAAAGAAAGCCAAAGGTACTATGTGAAGCAGTTTTTGAGGATTGTTTTTTAAGAATAATAAAAGTTGAGTGTCTTGATAAAATAATTGAATAGTAATAAAATAATCTCCTCTGTCACTTATTCAAGTCATGCCAAGTCCATTTAGTTTTATTTTTCATTGGGCAACTTCTGAAACAATCCAGTAAATGAGGTTAAGTAAAAAACCTTTTTTTTAACTTAAAACTATAAAAGATATTATTGAAGCAAAGTACAAGAACCAAGTCAAACTTCTTTAACAACTTTTGTGAACTGGAAACTTTTATCTTCTTAATCTCTTTTATTTATTTATTCATTTTAGTAGCATACTAGTATCATACTGTTTATTTTTTTTTGCTATAGTTTGCACTTACACCAACACATGAACTTCCCTTCCTCTGTCTGCTGAGCCTCTTTAGCAGCACATGAACACTCAGCATCAACATCACGATGTTGGTGCCGCTGCTGCAGATGATGATTCCTGCAGGAAAAAAAGAGCACAATCTGAAGATGGATCACACAATAAATAACAACTGTTGAGTGATTCATGAAGTGTTCCTGTTCAGGGTTCATTAAGTCCCTAATGCACATCTAATCTGATTGTAGTTTTAGTCATTAAAAGCACAAACATAGTGCTTCCCCCTCACAAACACAGACCCTGATCGGAGTTGAGTCTCATCCCTGTGAAGTAATAACCTTGTTAAGAGCTGTATATCATCTATGAAAAGCCCAAACAATCATTAGTGGATTCTGCATTAGAAGTAATGTGATTTGGGGATCTGAGTGTGCTGTTTAGAAGTTTTCTGCTGACCCTGCAAAACCTGTAAAGCTAAGACCTGTAACTTGGAGATATGAATCCTCAAAGCAAGGGAAAATATGTGTGCCAGGAATGTCTTATTTGCTTTACATTTTAGCAATAAAGTGATTTCATTTTAAGTTCAAATGTTTTGGGTGAAAAAATACAATATTAATAAACTTCTGGCCATTTCTGATTTATACATTACAAATTTCAAGCTTAATACAGCAGTAAAGGTAAAGAAACAGGGTACAAATCGAGGAAATCCCCTTTAAAAAGTTGTAAAAGTTGTGAATAAGTAGGTTTACCTGCACACACGAAAAAAAAAACATGAATTAGGCCAAAATCCAACATCGAGTAACACATGATATCATTAAATTCGTAAATGCACAAACGAAAAAAACTTCCTCTTGTGTGTTATAAGTTTTACAAAAAAAAAAAAAAGGAGAACAAAATTGAGAGGAAAGCCAAACTTAGACATTTTCACGCCCTGTTTTCAAACTGTTTTTATAAAAATAAAAATGGTGGTCAGCAGTTTCGCGCCCTCTCACTGGAGGTTGTCATGGTAGCAGGCGCAGGGAGGGGGCGCTCCTCCTACGTCACATGAGAAACAGGAGCCAAGATGGCGTCCTCAGGAGTAACTGTACTAAAGCTGTTTTGTTTTGCATCATTTTCCTTGCAAATTAGCTCCTCTCGGCTTTTATCTGAACCTTGTTACAAACCCATCAGAGACGGCAGACCCGATACTGTCAGGTAAGTCACCGTAAAGAGTGTATTTTTGACTCACGGTGAGAAAGTTTATCGTTTTATCCTGTTGTTTACCTGTAAATGAGCTGAAGTTTCTCCTCTGTGTGATTTAAAGTCCTGACATGAAGGTATCTGTAAGCTCTTAATAAGGTTTTTACCTCACTGTAAGCTTGTTAACAGTTTCCCTGCGTGGTTGTTTTGGGTTATTCCACTGTCGTCTGTGTTTCTGTGAAACATGGAGAAGTATCTTTATCAATACTGCACAGACTGTGTAAATGAAATGAGTTAAATAGAGTGACCAAGAAACAATAAATACCCATCAGCAGCTGAAAAGGCTACTATTCAGAGCAACGTGATATTTTTTTTATTAGATAAAGATTGTGTAGGATTAAGAGGTAAATGGAGCTCATAATTAGGCAGCCGTATGCGCCTTGTCTGCATGGTTTGCTTGTTATTTTTTATTTATATGATTAATAACTAGTAACGACTAACGAATGGATGAAAAAAAAAATCTTATTACCTATTAACCTGTATTTGCATTCAGTAAATGTACTTAGAGTAGACATAGTTTGATAAAGAGGGGCATGATAATAGAAAACATTGTCATTGCAACCTCATTGTTTCTTTCTGTGATGTTATTTCGATGCAAAAATTACAGGAAATTAAACCATACAAATATATAAATATGTCTTTTCTCTGAACATACATACAAATAAAAATGAGCTCTAATATCTTTTATTCATTCACTCCAATTAGAGTAAACTGTTATTTTTGCCACACTTGTTTTAGCATTAAACCTGCAATTCTGACCCTGAAGGCCTGCAGGATATGAAGAAAAACACGCCATGTGTTAATACTGTAATATCAGTAAGATATGTGGTAAATATACAAAGCTAAAAAAAGTACCAAAAAAGTACATTTTAGCCAAGATGCCTGCCTGTTGCTCCTTATGTTTTACACACTGCCTCCATTTGCAAAAGGTTCCTACTGGATCCAAAAAAGCAAGTTTTTCATCATCAATAGATGGAAGGTAAAGCTAAATTTGACTGGATTAAAGTGGTTAAATAGATCGGCCACAATATCCCAGCTTTCATCCAACAGGTAAAATGTAACAGGTGGAAGGTGCCGGGGGAGGAAGCACTGATTGTATATTGATGATTTTTTTATTTCATAGTGTCACTGAAAGGAGCAACAAGTTTTAGAATTCAAAAATGTAAAGTGAACTAAAGAGAACTCTCAAAGTAGAACACCAAGACTTTAGAGAATTTATTTTGGATGAAACTAGTGAATAAAAGAACTAACCACTCAATCAAGTTGAACAAAAGGACAAAGCTGGCTAACAAAGAATTGGAAGGAGTGAATTCAGGGAACTCAAAGGCCAAAGTGAAAAACAAAAACCCCAAATTTAACTACAAAAGAACACCCCTGACCTGTCTGTACCAAAATCAAAATCCAATTCTAAACTCCCTGACTCACCACAAAACAGGAGGAAACCAAGGTCAAACGGCAGAGATTCCCTTACCCTTCCTCCATCTTTAACTAAAATGTTCTGCCTGAATCAAATCTCACAAAATACACATACAGCACAGCACAGCACAGCACAGCACAGCACAGCACAGCACTGCTCAGGAGTGGAACAAAAGAGAGACTGAAGCTGTGGTTTGAGGGTCTTTAGTAACCTCTCAGATTAGGCTGATCAGCCTCAGCTGCTCAGAGTCCTGAGGTGTGGCAGAATGGAGAGGGGGAGGTGTGGAAGTCCTGCAACACAAACACAAAGAAATAAAGTTCACCCTAACCCCTGACGGCTGTAACACTCAGGAAATTAAGAATTTTGCAAATTCTGTTATTATAAAATCAGCGAATTTGTGATTTATTTATCACTCAATAAGTTTTTACTTTTATTGCTATATGATTCAGTCGTGCTGTCGAACTGTGCTCTAATAGCTCATGCCCCCTGGATTTACACTTAAATCTGGCCCTGTGCTAAAAACCTTGAAATTGCTGCTGACACGGCTTTTATACTTGACCTCCAGGTAAAAGCAGTCATGAAAAAAAAGCAGTTTCAGCCCAGAGCCGTTCCAAGATTAAAACCCATTCCTCCATTCAGAGACTTAGAAAAAGTAATTCACACTTTCATCTCTCCTCAGCTTGATCATTGTAACTCTGTGTGTGCTGTTGGCCAGTCGACCCTGTCTGGAGCTAAACGCTGCAGCCGGGTTTCTGACTCATTCCAGGAAGAGAAATGATAATAGTTCCCAGTTTGCTTCAGGATTGACTGACCTCCTGAGCCCTGTCAAAGCCTCCGGTCTCCTCAGATCATCTGACACAGGCTATTTGGCTTTCCCCTGATTAAATCTTAAACTTAGAAGTGACTGCGCTTTCACAGGGAAAGCTCCTGGATCAGGTCTCCCCCCTCTGTGTGGACTACTTCAAGTTTTGCATCAAAGCGTTCTTGTATATGGCAGCATTTGAGTCTCTCTATCTCTTTTTCATGTCTTAATCCGTCTTTTTCTGTGTTACTTGTCTTATATAGTGTTTATCTTATTGATTGTGCAGCTTCTCAGTCAGCAGATGCTGCATTTAAATGTGATTTATGAATAAAAATATCACCTGACTGGAGGATTTTCTAATGATAGATTGCTTCGTATATGACTGTCTGACTGCTCTTGTACATCAACTCGATTTTCCCGTCACTTATTCCAGGACTTACCCTCGCCCACACGAGTATGTGAAGGTATCGGACCTTCCTCCGTCCTGGGACTGGAGGAACATCAAGGGGAAGAACTATGTGAGCGTCACACGGAACCAGCACATCCCCCAGTACTGCGGGTCCTGCTGGGCCATGGGAGCCACTAGTGCGCTAGCTGGTAACCATGGCAACTGAAGGAGGGAGGGATGCAGATAAAAGAACAGAAAGAAGTCTCTGATTTTCATTAAGTCTCTTATCATCTCTTATTTTTTTGACAATATTTTAGACCGTATCAATATCAAGCGTGATGGAGCGTGGCCGTCAGCATACCTGTCGGTCCAGAACGTGATCGACTGCGGGAAGGCGGGCTCTTGTTTTGGAGGAGACCACCTGAGAGTGTACGCCTACGCACACCAGAAGGGTATCCCTGATGAAACCTGCAACAACTACCAGGCCAAAAACCAAAGTAAGACCTGTTTCTTTCTTTCTTTGTTTTTGCTGTTAAATCCACACTATCAGTCCAAAAGTATCTGGACAGCCCTTACACATTTGAGTGGGTGGTGCTGGAGCCTTTTCTTCCAAGAGCAATTCAATCACTCTATCATCTTTTTCAACTCGAGGGTGTAACTGAAGTCCTCCAATGTTTTTTCTTTTAACATTCAGGTTTAGAAGAGCTTTTAGACTTTTGCAGCCAAAAAAACAAAGACTGACCTCGCTCATGCACTTGTAGCAGAAATGGTACGAATCTCTGCAGCAGAAACAACCATCGTAGAAATCATTTTGAAGCAGAGATCAGAACACAGTACTCAACAATAGTCAGAAAAAGATGACAACCATTCACTGATGATACCTTTGACTGACCATCACAGCAGGATGAATTGGGTTGTCATAAATCAATGCTCATGGACTGCTTTCTCCACAGGGGGTGCCAAACCTAACATAAAACCAAAAGTTCCTCATAGGAACTTAAATGAAATTAATATGAGTGCCTTTTTATGATTTTCTAGAGCCAACAAGACCATCAGTGACAAGACTGTTTTTATGTTGTAATTTCTAATTCCTTAAACTGATGCGAGACGGTAGATCTCATTTAAGCAGCTGAAGAAACATAAAATATTCATAATAAACAATCCTAAAGGTCCTTACACACCGGGACGAAATATTAGGAGACGAATTTTGACAAGACCTAATGGTGCTGTGACAGCAACGTGATTGAGTTTGAGACAGTGAAAATACATATGGTATGTTGTATCTGAACAGGTTAGCTTACGAGCTAAAGTTACTTAGCAAAGATGAAAGTTAAAACAAAGACGTTTAGCAAACTGTTAAAGCACACAAACCATCATCATATGAGAAATCCGACGCTATGACTCTCCACAAGTTGTCCTTCAGGTCGTTATCTTTGTAATATTTGTGTCTTTTATCAAAAAGCACTCTGTTCTCTGACACGTTAACAATAGGCTGGTCGGCCATGTTGGATATACCGGTAAATCTGACGTCGCAACAACACGCAATCTGATTGGTCAGAAGTGGACACACAGTATGTGAAACCTTAGAAAAATTTACCGTGAAACGAAAAAAGAAATGCCGCAGTATCGCAGGACGGGAAAATGTCGCTGATGTGAACGCTTGTATTGACAGGATACGGGTTCGAAAAAAAATATTGACGTCCAAAATAATCGCATGAAAAAAACGCTCCCGGTGTGTAAGGACCTTGAGTCAGCAGGATTAGAATTTTTTACATAGATGACAAAGGGGAGGCGCCAATCTGAAAGTTCCCTACAGGAGCTTTAAGTTTCTTTTTCACTGGCAGCTTTTTGTTTTACTTCTTTGCATAAATAACACTAAACAGCAGATCAGGTCATTTGTATTAATGGAATATTAACTAAATATTTGGAAATGTATGAGACTAGTTGCACATGACTGCAAACTCTATGCTGACTCTATTGTCATAAATTTATCAGTACAGTCTTTGTTGTGTAAATCCTGTAAATAATTCCCTCTCTAATCTCTTTTCCAGAGTGTGTGGAGTTCAACCAGTGTGGCACATGCTCCTTCTTTGAATCATGCGCCATCGTTCAAAACTACACCGTGTGGAAAGTGGGCGATTATGGAGAAGTTTCAGGAAGAGACAAGATGAAAGCTGAGCTTTACACCAACGGGCCCATCAGGTAGAGTAAGTCATCCTCCACAGTCGGTTTTAATCATCCATCCACCCACACCCTCCAAGCGAAGTAGCCTTAACTTTCCCACCGAGCGCTTTTTCATCTAATGACATCTTCATTAGCAGAAAAGGCCTTTAATCATTTAAAACTGTGGAAAAACTTAAAAGCTCTGTGTAATTTAGTTTCAGCCAAATGAGTCCTAATGTTATGGGAATTTCATCAATTTAAAGCCTTGAAATATTCATCTTATATCCAACTGCCTGTCCTCTTTACATGAGGTATTAGTCTTTTATAAAAGTTCTGCTTTTGGCAGCTTTTATTGTCTTTTAATGTATTCCATAAAGAATTCACGAGGTCTGTAAAAGTCTTCGCCTTGCTTTTCTAAAACCTGCAGCCCAAACTTTTCGAAAACTTTTCATCAGGGGATGTCTGATATTTAAGGTTGTTTAAGAACTGAACTGATCTGGTAAAGGTTGAAGTGTCTCCTGTTTTAATCTGGATCCAAGCGTAAAGACGAGTTTACCATATCCAAGAAAACGTACTCAAAACATAAAAGGCCTGCGCTTTTGATTTGTCACTTTTTATGACGGCTCACCACAGCCAAGTCTCAACGGAACAGATGGGATTTCTGCAAGAGCCACTAAGATTCATGCAAGGATACTGAAGAGCTGTGCACTCCAGTTGATCAGCCGCGCACACATATCATCTGCACAGGCAGTATGTAGTTTTGAGCGCGTGCAGATGTGGACTCAGCTTGTGATTGGTTGAACATGATTGGCTCCAGATACATTCCCTTTCTTCTGTGATTGGACTGATTGATGAGAGCAGTCAAACGTCACACACCTGTCACTCTCCTGTCACTCTCCTGTCATTTAAACTAATAGACTAAAATGTTCCTACAGTGATAAAAGAGAAAGCTTCTGAGCCTCAGGGCTGAAAGCAGAGAGTCACTAATGTGTTAATGGCACTTTTATGGTCACATCTCATTTATATCAGTGACATCCAGTCTAACAAAGCGTAAACAAATAACCATCCTCATCTCAGGGCTCACTGACCAGCACAACAGAAAAACGACTCATGAGCAGGCAGAGGCTTCAGGAGCAGAAGAGCTTCTGAGTGCACCTCTCTGCTGCAGCTCTTCAACATCTCCAAGGCTTGCACTTAAAAACTCTGGTGTTCTAGTGAGATTCAGCGGGGACGTGCCGACATAGATTCTGATCTACTCTACACCGGAGAGGGATTTACTCCCCCCTACAGACCCAGAGAGCACATTATAGGGATGCAAGAACACATTACGCTTTATTACAAGTTGATTAGACACAAATGGTAGCAAACATTTAAGTGTTACGATCTATTTCTGCTGATTGATCATGCTCACACTGACATCATGTTCAGGATTGAAAGCTTGGCTGCCTTTTAATCTAGTCCAGGGTTTTAGGTAGTCTAGTTTTAGGATTTCAGATTATTTTATTGGATTCTTCTGCAGCAAACAGAGAAAATGTGAGTATGATGTATGGACGCCCTCCAACCTCACACATCTGTCAAGGTAGAATCATTGAAAAACAGGATTACATTAGAGCTCCAGGGAGGAACTGTGGGTTCGTGTTGTTTTTGCACCCTCTTGTGGACAGAGCAATATCTGTTAACCCTGAGCGTCATCGTCCTGTACATGCAGGTTTACCTGTTTTTGGTTTGACGCCCCTCAAAGGAGCTTTAAGTTATGATATGAGTCGTTTAGCTGTAGATTCCATGGGGAGGAAGGCTGCTCTTCTTCTCATCTCGCTGCAGATTCTGAGCTGAAAACTTAATGAAACTTTGCGATGAAGACCTCACGCTGCATGAGACATGTTTGAATTATAACTACAGAGTTCTGCTCTGATTTTACAGCTGAAAAAGAAAGATAAAAATGTGATTCCTTAGAAATCCTCTTTGAGTGTGATTTTGCTTCACTTTACTGAAGGACCCCTCTCAATGTGTCTCTTAGCTGTGCTCTGATGGCCACAGACGGCCTTGAGAAATACTCTGCAGGGATCTTCGGAGAGTTTCACCTTCTGTCTCTGCCCAATCACATCGTGTCTGTGGCTGGTTGGGGTGTGGCCAGTGATGGGACAGAATACTGGATCGTCAGGAACTCCTGGGGAGAGTTTTGGGTGAGTCTTTTTCTGTCTTTCTGCACCACACCCTGCAGCGCGGCCTATCCTCAGTCTGACATAAACGAGCTCTGCAGCCAAAATACACACTATGTAGTCCTGCAGAGGTCATGAATCCACTCTGGTATACATTTTCCTTGGACTGTGTTCAGAAACAAAAGTTTTATGGAAGAACAGCCTGTGTTTTTCCACTGACATTGAGTTTCTTGCACACAGAGTAAATACTGTCTTATCTGTTTTGTTTTCAGGGAGAGCACGGCTGGGCGAGGATAGTCACCAGCGCTTATAAAGGAGGGAAAGGAAACTTTTACAACCTGGGTATCGAAAACAACTGTGCGTATGCAGACCCTATTGTAACATAAATGCCAAAATAAAGTGATAAAAACAAACAACTTTTGTCATGGCTGTTTTTCAAGAGGCAGTAATGTTAAAGGAAACATTTCACATTTGTTGTTAAATGAAATTGTGTGAAAACAGATTGGTCTTTGCTGTTTTCTTTCTTGAGTTTTAACAGTTTCTTGTTTGAGATTAATTCCCAAGTTGCCACTGATTAAACCAAAGATGCAGTGAAGCAAAAAAAATCCCCCTAAAACCTTGTTTTGTGATTTTTACTCAGTTAATTATACAAAATAAACGAGCTTTGTGTTAATGAGTTATCTGTAGAGGTTTCAGAGGGTGGGTTTTGTTTGTTTTGTGAGTGTTTAAACCAGGCTAACCGGCAACTTACTCCAGCTTTGTGTGCAATGAACAGACACAAGAGTTTGTTCATTTCAGCTCTTTTCCAAGAGTAGAAAAGAAATCAAAGAAACGAAATTTAAAGCTGCTGTAAGGAGTGTGGTTTGTGTTGGTATTGGCGCCCCCTGTGGACAAAGTAATACCTATCCACAGGTGTCCAGAAAAAATAGAACTCTTGCGATCATCTGCGGAGTCCAGCGATCCGCAGCGGAACAGAAAGAAGCCGGTGGAAATTGACACATTAACTTGAATGGTTACGATCAGCTTTGATCGGCACATACAGCCTTTTCGTAGCAATACCGGATGCGATGGAAATTGCCAGTTACATGGGAGAGAAAATCAAATTCCAATCGCATTGTCTGGGTGTCTTAATCGGAGTTGTCCGACTCCAATTATAGTTGGACTAAGGTGTTTAGATGCACTTCATTTGTCCGGTCTTAATCGGATTAAGGCAATAATTCGGTTTTCTCGTGTGTCATGGAAACGTACTGACTTTCAGTTTCAGCCTGTTTCTCCTCCAGTTAAAAAATGCTCACTGTGCCTTTAATGAAAAAAACAACAACATAAGGTTAGCTCTTGAGACCTGTCTATTCTGAGCTATTGGAGATAAGAGTGTTTTAATATGGCCATCCTTATAGAAGAGGAGCACATCAAACTATTAAAATTATTACACACTTAAGGAAGTCTATTTGGACTCGAAGTTTATATTCATGTTTTTTTCATGCCGTACTTTTTTGCACTTTATAAATGAACAAATATAAAGTTACTGTATCAAACTGTCGTTTTAAAACCATTTAAGGTTTCTCCCCCCCCCCGAACTGTGGAGACAAACTTCACTCAGACACTAAATTAAGAATATATATATCCCCACACAGAAGCAGCAGACTATTTATCATACTATGTAAAGCATGTAAAAGTCGGACAGGCGAGTGTTCCAGGCAGAAATAACTCCTCCACAGTGCTCAGAAACTGCGGGCTCTACACTTCAGGGCCATTATCACACATTTCTAAGGAAACTATTTATTCGTTCAAGCGACAGGCGAGCTGAGTCACTCACTTTAAATTCACCTGTGGAGAAACAGCGTTGGCAGGGTTCAGGAAACTGGGGCTTACTGTTAAATTTTGAGCTGAAACGCGTTGAATAAAATCTGCTCAAACTGCTCCTAACGAGTGTCTGGAGGCTGACCACCCAAGACTAATTTAACACTTACTGAAACAGGTTAGACACAGAATAATGTGGCGGTATTACATGCCGTACTGTACTGTAAGTTCTCCCCTCTTATACAAGCGAGGTGCTGTTTTTTAAAATCCAAACCTGATTCACATGTTAATGCCCTCATTGTCTATGTTAATGGCTGCATGAATCAGTCTTTCCTGCAGATTTCAAACAAAGAGGACCATTAAAGGCTCTGAGTACTGAGCAAACCCATGGGTAACTTTACATCCCACGACTTAACCATACCACTCGGAAGAGCTTTTATACACCGGCTCCATTATCTTTAGACTCAAGAAATGAAAGTAATGAGCGATAAATCGAAGCAGCTTCTCAACATGAAAACTTTAAAGTCTGTCTGTGTGTGTTAGCTGCACTCAGGACTTCCTTTACTTTGTGGGCAAATGAGAAAATCATTTTTTTAACCATATCACAAGCTCTAACATCCCAAAAAAGAAACACTTGTACAGTAAAACTCATTTATAGTACTCTAATTTAACAAAATATGTCAAATACTGTCTCTGTTAAGCTATCATTGTCATTGTGAGTGTGGAAAACCATCAAGTATAAGCTGTAGCGTGAATAGATCTAAATTTAATTCATGTTTATATGATGCATTTCTTGTCTTGGCACGCCTACTCTTTTGTATTAATACACACAGGAGTCAGTGTGCATACGGTGCCCTTTTCCAGGAGCCTTTCGCCCAAAGTACAGGAGATGTGTGTATTAATACATAATTTAAAAGCAAACTGATGCATTTCTGAGTTGACTGCAGGGGGATTTGTGCTCTGGCAGAAGTAAAATCTTAGTTACAACAGCCTTGAAGAAAGACCTTGTTATGGGCATCTGAAAAAAAAAAGAAAAAAAAAATCATGCGTGGATAAAGTCAGAGCAAACATAGCCTGTAACCTTTAGTTATTTTACCAAGATTCAGGTTTAAATGGTGTTTTACAACACTTCTGATTCTACCAGGAATTCTAGCCAGAAAAAAATGAACACGAGCATAAAGAGTGAAAAGAAAATTAGGCTATTTATAACCAGGTTTTAAGCTCCAAACACTGGAGTCCTGACCTGTGAGACCTGAATAGAGGCTAAGACCCTGACTGAGAGTAAAAGCAGGATTTGTATCATAAAAGAGTGAACTGTGGATCCTGTTTAGAGCTGCAAATTAAAAATTCGGCTCAGTGGTGTTCGTGAGTTGTGACTCCTTGTCCTTGAGACTGAGGAGTCACATTCAGGGCAGCTTTGTTTATTTCAGGGTTTGAACTGCAGATGTGCTCATTTAAAGGGTAGTTTGAATTTAATGCAAATGCTAATTCAGAGCATTTGACTTTGCATGGGGTTGCAGAGTGAAAGTGTGAAGAATTGGTACTGACAGATAGAGCCTGCTGCTTTTAATTCAGATTAAAACTTTAACAAACATCATTTTACTCTTTACAAGAATCTGAATCAAATAAAGGAAGAAAAATGAATAGGAGGTTTTGACAATTGGTCCATTATAGTGAGTAGAGTACAAGACTGTTCATTGATTCAGTGTCGGTTCGGACAGGAAGTGGCGTTTGAATTCTGCACATACTTTCTGTTACATTTATTAAGTTTTTGTCCAGTGGATTGTTGCTACAGACCACCTGCGTCTGTGGACTTCTCTCCAACTGCTGCTCCCACTCTAATTAAATTTGTTAATCATTATTGTAATGTTAATGTCAAAGGGTCAGCATGTAGAAAGGGGATCATGTAGCAGTAACCAGGAGTCAGATTCATTTTCAAAACCCTCTCACCCCTATTGGTGAAGCTACGGTAGCCTATGAGGACAAAAAGCTCCTGTGAGGAATGATAAGTTAACAATTAAAAAAAATATATATATATATACATTTACATGATAATACACAAATTTGAACCATTTATACCATTACACATTGCATGTTTAGTGTTGGATTCTGATTGTGTTTGACTACATATTGTTAGTCTTCCTTTATTATACTGTACTTATTAACAACTGCTTCTATTTTCATACCACTAGTTATTCATTACAAAGGTGTTCCTGCTGGAATTTCTGGAAAATTTAACCTTGAATCTGTTTTTTTTTTATTGTTGCTGCAGCTACCGACCATCCCTTCATTGACCCTCTTTGTCCCAGGAGTTGGCTCTTCACCATGAGTCTGGTTCTGTTCAAGGTTTCTGCCCAGTGAAAGGAAGTTTGTCCTTGTCATTAATGCCAATTATTGGCTCATAGAGTGGAATAATGGTGGTTCTGTAACAAGCATGACAGTAAATAGTCTAAATATGCTCTCAAGATAACCAAGGTTTTGATTGGTGGTATGCAGATGTGAATGGTTTTTTGCCGAAAACACATTATTTTGCAGGTCGCTAATGATATCAGAGCATAAAAGATGATTGATTAATGTAACTGTTTATATTTTATCAGTTTCTTTGTGTCCCTCTGATTCAGCTACATAGGCTATGAAGCAAAGCCAGGCTGCACATCTGGAAGGATCCAGCTCTTCAGGTCTCCACCCTTATTTTAGGACCAAATTCTCACTGGTGACCCCGAACAAATCTGAAGTGTGAGATGCTTTTCCCTTTAATCACACTGTCATGCGTCATCTTCCCTCTGTGTTGCTGCCCCATTTTTCACTCTTGCAGTTCCCCCCCGGGTCTGTTAGAGTCTGGTCTTGCACTGAAAGTCTGTTGCCTGAGCTAATGTACTAAGGTCAGGGTGAAGACAGGGCATTCCTTTCTCTCGTTGCATGCTTTAAGCAGAACATGCATGAGAGAGCAGACTTGTAAACTAACTGGTTTAGCAGGTAACGGAAGGCTCTGGGGCCATAATTAGAACAAGTTTGTTTGGGCACTTTACAGAAAATTTCATTCCTTTCAGGTACTTGTTTCAGAGCTCACAGAGAGCAGCACAAACTCAAGCCGTCTTCTGGTGATTAGATTTCTGCTCTCAATCACTTAATCTCATTTGTCCTGTAGTCCCTGGCTCCTCTCCATCTGGTGGAATTTGTGTTTGTGTGGACAGAGTCCAGGTTTTCACTGATCCCTGATCAGACGAGGATCTGTCAATAGTTTTACAGGTTTACCAAAGATAAAAACTATGATTTTTATAACTTTTAGTTAAGTATTTTTTTAAGCCCTTTTCTAGCCCCCTCCACCTCTCCTCGTTCTCGTTCTCGCTCACACGCACGAGCGCAGACAAAAACACTCGGTCAAGCTAGCGAGCGTTAGCATGAAAAAAACAGGAAGTTGGTGGATTCAGCTTTAAAATAAGCTACATTTGACAGGTTTGTGAATATAACTCCTTAAAATACACTGATAAATCAAAAAGAATAAAAAGAAAACATCAGTAAAAAACATTTTTAATACAGCTTACAACCATTGTTTATTGTCAATCAAAACACTCTCCTACACATTCAAGCTAACAAAATTCGTTCTCTCAACTGTTGTATATTTAGCATAATAACATAATTTAATTATATTTTTTTAGATTTATTCCAGATAGGTTAAGAAAAAATTGTGTTGTGATGTTGATGCGGTCAAATCAATAACATCAACCTAAAAATAAAGAATAAATAAATTAATAAAAAAGAGGGATATCTAAATCCACCTTTGATTTAAATAATAAAATCAAGTTAAATCAAAATGATCAAGTTGCTTTTTTGTGGGTTGTAGAGCCATATAAAGACAAAATGTAAAGTAAATGTAACTGCAGGCATAATTTATATGCTGTTATTCTGGTGCTCCTTCATTATTGCCTCTTCTTCCCCAAGATTTAATATGATTTTATTAACTAAAATGTTGAAATATAAAACACTATCTAAAATACCGATCTTAATCTGAAAAGAAAATGTATGGTGGCCGAGAACTGCAAATAAAAAAGAATGCTAAAAAGAACTTCTATTGTGGCTTTTTTATTTGCACCCTTTTTTTATTTGCACCCTTTTATTATCACAGTAAGTAACTTTTTTTTTTTTTTTTTTTTTTTTTTGCATTTCCACTTTTTTTTGCATTGTAAACTTCTGTTGTGGCTTATTTAATTTTTATCTGCACCATTTCTTTTGTTATTTGCATTTTTTTTTCATCGGAAACCTCCATTGTGACCCCTTTTTTTTTTTTTTTTTTTGCAGGAGTGGCAGTTCTCGGCCACTGTAAAAATTGATGTAGCTGCCAAAAATGTAATAAAAAGTTACAATCCCAGACAAATTATTATTTTTCTCCTTGATCATTATTTTCTTTATTGTGTTGGGGCTGTTGTGTGTATTTTTCCCACCACCTCTCAAAAAGATTTTTTTCTAAATAATGTGTTGAGAGCTGCAGTATCCTTTTATTTTGAAAGAGCCCACAGGAAGCTTGTGTAACTTGACCGTTGGGTTGTGATTGTCGTCGCTGAGTGAACGGAGGAGCAGTGATTGTGAAACAGCGGCAGGCTGCTGCTGCTGCCCTCCCCGCGGTCTCAACGAGCAGCAGAGGACCATCTAATTCAACTTTTTCCCCTCAAATATTTCACCTTTTTAAACACCTGGAGACGACAGAGGCTCCTTTTGTTCTTTCATTGGATTCAGCCTCAGAGGAACTTAACCATGAGCATCATCACAAGGCTGGAGAGCTGAGCGGTCTCGGGTCTGGAAGAGGAGAAGAAGATGCCTCATGGACCGCTCCATCACCACCAGTGCGCCAGTTCAGGGCATCCCGACCGCCGAATAACAAAGACATGCCGAGGTTTAGCGTCAAATGGATTGTGGCGGTGCTGTTGATTGTGGTGGTCGCCGGTGCTTTCTTCTTCTGCGAGTATCTCATTTACTTCCCCACCATCCTTAAGTGCGGCTGGCCGGAGATCAGCCATGCGCGGGCCGGCGGAGAGGGCATCGACGGCCGGTCAGCGGACTCAGCTGTCCGCGCTATGGTGCTGTCGGACACCCATCTCCTCGGGGCTGTGGGGGGACACTGGTTCGACAAACTGAGGAGGTAATGCCTTTATCCCTTTGTATTCCCAACCAACCTATTATCCCCTCTTTATCCCCCTTCTGTGCTTTGTTATTTGTAAACAAAAACAACCTTTAATGGTGACTTGTTGTCTCCAAAGGGAATGGCAGATGGAGAGAGCTTTCCAAACCGCTCTGTGGCTGCTCAGGCCTGAAATAGTGTTTATTCTCGGGGATATCTTCGACGAAGGCAAGTGGAGCTCGCAGAAGGTAACGCAGAGCTCCCTGTTTTTCTCCTCATTGCTTTGTCTGCTTGCATGTTGAGGATGATGAGGATGGTGGTGATGATGCTTGAGAGAGAACAGTATGTGGATGCAGAGCAGAGGCCAGCACTCTTTGTCATCATCATCAACATCATCATCATCAACATCATCATCTTGTACCATCCAGGCCTGAGAGGCTGCAGGTTTTGTGGAAAACACCAGCAACAACAGCAGCAGCAACAGCAGCATGTCTTTTGTGTGTCAGACACCCACAGTACATCCGTCCTTAGGAAGACAAAAATCCCCTGGGATTCCTCATACATCTATCCCTGGATTGTCATGTGGGATAAGTCAAACTCGGATGTAAGACAGAGGAAGTGTTGAGCATGAGTGCAGCCAGGAGAAAAAAAAAAGCAGCCTCATTAAAAAAGGAAACAGAGCTTGCAGACTGTAAAATCTCCACTAATCTACTACATTCCCCCGTCAGCGTCCTTGTTCATTTTCACACTCAGTTGGTATCTCTCCCGCAATTTGTATGCTGTGCACTTATTGCAAGAAGAGAGGACCCGAATACCTGAATGTACAGAAAGAGAAATACTGGAAGTAGGTCAGCAGACACAGACTGTTTTTATGATGGACCAATCTGTTGATTATTTCACAAACTGGGGATTTTAAGTCAATGTTGACCTGATGAAAATGTGAAAAGGGCTGGTGTTAAGTGGAGGAAAACAGAGAAGACACCTTAGGGTACTTGTTTAGTCAATGAAAGAGCAGATAATTCTGTTTTAATTGTTGGATTTTCTGCTGTTTTTTCCTGGTTAATTGATTACCCGTGTGGTCCACACATCAACATTTTATATCACAAGTTACAAAACCCGAAAAAACATCAAAGTGCTTGATTTGTAGGGGGCACTTTGTGGAAATCGAGGCTGTTTACAATATCGATAATGATGACGATACTGGAACAACAATACCTATACGATGTTGATACCAGTAGCTATGCCAAACATTAGCCAAATGACACAATACCCTACTGATACTGATACCGATATTTGTGCAAACACCCGAATGACACAATATGATACTGATACTGATACCAATATTAAAACAGTAATGATACCTATCCTGACACAGATAATGATATGATATAGCTCTGATAGGATACTGACATGATACTGATATAGTTTGAATACCAATACTGACATGATACTGATGTAGTTTGAATACTGATACTAATATGATACTGATATAGTTTGAATACTGATACTTATACCGATATTGGTATAATATGACACTGATACTAATATGACATGAATACTGATACCAATACTGATTGGGTGTCTGATACAGAGACTGATATGACTCTGATAGGATGCAGATATGACACTAATATGATCTCAATATTAATACGGTATGGATTTAAATGTCGATATACGATACTGATAATGATGCAATGCAATACAATAAAATACTGTTATTATACCAGTACTGATATAGTTTAAATGCTGATATGATTCTGATATTGATACCGATATGACACTGATATTGATGCGCTACGATATGGTGGGATACTGATACTATAATGATTCCCGTACTAATACAATGCTGAGACTGATATCAGTACCGATAAGGACACAATACTAGTAGTGATACAAATACCGATATTTATAATAACAATTGAGTTGACAGCTTATTCCAGTACTGGTGTTTTTTCACTCCACCTCTAAAATCTTTGTGACAGGATTTGATGTATCAAAATTATTGGTAGTTGTCTCTCTTCTTAATGGAGCGTTCACACCTAGAGCTCATCTGCTTTTTTCTGATCCAGTCGAGGAAAAATGACCCATCATTTTCTCCTGGGCGGTTTTGTGTTAAAACTGCAATAGTGTAAAACAAGACAGAACAAATCACCACAGGCAGCCTTCTTACTCATGGCGCAGGTAAACAAACACCTACCTGTACTGGTTACAGTGGGCACTAACTAATTTGAGCCGAGTAACCCTCCAACAAAATGAGTCATGGGCTGACTTGAAGCAGAGAGGAGGTCGATGTCTCACTGACATTTACGGCTGTAGCTGCCAAATGTTGGAGTTTCTATTTGTAGCTTCTCTGCTCTTCTGCAGATGTTTAATTGGATGATGACGGTGACAAACACATCGGTTGTATAACTGCATCCACCAGAGCTAGTCTTCTGCTTCTAGTCTGAAGATTCATGCAGCTATTTGTAACAGTTGCTGGCTCTTCTTGCAGGTGAACCACTTCAAGGGGGTCATTGGCAGCGAGCCGATACACCTCCTCTAGGCAGTATTGGCTCGCTTATTTTTTCCTGCACCAGAGTGCAATCGCTGTGTTCACAGAGGGCCAAATGACACAAACACAGCTGAGTTAGTGCATCTCTAATCAGTTGCCAAAGATGGAGTTAAGTAGGGATGCATGATATTGGGGATATGCCGATATTTGATATGCTGATATTTTCAAACTCATTTTGGCTGATACTGATTTCCCCTTTTTTGTTGATAAGCAGGTTTTTCATATGAACCTATACTGATAATTAACTTTTAAAGGTATTATCTGCAGAGACTGATATTAGGCCGATAACATGATGCATCCTCTAGAGTTGACCCGTGTAAGAAAACAATAATCCTAATCAGTCTTGGTGTGAGATTACTGTTAATCGGTGGTGCTGATATCGGCTAATATCAGTGTTATATTCATTGCTGCACCTCTATTAGAGATTGATATTCAAAGTCCTTGCTGTCTCTGTGCAAAACATAGAGACAGACATTGTGGGTTGTGCAGAAATGTGATGAACACAGCAAGAAAAGAGATCATATTCAGAGGAAATAAAAAAAAAAAAACATTACTAACAAGAATATTAACGCTGAATTGTAAATACGGTGCTTTGTAGACTAATATCTGTAACTTCTCGACCTGTGCTGAGCTTTGCAGCTGATTTCAAACTCAAACATACTCAATCCAAATGAAATGAAGCCCCGTAAGGAAACAAATCACCACTTTTTAGAATTTAAAAGCACAAATATTTGGATTTTTTTTGCCTAATACACTTTAAAAAAATCAATTTATTAGTCAAATTAAATGTTAATTGACATTGTGATTCAGCAGTCTCTGTGTATTCAAAGGAAGAGGAACCAGACTTAAAACTGGGTTGCAGCCAAATTCTGTTTCTTTCCAATCAGCCATCTGATCTTTAAACGGAGGGAAACAGCGAGAAATATTCATCATTATTTTTAAAAGCCCAGAGAGACGACTTCACATCGGCTGTTTTGTCCTTTCAGCCGTCCACAAACATAAAAAGAAACAAATCTTCATATTCATGAACCTAAATCCTGAAAATGTTTCACGCCTGATAAATGACTTCAAAGAGCAATCAATGATAAAAAGTGTTCAACACTAATCTTCAGTCAATGGACTAATTGTTTGCAGGCTAATTAGAATTAGCATCAGGGAGTTGTTTGCAGACACACCAGCATGAGGACTGTCACGTAAACCCACAACACCGGTGTAATTAGAGGTCTCCTGTGAGCTGCTTCAGTCCTGCAGGTGCAACACTAAAACTGGAGTCTGAATCAAAGCGGGCCGCCGTAGCCGCCCATGGGGGCTGCTGGGTGACCCTCAGAGATCCCATAAGCTGTCTTAGTGAAGGCCTGTACTGAAACCTGCCTCAGCTGTGTTTGTGTCCTCCTCTCTCCCTCTCTCTCTTCCTCTCTCTCTCTTTCTGCAGCACTGGGAGGACGACGTGCGCCGCTTCCACAGGATGTTCAGACACTCCACTGACACAGAACTGGTTGTACTGGTTGGGAATCACGACATCGGTTTCCATTATGAGTAAGAGGACTTTTTAAAGGCTCATTGTTTTCATTGTTCAGCCTTCAGTTTCACTAATAATGACAGCGGGGGACGGTCTTTTAGGAGAGTTTCAAGTCACAACACATTAGTGTTCATCTACTGCTGAAAGTAGTTCCCAGTTAGAGTATTATTTTTCTTATTTTAAAGCTCCTCTGAGGAATTTTTTTGCTTTTTGTGAATTTGGCGCCCCCTGTAGACAAAGCAGTCCTGATTTATCTTGTGGTCTGTGTGCTTCAGATCTGATTCTGCAGACTTTTAACAGACGAATTTATCTGTAAAGGCGATCTGAGAAGCATTTGAAAAAACGGAGTCGTTCAGGCAGATTTGAAAAAAGCGTCCCACCCCCCACACACAAACCTTTCCCCTCTGTGCTCAACGATATCTCCCCCCCCCCCCGAACCTGTATCGCCCTCCCCACGACACCCCCCCTCTGGCAGAAGATCCTACGCTAGCTTCAAATAGGATTCACCATGTCGGATTGCTAGTGACTAACGGCAGTAAACGCCAGCTCTGCTAGCGAGCATCGTCTGCAGCTACCTGGACAGCTACCATGTTGACATTGCGGAGATTAATAAGAGTTATTTATGTTTGTTCCAGTTAGATTCCTCACTTGGTCACATTTCCTCTTCATCTCTGCCCTGTCTTCTGTCTACTTGCATTTTCTTAGCACTTTTGGCGGTGGGGCAAGCAGAAGTGGTTTTTTTTTGCGTCCTTCTCCATCACAGCTCCTGTAGCTAAGCTGCTACGCTACTTTTAGCCGCTCAGAGCTCCGAGGAGGGCAGGGAGAGTGAGAGGGGACGAGTCGGAATTACGGGAGAGGGGTGTGTCGAATACAGCGAGGTGATTGGATGGAGTGGCGGAGCAGGAGATTGACCAATAGGAGCTGTCCGGGATGGATGGCTCCCATTGGTCAATGTTTTTGCAGCCCTGCACCTGCTAGGGTGAACGGATTTTTCCCATTTTTTTCTCTTCACTTTGTGGAGATCGCACCATGATCGCCATAGAAACGAGGTTCATAGTAATTACCAATCTCTCCAATCATCAACCATGCCTGTAAAAGGGATTATCTTGTGTTTGGCAGACACCTACTCCCTGTTTGGACCAGTTACAGGAACTAAAAATGATGGTTTAGAAGTTGTCGGTCTGGTTGCTGATTCTGGTTTTGTCAGCTTCAATTTCAGTGTGTTTCATAATCGACTGAAAAATCCTCACATGAGCTTTAAGTTTTGAATTTGACATCATATCATTTATGACCAAGATTGAGGGATTTACCCTTTAGTTAGAGTCACAGGGATGATGAGACAATCACAGTAAAAGACTCCCCCTCGCTGTCTTAATTTACGCTTTATTGAGTCACTCAACATTTCAGTCTGACACGAGTGGCAGCTTCCGGTCTTGAGAAATGACACTTGCAGTTCCTCGAGTGTCTACTTAAGTCTGGCTGTAGAAACCTGACAACCTCAGCGTGGGTCTTCAAACATGAATTTGCATCAAGATTTCCATCTATGTAAAGTGTGACGTCTCTGTGACACGTTCAGGTGCACACAACACTTTCTGAACACGTTTGGTTGAAGAGTTTCTAAATACATAACACACAGAGGTCGTATCCTGAGAGGACCTGAGGATCCGTTTACCTTCTACTATCACATTACAGGTGCAAATCCACATGATGCGCACCCCGGTCCTCGGTCTTACATCCACACACAGACAGCCTCATAAAGAGGAGCGAGTTCAAGGATAAGTTTTGCTGGATGAGACTAATGTGTGACAGTGAAAAAAAGGAGGTTTGATGAGTTCAGTGATGCCTCCACAACTTTCAACAAAACCAGTTTATGAGTCATAAAAAGGATGTGTAAAAACGGCGAGTGTGTGAGGGTGTGTGTGAGTACTTCTGTCTGCCACATTTCCCTTTTTCCCCAGTTGGCATGAACGCTTAGTCAGTCGATTTTTGGCACAGAACGTCCTCCGAAAAAAGCTCGTCTGAGAGTTTTATGTGTGAGTGAAGCACCTTTTTGATGTGGCATTAGCATGCCAAGATTTCGTCAAATAGCGAAAAAACTCTCACCTAAAATAAACACACACTTTCCCACACAGCGCCGGTGTCTGGACCAAATTTCAACCTTCTGTAGGTTAGAAATGTGTGCGCCAAAGAGGAACTTATTTTAGGATAGATAGAGTATTGTGCCCAGAGTTGTTGCGCCCTGTGCCAAGGCTGTCTTAAAGGGCCCTTCCACTTCCACTGATGGACGTTTATTATCTTATCTTTGCGGCCCTGAGTACTCAGAGCCCTTTTCCAGCAGTTTGACGCCCTTGATCGGGTCATTTTCACTGCAAATCCACTTAAGAGTCTTTTGGCTGATTTCTGAAAACCTTGTGCCGTCAAGTTTTCCAGTTTCAGCTGTAAGAGGCCAGAAGGAGCCACGACAAGTGTTTCTTTTTGTTCACTTTCGTAAGTTCCTGAAATCTTAAATTTTTAGCATTTCCTCAAAAAAAGCGAGGAGAATGATTGATCTTTGGGTGTCCATATTGGCGCCCTGCAACAGTGTTCACATTTGGGCACTACTTAAGTCCTTAGCCTTTCATCGTACATCCCAACAACAGGACATCCTGAGCTCCGTTTGAGGGCAGCATCTGTTTGGTGACAAAATCAGTGCCAAAGGTTCGGAAAGTCAAACTGATATTTGATTAGTTATGTCGGAGAGAAAGAGAGAGAGAAACAAGAACAAAACCAGACCATGAGATGTGAGTTTGAGTCTTGGCTGCGTGTTCTCCCTCACTCTCTACTCCTGGTACTCTCTGTCGTCCTTCAGCTTTGACGCCCCTTATTGGGATATTTTCTCTGCAAATCCATTCAGAGTCTTTCAGCTGATTTCTGAAAACCGTGCGCCATCTTTGCCGCTGTTGCACTCGCAGCTGGGTTCGCTTTTTGGTTCTTCCAAACGAGGTCGTGTTGACTGTTTTAGGTAGAACTTTGCAGGTTATAAGTTTTCCAGTTTCAGCTCTTTGAGGCCAGAAGGAGACACGACAAACCAAATTATTGCCTTACTCCAGACCAGACAACTGAAGTGCATCTAAACACCTTAGTCTGACTATAATCGGATTTTGAGAACTCCGATCAAGACACCCAGATAATGCGATTGGAAATCAATTTTCTCTACCATGTAACCAGCGCAGTCGGAGTATGATCGGACAATGCATGTGCACAAACAGAAACACCAGAGAAGAGGAGTAGCGTCCACCTCATCTGCAGAAAAAGCAGCGAGTACATCATGTACGACAAAAACAATGCTGTACAATGCTCCATCTTCTTGCTCGAAAATGCCCAGCAGCAATTTTAGTCACTTCTGACGTCTGACACGGACCTGCTGTTGTTGTTGACCGCTGAATAAGGTCAACCGGAAAAAGCGCCGCTGAAAAAAAGACCCATATCACTCCCTAGTTTTGGGGAGGAGAACACGTTCACGTCAATAATTCGATTTTCTCAGCTGCATGTATACGTGGACAAGGAGATTCCAAAAACAGAATTATGAACTTAGTCCGAATAAGCTGTCTATGTTCACATTCAGTTACAGCTTTAGTCCCTAGCCTTTCATCGTACGTCCCAACTACATGACATCCCAAGCTCCATTTGAGGGCAGCATCTTTTTTTGACAACAAGCCAAAATCCATGCCAAAAGTTCGGAAAGTCAAGCTGACTGGTTATGTCGGCGAGAGAGAGAGAAACAAGAACAAAACAACACATGAAAGAAACACAAAAACAGGACCAGACCATGAGATGCGAGTTTGAGTCTCCTCTGTGTGTTCTCCCTCACTCTCTCCTCCCTGTACTCTCTGTCGTCCTTCAGCTCCTCTGCCAATAAAAGACAAAAAACTTCAGTTTAACTCTCAAGTCCATTTTTACTAGACAAGGTCAGCAAAACAGGCTCCGTCCAACTGTCTTTTAGGACGACTTTTTCTCCGTTTCAGAGGATCTCGCTGCTGGAACAGTTTACCGCACACAGGATTCGACTCATTACCAAGTTGTGTTACTCAATTCAGTGCAGGGACAATTTAAAAGAACAGTTTGTGCATTTTTTCATATGCAAATGCATTTTCTCTGAACAGATAATCAGGTACAGGCAGATGTAGAAGCATGCATCAGTACAGACCGGCTCATAAGTGGGCTCATAAGGTCATTCATTCCAGATATGAAGTAAAATAAAGCAGAGATAGAGCGAAATCTTTGAAAGGATCACAGGATTATTTTTGTTGTCTATCTGGATGAGAGTGAAGCTCAAAACTTAATTCTGAAGGTCGAGTGAGAAAAGCAAGTTGTTAAAAGCAGCAAATGAAGGAGAGAAAAAAAAATCCTCAAAGTTGTAGAATGTGAAGCCTCATGCTGGAGAAAGTACCTGTTTTCAAGTGTTCAGATTTAAATGTGGTCTTGCTCCAGCTTCATGATGGTTTTCCGAGCCTGTATTCATGTGGCGTTGTTAAATTGGATTGCATTTTGTTGCAGAGATGTTGCATTGGTTTTGTGCGTAACCCCCTGTCTTTGTCGGGAACTCTTCTTGTTAATTTCTCAGGGGGGGAGAGGCACTGAAAGCAAATACAGCGAGATGCATAAAATCCTCCTCCAGTTTTTCGTATTTGATGTCTGTGATTCAGAAACCCGGGATTATGTCGACACACAGCCGCTGCCCGCGTGTGCTTTTATTTATTTGACTGGAGCAGCAGGGAGGGAGACGGCTCGCGGCGCTTATGTAACATCGTGTGACAGACAGACATGACAGAGCGGAGCAGCAGGTTCTGGGCCTCAGCGTGTGATGAGTATGTTGTGTCTCCCCGCAGGATGGACTGGTTCAAGTTGCAGCGCTTCGAGAAGGTCTTCAACGCCTCCTCCACCAGGATCGTCACCAAAAAGGGAGTCAAGTAAGTGTCAGCCGGGATGTGGAGCACACGGGGGTGACCTGTGACACCGCTGCGGGGATGTGACTCAGCGGGCGGGAAGGTCACGGGTTTAATCCCCCTGAGTCAGTCTGAGCCAAAAAAGGGGTTTTATACCAGGCAGCAGACAGGGAGACCTGAAACAGCTCCAAGGAGTTCAAATCCCAGCTGAAGGGCGCAGATGACACATTACATCCCTGTTTTTACACCGAGCACCTCTGAAAAGAATGAATTAAACATCAAAAACAAGCACAAGTACTATTCTTTCTTAAGTAGAAATGATAAAACTGTCGACTTAAACATTCAGAGTTTCACATTTATCAGTTCTGGCGCTGTGATCTGACCTTTTTGCCTCTTTTACAAACTCCAGACATGAATTTCATCATGAAACGTCTCTATATTGTGTGATGGTGTAATAATTTGTTGTTTAGCGGGTTATGCAAGAGTGCCTCAGTTTGTAAGGGTCACTGGTTCAAATCTGGAAATTCAGTCAGAGGATGGAAAAATACCAGTTTAATTCCACGTGCAGACCCCCTGTCTAAAGATTGAATTTACCTTCAGGAATGAATGAAGTGAAACATTTAACAACAAAATTAGAATAATATCAACCAATTTAAACTAATCGTTTCACCTGTTTTTTGAAGAAGTAGATTTAAGGCCTAAAATAGAAATAAAAAACTCCATCAAAGACACTGAGCTGTCTGCTGATAAGAAACAGTAATGACTCATATATCAGAAAATTTAACGACCTGGAAAAACTGAATGAAAGTATAAAAATACAAAATTGAAATCAAGCTGCACATAATGATTTAAATGTCATGAAGAGACATTTTTAAAACCTCCTCTGTCATCTAAAGTTTGAAATAAATCACATACACCAGTTCGACTGATATTGTGCTTCGATTAAAAAAAAAGGCTGTTTTTGTACTTATATAAAAAAATTTACTTCCCTCCTTCATTAGGTTAAAATTAATCAATTAAAGAAAACAGTCGTTAACTGTTTAGTTTATAAACGTTTATAAGGAGCTTGTTTGACTGGAAAGACTCCTCACTTTAAAGCTCCTCTAAGGAGTTTTTTTTAACATTTATGAAATAGAAGTTGTGTGGAGTACAGTCCTGTAATGAGCTTATATTAGGGTGACCATATTCTGAATCCCCAAAAAGAGGACACGAATATGCAGGGTGGAGTCACGGAGTTGCACATAGTAAATTTTAGGAGTTTTTGGGTTGGGTTTGAGTGTGTTTTACGCACTTTTAACTCAGTAAGTCCACGTGACACAAACTCAAAACTTCCATACAAAACCCTGAACATTTGAAGGATTTTATAAACTCCCCTGGACAAGGCTGGACATCCCCCAAAAAGAGGACATGTCCTAGTAAAAGAGGACGTATAGTCATCCTATGCAAATGGAAACTTAGCAGACGTAACATTTTCAGTAGTGTGATTGTATTACGTTTTTCCCTTTGGTGGTTTAAAGCTCTAACAAGAATTGGTGAAGAAAGAAAGAAAGATTGGTGCCTGATAGTCACAATGGGTGACACATTTGACGGATGAAATTTCCTTAAGTAAAATACCATCATTAGTTATGTGATAAGAAGTATATTTTTAACCACAGGGGGCGCCACAATCAACACAAAGCAAAAGTTACTTACAGTAGCTTTAAAGGCTACTTAAAACAAAAAAAAAATCACATCTAGATCAGTGATATTTGTTTGCAAAAAAGGGCGTAAATTTGCAAAAGAAAGGAGTTTTTAAAAAGTGACTTCATCCACTGTTTTACGATGTTACCTCTCAGGTGGGCGTGACCTCATAAAGCCGTTATCACGTCCAATCAGAGGCTCAGCAGCTAATTTTAAACACTTTTCAAACATACGAGGCTTAGCTTGAAGGATTTCTTCAAAGGTCGGCCAAATTCCCTCATGTGACCTCTGCAGCCGTCTCTGCGGCTCTCCCGTGTTTCATGCCAGACTTACTAAGACTTCCTCCGCCCTCTCCTCAGTTTTCTGCTGGTGAACAGCGTGGCCCTGCACGGTGACGGCTGTCCCATCTGCCAGTCCGTGGAGAAGGAGCTGATCAAACTCTCCAGAGACCTCAACTGTTCCCTTCAGGTGGGAGGAACGTTTCCTGGAAGTCTGAAGCACGCCCTCACACACTCTTACACACACTCTCACACACACTCTCTGCGATCATGAAGTGTAAAAGACTCGAGCTAAGTGAGGAAGAAGGAGGATAAAACGAGCTTAAATCTGAAGCTCAGTCTCATCTGGAGCAGATGTTTAGCTGCCTTTTTTTTAATGCTCAGTGTTTGTGAAGCACATTCAAAGTTCTGGCTGTTTGCTTCTCTTCCTTCCTGTACGCAGCAGCAGCAGCATCTTGAAACAGACGGATTGGAGAGATATGAAATGAAAAATGTTGGCTGATGTTGGAGGACACGCTGAGAGCTGGCAGACAAGGCAGCTGATGAATTCTTTATGCCTCTTTTTTTTGTAAATTTTTCCAGCAGAACTCGCAGACGGGCAGCGGAGTGATGGACAGCTGTGAGGGCTCTCAGCTCTACCCTCCGACGCCCCCCATCATGCTGCAGGTAAACTCGAGCTGTGCTCCGTGTGCGCTGTCTAAAAACTGGCAGGGATCCACTTTCTCTGCATCCAAAGCTCTGATCCAAACACTCAGCAGGGAAAGACCAACACTAAAAACAATTAGCCAACTTAAATATACACTCAGATACACTTCAGCTCATTTTACAGCCAAAGATATTCAGTCAGTGAATTTTTTCCCCTCCTGTCCCCTCAGGCCTCTGAGTGTCTCCTTCCTCGCTCATGCTGCAAAAATATATTTAACTCACAGGAAAAGTTGCACAAATGAAGTGGATGTCCTCCAAAAAAAGCTCCTTTTTTCGCTGATGAGTGCATTTTTGTGTAGCAGCTCTTTTCCTGCAGTGAAATAAACTGAATGAAGAACAAGCCCAGATGAAGGAGAGAAAGCATCAACTCTTATTACTGATCATTAGAAAATAAGTCATGATAATATTTAAACTGTAGTTTAGACTTTTTATCTCATAATACCAGCTGTTACTGTCCAAACATTTATTTTTTTATTACACATTTCTGTCCGTGTTTCATTTTTCATCTTATTGTTTTGGCTTCTAATCTCATTATTATGACTTAATCTTGTAAAACCTACTCCTTTTCTCTGAATAATAACTTTCAAACGCATAATTTTTAAATTTTTTACGATATATTTTTTAATTCAATTGTTTAAAAGTTTAATCTAATTATTTTTTCTCATTATAAATCAGCAGTATCTTTTTATAATGATGTACATTGCCACAGTTTTATTTTACAGTCTGAATGTTGGTCTAATATTTTGATTTAATACAAGATTATTTGACTTTTTTATTTGTCTAAATTTGGACTTTTATCTCACAGTTTTGACTTCCTCAGTTTTTCAAATTTCTGTCTCATAAGTTCAACTGAAATCTTCCTTTTTTTTCTTTTAATCCCATTCAACATTTCATCTTAGAATTCTGAATTTTTCTACAGTAATTTTGACTTAATATCTGAAAAATTCATCTTTCTCCTCCATTATTTTACTTTATCTCATAATTTTTTATTTCCCTGAGGGAACCTTCCCAAAAGGATCAATAAAGTTCCATCCAATTTAATCTAATTTTGACTTTTTATGACATAATTTTTACATTTTTCGTGTTATTACGTATTTTACTTCTTTAAAAAAATCAATAAGTTCTTTTTTTATTCCGTTTGTCTGAAATTGCAGTAGTAGGTTTCCATAATTTAGTTCAGGGTCCGTGTTATTGAGGTTTTTTGACCTGTGATTGTTTACGAACACTTACTGTGAAGTCCAAGAACTGAAACCACTCTGTAAGTTATTTTATAATTTAAATATTTCTTCAGTAAAAGTTTCAAGCGTAACCAAAACAAAAAATACTGAAGTAAAAAAGAAGTTCATATAATACTCCGCTGAAACTTCAGCCTTCGTCTTTATTAAGTTTAGTTAATAATCAATCAGACTTTATTTGTGAGACACTTTTTTTACGACAATAATGTAACAACCCCCCAAAAAACTAATAAAAGAGTCATGTAGTTAAAGAAGTATGGTGATAAAATATTAAAAGTATAATGTAATGAGGATTATTAAAAAAAAGAAATAAAGGAAAATGATAAAAAGGCCAATTAATGAGATTTATGATGTGAAATATCCAAACAGTAAACGTTAAATAAATAAATAAACAAAGAGACTATTATAACTTAAAAAAAAACAGGTTAAAAGCTTTTAAGGTTTGTGTGTTTTATTGTTTATATCAATCAGGATCCACATTCATCTCTTTAAAAGCAGCAGCTGCTCTTCCAAACACAAAAACATCTATAATATTTAAAGTCTGCAGGAAAACAGGAACATTGATTTAACAGTATTAACAATCATAATGGTAAGAACGATAATAGAGGTAAAGGATCTGGTCTGAGCCTGTAGGAGTCAGGGATCTGGTATTAAATGAAAATGTAGTCACACATTAATTCTATTCAGAGAGAATTTAACATTTGATAACCTACTATTAAAGTGATTTAAAGAAACAATATGATTTTGATCAAGTCGTCTGTTTGATTGATATCAGTCTCATAATTATCCACTTCTGGGCTCTTCAGCTTGAATCGTTGCAGCAGCTTTAGTTATTTTTATGTCATCGTGAATCACATTTGGAGTTTTAAAAAAATCCTCTCCTCACTTCCTCACTTTATCACATCTGAGTTATATCGCTCAGACGGGTCAGTCCTCCCCGAGGCTCGGGAACTTCCACGCAGTGACAAAAGTGGCCCCAGCCTGAATCATCAATCTTACACGTTACTAAAAATATGCTGTAAAAACGGAGCTATAGGAACCCCTAAATGAGTTTTTCGAACAGTGCAGCTTAAATGAAGAGCCGGAGCGAGCTGACACCGAGTGTACGTGAGACTGTCAGACAGACGGAGTGGAATAAGAGGATTTCTATAATCTTAAAGCGACTAAACGGGGGGAAAAAAAAGGAAAATGAGCGGGGTTTCAGAACATTTTAGTGACTCATATAGCAGCTGGATTATTCCTCTTTTGTTAGTGTTTCATGTATATTTTGTTCACGAATGGACACATGGGCAGGCTTTTGTCTTGGGTGCTTGGTCTGAGAGTTAAAGTTGAAGACTCATGTAGCAAAATCCAACAATTAGGCACTGGGGAAAAACAACAAGGAAACTAGGGATTCACACATCGACTATGACCAACACACACACACAGACAAACAGACGTACAATGAACCAACAGGAACAGGGAGTGGCAGGGACTATATATACACGGGGAAACGAGCAACGAGAGGCAGGTGAGACGCAGAGACACAGGTGCAGACGATCACAGAGAAGGGAAAACTGAGGAAGTAAAACAACACAAGGATGGACTACTACAAAATAAAACAGTAAACACTGAAAACTGATCTAAAGAATAAAACACAGAGAACATGAGGGATACGGGGTCAGACACAAACTGAAAACTCAAAAAACAGGATCACAGTGAACAGAAACATGAGGAAAAACATAGAAAATGCACTTAAAGGGATATTTCGGCGTAAAATCAAGTTAGGGTCAAACTCACCGTAACACAGAGTAAGACATCCCGTCATGGAAGAGCATTTATGATCATAACTTTATCATTTCCTTGAAGTAATAATTACCATATTATCATGTTGCACTGCAGATGCGGGTGTTCTTCGGTCTGACTGCATTTCCATGAAGAAATTATGATAAATGTTCTTCCTTGAGCTGCGAAACCCCACTGAAGTCCGTAATGGACTAGTCTAGGGGTGGGCAATAATTTTATAGAAACCTCAACTGTGTTGGAGGGCCGAACCAACAATAACCTACAGAAAAGCAGGCCCAAATAAGCAACTACTTGTTAAAAACAAGCCCAAAAAAAAGCGCACCTGTGACTCACAAGTTTTACAAGCACCTTCTGAGAGAAACAAGCCTGAAGTCTTTTATAATAAGCAGACTGAGCAACTACAAGGCGTCTACGTATACAACAACAGCTGGGTTTTCAAAATAAAAGCAACACACTTTTATAGCATGTTGATGATTTGATTGACGGACCTCACGAAGGGCCGGGCAGGGACATCCAAGGGGCCGGATGTGGCTCTCGGATGTCCCAGCCCGGGACCGGAGTAGTCTGAAGTCTTGCTACAAACAAGCGGCTGCTGGAAGAGAGTAGGTGAGTTGTGTTTGGTCTCTTTGCTAAAGAAATTCGGCAAAGTTAAAAAGATGTTTGGTGGCTAGTACTGCGGCTGGGACCCTATATGAACTGTTAATGAAGTTAGGTGCTGTTCTGAGCATTATTTGTGGCTATAGAGTGGCGTTTTGGTTGAGCGCGTGGCTCTGTGTATTGCTATCGTGCAGTCATTACTAAAGTTGGTATAACTAGAGAAGCAAGCGGTCGGCAACATTTATCTCTCGACGGGGTGTCTAACTCAACGTGTTTGACCCTAACTTAATTTTACGACGGAATATCCCTTTAAATCAGTGAGGTGACAGAAAAACTATCTTCTATAAGCCGTCAAACTTTGGTGTCTCTCTCTCTCTGTGTCCTGCAGCACTACCCCCTGTACAGGGTGAGCGACGCCAGCTGCACCGGTCAGGACGCCGCACCGCCTGAAGAGCGACACCTGCTGTTCAGAGAGAAGTATGACGTGTTGTCAAAGGAGGCCTCACAGAGGGTGAGCAACACTCTGCAGTCTCATCACACCGCCTCGCCTTTCTTTTTTTTTACTCCACTCCCAGAGCTTCTGAAGCGGTTTAATCCAGTTAAAATACAGTACAGCCGTCTGCTGCTGTCCTGAATGGAAACAGCAGATCATGAGGAAGAAGATGATGATGATGACGATGATGAAACTGATGATGTAAGTGAGCAGCAACCGCTCTCTGAGGCCACTGTCGGTTTTCTTTCCTCCTCAGCTGCTGCAGTGGTTTAACCCCCGCCTCATCTTGAGCGGACACACCCACAGCGGATGTGAGGTTCTCCATGACAACAAGTTCCCAGAAGTCAGCGTGCCGTCCTTCAGCTGGAGGAACAGGAACAACCCTAGCTTCATCCTGGTGAGTGAACAAAAAAAAAAACACCCATCAGAGAGAGTCTGATTGAACCAGGACTGAGAAAAGTCAAAGTAACGACCTGCACAGGTGAGTTTAGAGGCCGGCGCTGACATATTAGACTTAATATCACGGTTATAAGGGTTATTTTCACAGCACATAGAGAGATGTTGATGTTGTTGGACACTCAGGCTGTGGTTACATGGCCTAGAAACCTAAAGGTCACCAGGTTCAAGTTCCAGTGGTGAGGAAAATCTAGTTGAAGAAGTGCGACTGAGCAAGGTAGTGAACCCACACTGATTTACTATACATTAAAAAGAGATTTGAATCCAGACTAATTAAGGGTTTCTAATTGATAAATAGTTCTGGTATTGACTAGAAAAGGTGACAACTTTTAATGGCTTAAAGGGATATTCCGTCGTAAAATTAATTTAGGGTCACACACACTGTAACACCGAGTTAGACACCCCCTCGAGAGATGAATGTTGCCAACTGCTTGCTTCTCTAGTTATACCAACTTTAGTAACGACTGCACGATAGCAATACACAGCGGTCTGAGGAGCCATAAACAAACCTACACTAAAACGCCACAAATAATGCTCAGAACAGCACCTAACTTCATCAACAGTACATATAGGGTCCTAGCCACAGCACTAGCCACCAAACATCTTTTTAACTTTGCCTGATTTCTTCACCAAAGAGACTAAACACAACTCACCTACTCTCCTCCAGCAGCCGCTTGTTTGTAGTGAGACCTCAGGCCAGTCCATTACGGAATAAAGCGGGGTGACGCAGCTCAAGGAAGAACATTAATGATCATTAATTGATCATTTCCTTTAAGTAACAATCATCACATTAATCATTTTGTACTGCAGACTCGGTAGTTCTTCTGCCTTAGCGTCTCGGTCTGATTGCATTTCCATGAAGAAATGATCATAAATGTTCTTCCTTGAGCTGCTTCACCCCGCTTTATTCCATAATGGACTGGCCTGAGGTCTAGCTACAAACAAGCGGCTGCTGGAAGAAAGTAGGTGAGTTGTGTTTAGTCTCTTTGCTAAAGGAATTAGTCAAAGCTAGAAAGATGTCTGGTGGCAAGTACTATGGTTGGGACCCTATATGTACTGTTGATGAAGTTAGGTGCTGCTCTGAGCATTATTTGTGGCTATAGAGTGGCGTTTTGGTTGAGGTTTGTTTATGGCTCCCCAGACTGTTGTGTATTGCTATCTTGTGGTTGTTACTAAAGTTGGTATAGCTAGAGAAGCAAGTGGTCTGCAACATTCATCCCTCAAGGGGGTGTCTAACTCGGTGTAACGGTGTGTTTGACCCTTAATTAAGTTTACGCCGGAATATCCCTTTAATCGACTAAACAGAGACTCAGGGTGTCTAACGGTGTGCGGCTCCCTCACTGGCATTTCTCTGTCAGTGTGTGTAGGCTGCAGAGGATCCTGACTGTGTGTATCTTGTTCCTCTCAGGAAACAGTGGGCAGTCAGCTATACAGTAGTTTCACATTTTTAACATTTGGAGGCCCTCTAGTGGCTGAAAGTGTGCACTGCAGGCGGCAAAAACACAAAATTCAAAATGAAAAGAAGAAATAAGTAAAAGAAAATAGAAAATTAAAGTAAAATTGTCTCTTTTTGACTCACCACATTCTCCTTCACTCTCTCTTTCTCAGGCGGCAGTGTCCCCCGACAGTTACTCCCTGTCCAAATGTTTCCTGCCCGAGGAGAGCACGGTGATCGGAGTGTACTGCTCGGCCGGCGCCTGCATGCTGCTGCTCTTCCTCGCTCACTGTATGTGGATGAAAGGCCTGCTGCAGTGCCTCAGCCTCTGCCTGCTGGGCAAACACAAATCCCTGTGAACTACATTACCCAGAGAGCACCGCAGCCCCGGGACTGAGCCATGAAGTCACTTAAAGAGTCGGTAAATACTTGATGTGAGGATTTGCGAATGTGGCGTTGTGTCCTCCTCCTCAGAACAGGTCATAAATCTGTAAAAACTGGATTTGTTCGTCCACGATATGTGGCGCAGTGAAGGAGTTTATATTTTAGATGTCTTTTAAAGGACTTAAAGTTTATCCCTGCTGATTATGATGATGATTTTAAGACGATTTTAAGGATTTATCCATTGATCAGGAAGCAGAAATGTGCCAAATTGTTGTTTCGAATCATCTGGTGTTGGTTTACCTTGAGTACCAGGTGGGCGGAGCTTAAGGAGAGTAAACCACAGGAAAGTACCCATCACTGACTTTCTCAAAGTTTTTCTGTGTTTTGTGGCATTAAACGGGACAGATGAAAGAAGAACATGTAAATAGAGTCTGTCCCCGGTCTGATTTAAGGTGGTTAAAGTCAGGTGTTGGTTTCTGTCTCTTCACTCTGATGTTTGCTGTGATCTGATGTGAACACACTCTCTGTTTCCGTCCTTGACGTCCGATCATCCATCCATCCATCCATCCGGGTCTCTCATTGTTTTTATGATGCATATCTGAGAATATTTATTGCTGACTTTCTGTGCCAAATGTTTGTGGGGGTTTTTGCCAAACTTGTTCAAATGTTTATGATGAGCTGTAAATAATAAATCAGAATCTTAAATTCTGTTTTAGAGAGTTTATGTTGTTGACTAGAGGTTGATGTGCACAAAGACTGCGTTTTAATCACTTTATCACTTTAGGAATGAAAAGCTGAACGTCACAGGTGTTTTAAGGTCTTTACCTGACTTTTTCAAATCTTGAATGATGGACACAGAGTCGTTGTATTGAATTATATGAATGTGATTTGAGCACAGGAACGTGTTTGCAAATGCAAAGTCATGTCAAATAAAAGGAAAGTTTAAGAAGTGAAGTTTCCGGAGACGTTTTCCTGACACTCCTGCATGAGATTAGGAAGGTGAACGAACATCTGAACTTTCTAACATCGAGAAAACTCTTCTGGTGTAGAATTACATACACTGACATTAATACCTTTACCTTTTCGTGACACACTAAAGCAGTAAAGCAAAGATTCATGACTTCTTAAATGTTATTCCTGATCCCTGAGCTGCTGTGGGGAGGGTGTCAGATGAAGCCATCAACATATAAACATGCTTTTATCGCAGAGATTCTCAAAGTTTGGTTATTTTGGATCATTAAATAAAAGCAAAGAGAGATTATTCATAAGAAACACTTATCACATGTACAAGACAAGATCAGCAAGGTTGACCACAGGAGGGCGCCAAAACTGTTGCAAACTGAAAGTTTAAGAGTTAAGGTTTAGGCAGCTTTAAAGGTATATTCGGGTGTAAAATTAAGTTAGGGTCAAACACACTGAGTTAGACACGCCGTCAAGAGATGAATGTTGCCGACCGCTTGCTTCTCTAGTTTTACCAACTAAAGTAACGACCGCAGATAGCAATACACAGAGCCACAAGCCCAACCAAAACGCCACTCTATCGCTACGAATAATGCTCAGAACAGCACCTAACTTCATCAACAGTACATATAGGGTCCCAGCCATAGTACTTACCATTAAACATCTTTTTAACTTTGCCTGATTTCTTTAGCAAAGAGACTAAACACAACTTACCCACTCTCTTCCAGCAGCTGCTTGTTTGTAGTGGAGACCTCTGGGCGGGTCCATTACTGCAGTGGAGTTTCGCAGCTCAAGGAGAAATGATCATAAATGTTCTTTCTTGAGCTGCGTCACCCCGCTGCAGTCGATGGACTAGCCCGAGGTCTCGCTACAAACGGCTGCTGGAAGAGAGTAGGTGAGTTGTGCTTAGTCTAACTCGGTGTTACGGTGTGTTTGACCCTAAATTATGTTTATGCCACAATATCCCTTTAAGCTTTTTTGTATATACACCACAAAAAAAGATGCTCCTTTGATGGATTCCTGCCTATTCCACCTTTAAAGTTTTTTCCCCTATTTTATGATCAAATTTTAAAGTCACTGTGGGGAGTTTGAACAGTGATGGCTCTTTATGATCTACAGAGACAAGACCATCAGTGACAGGACAGAGAATTAAGAAGTAAATATTAATGCGTGTATCTGCTATGAGGGGGTAGGTGCCAGTCAAAGTGTAATCTGTATCAGAAGTGAAGTAATAATTAATCAAAAGTGTTCAGTTACAGTCCCTGTGATTCTGGATCAGACCTAATTTTGAAGTAAAGTCTCTGAACACTTGTATGAACTAAAACCTCAAAAGGAAATTTCAATTTTCTGCTTGGTTAGATTTTCTCATTGACACGCCTCTGACTCTCCTTTTCCCTTTTACCGCTGCTATTGTACCTGCTACTCTGAGACCTGGGACTCCAGCAGACCCTCTGAACACACGACCCTGGAAACAGTCCTTCGTCACTGTTTTCACTTTGACCTGTTTCCCCTGCTTAGACACGTGCTGAGCGAGAGAGAGAGGCCTGTATTTGTACCTAAACAAGTCTCCTCAAACAGGTTGTACTCACCAGCCAACACTCAGAAGGTGTCAGCTTTACTGCGTAAAATCTAGTGTATCCAAATCATGATTCAAGTTTATTAAAAAGTTTTCTGTAAAGGTGTTAGTCCCTGCTTTAAAGCTGCATTATAAAGTTCCCTCATCTTCTTAATCTTAACAGACGAGACAGAAACTGGAAAATTTTAATCCAAGTGAATCCAGACAAAACACATAATTCTCAAAAAGTTGTGACTGTGCAGAATTTGATGGTTTGTAAAGGTCTTTCTAAATAAAGTATGAATCTTAATGTAAGTTTTTCAGGTTTGTCCCTTTTGTAGTTAGATTTTTTCATATATATGTACCATAAGGGTTAAAATCCAGACATTTGCTGCACTTTTTCTCAGAGAAATTCTGAAATGGTTGAAGTATTCGCTCACACTTTCTTTTGAGACACCCATCCTTTTATAAACCCATCCCACAATGCACCATAAGCACATTTATAAAGCTCTATAGCAACCCCTATGAGTGAGTATAATGTCTCATAAAAGTATGGTTCAGTATGTATTTTATACCTTAATGCAAAAGAGAATACACTAAGTTAAGTATGTTGTCTGACACTTCACTTACAGCCAGTAAATTGTGCTTTTAAGTTCTAATAAATGTGTTATAGGAGCATATAATCTTTAATAACCTCATACAGAGCTGTTACTTTACTTAACTCCTGCTTTAGCATGTTGTGATGATCAAGAACCAAACTCAAAACCTACCTTTTTAGTCTTGCTTTTAACTAAATTTTATATCATTAACTTTAAGTGTTTTAGCATTTATCCCTTTCTAGTTTTAATGACAGGATCGTCTTTTATTGAGCTATTTTGGTGCTCTTATTTTAGTATCTTTTACTGTTGTTTTTATTTCATTTTATTTATGTTACTTTGTTTTTAGATTTTAACCTAAACCTAATCAAGCCCTTTTTAAGTTAACGCATTTTAATACTGTTTATGATGCATTTAGATCATGGGGTGGGAATGAGGGGTTGGGCTGGGGTAGATTTGGGTATTCTTTCACTTTGTGCTACATGGTTGTGTATGAAAAGTGCTGAATACATAAAGACTTTTTAAACACATAGAAATTATCAATATTTTTTCAATAGAGTAAGTTCCAGTTAAGTTATGAGTGTTATTAGACCCAGAAATCAAGATATCTACATGAAGGTATGAAACGTTACGAACTACACCTTTATGAGAGACATTATGCTCACTTTTTATAACACTTCATAAACATGTCTCTTAAGCGGTCACTTATAAAAGTTGTTATGAAGCTTTATAGATGAGGATCATGTCAGGTGTTTCCATTTTTCCTCTGACATGTTTCTGATATAACGTCTCAGTATTTTTCATGAAACAGTTTTGACTTCCAGATTCAAATCCCCCTGATTTCACTCCACTCCGGTCTCCAACGTTAAAACAAAATCAGTCGAAAAACCACCTCCATGGTAAGAAACGTGAAAACAACTGGACACCAAGATGGAAATAAAGCAAAGTCCTCTAATGTGCCTCTTTATTTAAAGAAAATAAAAATGTCATTTAATCATCCTCCCAGGCCAAACAAGGTTTTTGCACCTCCAGTCAGTTCACTCTCTGTCGGGGATAGACGTGTACTGTAGCAGAAGAAAAGGCTGATGCTGTTTGTACAAGGAGAAGAGCTTGTCTTGTTGGGTGCTGCTCACACATTCATAGTGCCTGTGCCATCAGTATGGCTCCGAAGGACCAAAGAATTACTAATATTGCACGCTCTCATTTATTCATCTCCATTCTAAACATGCTTTCCTATGTGTGTATGTATACATATTTACCGTATACATACATAGGTATGTACACCTAGGCACACACATAATTAAACATGTATAATTGTACATATATATTTATATAGACCTATAAATTTACATGTACATACATTTATAAAATTTTACACACACAGCACACTTGCCCGCTCTCTCACTCTCTCTCACACGCGCACACACACTCACTCACTCATTCACACACAATGCGTCTGTGAGTCTATGTTTGTTTTATGTACACATGCGCACAGGCACGCACATCAGTACAGATCTCAGACACACTTCATATCGAAAAAACGTTGGTTCCTATTAAAACAACACCAGGTTGCAATTTGGACACTTTCAATGGATTTCCAATGTTTGTTTAAAGCTGTAAAATTCAAAAAAAAAAAAAAAAAAGAAAGAAAAAAAAACAGAATAAAAGGAGGAAAAAATAAAACCAACAGAAAAACAAAAGGCATGGCGCTGCAACATCTGGTCTTCACTGCAGGTAAGTGGTTAATTTGCATAATGTATACAGGTTTTTAGGATTTTTTCCCTATTTTTTATTTTTTACTAAACAGCATTTCCTCTTTTTTTATAAACCAGAAAAAACTAAACTCTACAGAGAAAGTCCTCTACCCGCAGTCTTCCGCTGCTGATAGAGATTGACATCAAGCTGTACAGCGCAGTCGAAAACATACTTACATCTGAGCTCATTTACAGGTACAGCCATAATCAAGGCACAAAGATCTACAAGTAGATTTGTTTTTCTTTCAATTAAGTTGTACAAAATAATATTACATTTTACAGTCTGTACAGGATAATTCAACCTTGCACAGTGTACAAGTTAACAAAAAACGAAAAAAAAAAGGAACAATACATTTTTCTCTCCCGTCCCCCTCCCTCCCCTCCCATCAGTATCTCTACGTTAAAAGGATGGTTTGTGTGGAAAAACAAACAAACGAAAAAAAAAAAAAGGAGGCAGGTCCGAGTCCGTGGAGGCAGCAGGGCTAAGGTGCAGAGAGCTCAGTCCCTTTTCCTTCATTTCAAATCCTTCTTTGTGTCGTCGAGTTTCCTGCCCTGCTTCTCCCACATTTTTTTTTTTTGTTTTTTTTTTTGAAATCCTTCGCTCCACACGTCTCTCGACCGCTCGGCGCACCCTGCAGCTCAGCAAAGCTAACATTGTGACAGGGTAATAAATATTGTGATGCTACATTGTGTGTATGCTTCCTCTGGAGAAAAAAAAAAACAAAAACAACAAACAACCGAAAAATAAAATATTAAGGAACCTGATGCAAAGTGCATTTATCTCTTCATCCACTCGGATCCCCTCCGTGTGCTCCCGTCTGTCTGGGTGACGTCCACGCAGAGACGAGGAGCGGCTCAGAGGGGGTGACAGGGCGAAAAAAACAAACAAAAAAAAAGGAGAATAAAAACAAAGTAGAGGGATCAAAGGTCATGGTGGTGATGCCAGCTTTAACCAGCAGGCGAAACACACTCATATGCTCACTCACATGGCATTCCTCCTTCTCGTCACCACACACACACGCTTGAACACACACACGCTGCCTCTACACTGAGGTCCTGTAGGTGCGTTTTTTTATGTCTCCACACCCGCCAGTCCAGGTCCAATGACAGAGCCAAAAATCAGAAAAAACAAAAAAAAACAAAGGGGGGAAAAAGGAGGTAGCCCAAGGCTTAGTGGAATGACAAAAATCAAGGCATTCAAAAGGATTAAAAGAAAAATAATCAGCGGCACGCAACAATTTGTTCCCCAAAACTTCCTTCCACGTCGGTGAAAATGGGGATGAATCTGTCTCAGAGAAAAAAAAACAAGAAGAAGAAGAAGAAGAAGTACAAAAAGCTGAGAAGTTAAGAAGAGGAAGAGGATTTGACACACTTCAGTAGTACTTCATAGTCCTCGACAGGAGGGGTGGTCAGGGGGGAGTAGAAGGTCTTCTTTGGGGGTTGGGGGGAGGGGGAGAGGGGTTTGTCAAGGATGCAGAATGGTGGAGGAAAAAAAAACAAAAAAACAAACACAGAAGGCTGACGGAGGCGGTCTCCCATCACAAGAGTTCGTACTGCCGCAGGTGCATTCTCTGGATGATGTCCCGGCAGTCGTTGAACACCCGCCGGATGTTCTCTGTGTCCACGGCGCAGGTGAAGTGTGGGTAGCAGTAGTGTCTGCCGTCGCCACTCGCAGTGCTGATCCGCTGAAGGGGAGGGTCACATAAGAAGGAGAGGATGTTAAAGGGAGATCTCTGACAACACAGAGGTTTCACTTTGGACCATTTTCTAACTCTGAAAAATACACCTGAGCTCCTTACCTTTTGTTCCAGTGTTAAAAATTCAAAGTATCTCCTATCACTTAGATTTATTCCTGGAAGTCTGAGCTGACTGTACAATTAACTGTGGTCTCACACTTTTGAAATCATTGTGTACTGGATGTAAATAACACTTACGGTATCAGGGCTTGACACTAATTTTTTTCACAAGAAGCACATGTGCTCCTTAGTTGAAAAAGTAAGGATCACATCAAGAACTTTAGGGGCGCAATATAAATTGATTGTGTCTTATTGGTCGACATAAGTACTATTATTTGAAATCAATTTTAGGTCAATTGGTCACATGACATGGAAGCTATTGAAGGAAAACAGCCTTTTTTGAGAACATCAACAGGTAATTTATTGATGGTCCCTTATTCAACACCCGACGTTGACAGCGAGGGTGCCGAGTAGATTTAACCGCGCTGCTGTTGATGTTATTGAGAAGACACCGGTAGATCAGCAGTAAATGTCTGTCGGATATCCAACCTAAAACTAACTTCACCGCTGTACTTACATGAAAAAACATTGGTTGCCTCGGCTGATTTTTTTTATGCGCACGTGCCCCTAAATACATTTTACAATTCGCACACTTATCTATTTAGTCACAAATGCGAGTGAAACGGTTGCACTGTCGAGCCCTGGGTATCCATGTTTTAACTCCGTAAACCACCTAATATTAGGGTAATTATGGTAATATTACTTGGCGGAGTAAAATATGGGACTCTGATTGGCTGATTGCAGCATTCTAAAGTCTGCTACTTCTCTATAGCGGGGTGTAACGTTGCCATGGAAACAGTCAACCACAGAGTCTAGTGTCCACTTCGTGAGCAGATCAAAGTTACTCCCTTTTAACAACAGTAAAAAACGAACTCCATGATTATTCTGAGTTATGAATCGACAGGGCGAGGCTGTCCACTCGTTCACTTCCTCTCACTCGGAGCTGCGTTTTACTTACAAGGAACTCGTCTCGGATGAAGAACTTAGCTCTTGTCACTCTGGGGTCCTCACCAGGTTCAGGAGTTGCTACAAAAAAAAAACAACAACAGAGACGCCGTCAACAATCACAGACATCAACCAAAAAGCTCCTCAGTGTTTAAAGCGAAGGGGGCGCTGACCTTCATTTGGTATGGTGTAGCGAGCATATTCAGGGAAGTAGTCTTCAATTTTGGATTTTCCAGCTAATACTTTCTCAGCCAGCATGTCCTGCTTGTTCAGGAATAATATGACCGATATAGTGCGTAACCATCTGGAAGACAAACACATGAGAGAGAGAGAGTGGCGGTGAATGGCAGTTAGACAAAGAAACAGGATTTCCCTTGCTCTGATTATCAGATATTAAACATGTAATAATGTGACATTCATGATTATAGACAATCATCATCAGCTAAGAAATCCTTCCTCGTGTCTGACTCACCTGTTGTTCCAAATACTGCGGAAGAGGTCCAGGGCTTCCCGTAGCCGGTTGGTGTTGTTGTCTTCCCTTATTACCATGTTGTAGCTGCTGCTGGCCACCACGAAGATGATAGCAGTGACGTCTGTGCGGAGGGGAAATATGAGGAGCAATGATACATCAAATCAGTCGTAACGTTGCCAATAATTGCTGATAATTAGTTGGTCGTAAACTTGAACTTCCTCTTTGTCCTGGTTTAATCTATGACAATCGTCCATGTGAAATCACTTTGAACTGGCAAATGGAAAGACTGATTTATGATTCATCAAAAACAGTAATTTGACTTCAAAAGGTTCGCATTCTGCGCTTTATTATCTTCCTGAACTGTACCATAATAAATCTGTGTTAAAAATAAACATATTTGTCATTTTTGCTGGTTAAAAATATCCTTTTTTCATCTTCGCTTAGCAAAAAACATTCATGTCTGTGTGATTTATTATCCATTTTGTTGCTTAATTATTTCAATGATCACTGACGAAGTGATTATGAAAGTATCCATGAGTATCAGCCCCAGAATAAACACATCAGGAGTTTACCGGCGTAACTCAGATGTAAGAATAAGGCTACGTTCACACTGTAGGTTATGATGCACAATTCAGATTTTTTGTTAAATCCGATCTTTTTGTGCGGTCGTTCACATTACAACAACGAATGCGGCATCAAATGTGAACGGAATGCGTCTGTGAAGTGACCCGCATGCGCACAAATTGCTTTCCGCGCCTGTTTGTGTTGTCGAACAATGGTGACGTTTGTCGCGTATTGATGACGTATAGGTCGGATGAACGCGACCTGAGCGTCCACACTGCAGTCACATCGGATACATATCCGATTTATATCCACGTACAAAAGAGGCCTGGGTCGGATTTGAAAAACTCAGAATTGCACTGTTCACACTTACATGAAAAAATCAGATATGTGTCACATATGGTTAAAAAATTGGAATTAACCTGCAGTGTGAACATAGCCTAAGAATAACTTTATTGCAATTTGATGCTTTATTCTTACTGAAAGATTAAAATAAGAATAAAAAAAGTTTTTGTTTGGTTTTGTGATGAAAAAAGGAAATAGGACAGAGGACACGCACAATGAGGTCATGTGAATCTTGAGAAAAAAGTTAAAGTCTCACCGTTAAAGCACTGGATCCATTTTCTCCTCTCATCTCTCTGGCCCCCAACATCAAACATGCTATAAAGGAGACAAAACACTGGATTAATATGTGGAACAATCAGGCTCTGCTTCATTTTATAAGATCAGAGCTGAGCGTCTCTAAATATGAATATTTACATTGAAAAAAAGGCTCCTGCGTCTAAAAGTGACACGCTTTGATCTATAAATCATCAATTAAAGGACAAATCATATGTAGAGCTGAGTTATTTGTACCCTGTGCGACCCTGACCGGATGGAAATCATCAAAGCTGAACAAGATCAAATTCACACCCAAAGGGGAGTCACGTCCTGCACTTTTGATCCTATCGATCATTCAGGGTGATATAATTTGTTACAAAGGCCTGTTTCAGGTCGGAGAATAAGTCTGTTGTGTCTGTGACTGGAAATCGGTCATCTCATGTGACATCATCACAACAGTTACGAAACATTAACTCCCAACTTTTTTTACTGGCTCCTCTGTTAACTGTGAGCGTTGGTCAATGACTCGGGGTTTACTGAGAAATCCCACCGCTCGACCGCAGAGAGTCCTTAAAGGCGCTGAGATGACGCTTCCCCCCGAGCCTCGTAAATACGGCAACAACACCCGAGAGGGAATTCCTCATTGGGATTTTTTGAACAACAATGATGCAAAAAGGAGCCGAGATCAAATGTTTTGTAAGGAGTAGGTCCCTGCGGTCACATGTGGCGACACTATGAGGTAACAGTGAAAAAGGCCCTGAGGAGACTGCTTCGTAGAAACAGGCGAGATGTTTGGTAAAAACTGGCACAGATTAAATAACACAGATAGAAGAGAAAGTATTTCATTCAGTGGACGTGCTTATGTTTCATTTTAGAAATGAACACGTCAGGATTTTACTCTTTCGTCATTTAGAACTGAGAAGTCTTTTTCTAGGCTTGATTTAAAAAGAAATTAAAGGGCCTGAAGAAGAATTGTCTTTAACATTTGTCTGAAAGAATCTCAATGCTCTTTTTTCAAGGAATATTTCTTCATTTTGAAGTATAAAGTAAAAAAAAATAATAATAATGTTCATAAAATTTGTCTTTGTGTTAATTGTTTGTGGGGAACCCCAGGGATCGCTCTGAGGGCCACTGATTTTTGTGGTTACAGATTTATGAAGACATTCTTTTTAGATAATTACTACAGTGATGTGACCGTAAAAGTGGTTTACAGCTTTCCCTGAACAACTTGGGAAATCTTTAAAAATACTTTTTGTAACAAAAAAGCAACTATCATCCATTTTCTACCACTTATTCCTGTTAGGGGTTGCTGGAGCCTATTCCAGCATCTCCGGGCGAAGGCAGGGGATACCCTGGACAAATCGCCAGTTCATCGCAATATGGTCGTCATTTTAGCAACATCATCCACTGACTTCTGCAGTGATAGCATGAAGCTCAATGACAGCAGTGGCCATATTAGAAGTACTAATACTGAGACACGTAGTTACCTAAGCTGTAAACATGTTTAATTGAGCTGCAGAGACAGAAATTTCTTAACTGGGATTAAAGAGTTTTCCTTTGTAGCTTCTTTTTGTATTGACTTCATGTTTAATCACCAGAGGCTGCTGCTTGGTGAGAACACGTCATCTTCATCATGTGTTTCTATCTGATTAAAAGTTGAGCGGCACTTACTGAAAGTTCACTTTGTCTACTTGGAACCTCGTCTCAAAAATCCCTGAAGTTAACACTCGGCAGCGTAGCAGGTCCTGTAAAAACAAGGACACAGAGACATATCCAGTTCAGTAAAATGTATGATAAGCAGGCTTTCAGAGGTGAAATCTGTACGCAGAGATGGGGGAACTGACCTGGTCCGTTGGTGTGTAGTCGTTCTGTCTTACAGAGTCAATTCTGTCAAGGAAACTGTAAAAAAGAAAAAACAGAAGTGGGTTAGTTTTTTAAAATCAGGTTTGATCCAGTTTTACAGGCTGCAGGGACGTTCAAGTCAAACATGTTCAACAGCAAACATTACTGAAGTGTCGATTAAAGACAAAAATAGCAGAAAACAAATAACAAAACAGAGAGCCAGAGCTTTTACCACACAGTTTCTTCTATTTACTCAAACCCGAGAGACGACCACATTCAATCCAATCCAATAAAATAACACTTCGATTATTCACTTTTCTTTTTCTGTATCAGCTCAAACAGTTATTAGGATGTTGATGTGAGCTTTACAGGATGCTGCAAAAGGAGGCCGCCATGTCTAACTCCTAGTTCAGGCTCAGCAGGCCGGTGTTATGGCAACTGGTCGCCACAAGAGGGCAGAGCTGCTCAGTCTGGTCTATTTTGGTCTGTCTCTAACCAGAGTGATTACATAAGGCGGTTATTGTGGAGGTTAGGCAGCTTGCTGTTGCCGTCTCTTCACTACAGAGAGAGCATGTGCAGCAGCAGCAGAGGCAGCAGCAGCCGGGCCGCTCTGCAGCACAGCCGGCTCAGGACACTTAGAGTGGGGTGGGGGGGGCACACGGTCACACAGACCCCTGGATGGTCTCAATCACATGTAAAAGCACTTCAACAATGCTGGTTTTAGTGCTAAAATCAAAACTAAGAAAAAGGTTCACCCTTTGAGGATTTCTAGATACATCATGACACAAATACTCCACATTCGTACAAATACAACTTTTCATCTATTCTTCCTACATCAGGAAATGATCACTGAAGTCTTTTCCTATAGTTTTCACTTTGCTACCTGGACTGACCTACTACAAGAGCAGAAGTGGGACACACCAAAGTTTGAAACTAACTAAGCAAAAGTTCCTCTGTGAAGAAAAGCAAGAAGTAAAAAATGATGCTTGTTTTTATGAAATAGGGATGCTAAGACCTGGATATACTTAAAGCAACACAACCTTTAATTTTCTCAAACTAAAAAGGTAGTTTATTACCTTCATCCTTCATGATTTGAAAGGAAAACTGAAACTGAATCGATGGCTTTAACTTTTAATTGTTAAAAAATTTATTCCTTAAATTTAGTTAAGTTATTCCTGTTGAAGCCGTGATTGTTACATTACAGCAGTACAATCTATCAGGGAGAAAACATGATCATGTTATTTCTATTATTGATCATTTAAGATACTGATCATACCAAAACTGATCCAACAGTAATCCTGTAATGAGGCATACTTGAAGACACTGGTCCAAAAGTTAAACAAAACAAAATAAACGGTATCAATACGCATCAAAATCATCTGATCATCAATCATCGATGATGATTAACCAGGATGAAGGAGATAGAGTTTTTTCTTTCTCTGACGTAAATTCAGGTGAAAGGAAACAGGTGCGACAGGTGTGTCTTGGCCTACAATTGGTGAGTGAGTCCAACATGTCAGAGACAAATGTGGACCAAACAGCCTGTATCACCACCCTCCATCTCTCACCCATAGTGTTTGTGTCTCCAGGATGTCACAAGACAGCCGCCACGGCCGCAGAATACCACGAACCTGATGCACATGAGATTAGCTGTTGATGGCGTTGATGGTTTCTGGATTATTTGAACCCGGGATGGTCTGTTGGTTCATTTCCAGTGTATTTAAAGCAGCACATATGGTTCACCAAATCAAATAGGTGAACTGCTCTTAAACAAAGTGTTGGTTGACAGAGATAGCCTTTATGTGCTATGACAACAAAATTAAAGTCACGACTACACTAATGCACACACAAAATAAACATTTCTCAATAAAGAGAAACTTCTTCATGATTTTAAAGTTCATCAAACTTTCTACATTTGACCTGGACCTGGTATGTGGGTCAGAGGTGGAATCTGGTATGACAGACTCCCAGACTGGTCCACACCTTGTCTTTGGCTTTCAACTTGACCTTATGACTGATGAGTCGTTATGCAAGAAACTGAACTGATGAACTTTTTAGACTTTGAACTGATCCTGAACATGAACCTCTGAAAGCCTGAACTTTGAAGATAGAGAGAGGAGTTCATGATGACTAGAAGACTAGTGACGGATTCTCAGGTTTCTGTTTGGTAAATGACTATTTTACCACAAAGATCATCTTTTTTAGACTGCTCAGTCTCTGACCTACATGTTGTTAGTCATATGATTTCTAGAACCCGACATTCTGGAACCCAGCATTTTGGAACCCAACAATTCTAGAACCAAAAAAGACAGTTTGCAGCCGTTACAATGACCACCAGCTTTATAAGAAGGTGGCATGTCTGTTATATTTACTGACTATAGAGGGTGGTCATTTACAGAGATGGGTGGTGGCATCCGCAGAAGAATCAGATCAGAGTCAGTGATGACCTTTTTCAGCCACAAGTGTGGGCACATGCAACAAGTTTAACTGGAAAGAAGAGGCAGCAGAATTTCCCACAGGTGGATGATACCTGAGCGGGTGTGTCCAGGTAAATTTAGGATCAAATTTTCCCATTTGATCCTCATAAGATAGCCGTCCACAACTCTTTCTGCTTCATCTGACACTTTTGAATTAAAGTGCAACATCTCATTAAATACAAACCGTCTCAGCCTGTCATGATCGGTGCTGCAGTGACAGATTATTTCAGTAATCCAGTGATCTATTAAGTATTATGGGGGTGAATCGATCAGAGTAAGAAATCTTGTTTGCTCATAATTTCTTTTGATTAAATGTATTTTTGCCTTTATTGCTGTGACAATGCAAATTTCCCTGCTGTGGCGCCAATAAATGATTCTCTTATCTTCTTTTATTACTAGGCCTAAATAAATATACTCTCAGTTCATTAGATCGGCTAATGCACATTTATTTACAATGCTGCAGCTCATGAACACAGCATTGACTGACATAACAGTCGCCTAAAAGTTGATCAGGATGAAGTTTTAGGAAATTTAAACCACAGTGAGTGACAGAAGGAGGGATGGAGTGGCGGAAATAAACAACAATGAGATGCATTATGGAGAAAAAAAAAGATATATGTGGCTATTCAGCATTTCTCATAACCAATGCAAAACACAGTATGCTGTATAGATGTCAGAATTTAAACAAAGTCTTGAAATCAATGTGCTTGTGTTTATAAATTGAAAACAATATGGTCAATGTCCTGTATAATCTTCTTTTCTCGGGGTAGACTGATTACTGTTCCTAACTGGAAAAGGAGGCCAATATTTCACATTATCTGTGTCAGTCTTTTATTTTACACAAGGCCGATAAAAAGTGCTGCACTACTTTGTCTCTACCGTCAATGTCTTTGTTTTTCGGGTCTGATTTCTTGCGCCACATTGTCTCACCTAAAGTTACTCCCACAACACGATCTGATTGGCTAGAATTCATGAGACGGTGTTATGTAACTGTACTGTGAGTGTTACTGCTTAACTATTAACCCCTGTATGTTGAATGTTTCATTTTTAATTGGGCATTAGATAAGGCTATTTAAGGGAGGTTTAAATGTTGACATAGAGCTTGTCATTTTTACATGTAAATATCTGTTGCTGATCTCATAAACTACTAATAACCAGTATTGGTATCGGTATCAGCTCTGAATATCAGTCAATCCCTTATCCGTCATCTTTTTTTAAAGTGATTATCATTGACTGAGTAAAATACAAAAAATTGTTGTGAATTGGAGACACATCTCCTACAACCTAAAGTGACATTATCAAATTTCACATTATGTCTGAGAAAATTAAACATATCCCTAATATCATGTTGTACAATGGCGAGCAGCACACGCCCAAAGCTTCCACGTTAGGATGAGGGAAAGTTCGGTAGTGCCATTTTCGACGTAAAAAGAAGAAACCATACTTCTGCCAAGGATGAAAACGAAGAACGACAGCACAGATTTACAGTCAGCTGATGTTGTTCCTCTGCTCTGAAGTTATAAAATGAAGAATCACATTAATTCAGTCACATAACTAATTGTGTCACATTTGTCCGTTAGAGCCTCCTCGGAGCATAGGCTCTGCACAACCAGTAAACCCAATGAACTTCACAGTTGTTGAACATCACACTCATTTCCACCGAGCAGACATAGACACTCTCATTCATATACAAAGCAGCACAACACAAAACCTCCAAAAAGAAAAACAGCTTTTGCCCCATCACAGCAACAATGTGGGAGTATTTTAGGCCAGCCTTCCTAGCAGAAACATAGCTAGGTTATAATTACTGAGCGCTTTCTGACTGCCATGTGACAGGAGTAGTATTGGTACAGAAGTGGTGAGCCAAATATAGTCTTCATATCCAGTGAGGTACACACAAAAGAACGAGGGAAGGGGAAAAAAGCAGAAAAAGATAACATTGATTACAGAGAGGCTGTTCAGATTAGGTCTTATCAAAGGGTTTAGGTGCAGTTCACAGCTCAGGTCGGGGGCTGCAAATAGACCGGCTGGGTTTGTTTCAAGTCTGAGGAAATTTGTGGTGGTTTGACTCGGTTTCTTCAATTTCCTCCCAGAGCTGCTCTGATGTGGTCGTATTGTCAAATTTGTGGATTGGAGGGATTACAGGCCGGCAAGTTTTTCCAAGTTTGTTCTGAGTATGTGAAGAGAATCCTGTAAACAGCAGTGTTCCTAAAAACAAAAAGAAAAAGGTGTACTACCACACTTGAGGAAACTTTGGACATCTACAGGGGTAACACAGATTTTTCCTGTGTGAACTGTGACCCGATCAAACCAGAAATAGACAACGTTTTTTTAATGACGTGCCATTTTGTCCATTTTGGCATCCTGTAGAGAAGCTGTCCCAGGCTAAATCAGTCAATCCCTAACCCCTAACCCCCATATGGGGTTTCACTATATAACTGACTATGTAGTGAGCTTAATTACTGGAGGTTTCAGACACTACATGGCAAGATGCAATGCACGACGGGAATCCCAACACCAGTGAGTGACCATGGGATGGTCACTACATTTTGCAATGCTCTATGGGAAATTTTGAGTCGCCTATATGGGGCATTGGAATTGGTCACTCAGGTTTCGGACACCCCTCAAAATGGCGCTAACCCCCATATAGACGCCTATACAGGGGTTGAGGATGCATTTCGGACACAGCCCCAGTGTCTTCCTGCTTCTACCATGATTGAGAATAACTGCCCTGCTGTTGAACGTCACTTTAACTCCCTGCTGTGGTCCCAATTTTTTCTTCATAGAATCTAGGGCTGGACGATAAACCAAAAATTTACAACAATAACCGACGTCATTTTGCCCATGTCAATATATTTGGTGTCAAAAAAATAAATTAAAGTTGGTTTTGGATGTGTGTAGGTAGGCTATGGTCTCATGTCCTATGTTGGAGATGCGACTCCACCCCATCCAGTCCGTAACAAAGAGGGAAAGACAGGTGAGGAGATGGAGGACGGTTCAAAAGTTGTAGCGGCTGACGTAGACGAATTTATTGTGGAAGGGGTTGAGCGGCTTGTGGAGTAGTTATCGTCCATTTATTGTTATCGAGGTGAATTGCTCAACATATCATGATATTGATTTGAGGCCATATTGCCCAGCCCTATTGAATCATTGAGGGTGAATCATCATATACCTATTATCAATCTATGAATTAAACTGTGCTGTATCATATATCACACAATACTTTATCATATTCTCTGACACACTGTAGCGGAAGGTAATGTATGGGTAAGGTAATCAATGAGTTCTACCTCAAGTACAGTTGGGTACAGCCATGACTCTTTCTGTATAGTGAATGAGACACTCTCATCGGGCAACCCAGCACTCTTCCTCTTTTAAACAGAGGATTTCACAAAAATCATATTTTGCAGTGGTCATGCGGTAGCCCGTTTCAAAGAGGGTTCTTTATTTTAAAAAAAAAAGAACCTTATGTACAGAGCGGTTGTAAATAGCTTATACACGTCTTGCAGGGGTCATCATTTTGTATTTTTCCATCGTAAAAAAACATCTAATTTGATCGAGCCATAATTCTGACCTAAAAACGGCCTCCACTCTTCCATGGTAGTTTTTCTTAAAAGGCGAGCTGAATTAAAAAACTCCCTCCACTGTTATCTTGTCTATTGCAGTCCCTCTGTTTCTGTCTGCAGGGCTGGGTCGTCTCTGTATTTAGCTAAAACACATTGTACTCGTCCTGCGGGCCAGTCTGTGTTACTATGTATAGCCTTTGTTTTAGACAGTATCACTTGACTTGGCCTGTCTCTCTGTGTCGTTAGCCTCATCTTTCCATGAAAAACCAGACGCGAGCATGAAGCCGCTCAGACACACACGTAGCAAGAACTTAACCCACACACACCGATACGTCGATAGACAGTAGATGCAGAGTGTCGGGGGGCCCTCGGGCCTCTGCCCCCACATGGTTCAGGTCACATGTTGCTGCCCATTGAGCAGAAAAGTGGAGAGAGGGAAGGTGATGCTGGTTGGAAATTGAAATGCTCACAGACATTGGTCAACCAGCTCATCTGGGGGGCTTCATCTCCTAAAACAAGCTTTCAAAGAGTCACACCAAACCAAAAAACACACAAACCTGATATATAAAGAAAAATGACAACAGCAAACAAACTGTATGTCATAAATAAAATGTCCAAAAACTAAAAAAAACAAAGTGCGCACATGTAGATATATGCTAAAGTCCCATTTGTTAGAAGTTAAGTAGGTAAAAATTCCCCCCTGACACACAGACAACCTCCCCGAACTCGGACAGCACCCAGCTTCATGTGCTCATTTGATAATTGGGTTGACTTTTTACAAATAGTGGACCATCTTTAATTAGCAGTGCAGAGAATCTGATCAATAGTTTCCATATTTTGAGCCGCTCGGGCCAGCATAATGGACTTTCACTTTATAGACTCCAACTGGCTGGTGACAGCACTCTGAAGCTCACTGCCCGACACGTTAGCAGCAGCAGCAGCAGCAGCACCGACACTCTGTGTGCAGCTGGGAAAGCTTCATCGAAATGTTGCTCAGACTTTTTCTGTGTCACACACAAGAGGAGAAATGTTCACAGTTTGAAACTTCACATTACTGCGCTCTTTTTTTATGTCTATTAGCGCTTTTAGCTGCATTTTTTGACAACAGGCGCTGTGTAAATAAAGTTTTTAAATAAATATTAATTATAACAACATTGAGCTCCACCCTAACTCACTCAAGGTTCATTGAAGCGAAATTGAAACCCCGTAGCATCAATGAAGCGCTCTTTCTGACAAACAAACCCTCTCAGGGAAGTACCGAAGCTTGTTACTAAACCTGACACTGAATAAACAGATTCAAAACAAACAAAATAAACAGGTTTTCTAATCTTGGATACAGGACTGCGCCTTTGAGTTACTGTTTGTTAATCTGCCACTAAGTTACCCAATCTTCTTCTTACAAACTGAAAAATAAAGAATGGAAAATAATTCATAAAAAGCAGTGTAACATGTACTCATTGGCGGTGCGTATTTCGGCGCTAAGTCTTTAGATGATTTCGCCCGGGATTCTTAGTCACATCTTAGTCATTTTGCCTTTTATAGTTTGAGTTTAATTTTAGTCAAAAACAACCCGACACAGTTTAGTCTTGCATAAGTCAGTAAAAAGTCATCACATTTTAGTCATTGCTTTGAGTCAAAACATTTTCTCTGGTTAAACTTGTTCAGTTAGCTGAGCGGATATTTGTATCAGGTTTGTGCGAAGTGTTTGACTCTGTAGAGCAACTTTTCGCTCTCCTTACACTTAGACTTGAATAATGCACAGGTACCTTAACGCGGCTAGAAAATTTAGTCTAGACTCGCCCTTAAAGAAAAAGCATGGTATAGAGGGATAACCTTTTCATCATGTTAAGAAACAAAACACTCTTTCTGTGGCTACTTTTTATTCCTTTCACGTCAAATATGAGTACAGTGAACATAAAGAAAAGCACTTTACTGCACTTTTTAGACGATCCCTAACTCTGCAGGGCACTAAGGCTACGTTCATACTGCAGGTTATGATGCACAATACATATCCGATTTATATCCACGTACAAAGGAGGCCTGGGTTAAAAGAATCGGGATTGACCTGCAGTGTGAACATAGCCTAAGTCATTTCACTGCACTTTTAGCTGAAGCTTCATCTTACATGTGTCCCAGTTTTGATCAACTCTTAAACATTTGACTCTCTAACACAGTGCTAAATCAAGGCTTTGACTCATATCTGTTAACAGTTCCGGCATTCAAAATGAAAAACTAGGAATAAAAAATAAAATGCACAAACTCACTGGGAGTTTACGCACACTTGTTGCAGATAAAGAATAAAATTAACACTGAACCCCGTTAAGTGCATTGCTTGTATTTTACGGACAGATTAGATGCACAGAGGAGGAAAATATCATCGATTTAAGATGCCCGACAGTTCACCACTAACATCTGAGTCTTGTCTTGTCAATGAAAACTAAACACACATTCGTTTTAGACTTCGTTATCAGCGACGTATTTTTAGCTTGGCAGAGTTTCATGTTTATAAAAAAGAAGGTGCCTGGTGATTATTTATGGTCAGAATTTTCATTAAGAAAGTCAACGCTGATCATGTTTCAGTCAAATAAAACAAAAAACAAACAATTATTTAGCTTAATTTACTTTACCCCTTTCTACTGTGTTTTATTTTAAAGGGTGTGGGAGGTTTTGGGTAGATCATCTGTCTTTGTCCTCTGAACGGACCAAAATGTCTACCTTGGCATTTCTAGCTATGCGGTGGCTGTTTTTTTTTTTTTTTTAAATCTAGATGTTCACTGTTGAGTGTTTGTGTGTTTTGTGTTGAGTGTTGTTAAACATAAGGGGAAAACATTTTATTGTACAACCTGCCTTTTTTCCCCTTAAACTGTTGATTTTAAATAAAAAGACCTTTGAACCAAGACATACAGCAAACATGGGTGAACAGCAAATCCTCGAGCTGGAGAGGCTGCACTCAAAAAAATGAATGAATGAAGTGATTTGATCATCTTTTATGATTACGTTGCTGTCAGTCAACTTAAATGAAATGTATTTGTTGCTTTATGATTTTTGTCTAAGCTTTCAACTTCTTAAAACTTTTTATACATGAAAACTATTGACATGTGGACATAACAAAACGCAACTAAATAATAACTCTTCAGTCTTCTGCTCATGAAGTCGTTCATTAAAAGGACCATTCTACTTCACTTGTCTGTCAAACTGTGGTACAATAATCATGCGTCACCTTCCTTCTCTCCCAAAGCATAACAGGTATCCTCACAAAACTACAGCCACTCCACTCAGCTCCTCACATCACTGAGCTGCTTCAGCAACAGCAGCACCGAGACAGAACGAAGGTGGAGCTGTGGAGGATCCTGGTCACCTGGTGGAAAGATCTGAGCCCCGGGTTCAGCTCATCCATCCAAACAGGAACACTGTGCAGTTTGGGAGATGGATCTGAAACTAGACGAATCCATCAACGGCTCAGTGGGTACTTCCTAAATATAGGAGCAAGAACAGGAGACACTCCTGAAAGTCAAACCAAATCTTGTGTAAACAACAGAGCCTGCTTTATCTCAAGGCCGCAAATTTGCCTTTCCAGGGCCGCATGGAGTCGAGGTTTTGAAAGGTGTTGTATAAAAATTTAGAATACATTGTGATGCCCTTTTGTCTCTGCTTAGTGTCTACCATTACATTACCTCTGCCTAAAATAGACTCGGCCCGAAAAATTCAAGCTACAATGGAAAAATGGCGGCTCTTTCAGGGCCATGTGGAGTTCTCAGTACAGTTCTCACAATCAGATCGACTGATGGGTTCCTCTAAATAATATTGAAGCTCAACATCGATACATTATCTGTCAGCTACTAAATTAGTCTGCACCAAAAATAGAAAAAGCAAGTAAAAATAGTCTGATCAACATTATCGAGCCGGTTTGGATTCTCTCGCCCGTAAACAACCGCGGCCCTCCATGTCGAATCAGTTGTTCCGTTTGGAAGTCGACCAGTGACCCAGTGAAAATGAGCTTTTCCTCTTTTCCCCTAATCAAAAGTCAATAACCGATGGCTCATATCAGACAGAGGAGGTGAGGATTGTATAAGCGCGCCGGCCTTAAAAGTTAAACTCTCCATTTACATGAACAAAAACATCTGCTGGTAGACTCTGAGTTTCTTATTTTGGGGTCTGAGCTCCTCCAGTTGAAATCGAGGAACAAGAACTCCAGCAGTGAGGCCTGGGTGCTGTTTGTGTAGTCCTCCATCCGGCCTCCGGGTGGCAGCCCTTCGCTCCTGCAGCACACAGCCTCTCTCTTCCTCACTGACCCTGCCTGCTTTTAGCAGCTGGGTTCCCATGGCAACCCCAGTCAGTCCATACCACTCCTCTTTCCCTCTCTCTCTCTCTCTCTCTCTATCTCTCTCCTCGTCTCTTCATAAGCCAGGCCGCACTTGTATCCTTCCATTCCCAGACTCTCCCATACATCAACACAAAGCAGAATGGTGCTCTGTTGCTAGCTTTCTGCACTGTAACTGTGTCACTCTGTGTATGTAAATGCGTGTGCGCCTGAGTGTGCTGGTTGGTGCGTTCGGTGGGAAGGCACAGAACATTTTAGGATTTCTTCTAAGTGCCATCGTCTCAGCCTCACAACTCAGTCACATGAAGAGGAGGAGGAGGAGGATTGTACGAATTCTTGAGAGTTGAGAACTGAACTGTTGGGGATAATAATTAAGAATTTAACAACAGGACAACAAGTCATCCAGCAGGCTTGTAAGATGGGCCTTGGTATAATAATGCATTCTGGGAAATTGTACTCTGTGGCAACTGATGGTGTTAGCACCTATCTATTGAGGATGTAGCACATCCTCTAACCCCTCTGCAAACCTCAAAATAAAAATCACTGCAGTATTATGCACGCTAGGTTGACCACTAATCAACTTACAGAGGTTTCTCCTCTAACAGCAGCAGATCAGGGTTTGGAGTAATTTGATGTGTTGGTGATTAGAAGAGTAACAGTACAGGGTAATGAGTGATTAACAGGTGAGCAGCAGAGTGACAAAATATGATCAATCTAATATTATAATACAATAATCTGATGTGAAAATACACCAAAACATGAGGATTTTCATTTATGTTACCCATCTAAATACACTGACTGTCTTCTTGTGTAGAAATTCCAGAGGTGATTGACATGTGTGAGTAAAATGAGAGTGAAAACTAGAGCCAGTATTAACATTGGAACTATGGATGTTCAGAAGTGACTCATTTTCTGGTAGTTTCAATGGGAATTTAAACTCAGACTTAAGCACACACCACGAGATAATCTGTCAGATTTAGGGTTTAGTCCCCCCTTCAGACTTAAGTCAGCAAAAGTAAGATTCTCTGATGGTTTTGAAGATCTTTTAATGCGATATTCCTGAGTTTTGAGATTTGTTTTTAGTGATTGTACTTCACAAAGATCTGCTTGGTAACTGCAGTTTCAGGCCAAACAGTATAGAGATAATATATTTGACCAACTACTAATTTTGGTGCTGTCACGCATTGATCATGATGTGTAATCATAGACTGTATATACTATGGACAACTTGGTTCCGCCTTCCACCTGTATATGGATTTGAAGCCAATAAGCTCTTTGTAATTCCACGTTTTTTCTCAATTTCCTGCAACCACCACTCGCGCAATAGCGTTGTATGCATTCAGTGGGAGAGTCACCGAGAGTTGCTGTGATGACGCTCGGCTCAAACAGCGTATCCCCCGAGTGAGCTACGCAATCTTCGTACACCCATAGGCTGTATCAAGTGTTGATCATAGAAAACATGAATCTCCTAATAACTTTTAAAAACGGAGCTTTACAGAAAACTAGTTTTACTGTAACTACATGTCAACATCGCAAGCAGGAGGAGGAAAAATTATGTTCTGTGTAATAAATTTCTGAAGTTTGTCCACAGCTCAATAAGCTTTGCTGGCAGAGGCGGGATTTATGACCTATACTGCAGCCAGTCACCAGAGGGTGCTGTTCTTGGAGTGGTTTCACCCAATGAGGAGGCAGACTCTGTCCATTTTATATACAGTCTATGTGTGTAATGGTTAGGCCGACTAATCAGAATTCTCTAAATCAAGCAGAGTTTTGTAGTTTTAAAATCTGTATAACTTGCTGCTCACAGCTGGAATCACAGTTAAATTTTTTGCATTAAATTCAAACTTACAGTTAGTTTTGAGTTTCTACATCATCCTCAAATAACCTTAATATCACTTTTGAGTTATAGTCAACTAATAGACTTTTTAAATGTCTTCAAGTTCACAATCCTTTAAAACAACACAAAATATTTTATAAAAGGATAAGAAAATTTCGCCTTTTCTTTTAAAAACTACTCACATGATTTGACAAGTTTCTGCTCATCTCAAACTGATCAATGAACTTGATTTGTCTCCGCTGTTTAGACACCAAAAGGCAAAATGAGCAGGTACATTCAGGAAGAGCATTACGCCTTTATTTAACTAAGCTGCTATGAAAACACATCAGGTGTGGACCAGAATTAAATGTCTAAATAAATATTGTTCTACAGTACAGTGTCACTCTGAAGAACCACAACAGGCATACAAAGAGGACCCGGATGTCCCCTTAACATGGCAGATTCTTCAGTCAGGATACTCCTCTATCTGGTCAGTGCGGACAAACTCCAGAATATCAGGTTGAGGATGACTGGAACCATAAATCAGCCAGCTAGAACAGCAGCAAGAGCTGGAGCTCAGTGTTTACTCAAGTTAGCCTCCATGCTAGCTCCCTCTGCCTGGCCTGATGAAACAGCCAACAGCTCGGCCTGTCTAGTCAAACAAACTGCTGTGACAGAAAAATATAAAAGGTTTCTATAAATAGCTCAGAGCCCCTTCTGACCACATTCCACAGGAGGTGAAAGTTGAAGCTTGTTTGACTAGCGGTCGAGGTGGAGAGAGACCTTTTGCCTGGGTGTGGCTGGACACAGCTAACTGCTAGGCTTAATGCTAACTGGGGCCTACAGGCTAAACAACCTGAGCTACACACACACACACACACAAACACAGACACACACACTGAGCAGGCGCCAAGGGCTTGAAAGGCCCATGTGACACAAAACATGCTAATATCAATGCTAAACACATGTGGTCATGTGCTTTGTGATGGATTTTGCACGGCTCTGAGTGTGCTGCTGCTGCTGCTGCTGCTTTCACTCTGATAGGCCGGCTCGGCAGCAACAGGGAGAGACAGTGTGGAGAGCTGGGAGCCCCTGTCATGATTAGACAGCAAAATGTCTCCTCGCGTGTCAAACCCCGCTTTGATCAATTCGGCTGCCCCTCTCTGTCTGTAGCAGTGGCAAAAATGTTCCAACTATGAGTGTGTGTGTGTGTGTTTCTGTGGAGTAGGAGGGGGGGGGCAGAGTGAGCAGGAAAGCATATGGGTGCCTTCATACACTGGCGATGATTTGTTTCATGTCAGGGCATTAATAGAGGAGAAGGTATGGCGGGGCGGCGTGTAGTCGCTCACACACACGCACACTAAACCAACACAGAGGCGTTTTGTGTCTCACCTTCTGCTACTGACCTTCCCTTTGTTTACAGCGCATTGCCGGGATACTCCCTTTGATTCGGCTGCGCACACGTGACCCTCCGCCAGTTTCTGCTCTGCAGTGCTGCTGCTAAAAATAGCCTCAGCTTGCCCTGGCTCCACAGCTAGTTTACATAAGCTCTAAGGGGGGTGGGGGGTATAGGGAGGGGGGGAGAAGGGGAGGGGGAGAAGAGGGAGCGACAGAGGGGAGGGAGGGGGGCTCAGTGAAGAGAGAAAGAGGAAGAGAGGAAGAGAGGAGGAGGAGGAAGAGGGGGGTCTGTGGACGACCATTCCACAATCTCTGAGCAGGGAACCTGCAGCGCCACTGCTGTCCTCCAGCAGTCTGTGCCTTTACACTCTGGTCAACAGCAGGGTGTATGTGTGTGTTAGAGCGAGGGAAAGGTATGTGTGTGTGTGTGTGCGCGTGTGTGTTTGTATACTGTATGTGTGCAGCCAGCACACAGTAACAGACTCGCAGATATCCGCCATTCACCAGCCTCGCTCTGTGTGTCTGCGTCTGTCCTTAAAATGGACGCACATTTTAACCCAAAAATAAAAATCTATTTTTAGACACCATTCTCCTTCTTTAAGAGGGACATAAATTTCCACTTTTCTCAGCTGCACAACATCAAACGTCAAGGACACTCGACTAACAATTAAAGCAGCTTTAACGTGACCTGATCTGGCTAATTTGATCAACATGCTTACAGGAAGTGACTTTTTTGTGTCTCTTCATACTTTGTGATACATATTTAGACAGTCTACCTTTTATTTCTATGAAGAAATGCTCGCTTTAATGTGCGCTCCAACTCACCAGCTGAATCACACACAGACATTTAGAGCCTCTGGTCTCTAGTAACAAAATAAAAACAAACTGGTGGTGTAGCCAATCTTGTGACATGTAGCATGCTATGCTAGGCAGCTTAAGGCTTTTTTTTAACTCTATATATCAATGTCCTGCAAGAGCTCCTGTCTAAATCTCATATCTATAAGTTTGCACATCAACTGTATATCAAAACAGTTTACGTAGAGGTGACATGCAGTATTATATCCTTCTAAAAGCTTTGTACCAGCTTTACGTCGTTTTCAACTTAAACCTAATCCATTTCATTCCAGCTACTGTCCATTTAAAGCCCTTTTAAGCACTCCAGGACCCTCTTCCACTGTTGCCATTCTACTAAGTCATCAACAACACAGATTTTTAAGTTCAAAATAACAAACTGGAAATTATGGGTGTATGTTTTGTACCCAAAATCTGATCAGACAGTTTGGCAAAAGACAAATGAAGCCACAGCAATAACTACCAGATCAGTATACGCCCTTATAAGGAGATTCATCATCAGGTTATGCCTTGTTCTCAGCCTACAGTCTCACTATGTGGTTACCCCAACACACCCAACGATTTGAACTTTACCCACATTCGGTATTAAGGGGGTGTGATTCTAACTAAAAATCTGTGTTGTTTTTGTTCGTTCAGTGTCGTCTTCATTGTGGAAAAAAAAGGAGCGTTGACGTCAACAAAAACAACACTGCTAAAAAAATGTTTATTTAATATATTTTTATAGTTATATTTTGGCGCAATTTTTATTAGACAGGACAGCTGAGTCAGGGAATGTTGGCGCAGACGCCCAGCAAAGGATCGTGGGTGGGAATCCAACCAGCAACTTCTGCAACAAGGGCTATATCCTCAATAGATGCACTGGCACCCCCTTATCCCAATATTTTGTATGTTCAAAAAAATAGTTTGCAACAATAACCATATGGTTTAAGTAAAACTCTATTACTCAAATACTTCCGTCTTAACAAGTTATTTGAAACCATCTTTTATGATTCTTCAATTTGGCATCACGTTCTTTATAATCGTAGGGTTTGGGTTAGATGACAGTGTTGGATATTTTTCGCTCTTTTTGTCAGGAGGTGCTGGTTTGCCATGTGGTTTTGTTTTGCTGCTACCTTAGCTGATTGGTCCTGATCGGCTGATGACACCTGAAGCTTTTCCTCGTCTTCGTATTCTGTGCTGTGCTCAGTTTTCAAATGGTAAAACAAGATAGCTTTTGATCTGCATGTGTCCAAACTTGATCGTATTGTACACCCAAAGTAAGCACTGACATCAAACATTTTAACTTAGTATGTCTGTAAAATATGAAAAAAAGCACAATAGTAACTTATAAATACACAGAAAGGACATTAAAACTAAAGTATCACTGAATCTCAGGCCCTACGGTTGATCTCGAAGTGTAACAGGGTTCACAAACTCACTCAAAGAGAGACTTCATGTAAGAAGCGACATGTGTTCTCATGTGTTCTGCAACATCCTCTCTGCTGTCTCTGCCTGGCCTCTAGAGAGGACCAGATAGATAGACAGAGAGAGAGGGGGAGAGGGAGAGAGAGCACGAGGGACAGTGGGGGAGAGAAAGAGAAAGAGAGAGAGAGAAAGAGAAAGAGAGAGAGACTCCCACAGGGGGCTCTAACAACCTTAAGGACAGTGGTTTGTGTGGAAGGAGTCCCACCGAGCTTCCAGTAGATCAGATTCAGCAGTTCAGCTCAAAACCACTCCTTCCTTTTCCTCGGAAATCATGCACACAAACTCACATCGACACACTCGCAAACATATTCACACACACACACAACAACGCACACGCATTTCCATAGTGCCCCCTTTGATTATTCCTCAGTCAGCTGATAGCAGGGTCATCTGATTTTAGCAAGTGACACAAAGGTTTTTGTTAATCTGGATTAAAGTCCTGTATGAAGTTTTATTTACATATACGTCCTTGTGGCGATAATCTTAAGTGTGCTTTGACATTTGAGTTAAGATCATCTTTTTGAAAAGGCTGGAGGCAGGGACACAGAATTATCTTGAAATAGAAACAAATATTCAACAAATTGAACCGAAACCATTTTATCTATTTTTAAGAGTTTGTTTACTGAAAGTGGCTGAAGCAGTCAACAACAAAATCAAAGCTGAATCAATAGAGTTCAACATACATTTAAAGACAAATTTGCTTGTTAGGGTTTTTTTTTTCTTAACGTTTTTTTTTCACTTATGAAGCAAATTATTTTACTGCTACATCACTCATCATTTCTTTGTAATCAGTTTTAATTCAAAGATCTTACACTCTAAACAAGATCACATTTAGATATTTACAGATAGCTTTTATTCCTTTGTTCTCCATGCCTGTCACAGTCTGCTTCATGTTACATCTGCCCATTTCGCAGAAGTACAAAAGTACTAAAAAGTACTTTGCAGTAAAAGAAAATCCGCCCTTTAAATTTCTAAATTTGTGAGAATAGTTTTTACACTGATTTATGAGCACTCACAGAACCTAGACCTCTTCACCATCATCAGCTTCTTCCCTCTGTGTCACACTGTGTACATGAAATCTGTTTCAACATTCAGAAATGAAGCACATTATCAGTGACAGAAAAAGGCAGCAGTGACATGCAGCCGGTGTATAAATATCGCTCTCTCGGGCTCTTCCGTGAACAGAAGAGGCTCCTCATTGAGGAGAGCCACTGTTTGCAAAGCGTAGCCCCTCTGTTTCTGTAGGCCCTTCAGGGGCCGGGGCTGGCTGACAATGCCGGCCATTCTTAGCACTTTACTGCCTCAGATGACTGTGTCAGTGGCCCCCAGGCTGGTGACAGAGTCCCGTGACCAGCATTACATCCCAGCCCCAATCTAAGTTGAGGACTAGTCCCAGCCCTGATTATGCCTATCCCCAGTCCCATCTCCAGGACCTCAAGATTTCTGGGTATTCCAGCTTTGCCTCTCAGTCCTGAAAAATCTACAACATCCTGACGTGATAAGTGATGAGTCGACCGACTTTAAACATCTGGGATGCATTAAGTTTTATTTACTAAAGAACTGCTTTAACCTGCTTCAAGTGAATCTTTACAATGTGGAGAACTTTTGAAACCCTGAAAGCAAAAACGGAGGGTTTAAAGGTTTTAAAATACTAGCAGAGAAATACTACACTGTTCTTCTTTTGTTTTTTGTCGTATCATCACAAAATGTCCGTCTTTTGAAAAAGAAACGAGGCAGGACGCTGAACATCTCAGCATAAATTATTTCATAGCAACAGTGACTGGTAGATCTGTCAGTTTGGTTATTATCAATAAAGTAATTTTCTTCTATTTTGATTTACAAAAACACAAACTATATATTGAAACTACACTTTTCTGCGCATCATAGCAGAATTCATATCAAACACTTAGTAGTAACTCTTCAGACAGATCTGTTGTTATTTAGATTAAGAAAAAGGTGATATCATTTAGAAAAGACAATAGACAGTAAAGAAATTTACTCCATGCTAACTCAGCTCATGTTACCGCAATCACAACAGGTAACTCAAACCACAACATGAAAGAGAACCCGCGGCCAAAAGAAACTTTCCAGCTTATTTTGTTTCTGGTAAATTTCCATAAGAAGCAGGATGGGACATACTCAACAGGAACTGTAGTCTTGTAGATGATGTAGATAGTGACTCTGCATGAGGTAAAGTCTACAAGAACCTAAAGAGTGGCACAAAAGGTTATTAAATATGAGGAGGTGTCGGACTATAGTCTCTAAAAGTGAATCCAAAGTGTGCTGTCGTGTGACCAGCGACAGAAAAGTTGTGCCATCCTGTATGTTTTGAATTCATGCATGTATTTACTGTTGTGTCTGGTGTTATTACCATCAACTTGAGACAGGACTGTGGAAGATAATAGCAGAGGGGGGGGTGATCATTTCGTTTGAAAAGAAAAAACGTGGCCAAATTCAGCGTTCTCATTTCAAAACTGAACAAAAACAGCAGAAGAAAACAGATCCTATTGTCTTGTTAAACAACAACAATCCTATTTTAATGTTTTGCCCTCGATTAAATGCTTCGGCTCTGAAGGTGCAGTGTGTAGAAATGAGAATGTTTAATGATATTTAGCAGTCTGACCCCCTTGCTCACTCCTCCCATCAATAAAGAGATGGTGGCCTTCATGGACAAGAAGCTTCTGTGATGCCTGATAGGTATGATCCCAAATTTGTCACGATTTTAACTTTAAAAAACATGTCTACCAATACACATTATTTTGCGCACATCAAATACTGTCTTCGTTTACTTTATGCATTTCTGAAAATCAACTCAGTGAATACAAAAACAGGTTTGTTTATAGTTTGCTGGTTCTCTGTCACATTAGAAACATGGGGATGCAAAATGGCGGCTTGTAGAAGGGAACTTGCTCGAATGTAGATTAAAAAGGCAAAAAGCTAAATAGTAAGTTTGAACACAGACACAAATATTATTATATTATTATTATCATTATCATTATTTTTATATTATTATTATACTATTATTATTATATCTATTTCTACTTTAATGGGAAGCTTCTGCAAAACTTATCAACCTTAATGTGACTTTATCACTTTTTTATTTCTCAAACACTAAATTTCACATTTACTACATTTACCATAATCGCTTGTGGATTGGACCAAAAACACGGTGTGTCCCGAATACGCTGCAATCTTATGAGTTCAAGTTATCAAGGTGAATGGTCGGCCATAAAACGAGTACAGGAGGTAAAACTTTTTGAGGTTTTAAACATATATGATCTAGGGGTAAAAAGTCAGTTTTGAGTAATGCTCAGTAATTTCCTTGCCTCGTTTTTCAGTAGGTGTTCAAAATTCGGGGCTGCTCTCCTCTGGCTCTCCTGTTTTCACAAAGGGAGCGCCATACTATCCCAGACTGAATCTAACGCTGTTTCACAACCAACAATCACACACTGCAGCAAGTTTAACCATAATGTAGCTTATATTCTAAAATCTTAGTGTACTAATTGTGTCATATATTCTACCAGACTGCATCAAACACTCACCGTGGAGGAAAAATGAAAAAAAAAAAGCAGCAGGCCTGAGAGTTTGGATTCATTTGCGTGTGAAAAGGTGTTTGATTTTGCCGTTGACACATCCAAGGCATTGCAATGGAACCAGCCCACCGCTGCTGAAAATAGCTCCTAATCAATCAACTGGCAGACACATATCTGTGCTCTTAAAACGTATAAATGTGCAATGCAGAGGGCAGATCAATGGGTGACAGGATTCCAAAAGCATCAATATGGACATGCTCTTTGGCATAACAAGCGCTCGCCATCGGCACATACTTATTTCCTGTGCCTTTGTCCGATGGGCCGTCCGGCGTTCGGCCTGCTGGAAAAAACATCTGCCAGGGCAGCAAGGTCTATGAAGGACAACACAAACCAACAAGCAGAGGTGTACATCTAAAAACAGACTAATTTTTACCTCTGATGTGATTTTGTTGAGCGGTTTTAAAGATTGTATTTCTATTGTGTTTGACTGTTCGCACGTAAGGTCATTGCCTGCCAATCTGTTCCTCCCACAAGCAACCACATGTAGGCCAGCTTCCTCTTTATTTTACTCCCAGAGTGGCTGCAAGAACTTTTATCACATTCGTAATCCAAGACATGGGCGTAGACATCGACACAGGTCTGTGGAACTTAAGAGGGAGCGCAGGTGTGGAGAACTAAAATAAAAGAAGAAATGAAAGCTTGCAGGAATGACTCTCAGGACGAGCACTGAAGAGAGGAGGCAAAGGAGCAGGTGATTATGGAGAGACCACAAACTTTCTGCAACAACATCTCCGTTTGAATACAGCCTGAGTCAAGCCTTATGAACTCTGCTCCCTTTCTTTTTGCCCAGTTGGCCACTCAGGCCGTCTATCGCCACTTATTCCACGTTAGACACTGGGAACGGCGCAGTGTGGTGAATAACAACAATAGGTGTGTGTGTGTGTGAGTGTGTGTGTGTGTGTACAGTATATTTATGTGTGTGTTTGGGGCCTTTACACACAGACAGGTCTGCTGCCATGTAGGACAGAGTATCTACAATTCATGCCCTCCATCCACACGGTTCATTCAGAGGTTAAAAAGAGGGGAAGTAAGCGAGAGGCCATGCCGTCTGACAATTTCCAGACATCAATCAAACAAAGATGGGTGATTTTTTTTTCTTCTTTTTTAGGTAATAATAAAGTATTTTCCGTCAATTAAAAGATTACTTACTTTTTTTTTCACAGCAACAAAAAAGTTCGAAAATTACCCCCAGACAAAGAGACAGACATCAGCGTCACAACACAACACCTAGCAAACAACTAAACCACCACTCGAGCAGGAAAACCACAAAACTTCTGACAAATCAGAAACAACTGAAACGGCAGTTTCTACATTAGACATGAAACAACAACAAACTGTAACTTTTTCCATGTCATCCTTTCAGCCAACAGGAACATTTTTCTTTGTGAGAAGTTACTGACCTTAAATACAAAAGTCCTCAAGCTGTTAACCAACCAAATAACCCAGCTGTGCTAAACACTTGATCCTGGTTGGTCAAAACCAACATTACAAGGGTGACTCTTGAATGCAAAAGCTACAGCAGGGTTAACCTGATCACACACGTTATAAAAAAAAAAATCACACTGCCTGTTTACACTGTGGCAAAAAAGTAAGTTTGTCTTAGTCTGATGGGTCAGCTTAGGAGAGAGACAGGAATTACAGGGACAGAGAGGGGGTTGATGTGATCCCGGGACCAGTACAATGAGGACTATAAACCTGAGCCTAATCAGCCCTCCAAATGTCAAATATAGAAAGTGGTGCTTAATCTTGAGCATCTTATATATCTTTAAATGATCTAGTGTTGGGCGGTATGAACAAAATCTTATATCACAGTTTGAGTAATTTCATATCACAGTAACAGTATCACCATGTTTTTTCCAGTTGTAAATTCAATTAATGGCTTAAAAATAACAATACTGTCGCATTTGTTCATTTTCCTTTTATTTTTAAACTTGGATTTGTAAACAAACACAAACAAAATGTCAGACTAGTCCGGCGATTTTTTATCATATGGCATATCTTTGGCGAAATAGTCTGCCAAGCTCTTTTGTATGAGAGGAGCTGCTGCAACTTAAGTTTTTGGTGCAGCGGATGCGTCACGCATCTTTTGGCTCTCATAATAGAGTTTGGCGTGTTTTATCTTCAGGTGGTGGAGGAGGTTGCTGATGTTTCCACCTCCAGCAACGACAGCCACACGACACTCTTTTCATAGTATTGTTTTTTGGTCATTGTCGGATTTTCTACATCCGAAGAATCTACAGACAATCAATGTTGGTTGCACTTTTTCGGAACAAGTTCTTCCTCATGTTGGGTTGGTTGGGCTGCCTCCGTTTGCTCGGTACTGCCACTAATCTCCGCGTCCGCCATGACCACCACCAGTGAAGCGGCTTCTTCTTCGTAGAAACTATGCCAAGCAGTCGATTGGACATGCTTGTGATAATAGGGAGCGCATCCAAACCTGACCAATCAAATGGAGTGAACAAACTCTGCACGACACGCAGGTGAATATACAGAAATGCACCCAAACGGACGCACTCCAGCTTTCCTGTTAGCGTAGACAACTACACACTGACTCAGAGAGACGCAGCAGACGTCTGCTCCCTTTTTCCGGTATAAACAGAATAGCAAAATTTCCACCGGTAGACACTTTTATACCGTCATACTGCCCAACACTAGACTGATCCATGACTGTTCTCTTGTGTTTAAACCCACATCCACACTATAAAATTTTGTTTTCATTAGCTTTTTAACTCTAATGTACCGATGTGTACTGAGACAGGAAAAATTAAGCACATATAAGTGAAACAGGCGGTGATAACAGCAGAAATATCTCCCCTGAAACATCATTTTATATCACAGTGTATTCAAATGTGATGCCTGTATAGTAACACATACTGTATCGCTGTATTCTTGCTGATACACAGCCCAGTAGAAAAGTGTATGCTTTTCACTGTCTTCATTTTGCTCTGTTAATGTTTACTCATGTCACAGGACAGCTGTATTATCAGTGCCTCTGCCAGTTGCAAGCATCAGTGGTTTCAGATCTTACAGTGCAGAGAAGTGTATATTCTCTGATTTCAGCACTCAGAGGAGCGCTGCACTGACTGACATCTAACAGAGTCGTTCAGGAAGCAAGTTTGAAATGTTTATGATTGTGGGGATATTATGTGGCATCATTATGAGGTCGGATTATTGACTAGAATAATCACAAGATGCGTTTTTACATATTGTGAAGCCGCACTGCAAACAGACATGGACTGAGTCAGAGCAGCAAAGACAAACACAGGCCTTGGACTGTAACAGCTCCACCTTACAGATTCATGTGACTCTCCAACCATCACCTGACTGTCTCCTCTCTATGGAAGCTGCTGTCAGGCAGGGAAACCGAGGAAGACCTGACCTCAAGTCAGATTTATGTTCAAGAAACGGAAGATATTCAGGAAAAGAGTACAGAGACTGATTGTCTACGTGCTATACCATCTTTAAAACATCTCAACGCTATACCCATGGAGCACAGCTCTAAAAAACAACAACAACACAGTATTCCCAGTCACTGATAAAGTGTGCCTTTGACCGAAACCCTGACAGATAAAGGGAGCCAACCTTTGCGATGGGAGGGGACAACTCCCAGTGGGCTGCACTTCTGTTCGTAACATGTACATGTCCTCATATTTACATGTGAATCCAGAGGTGAGTCAGAGAGGAAGCAGAAGGAGAGCACTGTAATCAGTGAGTCACTTTACATATCCAAACTTCCTTTTACAGGCAAGAGGAGGGCTCCTCTAATGTGTACAACCGGCACCCTATAGTGGTCCGAGAACCTGCAGGAGGCCTCCAAACAATCCCAGGCATCAGTTTGGACTCCTTACCACACATGCAGTTATCAGTATTACCTAACTGTGGTATCAGGAGTGCAATTGTGTGATACAAAATCAAATCTTGACCCACATAACTTTTATCCAACCTTCGAGACACTAAAATCTACTCCACATGTAGGCTGCTCCACCACAGCTGAGCCTGAAATAACACATCCAGACTTTTTACAGCATTATTATTATTACATCCTCACACGTGTTGGCCGGCTAAAGTTACATCAGTACAATTCCAATGAATTTAACAATCAGGCCGTATCAGACTTTGCATATCGCCATGGTGACGTGATAAAAGCCGTCATAAGGAGATATATGTAGAATTTTCCAAAGCACTAACACAACTGCTGCTTGCCTTGCCACACCCAGAGTAAACATATCTCAGCCGTATTCATATATGACATGACACCAGCACACACCGCAGAGCTTACAGCCTTTAAACATGACACAGAGGACGGACAAAGCAGGGACGTGACAATAGTGTACAGGCTGTAAAAAAAAAAACACACTGTCTCTTTCTCCCTTTATTATAGCTGCAGGAGTGACCTATTACATAATGTATGTAGTTGTGAACATTTCTTTTTCTAATGTGAAAGTTTCCAAGGCCCAAAATCATCCCACTAAAAGTCTATTAAAGTTGGTGAACTCACTATTGTGCACAGTCGATGAGCTGGTACTCATTGGACCTCTCAAAGCACGCCTTCACTCCTTCGTCGTCCCACAGCTTCTTTGCGTGATCAAAGAACTCCTGCGGAGAAAAGACAGAGAAATGTTAAGAAACAGACTAAACACATGTACACTTATTCATTCAAAACTTTAAGCAGTGTCATGATGGAAGGGTCAGGGGGCTTGATTCATTCATAAATATACAGAGGAGGCTGTCTCAAAAGTTCAAACATTACTATATTGTATTTATACTTCATTTAGACCTACCTATACTAAAACCATGCCTACTAGCTGCTGTGGGCTGAAGGGTTTTGCAGACATCGACAGAAAAGATCAAAAAGATCAGCAAAAATCTCTAAGAGCACTTTGAGAAGATTTGAAAGTTGTATCGTATGAGGACTTACACTAAACTGTAAAAACAACACTTTGCAGACCCTAAAATTTACAGCCTGTCGCTTAAATGTTGTCGAAGCTCTCACTCCATGACAACAGGATAGATAAAGATACAAACAAACAATCTAATGGAAAATTATATTGCCCATTTTGTATATACAGTACATTTTCCAAAGACTAGTCATTTACAGTGTCCCAGCCAAACCACATGTCCCACTTGCCGTTTCACGCTTCACTAACAGTCAGAGGTGTGTCCAGGGGGTGTTCAGGGGTGGACATGAACCTGTTGAAAGGAGATCAGCCACCCCAGAAGACACTCTGAGATCCTAGACTTCATTGGCTATTTCCCCTATCAGAGCAGAGTTTAGGACGTAAAAAACTACCACCACAATCCTAAAAAAATCAAGACAAGGTGTTAAGTGTTGGTTAAAAAAAATGGATGGTTTGCATATTATTAAAGCTGTGTTTTTACTTAAAAGTGGTTCAAAAACAAAATATTTTTCTGTTTATATGTTTATATTTGGCTCCATTTTGGCACGGTACAGTTATAACCTTTATTTATGGATGCAGGGACAGATAGGGGCTTTTGGATGCGATAAGGAGCCCATGCAGTGATTTCTACTACAGAGTCATGTCTGTTTTTTAATGCAGTGCTGCCTAAGGCCCGATAGATCACAGCCATGATCACAACGCTGGTAGCCAGTTTTGAATCCCTCAAATTCTCTGAATCTTCTGACGTAATGTACATCATAAAATCTAAAACTCTTTCAAGTTTGATGCCGAGGAATGTCGTTACGTAATTGTTCAACAGTTTGCTCGTTTAGTCTCTAACAGAGTGGTGGACCTCTTCCCATCTTTAAATATGAGATTCAGCATCTGGGGAATTCCCTTTTTTTACCCACTCATGTCACTAACCTGTCACAGTTTGATCAATAGAGTAGGAAAGCTGTTTTTAGCTTCACACAACTCTCTTTTTTAGCTTTTTTTTTAATGTGTTCCTGACATTATATTTATAAAGATTATACATTTTTCATACAATAGTAATATTTTCAGTTTTACCTTATTTTATTTTTAATTAAATATGTAGAAAACTGTTTTTCTCTTACAGTATTTGGGTTGTATTTGAGCTGGGTTGCAAAATGCTGCTAAACACTGTCTTTACATTTCAATTTTAGCACATCTCCTTCTGTTAATCCGTATATTATGTTTTTTTAAGTCATCAAACATTGAAGCTAACAGTAATGTTAAATCACTCAGATATGTTACTTTCTAGCATAAGAAAACAAACAGAAAAATAAAACCTTTAAGTGATATAACTATAAGAAGTTAAAGTAAATATAATCAGTGGAGACAGAGAGGGTGATTAAACACTTTTTATACTTCATGCCACCCCTGCTTATAGCACATAAAACACACATACTGACTGCTTCAGACTGCCTTGCTCAAGGAGCGCTCAACAGCAGCAGCAAAGACAGTAGCAGGAAATGTTACTCAACAAGAATTAGAACCATATGTGACTTAAACACATGGGTCAACATTTTAGGAAGTAAACTTATTTGCTTTCTGAACAGGTTTTTCTCGTCTGCAGGATACATATGCAGCTGGAGTGGAGATGTGTTTAGCCTAGCATAGCCTGATAAGATGGGAAAGCAGCTAAGTCTGACTCTGCATGTCTGAGGTGGAAAAAAATGACAGTAGATGCTTGTGGTAACCATTTCCTGGTTTAAAAAAAAAAGCCAGGTTTTGGCCTGTACAGGAAGTTCGAGTGAAACCTGTGCTCATAGACCCCATGTAGCAACCTGTGCTACAGCCAGAGAGGCGGCTTAAACATGCTGGGTTTAAGTATGATGTAAGTAGAGGAGCAGTGCTGGCTCTTTTACTCTGTTTTTCATTATTTAAATAAAAAGTCATGTTAATGAATGAGACTTTAAGAGCCTGGAAGTCCTCTTTTTCCTTTTGGATAGAGCCAGGTTGGCTGCTGTGTTGATGCATCCAGTCTTTATTCCTGATATGGTAAAAAGTGGCCCTTGCAAAGTCAAACTAAAACTAATCTATCTCCTAAAATTGGGCTTTCTAAGGGGAAAAATGGCACATCAGACTTTAAGTGTTTAAAAAAGAAAAACAATGGCGAGAGGATGAAATAGAAGGAGGCTAAATAACCAGCTAACTAGTTTGCCTTTGGTGCTGTAAAAATGTCAAAATAAAAGTATCATAAGTCACTATTTTATGATATTACCTCTTCCTTTAAGAGGCAACACAAATGGGGGCTAACATACACTAGCCTTTACCACAGTGTGTGGCTTCTACAGGTCCTTTTCCTTTTCGAACCTGTATCCTGTCAATACAAGCGTTCACATCAGCGATGTCTTCCCGTCCTGCAATATTGCGGCATTTTAGTTTTCGATTTCTCTAAAGTTTTGCTTACTGTGTGTCCACTTCTGACCAATCAGACTGCATGTTGTTGCGACGTCTGATTCACTGGTATATCCAACATGGCTGACCGGCTGATTGTTTACGTGTCAGAGAACAAAGTGCTTTTTGATAAAAAACACAAACATCACAAAGATAACGACCCGAAGGACAACTTGTGGAGAGTCATAGTGTCGGATTTCTCATATGACGATGGTTTGTGTGCTTTAACAGTTTGCTAAACGTCTTTGTTTTAACTTTCATCTGTGCTAAGTAACTTTAGCTCGTAAGCTAACCTGTTCAGATACAACATACATACGGTATATCTATATTTGCGTCGGTCCCGGTGTGTAAGGACCTCACTGCAGCGCAAATCATGCTGGACGTGACTGAGCTGCAATAAGTCAGCAACGGCATGTTCGCAGAAGAAGTTGATGAGTTTCTGCCACCAGGCCGTTAACACACAATAACTAACTAATAACACAGAACTTGCAAACGGATGATGACGTGTAAGTAAATTTAATTTATTAGATAAGTTTATGGAGTAAGTTTTTCCATCAATATTGTGATAATCAAAGATAAGATGCGACAGCTCCGATCTAAAACCATACATTTCTGGTCAAGCGCTCTTTCTTCTCTACTGTAAGATAAGGCGCCAAAGGTGGCATGTTTGCATGTTATGACTGAAAACTGCACTATATTACCAACACACCCGCAGAGCCAGAATCCATATGCATGTACATTACTGTCAAAGACAAGTCCTGAATCGAGAGCGTAATGGGGGAACTCATCTTGTCAATGACTTTGAAACATGTCCTAAGACTCTCTGATTGCCCTGAACAAAGATGATGGGGCTAATATCCCTTGTCGCCTCCTGTGCACGTGTCTCACTGATGGGCCTCTCCTCTAGCTTGGAACAACCACATGACTCTCTGCTCTCAGCACTGGCTCTGCGAGAGGGTTAAAGTAGCCCCAAACCAAAGGGAGAAGAGGGGAGAAGCAGCCTGATAAATGATCACATGCTTCAGGAGATCTCTTCTGAGCAGATCCGGTGATTAGCTTCAACATGGAAGGAAATCCACCGATCTGGTCCACATGTCTCGCACAGGGAGAAATTAGCATGTGTTTACCTTTTTTTGGCTCAGATAAATATAGACTCAAGCTCCAGGCACAAGGCAGAAATAACCCTAACACTGATGCTATCATATCAACACTTTGAGCCAAAGTAGCATACATTAACACATTATTTTTAATTCCAACAATTACAGCTCAGGTTTTCTGTGACAGCGTATACCTGCCGCACCAAACTCTGACTGAAAATGGGGCCATATTTGCTCTCTCGCCTGTATTTGCTTTCACTTCTCATGCAGTCGAACTTTTAAAAAAGCCACCTCGACTAATATCAACAAGACTCAACAGCGCCGATTACATTCTTATTGCTATTAGTTCTGCGGCACTCGCCAAATTTCTACACCAGCAGACATGGAGGGGACTGTGGAAAGCAAAAAAAGAGAGAAACTAGTGAGCGATGGGACTGGATGAAGGGAGAAGGGTGGAAGGGGCAGAGAGAGAGAGGGATGGGGATGGGGGGGGGGGGTATGGTCCTCAGGGCTCTTTTCCACAGAGGCGTGTGACACTGGGCCTTTGAATAAATGCAGTGTGTGCTGCAGTGCCCTACAGAGGAACTGATAACACACAAAGAGACCAGGAGGGAATTTGCTTTAACACAAGCTTTTTTAACTCTTTCCTGAGAACTCCCTGCACTTCATCCCCCCCCCCCCACACACACACACACACACACACACACACACACACTTTCATCACCAGCAACAAGATGCTCACGTCTCTGTTAGCGGTCGGTGTGCTCAGACAGAGTCTCCGTCCTCAGCGTCTGTTGCACTGTAATCAGGTTGGTGCATGATGTAATATTGCACTTGGAATCATATAGGTCAGGCTGACACAGAAAACAAAATAGCCTGGATCTGATTTAGCGAACGGCTTGTATCAATGGCACGACAGGATTTCTTTGAGTACAGTTTAAAGGGAACATCCGCCCTGACAGCCAAAACCCATCCACATGGAGCCAACCAGCGAGCTCCTTGGCTAACCATCGTCACTGCTCCTTCAGATTTAAAACCAGGGCTGTCATAATATACTGGTTGTGACAAAAACTGTCTTTTAAGACGAAAATATTGATGTCAGAGCTGCTGCAGTGTATCTGCATTCATTCCTGTGAATTCAAAAACTAATAAGTCTAATACACTGAATATTTGTACTTCCTAATGTTTTTATTAGCCGTTTTCACACTGTTCTGTAACTTATAATTGACTGGAAATAGCATTCAAGTCATTTCAAAATAAAAGCTTTTTTTTTACAAAATAGGAAGTAAGACAAATAAAATGCAAGACAGTAAAAAATTTAAAATAAAAGCGTCACAAACAATCATTTCAGAGGCAATTTCTTCTCTGTTCCCTTAGAGTTCCCTAGCCAGTTTGGGTTTTTTTGGATTTTGCAAAAATATGGGGTGTTTGTGGACTACCTGTGAGACTACACTGACCACAAAACAGAGTATTATCACCTTGGCTCCATATGAAATGAGGGATTCAGGTCTCCTCACTGACCTTGATGGTTAGTTCGACTGATAGCAAAGTTTTTAAAAAATACTACAATAGTATAATTACTAGGGATGATTTTTTGGTTGACTAAATGATTGACAGTCATCAGAAGTCGTTGGTTACTTGAGGTATTAATATTTTGATAACTGTAAGTCCATAGTGTCTTTTGCCTTTGACAGGGGTGAGGGATAATGCCTTATTTGAGACCAAATCTGCCCTAGTTAGGTGTCAAGTTTTACTGTTATTGCAGTTGAAAACAACAGATAATAATGGCAAAAAAGGAACATAAGCAGAGGAACAAGGGAGCGGCAGTTCCAGACGGATCATCTTCCATAACATGGTTTAAAATCAGAGCAGCAGCAGCCCTCCATGCCACCCTTTGTCCCATATCGCAGATCCTCAAGTTATCAACTGGAGGGAAAAACAAACTTCCAGGACTGAGGCTGTTCATCACGAGGAAACCAACGAGAAGCTTACAGCTGGAGAGCGCGCTATAAAGGTGTTACCCTGATAAACAAAAAGCCGGTCATGTTCTGTGATAGGATGTCAAAGTTAATGGTCGGTTTGCAAACTGACATCAGATAACGTTAAATTAGGTCACAGGGAAGTTTTAAACCTTTCCTTAGTGCAGTAATTCTGTACCAACACACTAAAATAGATCAGTTTAACATTGGGTGGGGCAGTATATTATTCAAATCTTGGATTTAACAATGGCTGTCACTCATAACACGAAAATAATACCGTGGAACTGATCCTAGTTTTTTTTGTTGAGAGTGTACATAAATGAACATAACAGGTCTGATCAGTAGCTACACTGACCTGCTTGTTGAAGCATAAGAGAAGACAAGATCACAGGTTGGCTTTGGCATGTTTTATGGAGAGAAAGCCACACCGTGCTCACACAGGAGCCAGGCCTCATTTGAATTTGCTCCACTTCAGATACACATTCACTGCTGGGTGGCTAGCAAAGCTACCACAGTGGCATTTGTTTCCATTTGCATAGACGACCGTTTGTATCAGTGCTTTCTTTTCCATGGGCCTACTGTTATACCAAGCTGCTACAAAAAAAGGGACGCTTTGATGATCAAGAGTACAGTCCACTGAAGCTAAGCCTGTCGATTTACATGCACAACAAGGGAAGAGTGTTGTTTTGCAACAGTCTCTAGTTAGGAGGGCCAGAAAAATTCATTTCCCTCTGGGAATCTATAAAATATTATCTTATCTTAAAAACCCAAAATTGAATCTGTAAACTAATTTCTTTCACATATCTCAAACTCTTGAAGTATCTTTTGATGTTTGATGGCTGTATTTAAGAATTAACTGTAACAACATAGAAAATTAAGATATTTAATGCAAGTTGGACAACAGAGCAATCCCAAAACATCACTATAGGCACAAACATGCCCATTTTAAAAAGTCAGTGTCTGTGATGCAACACAGTCACTGATTTGTTACTTGCTGTCCTCTCATTTGACTAACCAGACACAGCACAACATTGTTCTCTCTTTTCTGAACTGGAAAAACCTAACAACCCTATCATGTCCAAATTACAATGCCCAATAAAGTTACATTACATAAGAAACGACTCCTTTCTGTTCATCCTCAAAGTAAGAATCGTCGGTAAAGATACTATAAGATAGGGCCTGGCTGTTACTGTGGACTGCACAGGCAATCATCAGGCTGTAGAGGATGTATTCACACATGCAGAATACTTTGAGGGAAAAAACTTTCAGGGTGGGCGGCATGTGCAAACACAAGAAGCTGAAATTTTCACTCCTGAAGTTCCCCACCAGCCCCCTTAAAAAAATTCCCCTGCAGGAAATATTTAGGAAATATCACCATGTCAAAACCATGTTACAGGACGAACACCATCAACTGAGCTTGATAAAGGAGAATCACTTTTGAGATGAGATTAAACATCGCGATAATTCTATTATCCTGATATAAGAACAAATCAGTCAAATTGAAGAAAGGCAGGACAAAGGCGGAGCAACACTTTACCTCAGAAACATTACTAATTCATCAAATTCACTCAAATCTCATCATCTATTTCTAAGTTTTAAACGCTTGCTTAAAACAAGAGACTTTTCAGGAAAAGTTTGATGACTCATCTCCATGGCCAGCCTGATGCAGTCGAGTCATTTAGTTTTCATGTGGTCTCAGTAAAGTCCATTATACAACTAAGTCAGCCTTACTTGAATGTTATGATCCTGCTGTAAAAAAATAGGTCCACAAATGTACAACTGAATTTAAAAATTCAATCAAAGTTTTGAGCGTATTGGGTTGTCAGTTTAGCTCGATAGGCAGTGGAAGCAACCCAAGTACAGAGGACACAAACCCCATCTGGACTTGGTCTCTGCATGATCTAGTGCATGTCACTCACCCTTCTCTATCCCTACATGTCCTGTTTATCTCAAGATGCCCCATCAAAATAAGCTCAAAACAGTAACCTTAAAAAAAGAATCAAGAAAAATCCCAACATAAATGCAATTTATTTCATTAAACTCTCAAATCTCTCAGATCGGGACAGTCAGCTTTAGTCTCCAATGACAGGTAAAGACTTGGCCTTGGCTCCTTGAACTCTGAGATGGAACTTTTTCACATTTTTTGTACTGACAATACTAAAACAAAAGCTGACTTTCAAATCTTTTCATGATGGTATCAAATTATTATTAATGGAGATGTGCTAAAGTAGAGGCTCTATTCCTCAGTACCTGTTACATGGCTGTTTGATCTTGACTGACTTGCATGTCCTCAGTTGTAGAAATTCTGAGTCAGTATAAAAACGGGTCCTCTGGGCTAATATTTATGGATTTCTTGGACACCAACTGCAACAAATGACGGCATGTTTACAGAAATTATGAGAGACATTCTTTATACTACAGAGCTAACAGTAAAGGACAGAGATTAAGTCACAAATTTGCCTAAACTTTCCTTTTAAAGATATTAAAATAATAAGAAATCACTAGAAAATGATCTGCATTTAGTGAATGATTTAACAATTTTCTCCACTAAAACAGAGGAAGTCTTTTTACGCAGGAAGTCAGAGATTACTGTTTACTTCTTCTAGTAATAACTCGCCATAAAACAACTACTAAAACTGAATGACCATCATGTTTAACAAGGCAAGGTTTTCCCCTCATGCGCCTGTTTCACCATGACATCACCTCTCCACAAGTTTCCAGGTAAAAGCACACTTCCACATTTCACACCGGCGCCAACAGGTGAAAGCCACAGGTTGCTGATTGGCTGTGTTCCTGCGCTGCTGTATTGGATATCATGCCTGGTGGCCCTAAGTGACAATGTAGTGGTGACACCGACGGCACAAGTGAAGCCTGAGACTGATGACAAGCACAGACAGCCCAAACAGAGCCATGTTGTTCCCTTTGGCCTGGCCGGGCCTGGGAACTCAACGCCGGCTCTCCCCATGGCCCCGTCCCTGAACACAACACAACATCACAGACGGCTGCTGCTGAAGCCCTGTTAACACTCTCGCTGTGGGGGCCCTGTCGGGAAATTAACACCCAAAGCCTTTTAATGGAGAGTCTTGTGATGTTTCATTAAATAAAGTTGCAGAGAGGGGAGCTGGGAAACGTCAGGTGAAGATGTGAGGCGGCAACACAGAAACAAATCCTGCTTTAAGGAGGGAGCTGATGGCATAGATAAGACCTGAGAGCAATCGCATGAAAATGTAAAAACAGCTGGTAGACTACCCACGGAAAAGTCTGGACACACCCTTGGTCCATAAATCAAACTGAAAGAAGCAAATCTACTCACTGGGAAATCCCACATTTGAAATATTTAATGACAAACTTCAGAAATTAATTATCTGTAAATAAAGTTAAAGATACTTCTACTTCCAAACAACTACCGTAAAACCTGGAATATAGGCAGTCTGTTTGTGGCTAGCACCCAAAGGTAAAATAATTGAAGTGTCTTTGTCTTCTCAGCAATGTGCAACTTCTATGCAGATGTGTTACTCTGTCTGGGAGCCATCTTTTTAGAGCCCAGTCTAAAGTCGCATTGATGGTCATGAGGAATAGGTGAATCTAAATCATGGTCACATGATACAGCAAGTTTAGAGGTCTGTACCATTGTCTTTTTCAGAAACACGATTATGATCTAATGAGGGAGAACAGCATGAAAAAGTGTCACTGCTAAAATGGGCCTCTTTAATAGGTCTCTGGTTTTGGGTATGGAAGCGGTCGGTTGCATCCTCTTGCTCAAATACCACAAAGATAATAAAAGTGCGCCCCACACTGAAGTTTATATGGTAACTAATCAGCTAATAGTCCAGCTCTGAAAAAGAAGCTTTTGTGCGTAAAGGTAAAACCCCCCTAACTGTTTGGTAACTGAGTTAAACACAATGAGAACACCATGATCTCAAACAAAACCCACAAAAAAGGTCTGATCAATACGCCAACAGAAGACGAAATCATGCGCTTGACTCCGACATCATAACAACTAATTATTGCTTCCACTTGGTTCCCATAATCGTCTGAAGTGTACAAACAAAAACAGAATTATTAAAACCTCCGGTCGTCTGTTTTAATGTGCCATTCCTGTTGTTCAGTGCAGCACAGCCAGTTGTCAAAACAAGGAAGGCTTTCAAAATTATGTAAAACATTATCTACATTTCCAACACATGACCTCGCGCTATCGAGTGGCTCATCACACACCAAAAAAGAATCCCATGTGCTCCAACTTGCTTTCAAATCCACACACACACACTAACCGACACACAGAGGGCATCTGCTGAAGCTACAGAGAGAAATCAAACCCCTAACAGGCCCTTGAATCTGCTAAGGAATCACTTGACGCATCTATTGATAACTTCTCGAGAAAGTGATGTCCTTAACTTGGCTTTGTTTAAAGACCGCAAACTATTAGGGATGAAAAGAATGTTAAAAAAGCAACAGCAGGTCCGTTAAAGCTAATTTCAATATGACAACCCTCTGTTATATCGCTAAGATCTACATTTTAGGCCACAGGGCTCATGATAACAGAAATATAATCCGTCCAACACCCACACAAACACAAACTCACATCAAAAAAGCACACATGCAAAACAGCAGTTCATCTCACACACAGACACACACACACGCTCATATCTTCATACACTAACACTTTGTAAACATCTTACCTGTGAATAGTCAAAGTCCGAGAGAGGTGCTATGCTTTTGATGTATTCGATTCTGAATTGGTCCTCTGGGTTGGCTAGCGGGACTGGGGGTATTAAAGTGCTCATCGCTGACACTATGGTCTACAAAACAGGTTGTGGGGAGAAAAAAAACACACATTAAGCATGATGAAAACAGGAAAATAAACTACAAGTCTGGATGACAACGGCCGCAGACTAACAACAGAGATACATAAAAACTCACCACTATGGCATCCTTCACGTTTTTCCGAATATCTTGGATTTTCTGTCTCTTTTCTCTGCATGGGGACGGAAAAGACGTGTCAGGCATGAAAAAAAAAATCAACCACAGTAGACCACAAAAGATTTATCATCAAGGTGGTTATGAGAAAGGCCGGGTCACTGCCAGGTTACACTGTATTCTCATGCAATTAAACATACAGTGCAGGTGTTTGCTCAGAGTATGTACCCAGTGGATGAGCAGGTGACAGTAAAATGCAAAAATGAAGGAATATAATGTGCTTTCATATAACCTGCTGTCGACAGGATTTTAATCTCTTTGTAGGGTATCGATCTAATTTAACCTCCTGTTATGTAAAAATCAGCTTTGTCCAGATAAATACTTTGACTTTGCACATATTCAGATGATTTTTATACGGTGACAGCACCCTGACATGTCCCAGGCCTGTTTTAAATAGACCACTGGTAAGATCAATGCTATGCAAGGCCTTGCAGCAAAACAAATCATCAATAGGCCTGTGTCGATCCAACCTTTCACCCTCCCACATGAAACAGGAAACAGGGAAGTGTTTGGCGTCTGTGCAACACATAGATCCCTACATTTGTGTGAAATAAGTGTGAATAAACACAGGTAAAAAATGAAAAAGGTGAGGGTGGGGTGGTGAAGGTGGTAGGAAGAGACTCCAGGGGTGTCACCAGGAATCCTGGATGCCTGGAGATACCACTTTTGACCCCTACATCAAAGCCCAATCCAAGCCTGCACGATAGCAATATCCACACTTTCATTTCACTTATACCTGAGAAAAGGTTTGAAAAACTAACTCAAATGTTACACATCAACATATAGATTCGAGAATACAGAGATAAACGCCCTATTTTAGATGCAATGGATCAAACTGAGTGCTTATATTCTCTGCTATAACTGTCCTGAATGTGACCACAAATGTTACCTAAACACCCTGGTCACTGTAAACATGTAAGCAAGTCAATACAGCAGAGTTTAAGTCAAAAGATTACCTTAAAAATAAGGAGAAAAGTATTGATGCTAAGTGAATATAACAAGCATTTTTCCGGGGAATGGATAATTTTTCAGTATTTTTGCAGATTTGTATGAATGCATGTTTATTTTTTTGACATTTCCTCTTGTATTGAGGATGTTTTCACTTGAAAAGTTAATGTGTATATATATGTAATTTATGATGGAGCCACATGTTATTTTTTCTTGTTTTAAGTCTATTTCTATCATCACAATAAAAGTGTCTGGTGAATTCTAGTGCAGGAGAGGATTGGTTTTCTTTACAATCAGAAATTAGGTGTATATATATATATATATATATATATCATTATCGGTATCAGTATCAGTATTGGTATTTGTAAAAATTAGTTTGGAAATATTGTGCATCCTTTATTCAGATCATGAATCGATTTTATGAGAACTTATCACAGTCTTCAGCTAGTAGCATCCTGTCTGTATTCTTATTTTTAGATTACTGGTCCTGTGGGTAGACTTTAATTGGTCACAAAACAGTACGAAACCAAAACTGATCCCTTTAATGACTTTGACAAGCAAATGAGACCGTCACGATAAAGATTAGCTGCTTCTACTGTATACGGTTATCTGTAATGTCTAAAACTGCTGAGGGGGAGTAGGTGTTGGCTAAACTGATAAACTGCATGCTATCGAAAGAGCCTTTTTAAAATTTTCCATCACAAAGATAACTTATAAATGAAAACATTTGAGCAGAGGAATAAAACAGGAAGGCTATACACTTAGGGGGCGAGATCAGCAAGGCAGTTATCAACACTAATGTAACGGTAATGATAATCAATCTCCTGAGTTATGTTTTAGGAAGACACAATTGTTTGAGTTCTCCTTTATTTAACAGGCCAACCACTTAAAACTTAAAAGTATTGCACTGGAGATTCATGCTTCTGCTTTTCTGTTCTTAGCAACAAGCTAATGAGTTTGTACAAATCCCTAAAACCATCGTCGCCTGCCATGAGGAAACTGCTATTCATACCGGATATATCAAGACCACTATCGGACAGAATAGACTTGTTTATGCATTTATTAGAGGTGAAAGGAGGCTGTATTATTGTCTATATCATTCATTTAGCTCGTATTATATTACTTATGCTAGTTATAACTTGAAGAGAAATATGCTAAAATACTGTATTTCTATTCTAGACCCATTGGTGGCTCTTTCTATCATTGGGGGGCCCTGGGCGGTCAGTCTCACTTTTCCCCCCTCTACGACGCCCATGGAGAGAGATATTAGCTGCTTTGCATGGGATACTGGGCCCAACAGGCGCTGCAGTGCCTGGGGAAAATCCATTCACAGGCTATATTCTGGCCTCGACAGTGTTATTCATTAGCAGGAAAGCCACCAGAACGAACATTTATAACGTTGTCGAGCTGTTAATATGGGTATTTATGAAGTAGATAGTGAATAGCACTCACTCTGCGTTGAAGCCGTTGACGTGTAGAATCCTCATCTGCTTGACAATGGTGCTTTTTCCGGACTCTCCCGCACCTTCGAGAAAAAATAAAAAATATCACCAGAATGAACACGACTAGGGTATATCAGAGAAAGCGGTTAAAATTAAGATATAAAAGGCAGGTTATTGTATGATATGGAGGCTCGCTTCCATCAATATCCACCCCCATGACATATTATTGCACGCGCTGTCAAATGGGGCTACGTGTTCGGTAAACGAAAGGGATTACGGTTAGCTCACATTTCAGACAGCCATCACATGTAAATCAGCCTTACCGAGTAATAGGAGCCTGTGTGTGGCTTTATACGCTTGTCTCTCCTTTTGCAACTGTTTTTCTATCTTTTTATTAGCCTCTCGTTGTGCCTTTTCGTCGATGCGTTGATCTTCAGTCTTGCTGTTGCCCAAACAACCCATCTTCCGTCGCCCTAACCCTTCCTTGTGGAATCGTAAAAACAAAAAAATATATATAAAAAATGACACCTATCGTGAGTTTAAAAATAACACAGGAATGAGTCTGCTGTAAAATAAAAAAAGGAGAGAAAAAATCTCTGCGAGGCTTCTCCGTCGGAGGGGAGGAATATGTTCCCCGTTACAATTCCGCTTTAGCCGCAGCCAACCGTCATCCAAACCGTTTGTTAGTTTACAAACCAACGGAGAATAACGGCTCGGTGAAACGGAGAAATATCAAAAATACATATAAATAAGAAGAGAGAGAGAGGGTTTTCAATTTGAGGGAATCCAGTCAACTGTTCCTATCGCGTCTCCAACCCCTCTCTTCTCTCTGTATTTTTTTTTCTATCTGAATTTCTATCAGTATTTCTGTCTCTTTAACTCAGCACTGCCTCTCTCTGTGGCACCAGGAAGTAGCCGTGGACCGTGGAGGTGGAAAACAAACCTGCGTTAAACTGTAACGTTAACAACCCGCAAAGATAGAGCATTTTATAACTTGTGAGGCAAAGAGAGAGGAGCCATTCCCCGATTTAGTCCTCCGCTATCCTGCTATCAAACTAATCGGTAGAAAGAAAAAAAAGGGGGTGGAAACCCGGACGCCTCTTTGGTGGTTTACACAGAGAGGGAGAGAGGGGCTGGGTCTCTTCTTCCAGTCTGTGAGGTGGCCCTGACCCAAACTGGCAACCCATTTACAGCGTCTGTGTGTGCTCTGGGTTTAACCTATCTCTTTAGTTTATACATAACAGGTCTGGGGCCATCATAGTAGTCCTTGAAAGAGTTAGGACTAATAATATGAGAAGCAAGAAGCACTTATACCCTTTACCAAAGTGAAAGTAGTCTTAGCAAGCAGCCTAGTTGATGAACTTTGTATAGAACGTAAAAAGAACAATATAGCCTTGTAACAAACAGTCCTGCACCTAAAACTCTCTGTCAAACAACTTAAATATTTTTATTAAAATATACTGCAAACCAAGAACTGCAAACTTGTATAATTTGGCTATAAGGAGCTAGAGGTCCGCTCCTTCTTTTTTACTCATAGAGGCGCCCGAATACTTAAACTGAGTTAAGTCTTGAGGACAATACTGCTGTTTTTGAGAAAATGGAGACTACTAATTCCTCTACAACCACTCTGATCCTTTGAAATATCAAAGTAGTTGTACCTAAAAGTAATGAAAGAAGTAATTTTAAAGAATTAGTGAAATTTTTTAACATTATCTTGCATTCAAGGACTTATTTGAGTTAAGGAAAATAAAGTGTCCTACCATTATGCATAATTAAGCTATTTTAGATAAATTCTATTTCATTTTATTAAACCCCAAATACATTAATACGTTTTATTTTAAATTTTCTAACTTAGAAAGGTTAAAAAAAATTCTGCTTTGTATGGGGTTTTGAATCTTAACCTGGGGATGCACTGTTGTATAACATTCACATCAGTATCAGCTGATATTTTCCCTGTTGACAGGCATCATCCCACCGATAAATTACGTGCTATGCACCAATGCCAGCAGCAAGTATTTATCTGTTATTTTGCATCAATTTATTACTTGAAAGCTAAAATACTTGAATCCAAATTCAGAGAAGTGTTTACTTATTGAGCAGAAGAAGTCCTCTGTTGGTCAAACTTTGTTTTCAAGAACAAATATGAAAAAAAAAAAAAAAAAAAAAGCTGACAGTGGGGTATTGTTACACCGTCTCTGGGAAACAGCAACAACAGTGCGGCAACATGCAGTCTGTAAGATATGTTTCAGGGACTTTTAAGAAAAAAATAAATACACATATACTGTATATATATGTCAAAAAAGACACAAATATCACCAAGAGGTAATGCAAAACAGATCAGAGTCAGATTGGGCTATCTCCTGTATTTGTTCTTAACATCAATATATAACATGATTTCCACAATCTATGAATCTCTGCTTTCAGCTGATAATAAATTATACGTTTATTAAAATAAGAATCCTCAAGTTAAGTATAACAGGTACATGTAAAATAATTATACTTCAGTATCAGTACTTGCACTGAGTTACATTCTACAACTTGAAATTACTCTAGTTTTGACAGAGGACCAAATAAAATGTAAGTATCACATATCTAAGTGTTCATTGTCCTTTTTGGGGTGTTTTACACTGAGCCTTAAAATATTGAGTGATTTATGATCATGACAGTAGAATTCGTGCTGTTGCAGTGTTTTGAGTTGCAGTATTTACATATACTTTGGGTTAATAAATAGTTGTGATACATCAGTGTAGACAAGAAAATGCTCTTTGTTTCCCTCCAAAGTGTGAAGAAATAGAGAAATAAAGTTATTAAAAACAGAGTCACTGAGGACGGAGTTACCCCACTTAAAAGCAGTACTTGAGTGAATGTACTTTATACACAACCGTATTACAGTATTGCATTTTCTAAAATACAGTTAAGTAGTGGTGGGATGGCAAAGGAAACATACTCAAAGTTTGTTCTTAAAAACATCTTGTGGTACTCATACTATTCTGCATTTATACTTCTCTGTATTAACACTGCATTTAAGAGGGAAATACTGCACTTTTTCATCCATTACATATACTAGAAATCTTTAGTTACCCTAAACATTGAGGATTATCCAATACGTACAATGAAACTAACTTTCAATGGTAACTTAATTTTCCACAAACAGAATATTTTGCAGTACTTTGATGGAGTATTTTTCAAGCGCAGTAAATCACTTTTACTGAAATAAAGGTAGTGAATACTTCCTCCATCACAAACTAGTAGCAGTACAAAATATCTGACGGGCATTAACATTTGAAGAGTAACTGCATCATTGGTAAAATTATATATTATACATTATGCGTTTCCATATTAGAAGATTACCAGCGTATGAATGCTGAATTGTAGCTCATCTGAACTTATCTATCATTTTATCGAGAGTGCTAAAGTTTTCAAACATGGTCGTAATTTTGGTTTGGATAGAATTAATCTGCTAAAGCAACAAGTCACCACAGCTGTCCGTTAACTTGAGCGCAGAAAAAGTGTATGTTGCGGTTTAGTCAAAGTAGGAAAACACAGTTAGGTGAAACACTAAAGTAGAGCACAAACACCGCAAACTTGTGCGTTTAGTTAGTCATGAAAAAGGGTTATCTGAGCTTCTGAACAACATTTCCAACAGGAAGGGGGGCCTCTTCAGAAAACAAACACCTGCCTTCAATATTTCAATCAAGGAAATGTTTGATGCACAACTTTTACATATATGGTTTAAACGTTTTTGTACTGCAACTTTTACTTCAATTTCAGCGAAGAAAATTAACTCAAATGACCCCAAATGGATGAAAAAAGTCATAAAATTATTAAAAAGACAAAATCAAAGGAGGAATAACATGATATTCCTCACTTCTATTTCAGCCTTTCTTCGTCACTTCACATTTTCCAGTGAATTTATCATCATTTAACCTCCATAATCCTATTAAGAGTTTGCAGCTAAGCAAACAGTGGATATGTTTTTAAAGGAAGCCACAAAGACAGAGGGATGGAGAAGTACTTCTATAGCTTTTATATCATTCAGACTCTTAAAGAAAATGAATTAGATTCAATCTTTTCCTGCTTATATGGCCTGGAGCGAGACAAAAAGCCCCACATACTGACTGAATGAACATTCATACACTGGCTAAAGTATGTAAAGATGATTTTCTTTAGTTAGCAGATTGGCAAAACAAAACTAATACAACATTTTTGTAAAAAAGGCTTGATACTTTACAAAAAAATATGGTACTGTGATAAAATAGAAGTGTTACAGAAAATAAACAAGACATGCAGTTTCATGAGGTTCTCACAGAGTTATAGTAAAGCATGCCATAATAAGTATATGCCAATATATATAACATAAGGCACAACAGTGTTCAAAGGAGCAGGAAAGTAGTAACTTCTGAGTGCTAATACATCCCAACTAAAACATGAAAAATAAACCTTTGACTTGAAGTTTGTCTGTAACTTGTGTGAACCTCACTTTAAAGTTTATTTAAAGAAATACATGTTCATAAAATCTGATTAGGTTTCACCTCCACTGGTAGGAAAAAGTAGCGACGACAGCGCTGTGTTTGTGCAATAAGGAGCAAACAGAGCACATGTCACTGTTGTTAGCATTGCCTGACATTTGTGTTTAGCTTTGTGTGGCTTCCTCTCTATGAGGCTGAAATGGGAGTGTGGGTTATGTAAAGGTTTGACTCTTCTGTAACCTGCGCTGCACTTCACATGTAGACAATCATTGTGTTACTTAAGGTAACAGTAGCAGACACATTTCATTATTAATGTTTGTGTCAAGTGTTTGAGACCAAGAAGGAAGTCTTTTTTATTCCAGAGCGTCTGGTTAAACTTCTGTAAGTAAGTCACCCTCAGCAGTGAGCTAATGCTAGGCTAACAGATAATACTGCACTGTTGCATTTCCAGCTGAAAATTAAACTATCGTGCAGCATGTTTCTGTCATATACGCTCACAAATCACTCACAAGCATGAGACAACTGTAAAAGATCACCAGTGTTAACATGTAACAGAGAGTGAGCAGCTATTGTCTCCATTACGCAAACACAATGCAAATACTTGTGTTGACAAGAGGACGACAAAGTTGTGCAGCATGAAAATCACAACAGGAACCTTCACTTCACCAACACTGGTGTGAAAATATTACCCCCACTCACTCTCCCTCCCTCCCTCCCAGCCTCACTGTGGAAGAGAGGGGAGAGATCCAGTCTCCCCACCTCAGAGAGCAAGGTCAAAAGTAGTGGCTGTCCCACAGCACCCTCTAGTGGTGAGAGTCCATACAGCACACATGCAAGCTGTGGCTAATATTAGCTCAATTTGAATGACACTAAACTACCTTTTAGTTGCGTTTACTGTCGTTTATTTTGGGATGTTTTGACTGATATTTAAGTAAAGCTGTCTCATCTTGTGTGGTCTTAACAGTTTGAGCTTTTAACAGCCAATCCTGAGAGTTTAAAGTCTACATTTAGCATGAAACAACCTTATAAATAGTGATTTATTCTCTAAGAGTGAAAAGGATGAGTTTGATGTAAATTAGGAAATAGATTAAGATTAAAAATGGAGACTTTAGCACCACCAAACTTAATTACAAAAAATAAATGACAAAATTGCTTGAAGAGAGAAGTTAAGGTTGTTTTTATATCCTGTCCTATTAGTTTTGTGTATTTTATGTATTGTGTTGCACTTGTTTTCTTTATTACAAGCTAATTATTTCATCATAATATAATAAAGAATATAGTGTTGCACCTAACTCCACCTTCAGTTACTTTGTATGTTCAGATTTTACATATAAAATACACAATGGGAACATAAGGGGAAGAATATGTTAACATTATCATTATTCTACCAAACAAATACACCACAGGGCTGCACGGTAAATTGCAACTTCATCACTATCACAGTAAACACGTGACAAATAATCTGAATTTATATTTTTATATCTGAAGTAACCAGCAGCATTTTTCCACTCTGCATGTTTACATTTTTTGTACTGTTTTTACACCGTTCCTATGCAGTCAGAGGACGCTCAGGCTAGCCATCAGCTGCCCTCAGATTAAGGTACAGTGAGTAGGAACAGGAATATTTTGCGGTATTTTGTATTAAACTCAGATTCAAGAGTGGACTGCTCCCTTGCTCACCCTTCCTGTTGGTGGATCAATAGTCTCCTTAGAGGACAAGAAGCTCTTGTGAAGTATGTTAAATATGATCCTCTATTTTTATATATCAGCACAGATTCATGAGCGCAGAACAACAACTGCCCTCTTCTTTTTTGTCCTTTTGCACATCTATTTACAAAATACAAAAACACAAATGTAACTTGTTTGTCTCCTCTGTGTTACTGTAGAAGATGGAAGCCTCGTTTAAAATGGGCCTGCTTCTGTTGATATAAAGGATAATTTTAAGTAAATAAAACTAAATATTTAAGGTTTTTATACTGAGGCTGTTATACACTGATTTCAATGGACTGAATATTATATTTTATTTTTACCAAGTCTTTTCTGGTAATTACAAAACCACACTATTAATTGGTGCCATTGTAGCACTGGAAAAAAGTGCTCAAACAGTGAATTAACTCAAAACATACAGAGAAGCAGAGTCATTTAAAACTCAGTAATGTACACCTTTAAATACTAATTAATTCTGCCACATTTCACTATCAAATATAGACCCGTTTTTCTGTTTAGTCATGTTTGCAATTTGCTTATAATACACACTTTTGCTTTCACTTCAACTTGCTGATGTGGGACTCAAACATGTAAGGAGGTAGTGTTTTTTTTATATATATAACAGTGTTTTTTCTTTACCGTTTTGAACATAGTTCCACCTGCACTCAGTAAAAGTAGATTAAATATGAAGTTAAAGTAATATTTCCATCATTTAGGGATTGAAAGAAGTATATTGAAAGTTAAAGTACGGATTATAAATCAAATTCATGCCTGTCTGCACTTATTTCAGATCATATTTGATCAGAATTTGACTTTATTATAACCAGTTTGTGAGCAAATTGTGATTAAAAGTACATCTCAAACAAATATGATGTAGAAATTAGAGCTGCACGTACACTGAGAGCATTCAGCATAATAAGAGACATTACAACAGTTACAGTTTTGACATGGAAAAAACAAGTTATTATATTTGCTTGTTACTGATGTTGACTTCATTCGTGAAGAAAAAGAAGAAAATTTAATTTTTGAAGTATTTTAACGAGGTAATTGAGTTCTTTTTAAAACATTAGCTCCAAGTTAAGACTGAGAGCGGCTTTCCTTTTAGTTTTGGTCTTCAAACAAGTCTGTGGCAGAGTTTCAAACTGTCATTACGGTATCTGTAAGTGATGGCCTCTGTCAGCTTGTGTGCTTGTGCAGCGCTCGGAGATGTTTTCACATCCTTAACTTAAGTAAACACAGCAATACAACAATCTAAAAATACTCCCCTACATGTTAACTCTGTTTATAAAGCCTGACAAAGATATTTTTACTATTTTAGGACTGATAGCGGACGTGTACTGCAAATGGAAACCTCGCTGTGAGTGTTTGGAGTTTGATTATCAGAGCCTGTGAGGCCCTTAAAGCAGCTGCTGATCCATGAGCAACTCTCAACAATGCTCAGGCCTGATGTGGAAATATATGTAACAGAGGCTCAGGAGAGTTATCGCGCTTAAATAAATACATTAAATAAAGTAAAAAGCATGGGTTTTCTGCTCTTTCCTTTGCATAAATCTTCAACAATCACCGGCCGCTCTGACTGTAACTAAAGCGTGTACTGTAAAAGAAACGAGGCAAACAGCCAAATGATATCCAGCTAAAATTAGCCTCCTTGATTTTTTTATTTTTACTGAAGCTGGGAAGAACTTTATAGCCCTCTCTTCAGGGACAGAGGCTCTTGATAAAGTTTATATAATACAGTGAGCAAAAGTAGGAGGACAAACATAGTCCAACGTCCCTCTGATGTGGCGCGGCTCACTTTGATTCAGCTGATACAATCAAGACGAATCACATCGCGGCCCTGCTGCTATCAGTATCATAAATATGACAATAACTCATACTCCAGGAGCTCCTGTTGGCTGTTGTGTCAGCCGGGAATCTGCTGCAGTTAGTAGCAAAGTTCAGCAGTGGTCAATGATAAAACCCTTTTAGACAGAAGCAAAGTTCACCTGACTCTGCTTGTAGTCAAAGACGAGGGCAAACAGGGCGACACGGTCCACTCCGTGTGCCTCTGTGGATGAGTAAGCTTTTCCAAAATACAGCTTCACATGTGGGAAGTGGCACAAAACCAAAAAGACAAAACAATCAGTGACTTTCGAGCAGCTATCTGTTAGCCTAGCTCGGCCCATTCCTGTGATCATTCGTGTCCACATAGCTGGCAGCCTGTTGTTCAGGCTCACGTAGTTTGATAAGGCCGAGATATGAAACGTTAAGGACAGTTAAGGACATCTAGAAAAGCTGTAGCAGATGTTATCGCAGGCCTGTACAGAATCTGATCCAAGAGACCTAACAATAAAGTCACTTCCTTTCCAAGAAATAATAGGAACTAGCCTTCCAGTTCCCATCCCTGTATTCCTGTGCTCATGGACTAAAATATAAAGTGTAAAGGAACTCTATTAAAGGAATTTATACATTGTCCTCTGGTTGGGTGTGTTTGATAGTGAGCTTGTTTTGACTTTCAAGCAGGAGTTTGGATCTCAGTGTGCCCTGAAGTAGGACAACACTTGATTAATATGTTGCATTATCCTTCAGTCGTAAAAAAAGAAACTGACCAAAATGTAAAAGCAACAACAAAACGACACTGGACACTAACTGTGTGGGGGTTTTAGTCGTGGGCTCTTAGAGTGTTTTTATATATCTATATTCATTGTCTTTCTTCATTCGTAATTGCTGCTGAATTTCCCCCTTGTGGGGATTAATAAAGTATTTATCTATCTATCCATCTATCTAGAAAAATCACGTCTATCTTAGTTTTAACTGACATTAACCAACCTACAATCTCATCATTAACATGTAATGCTTGTTACGATTTTTAAAAAGATTTTGGGGGCTATCTCGTCTTTATTTAGGGAGGACACGACAGTAACCAGACAAGGAAAGAGGTAGTGACATGAAGGAAAGGAGACACACGCTTGAAGCCTAACCTCCATACATGTGGCGCTCATGTAGACTGCTGTATAGTGGATGAAGAATGGGGGTGCTAGCTCTGCTGATGGTAGCCCCACTCAACAAACAAATATGACTTATTCAACCTGCAGAGAGTGTGGTATTCTTCTGAAGCCTTATTCTTTGTCTTTAGGGTTTAAATTTCTGTCCAAACCATAGGGGATTAAGCTGTTTTTGAACACTTCCCTTGTCTGTTAAAAAAGTCACTTAAAATGAATTAAAGTTGAATTAATTAGGCCACTTTTAAACTTAATGATTTTAGCAGCCCAGCAGACTAACTACAACTCATGCAACAGATAGCTGTGTACCACATGAAGACCTTAGCTTTTTGGGTTTTTTTGCCTTTATTTATGGAGGACAGGACAGTAGACAGAGTAGGGAAGAAGGAGTGACATGCAGGAAAGGAGACACGCTCGAGGCGAACCGCCATACATGAGGCGCTTATGTAAACTGCTGTACGGTCGATGAAAAATGGGGGTGCTAGCTCTGCTGATGGTAGCCCCACTCAGCAAACAAATATGACTTATTCAACCTGCAAAGACTCTGTGATCTTTGTGTGTAGCCTTATTACTTGTCTTTAGAGTTTAAATTTCTGTCCAAACCATAAAGAAATAAGATGATTTTGAACACTTGTCCTTGTCTGTTAAAAAAGTCATATTGAAGTTTAAAACAGATAGCTGTGTACCACATAAACAACCACAAATGTGACCAGTTCCAGTATGAGCAGACCACAGCAGCCAGTTGCGAATCAGCAACACTTCCTTAAGATTGTCACTATTCAGCGAAACACCTGCAGCAAATACAAACACATAAAGTGACCCAGATTAGCCAGCATACGTTGCCTTGAAATGCAACACTATTTGAAAGGTGTCCACTTTCAGAGGAACACAAACCACCTCAGTCCTCTGGCATGCAACAGGATTCCTAACGCAGACCTGCAGGGTATAAAGTCCCGAAGGCCTCTTTAGAAAAACCAGAAGTGTGCCTGCGGCTCCCGCTTGAAGCTCTCTGGTGCACCAGGACGCAGAGCGCTTAAAAATAATAGTGAGTCTATAGAGGTGAAGCAGGCCGCCGTAGCCATAATGACACAGTAACACAGGTCACGCACTCAGTACTGTACAGCTCAGGGAAGAATGTATGACACTTCCCTGTGTGACTTCATTAGGATGAGCCATTTCTTCCTGTGTGTAATTACTGAGAGCTGTTTACTCAGGAAATTAAACTGGCAGCCACTTATTATATACAGTAACGAAGCATTACGCTGCTAAAAGTTAAGCAAATACATGCAGGCTGGTATTAAGTGTGACAAGAGGCTTTAAAAACTGAAAGTGGAGGAGGTCTGTTTTTATCATGTGTCATCATGGAGTCGACGACACTTCAGGTCTGGATCCTGATCAGCACTTTGTCCTTTAAAATGTGGATTCTGGTCCAGTGTGAATGCATAACACAAACTTTAATCTAAGGCTAAATAAGCTTATACATAAAGGGAAAAAATCTGAATTATGTAACAGTCCGTGGTTGACTTTCAGCACTGATGTGAAGAGTTTGATCTCAGACTGATGTACACCTTGGCTTTTATATGGTCCCCATATAACTGATACAAGACACCTTATAATCGGAGCAGTTAAGGTCTTATGTAATTACAATCGCACTCCAGAAAATGCCAACCAACACAGATAGTTGCCAAAGTCCAGTCTGATTTCTGAAAATAGATGATTAATGGTGTAAGTATGATCATAAAGCTGGTGGGTTATATTTACAATCACAAGAAGATAAAGGAGTTTCTGTAATTGGAAAGTGTTTGGTGTTATCATCCAAACTGATAAACAGAAATGTCGAAGGGTTCGATTCATTATGTCAGTAGTACGAAAGGACATATTACGTGTCCTCCTCTGCAATCCTGATTTATATTTGCAAATAATGATTAATTTAAATCTGCCATGCCAAAATACTGAAGATGACTTATCAAGACTTGACTAAAACCTGGAACAACAAATTGAATGTACTGTATCACTTTACTTTTTTACTCAGGTGTTTTTCATTTTAAATTTAAAGGTACAACATGTAGAAATAAGAATCTTTTGCAGTCATATTCTAAACTGAGTTGCTCCCTTGCTCACCCCTCTCACTGGTGTAAGATGGTGGCCATCAAGGACAAAAAGCTCCCAAGATGCATCACAAATATGTTTCTCTTTTTGTCAAGTTTTTACCAACAAAAGTGTCTGTCCATGCAAACACTCTACCTGCCAATCAGTGCGTTTAGCGCAGCCACTCCCTGATACAAAAAGCAAATTTTACTATTTTGTCCGTTCCATGCTACAGTAAAAACATGGTGGTGCCTTAGTGGAAAAGGACCAGCTTCTATGTAGATACAAAAGTCTAATATTGAATAAACAAAAGCATAATTTATATTCAGGTGGTTACGCACTGATTTAAACATACTAAAGAGCATTAACATTTCTACTAAATCTGTTCTGCTAAGTATTACACACTGTACCTTTAATGGAATAATAATAATAATAATATAGTCCATAGTCAGATATCCTAGTATGCTAAATTTGATCATGTTTAACAACATAAGCCAGAAGCTGAGTGTTCTTTCTCGACAGCTCATCATCTTTGTATATCATAGAGCAATTTCCATAAACTATACTGTACAACATACAGCTCCCCTTTATTATAGGCAATATATTATACCAATCAGCATACTGTACTATACTGCAGACAGCTACAAAACCTACTGTGATTTACTACAAGTCACTGTACAAGAAAAAACAATATACAGTGTATTACACAATGTTCTATTGTGTAATACTACAGGCCAGTTTATGACATTATAAACTACTATGATACAGACTAGCGCCCGGTTTTCTTTGGGTACAACATGCCACAACAACACTACAGGCCAGGTTACAATATTCTACACTAACATCTCAAGGGACACTCTACTACACTGTGCTGTATTATGGGCTGCTCTACAGGGGTGAGTCTACAGGGTGGCCAGGAAATAAGTCTTACAAATTTAACATTACCCCTCTCTGACCTTTTAGAGCCAACAAATACACAGGAATATGACTCTTCTTGGTTGCATTAATTATAGTAGTTATAATCGTGGAGACAGATATTTAATTTGTAAAATTCAATCCAATTCCACTAACATAAATCATGCCCTCCCAGCAAAAGTCGGTGCCCCAGTCTGGCCCCTCAAGTCAAAAAATTGTGGACACACCCCTGCCACACTAACATAACTAATATTCTACTGTACAAAACTACAGGCCACTACACTACAATAGACGACCTTCAGCCATGAGCCACTTTACGGCTTTTTACAGTACTAAATCATTAGGGGTGGCAGTGTTATTCATGAAACAATACGATGTAGAGAAGGTAATGAGATAGTAAAAAGTTTCAAAGTAGGTTGTCAGAGTCAAACTCAGATCCCGTACTTTGAGGACTCTACACATGGAGGTGTATGATTTAACCACTGAGCTAAACCAACATCCCAATGATGTATTTTCTAATCAATGAGAACCAGCAATACAGTAATAGTAGAAGAGTCAGAATGACAATATATTGCTGTATTGATATTTTATCATAACTATCAGGTACACAAAAATCTTAGTACTCTCCTACAGGCCACTATATGCAAAACCTCACTGTACAATAGTTCAGGCCATTTAACAACAATCAAGCACACTATACCAAAGAGCAATTTACAATGTTTTACTGTACTGCTGAACAGGAAACTGAAACGTATTATGTAAATGATTGTTGTAAATACCTTACTGTCACTGTGCCACAGTTATTCAACAGCCTATGTTTAATCTGTGGTCCCCAAACAGATGTCACACTACACCACAGGCCTCTATACTACACTATACTGTTATGTTGTCATCTGTTGTCTCTTGAACTGATGTCACACACTCATATATATAGGCTTCAACTCTTCGCTGTGCTATATTAAACCATGTTACATTTCACTATTAAACACAGAGCACCACAGGCCAATACACAATATTCTACTTCAAGACATAAGTTCCTACATACAGTATACTTCTACACTGAACTTAATTAGCAAACTAAATTACTTTACTCTGTACAAAATAATACAATTAATTAATGCTAAGATGTACTGGTGAACAAAAGGACTTTGTCATTTGTAGATCTACTCTTTCATGTAATAGGGGAGAGTGGGGAAAGGTGAGCCATTTTCCGTATTTCTGATAACTACATCAAGGCAATCATGGTTTTGTCTCTAACTAGTGTATCTGCATATATTTAAGGATGTTGTGCATCCCTGCAAACCAACAGAATGAGTGTAAACATAACTATATTGATAATATAGCATGCCAGAAAAAAGTGGTCAACTCCTATGGTTGACTTACCTCATGTATGGGGTAAGTTGACCATAGCTCTTTAATGCCTGACACCACAAATTATGGCCAGAAAATTCAAGTTTTTTGGAGCTGAAATGTTTTTTTCACTTACTACTGAAAACCAAAAAAAATCAAGATGTACTTAAAATTTAGCAAATATATTTATTTATCTCATTTGATCGATGTTTTTGGAAACTGATCAACTACAAGAGGACATTTTTATCATTTATCGAACTGTATTCAGGTGTTTTTTAGTAATCTGTTGATCATATTGGTTTGATAGAAGTATATAAAAGTATGCATCAAATATGATACAAAAGACATTAAAGGGATAGGAGCGGGGTAAGGTTAGCCGTATCCCTATTATACCCATATCTATTATACGCTATTCGACTTGAACAATAATTCTTTTTATTATTATTGCATATAACTGCTAAAAGCTGTTTTGTAAAAAGCCATTTTAACATGAGAATGTCTTTAATTGATTCAGAACATTCACAGCTGTATTTTTGAAAAGAAAAAGTAACACATTTCAACAATCTGAACTGAAACTCTGATCCTCTCATCAGACTCCTTTACTTTCTCAGTGACCCCAGAACTATATTATGACTTTATTAGTCCTCTAAACTAAAATGGTGGACTTTTATGCTTTTTGACCTCATGTTGTAGCTCATAGATACCACAATTGACGTATAAAACAAATATAAAATTATCTTTTTTGGTCTGAACACAATTCTGATAAACTTAAGACAGACTAAATTCACTTTTTTTGGAAATAAATGTCTCACCCCTTCACCCATGTGCTTCTAACCTTCACAGACTCCATGAATTGATGCCCATCTCCTTAATATTTGGTCACATGATCCATTTCTTTGACCATTTCCAAGAAACATAGGGTGGCTCAACATACCCCACTCTCCCCTATACTACACAATATTACAGGAGTAAACACAGCCATAGCTGAGGGCTGAGTGGTCTTTGTCAGCCTATGTAAAACCAGGTGCTTTAGATAGACTGTCTCACCTTTAATTGACTTTTAAACATGCTCCTAAATCTAAGAGTGAAATGACAGCTCAGGCCCACTGAGTCTAAACGTCCATCTTCATCATTTGTCATTGACAGCCGCAGGGGGTATTCTTCACAGCCAAGCCAGCAGATGTGGCAAAAGGCCTCGGCAGTGTAGTGACATAATTTTGTGTGGCGAGGCCAGTCCGTTTTGATTTCTAATAATAAAACAGCTTCTTCCTAGTCCAAGAACAACAACAACAACAGACAGAGACCTACCGAGCAGCAGCAGCCGATGCGTCTGTTTGTACTCCCGTTTGAGCTCCTTCAGCGCCCTGTCAATATTCTTACTGACTTTCTTCGCCTCCTTCTCGGCCTCCTTCTCCTCCACCAGCAATTTGTCCCAGTTTTTCTGCTTTTGGGTGCTGGTCTTTTGAAGCAGCTGTAAGCGTCGGCTACGGTCCTTCCCTGTCCCTTTACCACTACCTCCTCCCCCGCCGCCACCGCCACCTCCACCTCCACCGCCTCCGTTTTGTATGAGCACACCGTCGGTACCGGTGTCTCCACGGCGGTGCTCCCCGGCCGGGAGCCTGGCAGGGTCCCCGGGGCGCACCGGGCCGCCGCCGCCGCCACCGCCGCCGCGTAGCGACGAAGTCTCCCCGCATCCCCCGGTGTCCTCCTGGCGAGCTCCCCCGGCGCGGGTCGGCACGGCGGCGTCTGGAGGCTGGTCCGAGTCCGAGGTAGCGTTGGAGATAGACCCGCTCAGGTCCCCGAAGAGCCGGGGACGCAAACTGTAGCACAGCCCCATGTTGAAACCAATATTTGTCTGTGAATGTGATTTCTCATAAATTAAAATATCAAAAAATAGCAGTGGTGCCGCCAGCCCTAACGAGCCATCGTTACATTGGAGCTCCAGCGGTGCGATTTAAGTCCGAATTTGAGCCGAAAATGTGAATGAATTATGCTCCGACATTTGCTATATGTCATTTTGCATTTTCCCCAGTCAGCCTTCGCTTCGTAGTTAGTGGATCACCTGATCCTTTAGTGGACACTGCGGGTCCATCTTACCGTAAGTAACCAAAAGCACAACCTTGGAAAAAAACGCGCCTATGCACTGCGCAGACAGTCAACAATCTGACTGCACAGTTGTTAGGTGCAATGCACGGCACGTCATGTTACTACAGTATGGCCATTTCGAGAATGCTGGTCATGATTTTCATTCTTCACATTTCATGCCTGCATGTCTAAGACACAAACTGAACCTGCTCTTTATTATCAGGAAGATCACACGTCTCCCTTTCGTAACATATATGCAGTATGTTTAAATCTCATACGTAAAATTACATAATATTTAAACTTCATACACAGCTTTTTATTCACATACAGGCATGTGAGCTTAATGTTAAAGCCATTGAGAATAATTCACACATAGACCTTGAACAACATGTTGGTATCAGTCTTCTATGGTTGATTTTGAATAGTGTAATGTTCCTTTATTTATTACTTCTTTCATTGGTGATATGTCCAGTAACATAAAAATATTTAAATCAAACTATAGGGTAAGTATTAAAAGATTCATATAAGCAAACTAACAAAAATATGGTTTTATACTAGATATACTTAATGGCATAGAAGTAATATTAACTCTGAATATTATAACACTGATTATTATTATTATTATTGTATGCAAATGATTATAATAAGTAACCTATGTTTTGTTGTAATAGCCATTCTCTGATGTTTTTCCAGATTGTTCCCAAATAAGTTTTAGGAAATTTTTGGAAATTTGCTTTTGTTAAAATGTGAGCAAAGAACCTTTATTTCAAATATTTAAATAATGTAAACAAATTCTCTTCTGCATCACTTTGACTCTTTTATTCACACAGATCATTCAAGTATTATAATGTGCAAATAATTATAATTAGTGACCTTTGTAGTGTTGAACAGATATCTATAGATTTTTTTTAAACATGGAAGGAGCAGGACTGGAAAAGCTCTCTGCTTCATTTTGTTCCTTCTCAAACTGTTTATTTTGACATACATATGTTGTGTAAATTTATCTCTGACATGTACAGTTGTCTGGTCTACATATGTATTTTTGTTTTTGTTGTTCTTAAAGTTTGAGATAAATAAAGAAGAAAGAAAGATATTTACAAATCATCAGAACTTCATTTTGTTCATTAAATCAGTCCCAGTGCGTCTGTTTATGTGTTGACAAAGTCTCTAGAGTCCAAATTAGGGTCGAGGGAACTCTTCAGGGCCTACCAGCTGGTCTCATAGGCTCATCTAAAAATAAAGGATTGTCTCGGTTTAATTCTGCTTAACTTAGATTACACATTACACTCTGGTTTAAAATATGAGATTAACCATGTCCTCATTTCCACTGTGGTTGTTAGTGCATCACATTATTGTTTTTATTTTCAAAAGGGGTCACTGTAATCAAGATTTTACAGATCTGAATCCTTTCTAACATGTTTTTAACAAGAGGCACAGAAACAAATAGGTTCACCTGTGTTACATAGGCCAGACACAGTCAAGTGCAGGACTGTAGGTGAACCACTAGATGGCGCACTCCTACAAAGTAGTGAAGACAGTGGCGTGGAGCCAGATGACCCACATTTTGTTTCACAGGTAAGTACATTACTTCCTGGTGGCTGCATCAGAACCATAACACAGGCTAAACAAAACAATCATGAATTTCTAATTTTGTGTCCCAAAATACAGATTTTGATAATTCACACCACATTTTTCTGTCAAAGTAGACCCCCACTTAACCGTGGTTTTAAATTATAATTTTTTATATTTCAAATTTAATTTTAATTTTCAACATATATTATATCTTTTTATAGTGAATGTTGTGTTTGTAAAAAAAAAATACTTATAACATTGAAATTTAATGTCGTTTTATTTTGTAGGCGTCTCCGTTGCCTAGGAAACAGGAAGCCGCCCTGACTAACGGCTGTCAGAATCTGTTTGCAGCATCCCAAGCTAAAGTTCAGCAGAAAATGTCTCTTCAAATAGATTTATTTAACTTTATAGTTGAATTAACTTCCTGTTTCGACATATGAAGTAAAAAGTCTGTTCAGGTGAGTCGAGGTCAGCTGACTTTTACCTTTAGCTCACTTGTATTTATCCCACCTGTAGTTACTAACAGGTTAGCTTGTTGTAAGCTAACCGGCTAAATGAAGCTCGTTGATGCAGACACACAGCGGGTGGTGAAAAGGTTAAAGGGCTTAAGTGGAAACAAAAGGCTGAATTAAACATTACCTACGGATCTCATTGAAGATTTACTCTTCCTTAAGACGATGTTTATTGTATTGCACCATGGTGTGAGGTCTCAATGCTGCAACAGTGAGGTTAGTTTCTCCAAGATCAGTGCCACACCTTTATAAAACTATAATAACAGATAATCCAGCATACTTGTTTGTGGTCATAGGGGAGAGTGGGGTAAATTGAGACACCCTCTGTTGCTTGGAAATGGTCAAAGAAATTGATCATGTGACCAAATATTTAGGAGATAGGCATCAATTCGTGGAGTCTGTGAAGGTTAGAAGCACATGAGTGAAGGGGTTAGACATTTATTTACAAAAAACAAAACATTTTTCACTCTTGAAAATGAATTTAGTCCGTCTTAAGTTTTATTAGAATTGTATTCTGACTAAAAAAGATAATTTTAAATTTGTTTTATATGTCAATTGTGGTATCTATGAGCTACAACATGAGGTCAAAAACCTGGGCCACATTAGATGACGTCAAGCTCTAGGGCTGGGTGATATGGGAAAAAGTTTAACACAATATATTTTTTTCAAATCAGTCGATATCGATATGTATAACGATATAAAAAATGAAATTTAACAGTGCTTATTGGTAGCGTGTCTTTTGCAATACAATAAGCTACTGCATCTGTGAGGTCTTTGTGTCTCTTCAACGTTTTGTCGTAAGGCGTTGCACTAGAGAAAGCGGACTGGATGGTCGGCTGTTTTGGCTGTACAGGCGCCATGGGCTCCTTGCTCCGCTCGGGGGTTTGTAACCTTTTGCACTGCCATATGGCACTGCTTCAGGTGCTGAAGATTTGAGGTATTTCCTGACTTTGCGAGAACACGTACTCAACATAATTTGCAGTGCACATTACTCTGCTTTCATTGGCTATTCGTATAGTCTACCAAAACATGGCAGAACGCTGACTATCAAAAAGCATATTGACCATGTTTTATATTGATACTGAGGGAAATTATTTTTTGATATTTATCGTTATCATTTTATCGCCCAGCCCTATCCAGATCCAGAACCACTACGACTGGTCTCATCAGATCTGGACTTGATTTTACCAACAGGTCAGCAGACTTCCTAAAACACAGTTGCAGATTTGTGAACACTTATTCTTTTTGTGAAAATGTTTTAAAAAGAGGAACTTTAATTTCACTTGCATGACCTGGTCCAATCTTGTTCAGATGTGATCAAAAGCAGTGAAATCAGCCTTGTACAAATCTAAAACAGTATTTTGAAGATACCAGAGATCTTCTGGGTAAATCCAGTCTGCATTTGACTAATCTAAACAAGAGGGGCTCTGTATTTTTTCCAGTCTCATGCAGGAAAAGAAAAAAAACAATGACAGATATTGGTGCTTTGTGTCGTCCTTGCTGTAGTTTATCTCTTAATTGAGCATTATGTCAGGTATAAACACGCTGACCCTAATTTGATCAAGTTGGTTGAAGGAGGCGAGTCATGCCAAGGTGTACTCACTCTTCCTGAGACTGACCTACATTGAGAGAATCATTAGGACACCAAAATAAGAAACCCATGCTTAGGAATTGCACATTACTGTTAAGAGTCGGTGAATTGTTATTTTCTCAAAAAGGTCGTCATCACTGCTGTCACCCCTCAGAGAACTGCCTCAACAGGATGTGATTGTAAAACAAAGGTACATTCAGCTGTCTCTGAATGAAATACATGGATGATATGTACGCCTACTAAATACACAAGTGTCTTCAGAGTCGTGTTTTCAAGCTCAGTGGATTTATAACTAAAAAAACACATCTTCTGGCTCTCCCCTGAGCCTGTTTGTATCACATGTCCACTTTAATCCACTTCCCCTCGCTTAGGGATCGCCCTTCCTCTGTCCGCCGTCAGGGCTTAGCTTCTGATACCTGAGACGCTTTGCAGCAGGCAGGATCAGACAGTGTCCCTTTTTCACTCTCCCTGGTCAGGTAAAGCCCAGACACCGAAAATCCACAGAGGGAGAGAGGGTGAGTTAAAACAGAAATATGATGTTTTTCATTTTGTCTTTCTAGGAATAAAAAGCGAGAGCTGTAACTGTGGTGCGGTGGGCTCCCAAGACTCTCCGATGAAGGATCGACAGGGCTCTCTATGGAAGATGAACCGCTACACCACCCTCAAGCAGCTGGGGGACGGGACGTATGGTAGCGTTCTCCTGTGCAAGTGCAATGAGACCGGGGAGCTGGTGGCGATAAAGAGGTGAGTGGTGGATCCAGTGAGCATACTGGGACGTATACTATGTTTTTGTGTCTGATTAAACCTGTCTGTAACTCATGTCATGTTTATATTGCCAAAAATTAGTGATCTGACATAAGCCATGAGTGTCAAAGAAACTTACATAAAACCTTAGATTTATCAGATATGTTAACCCGATGAATATTACCACCAAACTACAAGAAATTATGTCTTTTAAACTGCTCCAGGTGATGTACTTAAATGAAATTGGAGTTGTGATTGAGCAAAATCACGATGAAATTCTGCTAAAATTAGAAAAATAAATCAGGGTCTGCCAGATTTTAGAGTAGGATTGCTTAAATATTTCTTGTAGAAATGTAAAAAGCCTCCCTAAACACCAGAGTGGTCAATCCATGAAGAGTTAGAACCACCAGAAAAGGTTAAACAGATCTTACTTTCTAATGAAAACTAAAATTAAATCAAAATAAAAGGAAGTATTTTGTTTTTTTGCCTTTTGTGTAGCTGCTAGTTTGAAAAGTTGTTGGCCACCGGTTAGATTTTAAAGCTACTGTAAGGAACTTTTGCTTTGTGTCCATTTTGTTTCATGCATTGAATCGTAAATCTTGTCTCTGATGGTCAACTAGACTGTTAACTTGCAGGAGATGTTGCATAATGTAAGTTTAATAGTGTTGTCTTGAAGCCTTGTGTATTTTTCCTGCATATTTTGAAACAGGAGTGAGATACAAGACCAAAAACAAGAGAGAAGTCAACAAAGAGGGAAGACCTGATTGAGTCAAAGTATTAAAGACTCTAAAAATAAACAGCATAACCTCGAATGACTCCACAGAGTTAGTAATAGTTATGATTTCCTTTCCAGATTAAAGTGTGAAACCTGGACTGCAGCTGAATTTCAGCCAGAACAGGGTCGAATCATGCCAGACGGAGATGAAAGCATGGATAACTTTCTCTTAATCACTGCAGGGGGAAAGGATTGAGGTCAACAATAATACGTTGTCATGCACACATGTTGTTTTCTTTTCCAACAGGATGAAGAGGAAGTTTTATTCTTGGGAAGAGTGCGTGAATTTAAGAGAAGTAAAGGTGAGAAGAGAGAAAATGTTGTTTATCACATGTATGTTGGAAATGTACTCACTTATGAAGCAGATTTCGAATGACTCTCCTGATTGAATCTCTAAAATACTTTGTGTCATCAGTCCCTGAGGAAGCTGAACCACGCCAACGTGGTCAAACTGAAGGAGGTCATCCGTGAAAACGACTATCTGTACTTTGTCTTTGAGTACATGAAAGAAAACCTCTATCAGCTCATGAAGGAAAGGTGAGAGCACGCTCAGCTGCCACAGTGAGTCATTCATTCACAGCCTCTTTCACCAGCTGTGGACAGACACTTTTGTGATACAGCAGCTCTGCAGTGTTTTTAAAACAGTCAGGAGTGTGAGTGAGGATTATTCGGCTCAGTTTGAGTCATCATATGTCAGTTTTTAGCAGAAACAAGTCGTTCACTGAGACAGTCATCAGAGACATGACAGTTCAGATATTACAGGGACTGTCCTTTATTCATAGACATGGTAGGTGACTTTGGACAAAAGGAAAATGTATTTGGGTCATAGAAAGCAATTTATTACATGAGGCATCCCAGAATCCTCTCAATCCAAAAAATGACTCACCTTTATTTTTTTCACTCAGTTGCGAGAGAAAGAAAAGAAATCCTCACATTTTTTAAATGTTCGTGGATGCTGCTGATATTCCGCCTTCATTAGAGAACGATTGTTTGCATGGTGTGATTTTCTTTATCTCCTTTTCTTTCTTTTGTCTTTTACCTCTCTGTCGCTGCCAGGGAAGATAAGATGTTTACTGAGAATGAAATAAGGAACATTCTGTTCCAAGTTTTGTCTGGCTTAGCATTTGTGCACAAGCACGGTAAGAGACTCGGTCTTTCTCTTCATTTTTCCCCTTCCTAAACGACCCGATACGGCTATGCTTTGATACGTTAAAACATCTCTGTAGTTGGCATAGATGTTTTAACCATAGACTGTATATAGAATGGACAGCGTCTGCGTCCTTGCCGGGTGAAGCCACTCCGAGAACAGCACCCTCTGTTGACCGGCTGCAGTATAGGTCATAAATCCCGCCTCCGCCAGCAAAGCTTATGGAGCTGTGGACAAACTTCCTCTGTTTTTTTTTTCAGCTCCGTTTCTAAAAGTTATTGGGGGTTCATGTTTTCTATGATTGACACCTGATACAGCCTATGGACGTGGCTCACCTGGGGGGATACGCTGTTTGAGCCGAGCGTCATCACAGCGACTCTCCCGCCGAATGCGCACAACGCTACTGCGCAGTGTTGATCTCAGGAAATGGAGAGAAAACGCGGAATCACCAAGAGCTTTTTGGCTTCACATCCGTACACTGGTGGAAGGCGGAACCAAGTTGTCCATAGTATATACAGTCTATGGTTTCAACTCAGCATTGCTGTAAACTGTCAAGTTGTAGAAGCGGTAGTGGAGCCAGAAACTCGGATATCAAATGAATATCACCAGAACAGGTTTTTTAATGCCTGATTTGTGTTTTCAGGGTACTTCCACCGGGATATGAAACCAGAGAACTTGCTCTGCATGGGGCCAGAGCTGGTGAAGATCGCAGATTTTGGACTTGCCAGGGAAATTCGCTCACGGCCGCCTTACACGGTTTACGTGTCCACGAGATGGTGAGGGCTGATTGATTTGTAACATGAGGAAAAAACGCCATCTGATGTCTGACCTTGATCACACTTGATAAATATAAAATCGTACCTCTGAGTGATACCAGTCTGAGATGTGTAACCTGCTAAAAAGATGGAGAGAGGGGGGCATCTCAGTCAGCCAGGGAGCAAGGAGTGACTGCTAGATATCTCAGACTATTTCCTTTTCTAAACAAAAAACTTAAATACTACCAACATGGCAAGATCCAACCTGGAAAAATAAAAAATGAGATTTTTGAACCCTGTTAGAAGTTCCTTTCATTGAGCTTCAGAAATAGTAACTTCATAGAAAGCAGAATTTCACATCAAAATAGAGCGGTGTTAGATCCCTGTATTAATAACGTTCTGTCGTGTTGCTGTCGAAGGTACCGAGCCCCAGAGATTCTGCTGAAATCAAACTCCTACAGCTCGCCCATCGACATCTGGGCCGTGGGATGCATCATGGCGGAGCTGTACACGCTCAGACCCTTGTTCCCTGGCAACAGCGAGGTGGAGGAAATCTTCAAGATCTGTCAGGTGCTGGGAACTCTAAAGAAGGTACAGCAGAAGAATGGTTGTATTTTTGGTTTTAATAAGAAGTAAAAACCAAAATAATTTGTTACATTCTGTTTATAATCTTGAATATTTCTGACACCCTCTTGCTTTGACTCATATCTCATTCTCTAATACCAACGTCACACTCCTCTTTTATCTTGAAATTTCTTTCTCTTCTCTTCGCATCAGTCCGACTGGCCTGAGGGCTACAACTTGGCGCTGGCGTTGAACTTCCGCTTCCCAAAGAGTGTCCCCGCTAGCTTCAGATCCTTGATCCCCAACGCCAGCAACGACGCCATCGCTCTGATGAAAGACATGCTGCAGTGGGACCCCGAGAGAAGACCGAGTGCGGCCCAGGTACGCTTACATGATGTTTTAACGCACTCTGACTGGAGGTGCAGTTACTGAACATCAAATAGAAAATATGCATCCACTTAATTCAATAAAAAAAGACACATTTTTAACTTGAATTTAAGAAATCCATTTGTCTGTGTTCAAGGCTTTACGGTATCCATACTTCCACGTGGGTCAGGCGCTCTTGGCTCCTCTGAAGTACTCGGGGAACCACACAACTCAGTCAAAGCTCTCTGAAGATGCTCCAGAGACGAAGCCTCTGTCCCTCTGTAAGTCTGACCTCGAGTCCGTCAAGCCAAGAAAGACTCATGCAGAGATGCAGAGCAGCATCCAGGCTCCCCACCAGCCTCTTCAGCAGATCCCCCTTCCCCAGGAAAACCAAGAGCCCAGCATGAAACCAGGAGTTTGCTCCACCGTGCTCACAGAAGGGCAAGAGGAGCCGCTCAGCCTGGTGAAAAAGAAGCAGCTGACGAACTTGCAGTCTGTGAGTATGAACAGGTAAAGCTTCTACGTGTGTGTGCTCATGACTGACTCCCTGAACTCGACTTTTCTTTCCTTTTTTTAAGCCTGGAATGAGGGCAGGACGGAGACGATGGGGTCAAACGTCTATCAAGTCCGTCTCCAGCGTGGACGGCAGCGAAGACACCGGGGTTTCACTCTCCAAAAAAACCACCATCAGTTCTGTGAAGCAGAGGGAGCTGGACGGGCCGAGGTCAGACTTCTCTCTGTTTTTAATGTGAGATATGTTTTCACACCGTTTATAAAAAAAGGATTTTAATATTGTGTGATTTTTGTTTCTAGCTCAAAGGCAGAGCTTCCAAACAGTGAGCTGAACAGAGGGAACGCCGCCACCTTGTCCGCCAAGCAGCACTACCTCCGCCAGTCCAGATATCTGCCTGGTGAGAGCAGAACATTTAAAGTCCTCAGGGTCTTTACTCGGGTTTATTTTGAATTGTAAAGCTTAATATCATAGGCCAGAGTTAAACAAAGGAAAAGGACTAAAAATGATGACAAAAAAAGGGATTTATTAAAAAGAACTAAATGAAAAGCATCAAAAAGGTCCAACTGAAAAATCCCAAAGGCAAAATCCGACAAAAAGGAAACTAGAGATTCACACATCGACTATGACTGACACACACTGGCTGACAAACACACACAGTGAACCAACAAGAACAGGGGAAGACAGGGACTATATATACACACACAGGGAAATGAGCAACGAGAGGCAGGTGAGGCACTGAGACACAGGTGAAGACAATTACAGAGGAGGGAAAACTGAGGAAGTAAAACAAGACGAGAAACGCAAGGATGGATTACTACAAAATAAAACAGGAAACACTGAAAACTGAAAGAATAAAACATTAAAAACATGAGGGGAACGGGGTCAAACATAAACTTAAAACTCACAAGACAGGATCACAGGGGAACAGAAACACAAGGGAAAATACAGAGAAAATACACTCAAATAAAAAACACAAAACTTAATGAACAGAACATAACACGACACATAATCTAACATGTGTTTCCATTAGATCTGTGCAGAACTTTGAACCATCTAAAAGGTTTAAAAAAAGGTCTGAGGTCTAAAACTTTTTGTCTTTTTTTTTTAGGCGTAAACCCGAGAAAAAAGTCTTCATCAGAAAACCAGGCAGTGAAGAGAAACATTTTGGGCTCATCTCTGAGCAAAGGACCGGGGCCGGAGTTCCCTTCAAGTAAAGGTAAGAAAGACTCAGAGAGGAAACGTGTAAGAAGAGACTCGACATATTTCATGTTATTTTGTGAGAGCAGAGCATTTTCTCATCATTTTGATATTTAATCTTTTTAGTGCTCATTTTCTTTTTAAGTTTTGAAGTTCTACAAAGATAGAAAGGCTTTCATACGGCGTGATGAGTAAAAATATGATAGAAACAGAGTAAGGACAGGGTTCAGATTGGAGAGGATACTATGGCAGGAGATTACAGCATCACTGATGAACACTGGAGTTTAATTTACCACCATTTGTTATGTTTTCTTTTTCATTAAGCCATCAAGTAAAGTTAGTCCTAATATCCATCTGGGACTTTGACTAAAAAGAAGTCTACTCAAGTTTTGCTGTTTTCTTTAACTGCCGTTCTACATCTGTTTTCCTCCTCCACTCGTTCTCTTTCTTTCTTTCTGTGATATTCTGTGATTTGTAGATATCAGCTTTCCTAAACTCACAGAAACACAACCTTTAGGAGAGAAGATACTGGAGGATCTTGATCTACCCAAAGGTCTGTCAGACTTAGAGGCTTTTTTAAATCATTAACAGTGTTTGAAATAAAGATGTCCACCACAGAGGAACAATAAATCCTCACAGTCAGGGAAAGTAGCAGCTTCAGTGTCGCTGATTACGGCTCAAACCGGTTCATCTGTAACCCGAGATTGATTTCCCCCTCTGCAGATTCCTTCATGAGCAACTCCAACTGGACCGTGAAGACACACCTGACCCCTTTGGAGAGGACAGAAACAGGAGCAGCAAGACACAGGGTCACTGGGACCTCAGCCGGTGAGATTTTCTTTTCTCTTGTCAGATTAATCTGTTTATTTTCAGGGGTGAAGGAACTAGACACGTTTATTTTTTCTTTCAGTTAGGTAAACTAAACTTTCAGTGTACTAAATCTAAACAGAGACAGATCCTTGCCTGATGAATCTGTTCAGTGTTGCGTCTTGAATTCAGATCTTTATGTTCTTGTTTTTGTGAACCTCGTAGTTGATCTGTCCTTGGCTGCTGATCTAAGAGTCCAGACTAAAACCAAAACACCCAAGAGCAAGACCTTCTCAAGCAAACTGCTGTCCTCCAACGATGGTAAGAACAATCCAGACTATCATCCACCAAGTAAACTCAGCATCTGAACGCTCTATGTGTCCAACCTGAACACGTTTCACTTCTCCTCTCACAACAATTTCCCCAGAATACGACGGCTGCAGGAGCCGAAACGCTCAGATCCCCACATCCAGCTCTACAGGGAAGAAAACCTTCACGAGGAACACAAACTTGCAGCCTGTACACGGACGCACCGACTGGACTGCCAAATACAGAAGCCACCAGTAGCAGTTAAGTTCGCTCTGCTCCACCAGTGACTCCTGGGAAAAATCCAACTCCACTTCATCAGGAAGCTCAAATGTCAGAGGAAGAGCCGCCAAGAGCGTGCAGAAGTGAATCCTGCCAGATTGTTGGGATTAAATATTGCCCAGTGTCGTCTTAAAACCCATGACTCCTGTTTGTGCTCATAAAATAATAGACCAGAGATTAAAAAGTATATTTTTTATTGAATTAAGAGATCCTTTTTTTTATTTTTAAGCAACAGATACAGAGCGAAAAAGTACAACCATCCACCTCTTGTTGTTAAACAGTTTTGTATTTCAAAATAAAACCTATCTGAAGATGCTTTTTGTTTTAGTTTTGTTTCCTGTTAGTCGTTCTTAGTGTATTTTACATTTCTTTGGAAGAATCAGACAGCAGAAAATGAAGCAGCAGGAATGTTTGTAAACTTGAAGCACATTTCTTATTAAAATATATATTTGCAGAGAGAAAAATTTGACATTTTATACATTTTTACGATTGATGCGGCCTTCTTAACATAAAGATGAGCCTCAGCAGCATCAGTCCACTGAAAAGAAATGAAAATATTTATGTCAGGAAACATAAAAGTATTTCTATTCTTCTCTATTAATTCACATTTTAAAGTAAAAGGTCTACATGATACAGATGTGCTGATATTACCTCGCTACAGTCATTAAACCAGCAGGCATGAACTTCCCGGAGTTCAAAAACCTCAGTCCCATCACCACAGTCAGAGTCCCCGAGGTGCCTGAGTGTCAGAGAAAGAGTGATTGTAATGTTTTCATGAACGCAGCACTTTGACAGTGTGTGACAGACTAAACTTGCTCACCTGCTGAAAGCCAGACATTCCTGGGGTTTTGAGATGCCAGATAAGCTCCAGCTGCAGCCAGCAGGCCAAAGAGCAGCCCTGCAGCCAGAGAGGTCACACTGCCTGTGGAGGAGATGAAGTGAACACCTGGCACACCTGCTGATCCTTAAACTGATTTTGTTTTTAAAGTTATTTCTACAGGCAATTGAGCAAATATCACATATAAATCTAATAAGAGGTATAATCTACTGGAAAAATTGTAATTTGTGGATATACTGGTCAATATTTACAACATACGACACATGACAGTCAAAGGTCAGGATGATGATGTCCACAGGAGGTGCCAAAATTAACACAAAACAAAAGGAGCTTAAAAACAAGCACTATGATAAAATAAACTAGAAAAATTGCATTTCCTTGCAGAAAATGCGTGGAAATGCTGAGTGCTGAAAGCTGAAAAAGCAATGCAAAACTGCTAAAAAATGGAGGAAGGTTTAAATGTAAAATTGGTTTAAGGGCTGGAGAAAGAGAAGTAGAAGTTGGATGAAAGTGAAAATTGCTGAAGTACAAATAGTATGAATGTGCTTCATAAATTAATATTGAATGCAAATAAAAAAAAATGCAAAAAAAGAAGAAACAACAGAAGTTCCAATGCAAAAAAAATTAAAACTGAAGCCCGCTGCAAATAAAAAAGAATGCAAAACAAAGAAGTCACAGAAGTTACAGATGCAAAAAAACAAAGCGAAGCCCGCTGCAAAAAAAAAGTGCAAAAAAAAAAAGGAAGTCACAATGGAAGTTACAATGCAAAAAAAAAAAAAAAAGAAACTGAAGCCCAAAAATTAACCACATCACCACTTTTTTTATGCATTGTTAACTCTCGTTGTGGCTCTTTTTTTGTGAATCCTTTTATTTTCACAGTATGTTACTTTTTTTTCTTTGCAACGCCACTCTTTTTTTTTTTCATTGTTAACTTCTGCTGTGTTTTTTTTTTCTTTTTTTTTTATCTGCACTGTTTCTTTTTTTATTTGTAGTGAGCTTCGTTTTCTTTCTTTTTCTTGCATTCTTTTTTTATTTGCAGCAGTGGCAGTTCTCGGCCACCGTACTTTCTTGATTTTTAACTTACTTTCGTAATTATTTACGATAGTACGATGTTTTTTTTCTCTTATAAATATTACAGTAATCGTTTGCATGGGAGTGTAAACAAGACTTAATCATGCAAAACCACAACCAAAGCAAAAGAAAATCAGCTCATCATTTAACCCTGTCACAAACGGACAGAAACTTACCAACAACTTAAGTTAGAAGTTAGACTAATAGTTAGTTTGTCCTTATGTTTCTCCTACCTGCTTTCAGATAACCAATGAGTCCTCCTGCGGACACCAGAGCAGCATAGATGAAGCCAATCCAATCCACAGCCATGTTTGACTTCGAACCAGGAACTTCCTCACTGTAAACTTCTTATAAAAAGGAGTTTATGGATTTAACACAACTTTTCCGACAGCGAACGAAAGCGACAGATACACAAATTCAGCGAGTGCAGAAATATCGCACAAAACGTAAGGAAATCATAAACTATGTGACCCTGTAGCTTCGTTTTATATTACAGCATACTACACCAGTTTGGGTACCTAGCAACGTCAGAACGTCACCTCTGTGTATTCCCTTCCGGGGTTACGTACTGTATTTCAAAATAAAGGAGTAATTTGGTTATGATATTTTAAATCCATTCTTGACTGATTTTAAAGGTGTTATAAATGAAAATTTCCCCTCCAAATAACTAATGTTGATCCTGTCATGAATTTGCAAATATTTACAACATTTAAAAAATACAAACTTTGCTTCATCGCCTCCCTGTGGTGACCATAAGTAAAGCATGTTAAATAGTTTTACTAAAAATAAAGCAGACCATGAATGATAAAACTGTTTTTATTGTTGCCCATCTCATCTTCCTTCTCTTTTTTTAGCTTTTTTGCATCAATGACAACAAACATTAAAAACTTTACTTTTTTACCCTCCTTATTGAAAATGCACATGTGACCAAACAGGTCAAGCCATCAAACAGTCCATGAAAAATAACATCATTCTTCTTTTTAAGGTTATTTTCCACCATCCTTTTTCTTCTTCTTCTTTGGTTTGCTCTCATCTTCTAGGATGACCTCCTCTGTTGAAATATGGACTCTCTTTGTCTTTGAAAGCTCCTTCGCAAGTTCTGTCGGCAGAAAATGAGATGTAGAGACACGCAAAAAAAGAGTCTTTATTTATGTAAACGCTATTGAGAAAAGGCTGGAAAACACGGATGATGGTTATTATTTAATGTACCCTATTTTTTTTGGACTATAAGTTGCCATGAAATAAAATAAAATAGCCATAAAAAACATAAAAAAGCCATAAAATGCATAATGAAGTTGAAAAAACATATAACGGTATAAGTTGCATTTTTGGGGGGAAATTTGTTTTACAAAATCCAAGACCAAATTATATATGAAATCATATATTTCAATATATATATAAGTCGCAAACCCAGCCAAACTGTGAAAAAAGTGCGACTTATAGTCTGTAAAATACGGTAAGAGTTTAAAGGTGGACTACCTTCAGATGTTGTTGCTTTAGCTGCTGGTTCCTCGGTGGTCTGCTGCACTGATGAAGGTTTCCACACGGCGAGGCACGTCAGTCTGGCTGTTGTATTCACTTCCCCAAGGAGTGTGGGAGATTCCAGCTCCTGTTGGGAGTAGACAGACAACAACAGACGGTTAACATTTAAGTGAATTTTCTAAACTTTTCTAAACTCTATGAATTAAATCATATAGCAGAAAGGTTCATAAGCGAGTGCATAACTTCATAACTTGCTAGGATTATTTTAAATATACAGTTAAATTTAATGACTGAATGTTCATGAGTAACACTTAAGTCGTGCCTCTTTCAGTTGGAGTTTCCACATTTTGATGAATCCATCGTTTGAAGCCGTGACAACCACGCAGTAGTCCTCCATCATGAAACTGTCAACAGCTTTGACTCTGAAGACACAAAACAAAACAGACTTTTAAACACTGACCTCCAATATCAAGTGAAAGTGGAATTGACATCGATCAGCCATACAAAGAAGAAGAACTTTATGTCTCTGATTCAGTTTTTGACATTTTTGCCAAGTCAGCAAACTATTGAAAATGCAGCGTCACATAAATATTAAAGCTACTGTAAGGTTTGTGCTGATTCTGGGGCTGATCTTGTTTTGTACAAACTAAGGTAGTTTTCTCTGAATAAACATCTCATTGTGCTTTTTTTAGCAGTTAATTACATCACTCATTGTGACTGTTTACCACTGAAAAATGTACAAAAGGCTGTTTCTTCGGTGTGCCATCAATGACCTAACCCCACTTAAACTTATAATACATATTGTCAGTTATGTTACTGATGGTTTTGTTTGCTTTTGTAGGTCATAAAGAAGCATCAGTATCACTTTCAGTCCATTTTATAACTAGTCAGAAACTCCTCACAGCAGCTTAGTAAATTTAAGACATCTTCAGAGGTTGATTAGTGAAGAAAAAACACGGTAAATTTACCTTGTTTCATGAGCCTTAAACTCACACACCCACTTCTCCTTCCCTGTGTCACATAATCTCACTATTTCATCATCTCCTGCGACAGCCAGGATGGAGTTCTAAAAAACAAGGAACATTATCACACCTTTTTGTAATCAGAGATCTTGATATTCTTATGCTGCAAATGATAAAATATCAGAGATGCTTTAATCTTTTTGAAAGCCGTTTTCTAGTAAGGCAGTGGTGTGTTTTTTTGGGGAAGTCTCTTATCAATAGAGAACTTACATTTAAGAACTTAACAGATGAGATCCTCTTTGGGTTTGTGATCGTTCCTGTCACTGAGGCTGTCTGCAGGTCATAGATGTCCACTTTGTCATTTAGAATGACCACATATTTATCCCCATCTGGAGACCACCTGACTATGTGAGCATCTGAGAGAAAAAGTATGAAGTCATTTCCAACACAGAGAAAAAGGTCCATGAATCAACTCTAAAACCTGAAAGTCGTCTTACTTTGTTTTATGTTTTTGATGAACGCTGAGCGTCCGTTTATTAGATTCCATGTTCTACAGAAAGAGCAAAAGACACAACAGTTAGTTTTGTTTCCTTAATGAGCAAATGATCACAGACTTTCGCAGAGCGATGAGTGTACCTGAGAGTCTTATCTGTCCCGACTGTGAGAGCAAGTTTCCCGGATGGATGGACAGACAGTGAAGTGACGTGGCCTCTGAGAAAAACAAAAGGATCAAGAAGATTACTTTCACTCATCTGGTTCGTAAAGAGAGCAAACACACAAAGACAATCACCTCAGCACCCCTCTCCCTCTCCCTCCCTTACTTACTTGTGAGCTTTGATGGATTTCAGACACTCCCATTTCTTGGTGCTCCACACACAGACGAGTCCATCCTCTCCTCCACTCAACAAATGAGACGTCCCGTAGAACTCCAGGCAGGTGATGGTACCTGTGGGACAAACGGTTACAGTCAAGACAAAAATAGGCTGAAATTCCCTTTATTTTTGCTGCTTCCAGGGATTTTTCTAGAATTAACTCCTCTGAGGGCACTCAACTGATCAACCTCAAACTTGGCATACAGCTAGAAAAGACCTGGATGAAGAAAAGGTAGTAAGCCTAAAGGGATATTCCAGCGTAAAATTAATTTAGGGTCAAACACACTGTAACACAGAGTTAGAAACCCTGTCGAAAGATGAATGTTGCCAACTGTTTGCTTCTCTAACTTTTGTAATGACCGCAGGATAACAATACAGAGAGCCACACGCTCAACCAAAACACCACTCTATAGCCACAAATAATGCTCAGAACAGCACCTAACTTCATCAACAGTACATTATGGACTGCTGTGGGGTTTCGCAGCTCAAGGAAGAACATTTATGATAATTTCTTCATGGAAATGCAATCAGATTGAGACGCTAAGGTAGAAGAACTACCGCGTCTGCAGAGAAAAATTATTAATATGGTGATTATTACTTCAAGGAAATGATACAGAAATTATCATAAATGTTCTTCCTTGAGCCTCAGAGGCATGGTGGTGTCAGGCCCTTAAAGTCTCCTACATGTACTTTAAACAGTGTCACTAATTTGGTGTCCAGTGGAGTCTCTCACCATCATGATGCAGTAAAGCTCCATGTTCAACCCTCCTCTGTAAGTCATACAGCTGCATGGTCTCATCTTTGCTGCCTGTGACCACAAACCTCTCACTGGCTGCTACAGCTGATATAGATGCTGTGTGGGCATGGTGTGTGAAATCTGCCTCTGCTGTCCACTCCTGCGTGACAAACACAAAACAAGGAACAAATAAAAGATGAGATGCGAGGACTGTGTGTAGAAAAATGAGGAGAAAACCACCAAATTAGTCGCTTAGTAAAGACTGAACTCTTTGACAATTCAGTATACGTTAAGATTAAAAAACACGAGGTATCAGTCTTGTACCATGGCAGTGTTATGCATCTTAAAAAAGACAATATTACTTACTTTCTCCCCAGTGAGAACTCGGTATCCAACCACGACCTGCTCATAGCTGCCAGCTATCAACTCCAGTACAGCTGCCATGCTGGGGCTAGGCTAGCAGGCTAGCTAGATTTAGTAAAATCTCAGCGTTTTCTGTCTGAATTCTTACACTTCTCAACACTAACAGCTACTTAAAGTCCAAACCAATATCTGTAAGGGAAGCATTAAAACACACACTCCGCAAACGGATCCTTGAACAGAAAAATAGCTGTATTTAACTATATTTTTTTGGCTAAAACTACTTCCAACTCCAAAACAACGTGTGGAACTGATGCGCATGCGCAAAAGTTCCACCCTTCGATCAGGTGCATAGAGGTTTCAAAATAAAAGCCGGTACCGAAGGGATGTTTTTATTGATAATTAAATTAGTGATTTGCACGAAGGTTGAATTCAATCAATTTTCCTATCAGCCTGTCCTCGAGATCATAATAAACATCAGCTGATCTTCAGTTATATCCTCAGAGTTATGAAAGCACAAAACAAACAGAAATAGGTTTAACTTTCATCAGTTGTGTAGGTTATAGTTACCTTTGTTTGTTTTCAGGCTGGGAAGCTCAAATATTGTTATCCCGTCTTACTGCTGTGTTCTCGGTCGTAAATTGCTCAAAGGTGATAATCTGACAACTTGTTGACATCTCAGTGCCCTTTTGAAACTGCATCTACACACCATGGACAGACTAGACACAACACAGCCATGAAAACAAAAGAGAGTGAAAAACAAGTGCAAAAACTGAGCAGACATCTTTGGGTGAAATTATCCAGTTTTCAGAAGAAAATTAAAGTGATATCTACAGATCATGAAATGGACTGATCTGAATTTACCCAGCAGTACTCTCAGTATAAAACCAAGAGTTATTTATTTGTGTCACCTAGCCATCCACTGTATTATCCACTGTAGTTGTATATAGTATTCAGTAAAGTTTATCCTACACTAAAGCCTGACCAGGGACAAAGACAGCAAGTTAGCTGAAGCTAGACGTCTTGTATGGATCACATTTTCCTTTTTTTTTGTGGCAATGTTGTACGTATTGTCCCTGTTAAATAAACATTGAAATAAATGTTAAAATAAATAAATAAATATCTGAATCTGGATCTACCAGTTTATTCTTTGATTCTTTCAACTTAGAGTTGAGCTGACAACTATGTAAATGCTAAATCAACATCAGAATCTGACTTTGTTTCAATGACAGTTTTGCATCTTAAATTGATATAAACAAAAATCCTGCTTTATCTAGAGCTAGGATAAATGTTATAATATGCATTTATATATCTTTATTATTGAAAATATAATGTTGGTGTTTTTTTTTAATTTATAGAAAATAAAATTTTGCATCTTTAAGTTTATTTAGTTTATTTCAACATGATCATTTTGTTAAATTTCATTCTTCACAGATTGGGCATTCAGCTGGGACCCTTTTCTGCATCAACTGGACGATCAATTTCATGAGATGTCTCCAGGTATCGAAACAAAAACACAGGCTCAAAATTCAAAGTTGGAGTTAAAGTTTGTAAGCCTCAGCAGGAGGCTGTGTATCAACATTGGAGTACCTTAATATGCCTTTATACTTTCACCTTTTGTGTTATGGTTTATTATGGGTTAATATTCAACTATTTTACACATAGTCTGAAGGCCTACAGTGTCATCCATGGAAGCAATCAAGTTATTTGGCCAAGATTTACACAGTATATGGCTGAAATGAATCAATAATTAACTACCACTGCCAGTCACAACACTCAGTTTCTTAAAGTATAATGAATGAGACGATAGTGCAAGAATATTAAAGAGGGAATTTGTGATGGTTAAAAAAATACCCTAAAACCCCCCTGATCCTTCTCACCTAACACACAGTGGGTACATTATTAATATCCTGTAACTACAGAGAGAGATCCACCTCCACTGGGGAGGGGGTGCAGCTGTTTCCCTTCGCTCTGATTGGTTGTTTCTCTTCACTACGTCATGATTGACACTTGAGATAACAGTCCCCATGAAACGGTAGTTTTGTAGTCAGAGGATGTAAGGAGGCAGAGTAAGATTTTCCACTACAACGGGACCATGTCAAGGAGGTATGTTTTGGTCTGCAGATACAGAAGTGCGTCAGAGATAGGTTTTCTCGACGGTTTCTGATAAATGCGCGTTTATTGAGGACAAACTCGAGACACCTTTCGACGCTGTTTGCATTAAAGACAGAAATATTTGCTGTAAACAGTCGCTGCACTGTTACCTGACATGTTTAAGGTGATGCAAAAGTTAGACTTTTTTCATTGCGCACTTTTGGTTCAGACCAGCTGCTCTTTTTAGAGAAGTGCACATGTTTGCACAGTGAATGTCAAGTTGATAAAAGTTCAGGTTTTTTGTTTGTAGTATGTGTGAGTGCTGCAGGATCTGGTAGTGATTACTTGATTGAATTATACAACAGCATAAGGGGGGATCCAGTGGGCTTGAATATCTGCAGCTTCAGTCTGCTCTTCCTTGTGATTCTGTGACTAAGTGTGACTAATTTAAGAACAGAGAAGTTTCTGTATCTGTGAGAAGCTCCTTCCTGTCATTTGCTTCCTACTCAGATTTTTTTTCTTCAATGTGACAAATATCAGCTGTTTTTACATGACAGGAAGGGTGAGGCACTTATTAGAAAAGTTTGATTATTTCAACATCATAATAAAAGCTCTTGGCAGATAAGAGGAACTTCTTTAGTCTGCACATTGTACTCTGGGGCCTTTCAGTTTGGAGATGTTTTACTTGGACCATAAAACAACATCTGGAAGATGGATGATTTCGTTTATCTCATGTTACTTTAGGAGCTGTGCAGTTGTAACTTAATGATGGAGGTGTGGTCAAGACATGGAGAGGACTGGTCGGTCAGTTTTGTTCTCTTTGCTTTGTGTCGGAATAAAAGACCCCAGGGGACAGAGATTATAAAACAGACAAACGAGGAAGTTGCTGCACAGGTTTTCTGCAAAAATATTCAAGTGATATTGAAACACTTCTAAGCAGTTTGGTTCTAGGGTGCTGGAGTCAGGGACAGCTGTTTTGTTTCATAAGCAATTCCCACACTCTTCTAGTTACTCGCTACATTAGTTTCTATTATAATTATCTTTATTAATCCAAAATTTAACTGCAGAATCAATCCAGAATGCTAAAACATCCACTTCTTTCTCTCCTTGCTGTATAAAAACTCAAAAAACATCCCTCTGCTGTTCAGTATTTTGCAGGAGAGGTTAGGGGAAAGGATTTGAATGTTAAGAAGTCACCTAAAAGTTGTTGCACATAATTGTATTGATGCAAAATGAAGGATATATGTTGATTTTTAAACTTTTTAACCAAAGGAGAGTTTTTTTCTCTATGTAAGATGTGTCATAGCTGGAAGAGAACATGTGAAAATAATTATATTGATTGTTAAATTCCTTCAGTGTTAAGTTCTTGATAATGTGGCTGCTGGCCCACTATCACGCTGTCAGGACGGAGTGGAATGCTTGAAAATAACAGAGCCATCGTTAATGGGAAGTAACAGCTGCTTTTTTCCTGCTGTAAAAAGTCAAAGTGTTGCTGTGCCAAAGGCCGACTGTGTCTCTGACTGTCTAAAGAATAGAAAAACCCTTTGAGAGTAGAACTTATACTTTAAGAGGCTGTGTAAAGTGTTGATGAAAGCAGATTATGCATTGAAACTGACATTACTCTGCGGTGGATGTCACTGCATGAGCTTATAATCAATTCCAAAGTCTACTGTGTGTAAACATAGTTTGACAGTACATCATCTACAGTCATCTGCATTTGTTTCTTCTTTTCATTTTACAGTCAAAAGGCCGATCATGAGCTCACTGAGGTGCTCAACCAACTGTGGCGTCTGGACACCAACCGTCTCAAACCCGGGACTGATTACATCATTTCCCTTCAGGTCTGCACTGTTCGTCTGCCAGCATCACCTCTATACCATGCAAAACAGTCAGACATAAACGCAGTACATGCACATTTTAATAGCAGCGTCTTTGCAGTGACTCTAGCTGCTGCATGACAGATGACTGAGGCAACGCTTGGTACTTTGTATTATTAGAGATGGGTTTGTTGTGATATTTTGTCATCACAATAGGTGAAAAAAACCTAAATAATGTGCATGAAATGACCAGTATCAATGTGTTTAAATCAGTTTCTCTGGTCTTTGTAGTGACCACCTGCTAGAGTCTGTCTGTTTTGTTTGTTTTCTTCAGGGCAGAGCTGGTTACGTTGCCCAGGGCAGTAACTATGCCAGAGACAGGGCCCGAGCTCCTCTCTTCACATACGTCAACGAGGAAAAACTCAAGAGCATCGAGACATACGCACGTAAGTACGAGTCCATCATACTTCTCTAGAACCTCCTGACGTTTTAACAAGCGTGTGTGCTTTTATTGCAGATTTCATCAACTTGCTGGACAACTATGAGACATCCACTGGGGTATCAGAGACGGTGACGTCTGAGGAGCTGCAAGAGAACAGAGTCTTTATCGACTCAATGATGGAGACGGAGGTTATGAAGGTGCAGTAGCCTTTAGCTAAGAAGATCTCTCTCTCACACAAAAGGATCCTTTACTGCGGCTGTTTACACTCCTGGTTACCTCTTTAAACGTTGACAGACTTTCTATAGCTGCTGTTTACTGATGAGTTTAAAGGTTAAAATGATGAAACAGTTTCTTCTGAAAATATCCTTTTTTTTTAAACTATGGAGTTTTTCCCTCAATAACAAATAGAAAAAAACTTTGTTTTTAATGTTGATGTTGTCAACATCCAGAGGGCTGATAACAGTTGTTAGAAATACCTGTGTAACCACTAAATGACTAATTTGACTGTGAAACAGAACAACACAAACAAAGATGATAAGATAAGAAACAAAGGTGCCATTTAAAAATAATCAGTAAGGGTCATGTCGGCTACCACAGGATTCATCCTCGAGACATACCTCTGATATAATGACTCTTCTAACCTTCTGAGACCATTTGAATTACAAATAAAGAGACAGAGTGGTGATTATTAACAAGAAAAAGATCATTACTTTATGGTTTACTGAATAAGTATCACAAATACCTACAAATAAATGAAGTATTAACACTAAAATAGTAGGAGTTTGTATTAAATCAATTTAATAAAGTGTATTTTATATTATTTTAATTTTTTTCACAGTGCGCTCACAAGTACCTGGTCGAGAAGAGGCAGTCACCATCAGACACAGCTCAGTTCAAGAAACAGCTGTATGACATCTGGTTTCGCCTCTACCACAGAGACAGGAGTGGAGGGTGAGTCTGAGGATAACAGCAGGGGGCGCTGCTGCTGTATTTTGGAACAGTCAAGTGTTTCTTTGATTCAGGGCCTGTTTGAATTGATCGTTTTGGTTAGGAGGGTCACACAAAACAGTGTCTGAAAAGAAGAGAAAGCTCTCCAGTCAGGAGTGAATAAGTGCATCCGTAAAGCTATCATTAAATTGGGGTTTTATTTGTATTCTAGTGAGGATTCCTGTGGATTTGAACACGTGTTTGTGGGTGAAACAAAGCAAGGACAGGAGATAATGGGTCTTCACAACTGGGTCCAGTTCTACCTGCAGGAAAAACACGACCATGTGGACTACAAAGGCTACAAAGCAAGAGACAACAAAGACTCAGTGAGAAAATCAGACGTCTTTGACATGTTACTGAATTTGACCTTTGTAAAATAGAGATGTCCTTAAAGAGCCTGTTTCTTATGTCTTCACAGCCTGATGAAGATGACCACGTCCTGAACCTGCAGTTCAGCTGGAAAGGTTTGGTGAAGCCGATTGGCGGCTCCTTTATTGGCGTCAGTCCAGAGTTTGAAGTGGCCCTCTTCACCATCATCTTCCTCATGTCGAATGAGAAAATGACCTCTGTGGTGGTCAAAGTGGACGAGTATGTGCTGGAGCTGGTCGTCTATCGGCACGGTCGATCCATCGGCACATCATACCCAAAACTGCTCAGCAGCAACAACAGAGATTTGTAATTTAACACCTCGATGAATACCGGATATCAATCACATTTATATCAACAATTACTGTTATATGTTTATTTTACTCCTATGCAGTATAAACCAAAGAATAATCTCTATCTAATTGATTTTTGCACTTAACGTCAGGCTTTAACTAGTTTCTAGCTCAAACTTCCTGATTTAGATTCAATATGTAGATGAAGTAAAACCTTTTATGAATCATTTATCTGTTTTATTCTGTATGCTGTTCTTGACTGAATAAAAAACCTGTTTACAAACATGTATCAGTATGTTTTATCCATATAGAGCATTTTTCCTTATTTGGTCTACTTAAAGGGTGTAAGAGAGGAAATCCAAGAAGGCACTTCTTAGATGTGAGGGTTTTCAGGAGGGGCGATCGGCCCCCTTATTCCCCCTCTGAGTACACCACTGTTGTCAGTGGCATTAGGGAGGGTTAGAGAGGGACTCGCACTGATGATGATAGCTGCTGTTTTGGTATTGTAAGCAGAGTATCTGTTGAGTCACTTTACCTGCAGTTGGAGAAGCAAAGAGGAAATGTCAACTAAGAGGCATGATTCATGGAAATTATGGAGCACTCTCTGAACTCTCAAGTCTTAAACTGCTGCATCAGTGTCTCATTAGAAATGTGAAATACATCAGAAAGTCCATCAAGATCATATGAAGTTAGTTGAAGATGTCATCAGCAGTGACAATGCTGAAATGGTACACTGTGGTAAGAAGATTGTGTTTTACATTCCTCATTATAAAGCTATACCACCCACACCAAGGTGTGTTTTGTTTTGGAAAGTGGAGCCAAGATTAGTTGAACCTGCAGATCAACTTCCACAGGACCTTGACAGGGGTGCAGTCAAGGTTCAGGCTGGAACTCGTTGCCCTCATGGCTGATGTTAAATCCAAACAAAGTGGAGGATTCAAACAACAGCAAAGCAAGCAAATGGAGAAGAATAAGGAAGGGAAGGTGAAGCCTCTTCATGGTGAAGTGAAACGGGAAAAAAGAGAGAGAGAGAGAGAGAGAGAGGTTTTGTAAAGTTTAGGTTGAATAATGAGGAGGAAACTCATGCCGGCTATAACAGAGCTGCAGGTACAAACCTGACCAAACACAGGTGCGTCAAAAAGGTGAGCCCTCCGCAGATTAGGAACCACCCCTTTAATGACAAAGAGGAGTGACACGACAGTTTTCCTGTGTTTTTATTGGCTGGTTTTCTGATACCTGTCGTTTCAGGTATACCTGTAACGATAGTTTTTTAGGAGCCAAAATTAATTTTTCCACTGGTCGAGATCATGTCAAGAGGGTAAGTCTGCTCTAAATGAAAGAAATAGACCTTCAATCTTTCTTTTTAAATGATTTGCCTGACAAATTTGAGACATTTTTTGGTTCATGTGAGATGCCTTTTCCATATAAGACAGGAGTGTTTTGCTGTGAACACTACAGCTGCACTGTAACTCGATTCCTTGAAAGCTTCTTTGTGTAAATGACTGCCTGCCTCTCTGCTTTAAAGCACAGAGTTGGACTGGTTTATCAGCTGTTTGATAACAGGCTTGAACAGTGAACTACAGGTTAATTTGGGTCAGGGCTCTTTCTAGTCTGGGGGTGTAGCAGGATCTGACTTTGTGCCCTGACTAGATTTATGATAACGATTTATGTATTTCTATGAACCCTTTTGTTTAATCTCCCTTTTAAAGATCAATACCTGCTGTTTTTCTTCGACTGGAAGGGTGCGGCAGCTACTAGACTATCATTGTTATATTTTCATAGTAATTTTTTAATTACACCTTAGAATAAAAATGAACTAAACTCTTCAGATGGTCCCCACTTTACGCTCTAAAGCATATTTGTTTGGACAAATTTTAGGAAGACCACATAACAAGATCTCGAAGTCTCACATTTAGGATTATGTAATGTTACAACCATTTGCATCAAGAGCTGTGGGGATATGACTCAGTGTTGTTGGAAATGAGCTTAAATGATTTGAGCAGCATGATCACATGTTTATCCACTGAATAACTCCTCTGAACTCAAACTGTGGGCAAAAACAAAATAGTCAATACAGACTTCGTAGGGTGATGGCACAGGTAAAACACAGGTTATATAGTCAGGTCAAAAGTTACGTATAATTAGTGCAAAAAGGTTTAAAAACACTGTAAAGAGTTGATTCATTGTTGATGGATGAATAAATGGATATATGAGCAACGAGAGGCAGGCGAGACACTGAGACACAGGTGAAGACAATCACAGAGGAGGGAAAACTGAGGGAGTAAAACATGACTAGAAGCACAGGGAATAAACTACTACAAAATAAAACAGGAAACACTCAAAACTGATATAAAGAATGAAACACTGAACAGGAGGGAAATGGGGTTAGACACAAACTGAAAACTCATGAGACTTGACTAAAGGGGAACAGAAAAACAACAGGAGGAGAAAACAAAGTTCACAAAACATATGACAGATTATTTCTATTCTCTCTCTGAAGAATGAAACAAAAATCCTTAGTTGAGTACTTCCAATTCACTTCAGACCTTTTATTGTCCTCTTTTTAATCATCTGCATCTGTTTTCTCTGGTTTTGTTTTCTTAGTGAAAAAGCCGATCGTGAGGTCACCTGGGTGTTTAACCAACTGTGGCGTCTGGATACCAACCGTCTCAAACCAGGAACTGATTACATCATTTCCCCCCAGGTCTGCGCTGTTAGCCTGCCAGCATCGCTTCGTGGAAAGATATAAATATAAATCCTAGAAGTTGTGTCTGTTTCATTACTGCACCTGTTACATGAGCATGGTTGAAAATAAAGGGTAGGACCCAAATGCAGATGACCAAGGCAAAGCTTCAGACCCTGATGTGATAATGAGTCAATGCCATATTAAATGTTCCAACAGAGAAAAGGAGATTCACAGGGAAGGACGCAGGTATTCAAACTCCTAGGGGCAAAAAGTCTAAACCGGCTGACTGCGCAGGCAGGAACAGGTCCCAAATACAGATCCTAGAAACATTTGCACTAAGAATACAAGTAGAAGCTTAAAACTGCAGTTGTTAGTTCATATCACGTTATTAAAATATACTTCACCTTTTAGATCGGTGCCGTCAGTCAACAGAGAAACATCCAATCAGCTTTAACATTGAGTCATCTCTAATACATTATATAAGCAATGGCCTATATAAGCATGTGTTTATCTTAATGTATAATAGGAGATGTTTGTTCTCTAATGTTATGACATTTTGTTACCATAGCAGCTTAACCACAGAGGCTGATAGTGCATGATACAGCTGTTATCACTACCTTTGAGTCTGTTTTTCTGGCACTTCCTGAAGTCTGATGTTTCTTGTGTTTCTTTTACTCAGAGGAAGGCCGGTTATGTCGCACGGGGCAGTCATCACGCCAGAGACAAGGCCCGGGAACCACTGTTCACATATGTCAACGAGGAGAAACTCAGGAGCATCGAGACCTATGCACGTAGGTAAAAGTTAATCTCACTTCACAGTTGGCAGATTCTCCCTAAACCATTGACAAGCATTTGTGTTTTTTTTTTTTTTTTTATCACAGATCTTATTAAACTGCTGGACAACTATGAGACCCCCACAGGTGTGACAGAGGTAGTTACATCAGAGGAGGTTCGAGAGACCAGACTCTTTATCGACGCCATGATGGAGACAGAAGTTATGAAGGTGCAGCAAATGTTTCTTTACACATCTCTTTGCACAAACAAACAAAAACTCACACATCCTGGACAGCGGGTGTTTACACTCCTGGTCACCTCCTCAAATACTGACATGTATAAGTCCAGAACAGGAAAGGCTGGTGTGGCCCGGACATAACCCACTTAATCATAAGACAATCAGTGAGTCATCAGCAAAATACATCATGCCCTACATTTGAAGTGCGTCCCTGCAGTCTACAAGAAATATATGCTCTCTCTATTGTAAACATGCAACAGCTAATAGTGTAATAGTGTCATGTGATGTCAACAGGATTTGGTTTAGGAGTGGCCCGATTTTAAGAGTGTGGCAGCTGCAGCCGCTTTCCTGAGGAAAGCCTCAGTCTGCTGCATGTGAAGCTCTTCTGATTCCTTGAATCAACTTTTCTTGACAGTCCCCCTGAAGGCTGCAGTCAGTCCTGTTGTTGTGCAGTTTTTCCCACCACACTTTTCCCTTACAGTTAAAGGGATATTCTGTAAAATTAATTTAGGGTCAAACACACTGCAACACCGAGTTAGACACTCCCGCGAGAGATGAATGTTGCCAACCACTTGCTTCTCTAGTTATACCATTTGATCATGAGACAGCAGGTCGGCTGATGAGCAATTTAAAATACAGATATCAAGTTGTTGTTTTCGCATCTAATAAAATGCAACATTTGTATGATACTGACAAATGAAAAACAACAATTCTCAAAACTTGCAATCGGACAAAAATTGTCTATTTAACTGGGACTTGACTGTAGTGTCTTCTCTTTACAGTATGCTCACAGGTATCTGGTGTGGAAGAGGCAGTCACCATCAGACACAGCTCAGTTCAAGAAACAGCTGTATGACATCTGGTTTCGCCTCTACCACAGAGACAGGAGTGGAGGGTGAGTCTGAGGATAACAGCAGGGGGCGCTGCTGCTGCATTTTGTAACAGTCAAGTGTTTTATTTTGAAGATATGCAGCAAAATGTGTTACCAGGGATGCTTTTTGTCCTTAATCTGGGCAAAAAGAGTTGATGGGAGAAGAAAAGGAGGCTTTTAAATCAGGTCATAGAGACTCTGTAAAACTACCTTTTAACAGGGTGGTGTTTTTTTTAATTTTTGAAAATTTCAGTAAGGATTCCAGTGGATTCGAACATGTGTTTGTGGGGGAAACAAGGCATGACCATGAGATCTTGGGTCTTCACAACTGGGTCCAGTTCTACCTCCAGGAAAAACACGACCACGTTGACTACAAAGGCTACAAAGCAAGAGACAACAAAAACACAGTAAGGAAATCTGGAGGCAAACACTGGCTCCAGTAAATCTCTGCAATCCTCCTCAGCATGTTGCACTTGATTGATCCTGACATTTATTAAATAATGTTATATAGTTGAGTTATTACTGGCAGTTACATGAACAGAGTCAGGTCCCTAATGAGTCTGTTTCTGACGTCTTCACAGCCTGATGAAGATGACCACGTCCTGTCGCTGCAGTTTAGCTGGAAAGGTTTGGTAAAGCCGATTGGCGGCTCCTTCATCGGCGTCAGTCCAGAGTTTGAAGTGGCCATCTTCACCATCATCTTCCTCATGTCAACTGAGAAAATGACATGTCTGACAGTGAAAGTGGATGAGTACGTGCTGGAGCTGTTTGTCTATCGGTATGGGGGATCCATCGGTACATCATACCCAAAACTGCTCAGGAGTGACTACAGGGATTTGTAATATAACTACCAACCAGATGTAGAATTATTCTAACAATCACCATTTCATTTTTTACCTCTTTACCTTTGCAGTTTAAGCCAGAGAATAATCTGTCTTAGTTTCCTAATTGTAAGGCTTTAACTGTCCATATTGAGTTTTTAGCCTAAATTTCCTAGTTTGTACTGACTTGGTGGCTGGAGTATAACCTTTAATTTATTTGTCATAGGCTTTATATGGTCTTTGAATAAATAAAAATAGATATACAAATAAAAAAGTATATTTTTTTTCAAAGAAATGTTGGCTCATTTTCTTTTCCTGTTGTTTAAATGAGGAAATTTTATGATAAAACTTAAGCAGCTTCCTTGTAGGGGAGACTGGGGTAAGTTGAGCCACCCTCTGTTTCTTGGAAATGGTAAAAGAAGTTGATCATGTGACCAAATACTTAGGAGATGGACATCAATTCATGGAGTCTGTGAAGGTTAGAAGCACATGGGTGAAGGGGTTAGACATTTATTTACAAAAAAAAACAAAAACATTTTTCACTCTTGAAAGTGAATTTAGTCTGTCATAAGTTTGATTAGAATTGTGTTCAGACCAAAAAAGTTCATTTTAAATGTGTTTTATACATCAATTGTGGTATCTATGAGCTACAACATGAGGGCAAAACCTAACATAAAAGTTCATTATTTTAGCTTAGAGGACTAATAAAGTCATCATAGTAGTTCTGGGGTAACTGAGAAAGTAAAGAAGTCTGATGAGAGGATCAGAGTTTCAGTTCAGATTGTTGAAATGTTTTAATTTTTCTTTTCAAAAATACAGCTGTGAATGTTCTGAATCACTTAAAGATATTCTCATGTTAAAATGGCTTTTTACAAAACTGCTTTTTAGCAGTTATATGCAATAATAATAAAAAAAGAATTATTGTACCAGTTGAATAGTGTATAATAGATAAAAATACTCATGAATGTGAAGCAGTGACTGTTATTTAGGCAGAGAGAGAAGGTGAGGGAGGACTGAGTTGGAGAATGGGGGGTAGTAGGGATACAGCTAAACTTACCCCATACATACACGGGGTAAGTTGACCATAGGAGACCACTTTTTTGGCATGCTATATTATCCAGACAGTTATGTTTGCACTCATTCTGTTGGTTTGCAGGGATACACAACATCTTGAAATATATGCAGATACACTAGCTAGAGACAAAACTATGATTTCCTTGATGTAGTGATCCGAAATATGAAAAATGGCTCAACCTCCCCCACTCTCCCCTACTGTTAAACATTTCTGTTTGTATATATGTAAGTATTTTTGCCCTGAATATAGTTTGTCAGGACGACTTCCTTAATTTTGTCAAACACATCGATCAGACCTACTCAAAATATATTAAACACTGATATGTCAAGCTCTAATTTCCCGTATGATTGGACTTCAAGTTGATTAATGAGTTACAACAAAGATTGAGATGATGCCCATGGAAGGAAAATTGAAGCTAAATCATGAGATGTTTTTAAAGTACCACTGACATGATGGCAGGATGACAGAAATATCTTATATTTATACATGTATACTAATTTCAGTGGACAAAGTGCGTATTCATAATATGTGTTTATTATATTGACGTACTGGATTGGAGTCACGCACGCCTGTAAGTCAAGAGTCAGGGTAGAAGCTAAAGTCAGCCGAGGACGCTCCCTCTATCCGCGCATGCGCTCTCCAACGAGTCCTATTACCATGTCCAACCACAGAAATGAAACTGTTCCCTTGAAAAGTACCTGATGAAGTGGTGAAGGAGCAGGTAAAGACACACGACCTTTCAACGCTAGATAAAACTCTCCTTAATACTTGCTTTTATTAACTTGTTTTATGTCTTATTAAGAAACTTTTCGAGTTAGAGGTAGAAAAACAGAGGAAGCTAACGGCTAGCCGCTCTCCCTCCCTGCCGTCAGTTTACAGAGTCGGTGTCTGTTTGGAGCCACCTGACAACCGCTCACATGATTTCAACTACTGCGACCACACTCAGGACTTTACACAAAACAACGTAGTTTTTTTTTCTGAATGTGTTTCGTTTGTAGTTTGGATCACTAAAGATTCCCCCCCGTGGAACTTGTCAACAAAAAGCCTCAAAACATCTCCAACATGTTTGGAAAGAAGAAGAGAGCCCCGCAGTCCAGAGGCCAGGGCGCCGCTGCAGCCAAGCAGGTAAGAACTCTGACTCTGATGGTTTCAGGTGAGACTTACCCCAGGTTAAGGCTTTGAGTGAGAGCAGCTGTCACATATGAGGGGGTCTTCTGCTTCCTGGTTTCAGATGGGGCTGTTTATGGACCCTGAAGAGATGATGGGTATGGAGGGGGATCTGGACGACCCGGACCTGGAGGCTGAACTTGCTGCTATCACTGGAGATCGGCCTGCTGGTGGGGGGAGAGCCAAGCACAAAGGGAAAAGTGAGACATGATTTTGAATAAATAGCAGTATTTGGCACACCTGGACTTGTTTTTGTAGGGTTTTTACATATAAATGTGTTATACTTTACACTCAGACCTTATCAGCAGGGGTGTACCAGAGGGTGGCCAGGGGTGGCATGGTCCCACCCCCGGGAAGATGTTTGGTGGCTCGTGCTATGGCTAGGACCCTATATGTACTGTTGATGAAGTTAGGTGCTGTTCTGAGCATTATTTGTGGCTATAGAGTGGCGTTTTGTTGAGCACGTGGCTCTGTGTATTGCTATCGTGCGGTCGTTACTAAAGTTGGTATAACTAGAGAAGCAAGCGGTCGGCAACATTCATCTCTTTGACCATAACTTAAATTTACGTCAGGATATCCCTTTAAGTACAAAACCTCAGAGGTGGGGTGGTGTCAGGCCCATAGGCAAATCTGCAGGTGTCCATAGTCCATCTATGTAAGAGAGTTAATCCTATATTCCCCATCAGCGGTAGCTTCACATACCTTAACTACATTCAAACACGAGTATATCTGTACTGCAAAGGCCCTCACCCTCACACTGCTTGATAAAACATACAAAACACAGCATTACTCAACCACATCCAGCCTTTAAATCACAGACATTTCAAGGATTAATTTGGCTTAACTCGCATTTTCTGTACCTCTTATCTGCTCGGGGGGGTTTCCAAAAGACTTTGGATCCTGGCTGCAGGGATGTTAATCCCATTCAGCAGCAGCAGCAGCAGCAGCAGAGGTCAAGTGCTGGTCAGGCTCGCAGTTTGTGGTTCAGTGTAGCCCAAATTGTTGCACTGGGATTTGCACAGGGTAGCTAGCTAACACTTCCAACTTCAACTGGTTTTGGTGCCGCTGTTTATTTGGGGGGAGGGGTATTCTTGAAGTTCATGCAAGAGAAACATATATTGTGCCAACAGTCTCAGTTTTTACCCCAAACAAAGTGACTAAGACATGTTTCGGCGTTTTTATTGCTCTGGAAAAGTGTTAATGTTGCTGCTTTGACACTAATTAGTGTATTAATTATATCACTACTACCTTCTCATGCGATATGTGCTCCTGATCTCAGCTGGATATATTTGTGTCACAGGTCCACTGCCAATGGAGGACATCGCCAAGATGGCCGATGAGTGTATGAGAGATGTGGATGACGATGAAGATGATGGTGACCTGGAGGATGACGAGGATCTGTTGGTTAGTGTTCTTTATATTTTCTTCTCTAATAAATTTTATTCACATAAACAGTTAAATGAAGCCTGCAGCCATTCAACAGACATTGATTGATTTAAATGTGTAAATTCAAATTAAACACGTTAATTAGACAGTGTAGTTAATTATCTGAACTAACAGAGTTCTCTGTGTTTTAAACTGAGCAGTACAGAGGTACTTTGTGCTGCAGAAGCCGAGGTAAAATAATCCATTCTCATGTTTTAAACCTTGCAGACAGGGTTTGTATTGATTAAGTTCCTTTTATGTGAGCTTTGATTCAAACTAGTGTTAGATCACATGAGGAGCACTTTAAACCAGATGTATTATTATCTTCTTTATGCCTGAAAGCTGAGAGCAAACAGTCTCACATCTTAGCTTTTTTTTCCTCTTGAAAGCCACAGTGAGGAATTTTTAACTGATTATGAAACAAACTTAACTTTTTATAGCCTAATAAATCAAGGGAACCCATCATCAAGACGTTTACGATTACTATCATGAAGTTAATAATGCTTGTAACCAATTAGAGGGGGGGTAGGTGTCACGTATTATTACTGATAGCATGTTGAAAAAGGCTTTTTCATTGTGAGCAATTTATTTGACCGTCATAAGAATTCAGGACAAGTTTTAGTTGTCAGAAATGGTATTTATGCGATAACGTTGAAGCATGCAGTCAGAGAAAAACCTCCATAATTTAGAGCCGCTTTACATGAATTCAGATGGTTAAAAGGGGGACAGTAAGCAGACCTGACTCAAATGATTTCAAAGGTCAGGATAGTTATTAATGTAGCAAATCAGGTGAAAGTGTGCATGAGATAATTAGCCAAGAATATACCGACTGCTTCCTGACGCACAAAATGGCCCAATAGCAGGCGCAGAAGTTAAATTGGACTATTGTTATTCATGATTTATGATTTATTCTGCTGATTTTACAACAGTGAGGTAAGTGTGAAGGTTGATTGCAAAGAAGCAGTTTGCAGTTTCCCTTCTCCTGAAATCTGTCTCCATATATGAGTAACAAAGCTGCTTGTTGATCAGTTGCTCTTGTTTTCCTCCCATCAGGCTGAGCTGCAGGAAGTGGTAGGTGAGGGGGAGGCTGAAGATGATGCAACTGTTTCCTCCACGTCTTCTGCTACTGCTGAGTCTCCTAAAGCCGAAACACCAGAGTCTCCTGAGCCACAGGTACGATGCACATCACTCTCTGCTGGCTCTGTATCCGACGCCTCCAGTTTCTCCAAATATGAGTGAACTTCTCATCCTGGTCTAAACTTGATATAGTTGAATACCTGTTATCTGCTCTAGATGAAGCGTAGAAATATGAGCTTTAATTAGATGATGCTTATGGGACCTCTCTGTTGTTCAGGTGCAGCAGCAGCAACAGGAAGTAAAAGTCTCCTCTGCAGCGCCCGGCAGCCTCCAGCACACCCTTGAGGAGAGATTAACCATGTATAAGACGGCCTCCAAAAACGCCAAAGCTGCAGGGGAGGTGTCCAAAGCCCGCAGATACGATCGAGGCCTGAAGGTGAGCGTCAAATCCATCCTTCAGGCTTAACTTTCCAGCAGCTTTAACTTAATTATAAAAATATTATTATAGACTTAAAGGTTTACAAATGATCAAACTCTCTTAGCAGTAAAAGGGATTTTTCATAATTAGGATTAATTCCTTTTGACTGAAGTGTTGGCAAATGATTAACTGACCCTGAATAAAGGCTGAAATCATGGCTCAGGAGTTATGAATCCAGCAGGAGAGGTTGGTGGTCCACCTCTAGGCTCCTCTTATGTATGAAAATAGATCTTATTTCCATGTGTACTTTCTATTAGGAAGGACAATAAGCAACACTTCTGCCAGATGGCGTCACTCAGATTCAAAAGTTACCCCAACACAGAAGAAGAAGAGTCAAACATTAAGACATCCTGATGTTTTTGTTTCCTCTCCACAGACTCTGGAGTCGATGTTAGCCGCTGTGAAAAAAGGACGAGCTGTGAACGAGGCAGAGATCCCTCCTCCTGTCGCCACTGGAGCCCCGAGTGCCCCCTCTCGTCCAGCTGTCCCCCAAAGACCTCCTCCCCCTGTGCCCTCCCCTCCTGAGTCCACCCCTCCAGAAAAGCCAGAGGAGTCAGACGTCGTCACTCCCAGCAGTGAAGAGGAGAAGTCGACCTCCTCCACGCTGCCTCCTCTGAGCAATGTCCCATCACCGGAGGAGCCGACAGAGGAAAAAATGGAGGTCAAACAGCCTCAGACAGACGGTCAGTGAGAGTCACAGAGTATTTGACAAACACTCGTGAAAAGACGAATGTATAAAATGCCAGAAGAGAGTCCTTCTCGTGAATGCGATGGAGTGACTCTTTATTTAATTCAGTCTGCAGAGTGGAAACAGCTGTCCAGATTTCCTTAAACTAAAACAAGGTGTTAAAAGAAGAAGAAAAGATGTAGAAATTGCCAAAGTATGTGCTGATAATTGTTGGTTTACCAACACTGAAACAGTAACTAAAGTAAGTTTGTTGTGATTTGGTGAAAAGCTAAACTAGAAAGCTTCTAGACTTGATGAAATCTTGGAGTTTTCCCCTTTTCTATAAACATCCACCAGGGTACGTTGATACTTAAATCTTCTTCTGTAAAAACTTGCATTTATTTTTTCATCAGAGTCCAATCTCAGGCAGTGTGGATGTCTGGTTTCTATGAGCTTCTCCCTTAGCTAATAATCTGCTTATCAATGACGGATGTATCAGATAATTAAGGCAAAGATGTCGTCATCCTGGAGATGAATGTGGCCTTTCACCACAGTAATTGTCCTGCGTTTCTTTCCCGTGAATCCGCAGAAAATGAGGCGACCAAGACGATGCTTTTGGAGAGGCAGAAGGAGTACAAGATGGCAGCTCTGAGAGCCAAGAAACAGGGAGACGTAGAGAAAGCTAAACTTCACTTCAGGACCAGTAAGGTGAGTGGAAATACCGCAGCACTGAGGGATTGGACTGAAACAAAGTCCTGAGCGGACAGGGATGTGACTTACATGAATTTGAATCTGAGAAAAACTTGTTTTTGTGCCTGAATTTATATAGATAAATTATTTCAAGTGAATTACAGTACCTGAGTTAAAATGTGCTTTTTAGGCGTTTGAATCTGAGTTTTTAAAGATCCATTTCTGTGTTTGTTAAACTTATAACTTATATAACTTATATCAGTCTTATAAAATGCTGAGCAGAACAACTCTGACACACGTGCTGGATAAGAGTCTGTTTTCTCTCCTATATGATTAAATGATGTGATGCACATTTTCTGCCCACTTCAGCATTTTAACCCTTTTTCCAGCTTTAACTGGAAGCAGCATTTGTGCTGTTTTGCTGAGCAGAGGGAAGCTGGTACAGTTGACTTTGAGCAGTAGCGATTTTTTTGTTTGCTGGGTTACTCTCCTGTTATCTCTACTCATAAATATATTCTTTAAAACGTAATCAAATGTACAGAGTCACAGTCTTTCAGGTTCTGTTTGGTCTGGACTTGTCACTGTTTCTTCTAACTGAGGGATTTCTCACCCAAACATCTGAAGCATGCCAACTATGTGGAAGCTGACAAAGACCGTCATTCTGTTTGGAATTTGGTGTTTTTTGGTGCAGAGGTTCGATGCAGTGATTGAGGCGTTGGAGAAAGGACAAGCTGTCGACCTGAGTGGCCTTCCTCCGTCTCCAGAAGAGGGTAAGGAGCGATGAATTAACATCTGTGATTGAAACAAGCAAGATCTATTTCCTACAAAGATAAAACAAGTCAAAGTCAGCCTGAGACATCTGTACATCAGGAAGCAAACAACAGTCTTCCTGTTGGTATGTGTTGAAGGTGCAGGTGGAGGCTCTGTTCCAGTAAAAAGTCCTTCCTCCGGGCCAAGCATAGAAGTCACTGAACCAGTTGCAGCAGCTCCAGGTCGTAAAAGTTCAACATTTATTAACCGCATGTTTTTACTCTGTGTTTGTTTCTGTTGGGTCATTCCTGTCTGTCTTTTACTTCACTCATTCATTCTAAAAACATGTAAAATAGTGCAAAGTCACGTTAATTTTGACATGATAAACGCTGTCCCCCCTCAGCCTCCGCCCCTCCATCAGCTCCTTCGGCTCCTAAAGATGTGCTGGAAGCTCTGGAGCAGAGACGAGCCAAGTACGTGGAGGCGTCCAATCAGGCCAAAGCCAGCGGAGACGACCGTAAGGCACGAATGCACGACCGTATCGCCAAGGTGAAACAACACAAAACCCTCTTCCTTTTGTCTCTACTGAACTCTTCAGAAGCCTAAATTGAACATTGTTGGTCAGGCTTCATCTTCCTCTAGTTACAAGAAGAATTTGAAATGATGCAGAGAACTTTCTCTAAAAAGAAATAAGACTTAAACAAGGTTTCAAGGTCTCCATCTCTTCAGGTCTTCTACTTCATCAGTTTGTTTCATTTGACAGCGATTAAAATATGTCTGACTGTCTTTCAAAATTACAACCTGTTTTTCCTTTGGCTGTATTCCTCCATCAGCATGGACCCAGGTTTGTTCATGTGTGACCTCTCTCTCTCTCTCTCTCTCTCTTCCTGCAGCAATACCAGAGCGCCATCAGAGCTCACAAAGCAGGAAAAGCCGTCAACTATGAGGAGCTGCCGGTTCCTCCAGGTGAGACGGCTCTGAGATTTATGAACTGACTCGTTTGTGTTTTACAAATCTGATAAAAAATGTTCGCTGTGATCTCTCAGGGTTCCCGCCGATCCCGGGCCAGAAGTCGACAGGAGCTGAGCAAGGATTCATCGCTGCTCTGCAAGCAGCTGATAAGATCGCCTCGACTGATCCTGCTGAGGTGGAAAAAGAGGAGGATGAGGAGGACAAGGAGGAGGAGGAGGTGAGTGATCACTAGTATAGATGTGTTTCTTCTGGTTCCAGGATTTTCTCCAACACAACATTGTGTCATCGCTTTGAAGGATAAATATGAAGACTTTTGTGCCTCCAAAAGCCATCTTTCCGCTGTCAGCTAGTTGAATAGACATGTTTAAACTGCATGTTTTTTTCAGTCTAAACCGAAACCACCAGTGGCACCAAAGAAGCCCACATTAGACATCCCATCTGCAAGTCAAGCAAGAAAGAGGACTCCATCACCTTCACCTGACAGAGAGGGCCTCTCACCTACAGGTCAGTCCCGAGTCTTTGTTTGGTCTCTTACAAAGCAGATCACAGTGATTTTAATTTGATCTACTGTATGTTTGTGAGGGTTTAGTGGTGTCAGATATCAGGCAGCAGCTCGGTGGTGGTGTAGAGTCATTAACCGTCCATCTCTGCAGAGCTTCAGCTCCCTAAACGCCCGTCTGCTCACTCTTCACTTAAAAGCTCTGTCGTCTCTTCTTCCTGCAGCCGTTCAGCAGCTGGACTTCCTGGAGGGCAGGAAGAAGCAGTACATGAAGGCGGCTCTGCAGGCCAAGCAGAAGAACGACATGGAGCAGGCCAAGACTTTACTGCGGACCGCCAAAGGCTTTGACGCGATGATCGAGGCGGCACGGAGCGGGAAGACTGTGGACATCAGCACGGTGAGCAGACCGGAGTTTAAACCATTTTCAGTCAAAGTGTATTTTGAGCCATCAGCAGGTTTAATGCATCTGTGTTTCACATGTAGGTGCCGTCGCCCCCTGGTGACGAAGAGGACGACTTCATCCTGGTTCATCACAGTGATGTGAACCTCTCAGAGAAAGCAGAGAAGGTTTACACACAGCTGGTCACCATCCTCAAAGAGCAGTATGAGGTAAAGTAAAGCTTTGACATCTGTATAAGTTCAGGAGATCAAAATGTTCCCTGAATTATCAGCCAGATTTACTAAACGAAAGAAAACATCTATTTATTCTAAAGTATGTGAAAGATACTTGATATTTTGACTTTCTTCAACTGCAGCTTCGTTTTGAACTAGATAAACCTAACATCTGGCTTTTAAACTTTTTTTATTCTCAAACTTTTTGATGATTTTTTTTATTAAAGGGTGTTTATATCATCTGGGTTACTTGAAAGGCGCTATATAAAACTAAGTTATTATTATTATCATCTTTGTGGGTTTATGTGGTAAATCTAACAAACTAAAAATAAACAGAAACACAGATTATGAAGAGTTTTTGTAAATAGTATAAACAAAGACACAGCAGCAGAGTTTATTACAGCTGCAGATCCTCTCAAATCCTTAGATTGTGTTTAAAATGATGGTCATATTCATCCGTTTCCCCTTTAAATGTAAAATCTTTGTGCATTTTCAAACATGTTAAAGCTCTCTAACTCTCTAAATCCAACTCTTCCACAGTATTTCTGATGCTAAAAAAGGGTTTTGATTTTCTATTCCCAGTCTAGTTTTCTCTCTGCATTGAACTTTTTTTTCCGTCAGAAGACTTTCTAAGACATTTCTTCTTTTTAACTTTCTGCCTTTCAGAAGTGTATGACCCACTCAAAGCAGTTCACGCACCTGGGGAACGTCGCAGAGACAACAAAGTGAGCTTCCTGTGACACAACAACACACACACACACACACACACACACGCCTGTTTTCATGAGCAAAAATGTAGCTATTCACGTGTTCATATTTGGATTAAAGGGAACACCAGCAGTCAGCAGCAGTTTTTAGGACTTACTGAGCATTAGCATCTTTAAATGTGTAAATCTGAACTAATTTGGTGATTTCAGAATGTTTTATCTTGTCTGTGAATTAATCTTAAAACCTGAGTCATGATTAAAGATATTGTTTGATTATTATAACTTGATGCTAAAACTATCAGTTCATGTGCTTTTCATGGTTTTGTTTTCTTTTATTATAATTAGTACCTCAGTGTTTAAGTCTGTAAAATAAAACTGTATGACGTTCATGAGTCTCTGATGATTTTCGTGCTCCAGGTTCGAGAAGATGGCTGCGAGCTGTAAGAAGAGTCTGGAGGTTCTGAAGCTGGCTCAGTCCAGAGGTCTGCCTCCCCCTAAACATCACTTTGAGGAGAGGTCTTTCCACACTGTCAGGTGGGGGCATGTTGGACGAGTTTTACTTTTGTTTCACAGTTTAAAACAAAATATGTTTTTAACATTTTCTACAGTTTTGGAAACTATTGATTCAGATGTTTTGTTAAAAAATATTCAAAAGCAGGAACTTCGTCATTTTTAACCTACAAGATGTGATGAAATTTAATCGACAGTTTAGCCAAAAATCTCTTATTTGGACAGAATATGATGCTCAGTTTTTAATTAGTAAAAAGGTGTTAATTTAACCCTGAATTTGATACTACAGGCTGAACTGAATTTACTGAAATGTTTGTGAATGTCGGGTGAAACATCAGGAAGAAGTCTCAGTCTAATTCAGTCCAGTTTCAGTCCTCTGCAGAGTATCCATGTCGCTAATATACTGTCTTTTCTTTCTTTTTCTGGCTCCTTTGTGACGTTTTCAGGATATTCCCAGAACTGAGCAGCACTGATATGGTTGTTATCATCGTCAAAGGGATGAATCTTCCTGCTCCAAGTGGTAAAAACTCTTTTGTCTAACCCACAACTTCTCAAAGCAGCTTCACATGGTGTCTGTAGAGCTGTAAACGGTGATTCTAATAATACAAAGAGGTCCCAGGTTTTTATTTTGTGTTTTTAGTAGTTTGAAGGGTCATAAAAATATCTAAGAAATGTTAAAATGGAAGTTTCTGCTTCTTTCAGCTTCACTGCAGTCTTGTCAATAATTAAAAGTTTAGTTAAAAGAGGAAAAATGTTTTTTAAAAAGAGGAACCTATTTGATCCCAAATTTCCTCCCTCAGGAATCCAAACCAACGACCTGGATGCCTACGTGAAGTTTGACTTTCCCTACCCAAGCTCGGTAACTCGACTCAAACAGAATCTTTTATGAATGCTCGCATCCATACGAGGAAGACTTCGGGTGACTTTCTTCCTCAAAGTTACGGTTTCTTTTTGGCTCTTTTTTCCAGGAGCAGCCGCAGAAACACAAAACCACCGTCATCAAGAACACCAACTCCCCAGGTGAGACGTGGACGTCCCTGAGGACGGGTTTTATTTTTGTTGTGTTGCTTTTTCAAGAGAAGAAGTTTTGATAGTATTTTCATGAAAGTCCTAAAGTTATCCACCACTATTTCAAATACTTAATAATCTTCTTGTCAATTTGTGTGTATTTTGGTGATTAAGTGTCTCAATAAACAAACCGTGAAGAAAAGAAATCAAGTACAGCAAAGACTGAGAATCATCCATGTAAAAGAGTTTTTAAAATCTATATCCTGTTAAAAAATCAATGTCATAAAAAGTCAGCTAAAATTATGTTTTCTTTCGTCATCTTTCAGCGTTTATAGCACTAACATGTTTAAGAAAATTGCATTCACTCTTTTTTTTCTGTCTTAAAATACTCGACATGTCTGCTCTCTGAGGGCTGCTTGTCCCCTCTTCATCTGTGATCTCTCGTCTCATCTTCATCTGTGATCTCTCGTCTCATCTTCATCTGTGATCTCTCCCACTCAGAGTACAACCAGAGCTTCACCCTGTCAATCAACAGGAACCACCGCGGCTTCAGGAGGGTGGTGACGTCCAAGGGTCTGAAGCTGGAGCTGCTGCATAAAGGGTGAGTCACCGACAGCTGCTGTCTCTGCAGAGCGGCGTCCTCGCTCACACAGGAGCAGGATCAGAGTTCGCTCATGTATCCTGTCACAGCAGGTGGGGGGAAAGTTACCGTAAAGTTTGGAATATAAGCTCCACTAGTTTAAGTTAGGAGCCTTTTTCAGGTCAGGACAAAGGTTTTAATCAGGCTCCTTCTTGAAGACTTTGATCATGTTCAGCAATGTACAACTTTTACGAAGCTCTGTAGCTCTTCCTCTCTACGGTAATTCAGAAGCGAGTGCTCCAGTGTTCCTCAATATTGAAATCTTTCAAAACTCAGTTCTGGTTCTAACTTCAGCGTGTTCGTTTTGTATCACAGCGGCTTTCTGCGGAGCGACAAGCCGATCGGCACGGCTCTGGTGAAGCTGGAAAAGTTGGAGTCCCAGAGTGAGATCAGGGAGATCGTAGAGGTGAGAGGAGAATAAACATTTGATGTTTCTCTTTTACTGTGAAGGATATCTTCAGCAAGAAACTGGCAGAGCGGCCGTTTACGCTTCATTATCAATAACTCAGATCCTCTCGTCTGTCCTGTCAGGTGATCGACGGCCGTAAGCCCACAGGAGGTCGTGTCGAGGTGAAGGTCCGCTTGCGGGAGCCTCTGAGCGGGAAGGACATGCAGACGAGCACGGAGCGCTGGCTGGTGATCGACCCCTCACAGGTACTGCGAAATTTTTGTTTCTAAAACGAGCGAGTTCAACATTTACAGCGTGTAACTCCTCTGATTCTCTCCAAGCTTCTTGTTTAGGTGCTGCTTCAGGAATAAACTTGTTGAAAAACGATAAGGTAACTTTTCGCCCTATGCTTTCTCTTACCCTCCATCATGTACTCACACTTTTCATTATTCCGGTTTTGGTCAGTATTTCTGTTGATTTAATATCTGAATGGTCCAAAAAGTATCTCAAACTCCTGCAACATTAACATCTAAAGCATGTGTATTAAATTGAGCTGGCTGATGTTTGTTTTGCAGATTTAGTTTCTCAATCAAAAACACTCAGATGAAGAGGAGGAGGAGAAAGAGGAAGACGGACGTGGTAAAGACTAAAGACTCAGACCAGGTCTGCACGGGTCTTTGACTTGTAAGAACTTTTGCACATTAGCGAGACACCAGAGCTCCTTCTCACGCTGCAGTCCACCAGGAGGAGACACTGAGCTGGTTCAAGGCAGGTCGGCTGGTGTTTGGACCTCGTGTCCTTGGGTGACACCAGCTGATGGACTAGAAGTTAGTCCGCTTGAGTTGGAGAGGGATTGATTTTTCGTTCGTTCGAGTGCGGGTATAATAAGCTTAAAATGCATCAGGGAGAAGTTGTGTCTAAAGTCTCCTGGAGGATCTCAGGCAGTGTGTCGTCACGCTGTCACTGAAGGAGCTCAGTGTTGAGCTGACCTGATCCTGCTGCCCAACACGACTCTAGTTAATATAATAAATATCAAAGAATGTGTATGTAGATATATATATGTTCTTCATATTACTCAGCTCTGGTATCTAGAACTGCACCTATGCACTAATACCAAAGTAATCACTGTTGCTGTAAAATCCTGCATATTTGAAACCGCCTTCCTCTGCTGAACCAGTTACAATGACACAAGAGGTTACCATGGTGACGGAGCGTGGACCGGTTTGATTATAATTTCATACATGCCATCTGATTTTTGAAAACGCAGACAGATGGAGCACCCTCATAGGAGTAAGCCAAGAATTCATAATACTACACAAGGTACAATTACAGAATTATAGTAAGAATAATTATTAAAATGATACGACCACCCTCTTTTTTTGGCACCTTTTGAAAGATTTAAGTCACAAAACTAACCGTGGTCACTAAAATGCACTCTCACTTCAAAGTGTGTTAGATTTATTTATGTTGTGTTTACACTGGGGGAGCACAAAGAAAGAGTTTCAGCTTTAAAAACTTTAATTTTAAAGCAAATACCTATATTTACACAGACAGTAGGGTGGTTAAAAAGGGATTTTAAGTGAGAATGTTTTCAGCTGATTTAAGCTTAAGAGCTCTGTAAATATTTAAGAGATAATCAGAGTTAACCTTCTGAGAAATGCACTTAATTTGATTTTTAGGGGAGTCAAAGCAAAGACTTAAACCGCTCAAGACTGATTTATATCGCCTGTTCAGGTTGTGATATTTACACTCCAGCAGAGTTAGATGTGTTTACCCGTGTGTTTGAGCTCTGCAGAGACCTCACATACACTCACTCACACACACACAGTGCCGTTCCGCCCTGCCTGCTCCATCATCTATTCATACTGGAGATTCAGCATTTCAGGGGTGTAAATATCAAACTCTGAGCTGTCGATAAAAAATCCCACACTGGGGTTACTCCATTGCAGGATCAGAGTAAAAGTAAAAAGGCGGGGCTTCTTTACAAATAAAAAGGGCTTTAGTTTACCGACTACAAGCAGGAGGAAAAAGATAATCTCTGACCTCTAGAGCTTGAAAGTGCAGATTTCTATTTCTATGTCATGGTGACTTACCTCTAGGGTTGGAAACCTCCTTTAGTCTCTTCTTTGTCTTCCCAATTTTCCATTGCTGAAAAAAAAAAATCAGTTTGAATGACTGATTTCACAATTTGGACGGAGCCATGATTGCTGTTTCCCCTGTTTCCAGTCTCTCTGCTAAGCTAAGCTAATTGCTTCCTGACTCTTATTATGAAAATCATGGTAACAATCCTGATTCTCAATATTCAAGCAAAAAAAAAAAGTGTATTTTCTGTGAGGTAGCCATTACTCTACAGGGTCATTCTGCTACTTTTAACCTGGATGTGATCTCTACATATTTTGGGGCTACATTCAAATAGTTCTACCTCCCTGTTTAGCTTTTTCCATTCTAATTTTCCTGCAACATTTTACCTCCCAAAACAAGAGTCAAAACAAGATCCTGTGTTATTCTTTGACTAAAAGCTCTTTATTTACCGTCTGATGTTAGAAAACACTCAAAAGTTTTAATAAACACTTCCTTTATGTTCTCATCACATCCCCAAAATGTGTGAAAAAGCTCCAGGTCAGAATGAAGAAATGACCCTAATGCTTGTGAAATGTTTTCTTTTTCAGCTATGCATCAGATTTTAAAAAGGGCCATTTCACCCAAAATACAGCAGCACTTAAACGTTTTGGTCAATTCATTCACATTGTTTGGTATTTTAGCTAAACAATGTTTAAATTACTTAATGAGGAGTTGTTTAACGCTAATGAAGTAGACTAAAATTCATATTGATGCCTTTTTCAGTCAGTTTCATAACAGTTAAAAAAACTCCTTACTGGAGCTTTAATGATATTCAAATTAAAAATTGAAGAGTTCATTTGTTTTAGCTGGATGATGCCCTTCAAGTGCCTAAAAGGGGAAAGTCTTTTTTGTAATGTATGCATAATTCAAAGACTAACACATTACAGGTAAATTATTAAACTTAGCGGTTTACCTGTCCAGCTTGGTCCGTTAGATCTGCTCCCTCGTCGTTTTTCGCTCGGCTACTTAACTCTTGTCCGGTCTACCTCCATTTTAGGCGCCCGTTATTCCGCCAGAGTCTCCGGTATTTACTTTGTTTTCTTTCTTGTGTCGGCAGTCGAGGCCAAAGGAGGATTCAGACAATTTTCTGTACTTTCTGGTTGGTTTCTGATGTCCGATATTGTAGCACGCTAACTTTGTTTGGGCTCGTGCACGTTAATTAAAGACGTGGAGCGTGCCTCACAACACGAGGGAGCAACGTCCACCTCACAACCAATCAGATCAGGGGAGGCGGGGAATTTGTTTAAATTCAGAATGAGCGGACCGTTAAAAATTTAAAATGTCGACCAGACAGGCATAAGAGAACAACAAGTATTAGGGCCACATTAAGAAAAAAATAATTAAGACGTCGAGATAAAAGTCATTAATTTACGAGAATAAAGTAATTTCTTACGAGAATATAGTCGTAATAAAATCTTTACTTACGAGAATAAAGTCGGAGTATAACAATCATTCGGGAGAGTAAAGTCAGAATAAAGTCCTCATATTCAAACCTGCTGTTTAAGGTGACAGTTGTCGAAATGAGAGCCATGGAGTATTTCATGAAAATGTACTTCAATATATGTTTCTCAAACAAGGAGATACTTTATCTTTTGGCACATCAGCACTACATTATCATAGGTATGGTAGTAGTGGTAGTAGTAATTGTTTACGACTTTATTCTCATAAGTAATAATTTTACTACGACTTTATTCTCGTAAGTAATTACTAAATAATGACTTTGTTCTTGTAAGTAATTACTTTATTACGACTATTCTTATAAGTAATGATTTTACCAAGACTTTATTCTCGTAAGTAATTACTTAACTACGACTTTGTTCTCGTAATTACTTTATTACAACTTTATTCTTATAGGTTTTGATTTTACTACGACTTTATTCTCGTAAGTAATTACTTAACTACGACTTTGTTCTCGTAAGTAAATACTTTAAGACTTTATTCTTATAATGATTTTACTACGACTTTATTCTCGCAAGTAATTACTCTACTATGACTTAATTCTCATAATTACTTAACTACACTTTATTCTCATAAGTAATTACTCAATTATGACTTTATTCTTGTAAGTAATGATTTTAGTACAACTTCATTGTTGTTAGTAATGACTTATTCTTGTAAATCAATGACTTTAATCTTGAAGTTTTAATTTTTTCGGTCTTAATTTTTTTTTTTCATAATGTGGCCCTAATACTCCGTCGTACAAGAGACCACAGCGATATCGTGATATATTTCTAAATATCATCAATAACTAATAGCTATTGACTGATATTAAAAGCTTTTTTGTATATACATCACACAAAAAAAAAGATTCTTCACCTTTAAGCTAAGAGGGTGTTAGTGTTTATGCATTCATCAGTCATCAGAACGAAAAACAAAGGGGTAAAATCGACATTTTTGCTTTAATTTGAGTGAACTGGCCCTTTAAGGTTTAAACCGCAGCATTGTGATGAATGATAAACAACAAACACACTGAGCCAACCTCATTTAATTCAGTTACTCAGCAGGTTTACCTCAGCTTTGTCTGTAGCGTTTGAGTTGCCAAATATTTGTTTTCTTCATCATGAGTCAGCGAAACAGTGGACTCTCATTATAATTTCTGTTATAATAAATTAAAAAAAAGTTATATCATCCTATTTTCTGTCTAAACATTTCAATAACCTTCATGTTTACAAAGATGAATGATGTCGCACTGTTTATATTGATGAAATAATCTTGAAACAGAATCAGCTATTTTTGCTTTGAATTATGGACTGAATCCCGACCTGCTTTAAAATGTATCCATTAAAAAAATTACCATTTTATTTTGTGCTGAGTCATTTCATTTCACTTTTAGGGGTGAGGATAAATGATGGTAGAACTCCTTTAAGTTTTGTAGAAGTTTTTATTTTACATATACTACAATTGTTTGATAAAGACCACTTTTCTTGACATGTAGTGTAAAGAGGAAAAAAAACGATGTACAGGGTTTTTTTGGCTTTTCAAACATTTCAACGGCAAAAAAAAAGAGAATATTTTAACAAAAGCCAGTCAATGACAAAGTGGATTTATAAGTTTCAATCACACAAAAAGAAGATAAACTGTTAAAATGCAAAGTTGAGTCCGTCTCTTCACCGTTTCAGGCGTGTTTCTGTTTGCATGCAGTGTTATATTTCTGACAGTAACATCTCATAACCCAATACAAAAACAAAAAATGCTACTTTTCAGTCAAACAAATTGCACCTTTTCTTCTTTTTTTTTTGGATTTTGGACATATTGCACACGTCAGATAATGCCAAAATAAAAAGGTAACAGAAAGAAGAAGTCAGAAAAATAAATCATCACGTCTCCTCTTTGTTCTGCGATTTTATAAAAACAGAAAAGCTGACCGACCAACGGCGGCCGCCGCGAATGAACGTCACACAGTGAAGACACAGTGATTGAGATACACCCACTCTGGTATGATCACAGTAATAAACCCAGATCTGGTGACCTTTGACCTCTTGTTCAGCGTGTCCTGAACGTTTTGAATCTGCTCTGCTAACGTCACTTTGCTACAGCAGCTCCTAAAGTACGTCAGATTGAACTCAAAGAAAAGCTACAGCTCTAATTTAGACTCAAAGCGTCGGCTCGTCTGCAGATTTTTGTGTGATTGTCTGATTCCCACTTGTGATGTCGAGATTGTTTGTGTAGCCCCGTCTGGTTTTATTTAGTATGATTAAACAACGCTGGATGATTTCTGTACAGTGTTGGGACACGACACGGTGGATTTGGTGACTAGTCTAACCCGAGGTGGACAAACAGAAACAGGAGGAATACATTCTTACATTATTTCCAGGTCCATGTTGCTGCAGGAGAGCACAATCCCCAGCAAGGAGATCTTTTTCCAGATCCGCTTACAAAAAAAATAAACAGTTGAGGCCTTTTGAAGACAACATTATAAGTCTACAGGGTTCCTACGCAGGTCTGCAAAGTCTGGAGCGGGCCGATGGTGATTTCAGGGCTTTGGAAGGACGATACGTTGCAGGAAGTGTGAGATGAAATACATTCAGCTTCAGGTCGATCAAACTGCAGTTTGTGCAGGAACCCTGAATCTTCACAGCTCTGGTTTTTCTGCTGCTGAAAAACGAAACTTCCAGGACTGGGCGCCCTCCCCCGACGCTCGCTTTAACTCTCCTGTTAATGGCTTAGAATCCAGTGCACTGCTTCTGCAATTTAATACAGTTCTCATATAGATATTTATTATATATTTATATATATATATATATATACTGTCTTTATATATATCTTTACATCTTCAGTTATTCTCTTTTTATGACTAAAAAGACCAAAATAACTCGAGTGGTTTCCCCACTGATGGACAAACAAGCTCTGATGATGTTGAGGATGACTCGATGAGATTAAAAACTGATTTTCCTCAGTTTTATGTACAGATTGTTTGAGTTCATCGATAAAGCATTGGAACCTTTTTTTTTTTTAAACCAGCTGTCTACTGAAGGACTGAAGGGTTTCAGAGTGAACGTGTAGTCTTATTTCACAGAGCCTCGTTCTCGTGAGTCAGGGATTGGGAGCTCTGGAAGCTACAGAAGCAGAACGGAGGAGGAGGAGGAGATTTGAATGTCTATAAAAATATGTACAACACGTCTGTCAGTCTGTGACGTAAAGCATCTGGTGATTGATGAGTAAAGCTCAAAGAGGTGAAGATGAGAGGTTGTCTCTTTTTCTTGCTGCTGCAGGCACTGAGCACCTCGGTGCAAAAGGAAAATAATTGAAAAAAAAAAAAAAAAAAACACCTCACTTCTCGATCCTCCATCTCCTGATCTGGTGATTTGTGGATTTCCTTTTGAACGTGTTTGAAGATGAGACAGTCCAGAGTTTTCAAACCTCTCGTTTCAGAGCATCCGTGCTACACAGAGGCCTTTGCTGATAGTTTTGGGTGCTTCAGGACCGCTGGTTGCCACAGTGACGAGTTGGTGACGTCCAGAGCGGCTTCAGACAGCGGCGATGAAACAAGATTCACCCACGGTGGAAGAATTCATGCCTGAGTCTTCGCATCTTTGAATCAGAGGAGATTTAAAGTGTCTGATAAACAGAAAAAAGAGCGATGAAGGTCGATTCCAGCTGTGTGTTTGTGCAGATCTCTCTCTAAAAGTAGTCCAGTCTGGTCGGCTTAACCAAATCCTCAACATTCATTAAGCTCAGTTTCTAATTACCTCGCAGATTTAGACGAATCATACAAAACAGAGAGATGAAATAATGTTATTTCACAGCTTTTCTAACGTACCTGATTCTGATTAATCAAAAAAAAGTGACATTTTAAAGGACTAGTCTGTATTTTCTTGATCACACTAACATATTTATAATTATAGATCAATGCTATGATGTCTCACAGCTTGTGACCTGTAACCAAAGACTGCGCCGTCTCTGCTTGCGACACATTACCACCACTTGAACGTTTAGCAGCGTTCTGTCACAGGTCTGAGTTTTTCATCCATCCCTGATAATTTACCGTTAATATTTGAAATTAGATAACACAGCTGCATGAAACCACTTTAGCCTGAGTCTGAAAACTGGATTAATTTACACCAGGCTCAGTGCTCTGGAAAAATTAAGAGTGTATAGAAAAATCTGTGAGTAGATCTGTCTCTGGATGCTGAGACTGGGTCTAGGGTTTCTCCTTTCTGTTTTACGATCAGACATGAAAACTTCCACCTGGGTTCGTCTTCCTGTAAAGCACTGTAAGGCCACTCTGGGGTCCGACAGGTGTGTCTCTGGTGTTTGATTCCTGCTGCGTGGATCTCTAATAAGCACCAGAGACGAGCGCACCTGTCAGGTGAGGTTCACTACGATGGACACATGACAGACTATCCAGCTTGGAGCTCCCTCGGGCCCCAGGCTGCCTCTGGAGCAGAACAGACGATGTTTTTTTTTTCTTTTTTGTTTTTTGGATGCATAGGTTTGACTTGAGGAATGCTACCCCGCCTGGCACGGCACAGTTATCGGGCTCTTCTGAAGTGCAAACGGTTTGAAGATTGAAGGTGACGGAGGTCCGTGTTGTGAGATGACGTCTGAAGGTCCAAAAATCTACAATAAAAACAGAGACGAAGATCCAAAAATTCTCCCTACGAGATGATCTCCAGGATGTAGAAGACCAGCTCCATGACCACGGGGCCCTCGCTCAGCTGACACGCCCCGCCGTGGATGACGGGGATGAGAGCGCTGTCCAGGTCGCTCAGGTACTGAGGCAGCAGAGGCTGGCCGTTACTTCCTGCCAGGTAACCCACCTGTAAAAACAAAGACAGGAGTTTTCTGACTGTAGCTTGGAGTGGTTAGGATCTTCTGCTGATCCCTCATCAAAAATCCAGACCCTCACTTCTCTCTTTTATAAGACCCCTACCTGGTCTGAGTCCAGAGTGACCCTCAGTCCCAGTTTGGCCATGCCGTCCTCCTTCAGCAGCTTCAGGTGCGGACAGAGCGCCATGCAGAAAGCTCTCGCCACGTTCTCTGTCAGCCGGCTGTGGTCGGCCGGGTCGCTCAGACCGTTCTGCTGATCTTCACTCTGGAGGAAAAACACCTGAACGCAGAAAAGTGGAAAAGTTTAACTCATTTAATCAGAAGACTTTTATCACTTTTTGAGTCATTTTTAAACAGAAACTTTCTTGTTTCAGCTTCTTAACTTCAAATCTGTGCATTTTGGATGAACAAGACAAATAAGGACATTGAAGATAATAAATCTGTTAGTTACAGCTTTTATTACGAGATAATGGTGAGAAATAAATTTGTCTTCATGGTGTGAAGTGAAGTAAAACAGGACTGAGCTGAAAGACAAGTTTCTGGGTAAACAACAAAATTTAGGAGCCGCACTAAAAGCACTTGAAACATCAATTATTCAACATGTTGTGATGTTGTGGAGACAAAGTTTATCTCAGTATTCACTCCGTGCTGCCTGAGACATGCAGAGTGTAGTTTATGTTTCACAGTGAGTCACATGAGGGTGAAAATGACCTGAAGAAAGACCTGCTGTTTGTTATTGGTTTGAAAAGGTTAAAAAAAAGGGATCAGATCAGTTCGCCCTGATGGACTCCTGTAATATTTGAATTTTTTGTGACTGTACATGAAGACGGGCGACAGAGTAAAGGTGTAACAGACAGAGGAAGGAGGTGGAGAAGTTTTGTACCTCCGTCCAGCGAATGACTTTGCCGTTGGCTTTAAACTCAGAGCCGTGGAAGATCTTGACGCTGGTGATGGACTCCATAGATTTCCCATCGATGGGGCTGATGACACTGAAGACACAAACGCAAACAATAAACAAACAAAACGACATTAACTGAGGGTTTAGAAACAGAATCAAAGAAGACAAAGAGGAGCGGAGGGGGCAGCTGATCAGGACTTGAGGTAAATTCATTCATCTGGATGAAAACACATGAAACAGATTTCTTTCATCGACTTTTGTCGCTGTGCCCTTGAGCGAGGCATCGACCTGCCAGCTGCTCGGCCGGAGACCGTCGGCCAAAGGCTGAGGTTGGACTCAGCCAACTCCCTCTGATGAACGCTGCTGTAAGTGTGCCAGAGCGGCCGAAAGGCAGAGTCTAAAAACCACCAGGTTAGATAGAGAGAGTTAGAAATACAAGAAGAGAACATTTAAGTGAATCATTGCCAAACAGGCAAAATATAAACGCTTCTAATGGATGAGTGTGACTCTTAAAACTCTTTGTTTATTAGGATCTGATGGTGCCATTAAACCCCCCCTCTCTCTCTCTCTGTCTCTCTTTGGTGAAGTAAGGGTTAAACTGAAGATAATATTCTTCTGATAAATGGATTGAGTATTTGATAAAATGTCTAATGAAATCCTCAGATCTGATCAGCCTTCTCTAAACCACATCAGTGGTCCCTGCTGAGCTCCCCCTCCAGAGGGCTTCCCCAGCATGCATAATCAGCTTTTATGGCAGTGTAGTAAACACAGCAGTTGGAAAGCGATCGGTTTAATTGTCTGTGACATAAAAGCCTCTCCTCCGGCTCCCTCTCCTCTCCTCGTCTCCTCTCCTAGTTTTCTCACCCCTTGTTGAAGTTGTGGTCGTCCTCTGTCCACTGGATGTGGACCTGCTCCTGGTTCTCCTCCTGGTCGGCTTTTCCACAGGTGATGGTGAAGTCCTTCATGTCCCTCAGGGCTTGGCGTAGAGAGTCCATGGTCTCTGCTGTGATCTGGATCATTACGCCGTCTGAGGGTCGAGAAAAAAAAAGGATTCGGAAATGAAAAACTGCGTCAAGTCAGAGGTAAACTGTTTCTCTTGGTGGAATTATGGGTAATGTAGTTTTTCAAACATCAGAAACCAAACTTCAGAGCTTCTCATTTGATTGAGATATTTCTATTTTCCATCGCCGCAGCTCTATAAAAGTAAAACATGTAATCACAGGAGAGCTGCTTTTTAACATTTATCAAGGAAAATATAACGATCTTTCAGCAGGGAAAGTTAAAAGACATTAAAATGACTGATAATACGATAAAATTAAGTCACAGCTCGGACTTGAGACTGTGATAAAGTTGTATATTTGCGATGGCTTTCCTGCTCTTTTGCGTTCCTGTTTCTGTTTTCTGTGTTTGTGCCTCTGCAGGTTGCTGGTGGGCAGGTATTCACAGCACCTGGGAGTACCTGGTCAGCCTCCTACCAGGTGTATTGAGTAAATCTGCTCTCTCTCTCTCTCTGATCCTCCTCAGAACTCCAGGGGGCAGCATGGATTGGTTTAGTGGAGTTCAGCTGTCTTTGTAGTTTATTTTCACACCAAACAACGAGCTCCACACCTCCTCAGCTCCTCAACCATAAACCCGACACACACTCACCTTATTTGTGATGAACTTTAGCACCTTTAAAATGCTGTCCAAAACGCTGATAAGAACGGATTTTGATCATTTAAACCCTAATCATAATTTTAATGGTACAGAGATTTAACATGTGGGAGGGAATCATTAATGCTGAACAACACATACACGTTTTAAAGACACATCCAGACAGAGAAGACTAACAAACCACAATCAGCACAGATCACAACAACAACAAGGCTGTGTAGAAGGAGACTTAGCTGGCCTGCCTGCAGTCTTCCTGACTTGTCCGCGTTTGAAAATACTTGCAGTATAATTCAAGGGAAATGACAGCAAGAAAGACCTGGAAGTATTAAGCAGCTAAAACCCTTTAAAAGTCGAGAATGAGACAGCATTTACCTTTAACACGACAGAAACTAGTTCAAGGAAGAAGTAAAGATATCCCTCCTCACACTGTTTTGAAACTTGTCCTTGAATGAGTAAATATTTGACATAAAACAGTAAAAATTTTCAGCTTCAGTATCTGAGATGCTGTCTTGTAGGGCTGCACGATATTGGAAAAAACGAACATTGCAATTTTCTTGAACCCTGCAATATATACTGTGATATTAAAAAGGAGAGGAATTTTCACCTTTGTTATGCTGCACTGTTGAAATCTTGTGGACAGTTAACCTGCACTGATCTTACCTCTTTTTGTAAATGTTCGTAGAATGGCTGTCTGTCTTAGAGATATTCTTAGCTTTTATTGTGCTGGGATGTTATCACACAGATTGGTGTTATACTTTGGTCGACATCATCCTTCTTGTAACTAAAATAATTCCAGATTACTGTCATTGCTTTTATTTTTCATTTTTGATGGTTTTCTCTTGTTCGTTGCTCATTTTGCAATCGTTGTTGTGTTGTTGTTACCAGTGTTGTGCCAAGAAACGCGTGCCCGCCGAGGATTGCCTGCACCTCGCAGAAACGCGCACTGCTTATAGTAGAGCGGTCCATGGAAATGTACAATTTAAAACCCATACAATTCTTATTTGTTGGGCTAAACAGTGATGAGTAATGTTCCAAAAGTAATTCTCGGCAGGTATGCGTTCTTCGGCACAACACCGACGGCGCCAGCAACTCACTCCATGTGCAGGGGCGTGGTTTCCTCCTCTCTGATTTTGATTGATGGCTGGCAGGATAGTCTGATTGACGACTGAGTAAAGAATGAATGTGATTGGTGGATCGCTGCACAGCACATGCAGAGTCACATGCGATGTATCTCAGTCAGCTACCCTTGAAATTAGATTAATTCATTTACCTCCTTCATCGCAGGCTCTGCAATGTGACTATTGCACACGAACATCGCAATGACGATGCTCAAAGGATATATCGTGCAGCCCTATTGTCTTGGCCTTTTTTCATAATTCAATACAGACTTTGAATGATTTACAAATCTCATCTGTTTCCTTTTTTACTTTTCTCTCACTGAAAATGTTAGTTTCTCTCGCTCTTTGTCGTGTTTGTGAGCCGTGTTTTAGCAAATTATATTACAATCTACAATCTGTTAAAAAAAACCCACACTGTTTATGAAGGGTAAGATGCAGATGTAACTTTTTGTGGTTGTAGGTGTATCATAAACCAGAGAAATATCGAGGTATTTGATTAAAACGATCTGCACTGACATGAAGAAATCTTTGTCAGTTTGCAGTATTTCACACATCAGGATAACACATCCACAGACGTGAGAAATCACTACCATCTCTAAATGTGATAATAAATATGATCGCTTGTTGCAGAATTTCTGCCAAAACTCTCAAAAAATAAATCCAGTGTTTTTATTTTGTTACAGCCAGCGTGTTTTTTTATTTCATCGCAGTTCTCACCTTCCACGATGCTGGTCTTCGCCAAGAAGCCTGACGAGGCTTTCAAAGCACCACTGAAGACAAAGAAGCAGGCTCCAGTAACTGCAGAAAGAGAAGAGAAACCGAGACAAAGATCAAATTGTTTTCAGGCAAACAGCCAGAGCAGAAGAATTGATGGCAGAGAGCGAGGAGAGGGACTTTTTTTTCAAAGTACACAAAGCTCTTTAGAAAACAAGCAGGACTTTAAAAGGCGGAGAGATGAGTCTGGATCTGAGTCAGCACCTTTGCGAGGCTGGTGATGGATGCTGATGGCCTGCGTCTGATAGTTCCCGTCATCGTTCTGGACACACACCAGGTGGGAGTCTGCGCGGTCGTTGAAACACGCCCCCATGGCCAGCACGTGCTCGTTGGACTTGTTCATGGCCTTCATCAGCTGCAAGGACGAACAATATCCGTGTCTGATTAATCTGCCCTTTGGGTGGCTGTGCTGAAGGAAAAAGGGGGCTTAGCAGAGAGTGTCTGGTTAAGCCTAATTGCAGAGGGCTTGCGGGTAAAGTCCTCAAGTTAGAAAGGAAGAGGCTGAGATGACAGATTATGTAGAGAGTGGGTGACATGGTGGATATCAATGGGAGGAAAAATCCCACATATAAATTCTGCTAAAACCCCCCTCCCCGCCGCCTCTGCGTCTCTTTGAAGGCCCTTCTTTGCAAATCAGAAATAAAACTGAAAATCTGGAGGGTTTTAACCACTTGCTGCGCTGAAGACTCGCCTGCAAGCTGTTGAGAAACGGTCCCCATTTCACATTACTGGGCTCCCATCTGTTAGTGTATCGGCAGCCAAACGCTACAACCAACACGCCGCTCTCTGTCTGCCAAATGCTGCTTCTTGTGTAGCACTTCTTCTCGTTCCTAGGACATTCATTCACAACCTGGAGGCAGCGGCATTTATGACAAGTCTGCAGCCCACGCCTAACACTCAGCTGCAGAGACCCCGGAGAGTTTGTCGCACATCACCTACACACCGCCAACGTGTGTGTGTGTGTGTGTGTGTGTGTGTGTGTGAGAAAGCGCGCAGGGCTTAATGGGAGCCTCCTCCGCTGATGTCATTAGTCTGCTGGAGGGAATCATTTTCTTCAAAAATGATTTATGATTCGAGGAAATAAAGAAAAAGAGACTTTTCCCTCCTCATCTGTTGGAACTGGAAGGCTTTCTAGTCTTCGTGTGTTTTTGGGGTCTCTTGGTTCAGTCTGGTGTAAAGCCAAAAGATTTGTAATTTAGTATAAAAGACGAACATTACAAAAAGGAAATCCTTAGAGCTGGAACTGATGGGAGTATTTTATTGAAGCGTCAGTGTAAATAAGGCTGCAGTTTCTGATTGGTGGTGGAAATTTCCCTCACGTTTTATGAGAAACTTGATCAGTGAGGAGGACAAGTAAACAAACGCTGAATTCTAGTTTAGCATCATGCACCCCATGTACAGAAACTCAACTTCAACTCTTCTCAACTTCTTCTCAACTTCAACTTCTTGTTGCCGATCATCCTTTACTTTCTGTCCTGTCCTCTCAATTAAAGCACGACAGTCTGAAAAAAAAACACACCTGGGCACAATATTTCATGCATGGCTGCCAGCTTGCCTTATTTCTGTGCTGCTGATAGCGAAAGCTGATGCGACACTTCACATTTAGGCTACGTTCATACTGCAGGTTTTGATGCACAATTCGGATTTTTTGTTAAATCCGATCTTTTTGTGCGGTCATTCACGTTACAACAACATCTGCAGCATCTAATGTGAACAGAATGGGCCCGTGAAGTGACTTGCATGCGCACAACTGCCTGTTCTCTGCTCCCATGTCTGGCATTGCCTTCCGCGCCTGTTTGTGTTGTCAAACAATGGTGACATTTGTTGCATATTGATGACGTAAAGGTCGGATGAACGTGACCTGAGCGTCCACACTGCAGTCACATCGGATACATATCCGATTTATATCCACATCCAAAAGAGGCCTGGGTCGGATTTGAAAAAATCAGAATTGCACTGTTCACACTTACATGAAAAAATCAGATATGTGTCACAAATGGTTAATCGGAATTGACCTGCAGTGTGAACATAGCCTTAGTCAAAGGATTTAACAGAAATGTAGATTTTGAGGTTCTGCTGAAATTCCCACACGCTGTAAAATACTATTTGTCAGTTTAAGATTTACTTGAGTATGTTTTGCTCCAGCTGAGCATTAACCCTTCATTTGCCAGTACTGATGGCACCTTTTAACCTTCTTTCCTGTGCAGATGTTTAAGTACAGCTATGTTTCCTCTCATTTATTTAAAAGAAAAAGAAACAAGCTTTTGTTGAGTAACTTTAACATCCAGACTACATTCAGGTCCCACTGGGTAAAATGTTTTGATTGACGATATCTGACCCTATTTCACTCACCTCGTTATAGCGGTTGCTGGGGATCTTGATGCTCGTCTTCCTCACCTCCATGTCCACAACCAAACCTTTCACTACAGGTAGAGTGTACTGATAGTTACGGAAGTCCTGCGAAAAGGACGGATGAAGATAGTAAAAGACTTTGGTGAGATTGAAGTCAAATAAATAAAGTCATACAGCAAAATTAAGAGTACAAAACTGAGATCTAATCTAGACTTTTAGAGAAAAATATAAGAGTATGTAACTTACTGCAAGCAGATTCATGATGGTGTGACCGGTCTCTCCAAAGAGGGGCTTCCTGAAGCGCACGCTGAACAGCGGACACGGATAAACTGCAAGACAAATCAGTTAGATACAGTGGTTATAGAAATATCAGCTCCTCCAGTTATTTCTTCATGAGATGCGTCTGTGTGTTTTATTTAGTTTGTAATAATCTTGTTTACCTTTATTTTTAAGTCTTTTGTGCTGCTGTATTTCCTCACCTTGTGTGTTTAATTTGATTTCCTCAGTTATGAGAGATTCTTGTTTTTTCAGTGAGGTGTTTTCAGACATTTTATTAACAGCACAACTTGTGTTTCCCGTGTTTTTGATCCTCCTCACTCACAAATGCAAATGAACCGAGCGAGAGAGACCTCACGCACAGATCAAATACAAAGTGCGCCTGCAGTTAGAAGGAGCGCTCCTAATCCACAAGTGAAAAATGAGGCTGCTTTTTTTTTCTCCGGCATCCAAAGCTTCTTAGACGACTATTTTTAGCCTTATCTCAGCAAACAGCTGGAAATTAGATCTCTTCGCAAAATTCTCATTAGCAATAAAAAAAACAATCTGCAGTTCGGATGAGAATCCTGCGTGAATAAGTGACCCGACCTCCTGCTGGTCACTGCTTAAGGTACCAGGTGAGAGCGTAGAGAGCTACGCTGTTTGTGCGGTGGATTAATTTCTCAGCAACGCTAACAATCTGTGTTTTTAAGAGCCTCGACTGTATGTGGCTTTGTTAATGTATTCTATCCGGGCTGACTGGAAGCAGGCGAGAGGCTTAGCAGAGCCAGGCGGTGCTCTGTGCTGGCAGATCTGGCTGAGAGAGAGAGAGAGAGAGGGGGGATTTGGAGGAGACGAGGCTCCCTCCGATAAAACCCCTCACAAGACTGCTTGCTTCATGTGGAGGCACATATAAGAGCAGGTTCACAACCCTTTCCTGACAGCTGACATGCTAAGCTTCCCAGATCAACATCGGTCTGTATATTTTCCCTTAAATTGAGAGATGAAGCTCACACTCTCCTCTTTTTTAGCTTAGATGGATCTTGTTTTTCACACGTCTATCTTTACTAACTGCCATACCTCACAAACGCAGCTTATTGCTTCATCTTTAAGATTACTCCATAATCTACAGCTGGCTCCTTTGAAACACTTTATACTTGCTCTGCAGGTATTAGTCCCATCCCCACTTCACCACCGTAGAAGCATGTTTTGGTCTATCGAATGTTGACTGTTTGTGACTGTGCATTAAAGGTGGGGTGGGCAGGAGTCCGTTTAAGAAGCATCTGTTTTTTGTGGTGTATAAAAGCTTTTAATATCAGTCAATAGCTATTAGCTTAAAAAGGAGGTAGACCGGACAAGAGCTAAGAAGCCGGGTCAACAATGATGGGGGATGCTTCGGGATCTCACAGACCGTGTAACTGTTCTGCTGGACAGGTAAACCGTTTTAACAAAGTATGCCAAGTGTAACAGAAGTGTTTCCTGTCAAACGGGACCTGCTGCGTGTTGTAGCGCCGCTAAACCATTTACCTCGGGTCCTGAACTATGTCACTTTCTCCTAGTTGTAGAAGTCCTGCAAACATTGTGTTTGCTGATAGTCTGTTGGCATCTACAGTAGCACCAATGCTTTTTACTTTCACGTTGACTGGGCCCCATTTGAAATTATCTTAAGTATGTATCTGCATTATATCTGAATTTAATAGGAACGATACGAGTGAGCAGGAGTGTCTGTTTGTGGGCGGGGCTTTCTGGAGCAGAGAGGGAGGGGAGAGGAGGAGCTGAGGGGAAAACTAGTTGGGAAGGGTAGTGTTTACATTCAAGATTTCTCCGATAAACTGGCACTTCCTCAGATCCTGCCTACCCCACCTTTAACATTTGTGTAAGTGGCCTCCAGCCCTTCTTTTTTGTCGGGTTTACATTCATGTTCCTGGGTCGGCCGCGCATCCCCGGAAATTGTACAAACGGTGAGTCAGAAACCAACTTCTCAGTTTGATTGAAAGCAGGAGCTCGATTTTTGGTATGTACCAATAAATGTTTGTAATTGTACATATTTATGTTCACTATCGTTTCATTGTTTACATAATTTTTGGTCAACAGAGACAAAATGAAAAGGTACCTGTTGAGTTTGCACCCTTGGCAGGCGAAGTGAGGTGATTGATTTGTTATGTAATATCCTATTGATCATATTTTAACTTTTGCATTTGTTATAAATGAATTTAAAATTTTGGATTTATGAGGATTGTAATGTTTATATGCTTTTCCCAGTTTCACGGTGTCTCTTAATAAAGATGATTTGAACACCAGTCGAACTCTACCGCTGTGTAATGTGCTGAGGGCCGCTACAATTAGATTTTACCAACCTCAAAAAAGTTCCACTTTTTTTTTGGAAGCACATGCAAGAAGATTTAATTGAGCTGCAGACTATTTTCACTGTGCTGTCTCGGTGTGTTTGATTACGACTATAAACAACTTAAAAGCACAGAAAGCTGGCGTCGAACACTCAGATTGGTTTCCTCACTCTTTTCCTGGCGTGCAGAATGCCAAAAATAAAATAAATAAACTCAAGTAGAGTGGTAAATTTAAGGAAAAATGCCCAGAATAAAAAAAATAAATGTTGATTTGAGGAGCTATTTTTCACGACGACTCCTTGATCATATCTCAAAGCTGCAGAAAAGCTATGGAGCTTCATGTGTGCGTGCAAACAGACACATTTTTTTAACCTTGACTCTGCAAAAACCCTGATTTTGTAAAAGAATTCTTCAATAATTAATCAACTGCAAGACAATTAGGTGACAATATCTGATTAAGTGATTGATGCAGAATGAAACACACAAGTCAGGGCAACAATGCACAGCTGAGTAGACAGCAGTACAGACCCTTTTAGTCTGGACTCACATCTGTACTCTGCTCCCAGCCGCAGCATGAGGCGGATGGGGAAGACTTTGGCCCAGGGCGTTTCCCACTTCTGTATCAGGATGCCGAAGAGGTAGGGCGGGTTGGGCAGCAGCAGGTCCTGCAGCGACTGGAAGGAGGGGCTGATGTACAGGAAGCCGCCGTGCTCCTTGCTGCCCAGGAAGCTCTGCGTGAAGAACGAGTGACTCAGGTGGCTCAGGACGTTGCCTGTAGGGGGGAAAAGAGAGGAGAGGGTAGTGATAGAGAATATGAGGAGGCAGAAGGAAAGGGAATTAGGAGAGGGGATGGCACAGCAGGGTAGGAGGAGAGAATGGGGGTAATATAATAGGAGACAGAGGAAGGAAAGTTATAAAAAGAAGAGAATGGCGTAACAAGGACAGAAAATAGATGAAGAGGATGAAACAGAAGAAAGGGAAGAGGATGAAAATGAGAACAAGCAGGGAGAAAATGTGGAGCGAAACCAGATTCTCCAGTAGACTATTCCAGGGATTATTTTTTTCTGGATAAGTAGCCTCAGCGTCTCAGGATGAAATCACTCTTAGATTACCTAAAAAGGGTTCATATGACCCAATCTCTGTGCGAAGGGATCGCTGGCTTTAGTTGCCGTGTAACATTATGACAAAGCTGTACGCCTCGAACTTGCTAAAGCTAGCACTTCTTCTCCGGGCCTGACTGACGGCACGTTAATCAGAAATGACTCGCACAATATGGCTCCATTCCACCAGCCTGAAAGTGCTCCTGTGTGAATATGAAAGAGGAAACAGCCTGCAGGGAGCACGCCGTCAAAGTCACCCGATATTAGCCGATTTCGCTCTGCAGCATATGGAGTTAAATATGCAAGACAAGCAGCGCTGAGGTGACACGCCTGCAGGGAGGAGACTTGACAGCAGGACGCTAATGTTTGGACCATTTTCCAGATGCACCTTACGAGCAGCGAACAGTAACCCAGTTTCGAGTAATAGCATTACCAAGAGCTAAAAGTAGAACCTGGACACTTTGCTCTTGTACTACATGACTCTAAATTCATTTTTAACCGGGCAGGACCTGACCGAGACAGGCAGACTCGCCTGGGAACCCTGAGACAGGACTACTAATGAGCTGCAATGTCCCCCCCAGAGGAGCCCAGAGTGGAGATGGACTAGTTTTGAAGTGGGCCTCCTGGTGGAGCTGTTGGTTGCGCTCTTACCACTGAGGGCCTCCTGGTAGAGCTGCACAAAATGTGTAAAGATGTCTTTGGGGATGGTCTTCTCGTCAGGTAGACACTGCAGCAGGATGACCACTTCTGCCTGGCCGACGGCGTGCATGCCCTTGGTTGTCACGTACCAGCACTTCCTGTTTACATCTACGGGGAGAAAGGAGAGAAAAAAAAGTTGATTAAAATAAAAAGGAGCAATTTTATTTGTCGTCTTTGCAGTATTTTTGCTCAAATGAAGGATCTAAATGATCTGCATGAACATTTTAGGACTTTTCTGGTTTTACTGACGTTTTTATTTTGAGCCATAATCTTCATAATTTAACATTTTACTCGTCTACAACTGTCAGTTTTATGCAAATGCCATAAAGTTTCGACATTAGATGAGTATCTACTCCTCTTGTAAAGTTAAGGGACTCAAACAATTGACGCTTGTGTCTCATCTTGTTTGGACGAACTCATAAAATGACAAAAACAAAGCACAAAAACACTGTGAACAAACTCATTTAGGTGGGAAATTTCTCCTCGCACAAATGTTTCAAAGATTTGTTTCTTTGTGAGGCTTAAAAAGGCTGAATGAAAAAAAGAAAAAAAAACAACAACAAATACAATAACAACCAGACAAAGCTGTCACTCACAATCTTCATCCCTGCCAACTACGTGATAAAACACTTCGCAAACAACGTGTGAGCCACCGGGGAATGGTGCCAATTCAATTTCTTGTCATTTTCCTTGTGCACTTTTTAAGATCGCACAACAGGAAGCAGAAATCTACAAAAAACTACACTATTAAATCCAGAAACATTGCACTGCAAGCTTGCCTTAGGATGGAAACTGTCACCAGGTTGGAGAAAAAGCGCAAAATGTGACTTACTTTATACCTGATAAGGGTTTTAATCCACCTTTTACTGTGAATTCAACATTTTTCCACAATCTAAGGTCAGTGTTTGACCCTCCAAAATCTCCACAAACATCCCTCATTTTAATTTTTGATAAATCCTCTAAATCTGGTAACTTACAGTTGACGAGCTTGACCATAGCCAGCAGGTTTGCATTGAGCACAAAGACTAAAGGGTCTGGACCTCCTTCCTCCAGCTGCTGCATGAGGATGATCTCCGACGGCCTCTCCTCCACTGCGTAATCTGCAGGAGGGTTGGGGTGGAGCAGAAAAAGGAGAGAAGAAAGGTGGAGGAGGGAGGAGTTGAGGTACAGTTAGATAAACAGCCAGGAGAGAGACGAGGATGAGAGGAGTGGCGATGTCGGGAGCGAGGATCAGGTCAGAGGGGAGGTGAGGAAAGTAAGAGAGTCAGCTTTCAACATCTGAACTGCATCCCTGAGAACAAATCCTCTTCTCCCCTTTCTGTTTGCAATGAGTGGTCGACACATGAGCCATGGTTTAAAAAAAAAAAGCATGTGAAAAAAAAACAAACAGGCAGCACAAACACAGCAGCTGACGGAGCAATGAGGAGGCAGCAGAATGGTGAGGATGAGGGCAAGCACCTGTGATGTGGCCTCCCGTACCTCCTTTGACTCCGGTGGAGATGAGGATGGGAGGGAGCCCGTCCTCCGGGATCAGGCTGAGGGAGCTGCCCACCGGGCTGCCCACCGGGGCGACGGGGGTGTGGGCTGCCTGGGGTGGAGAGGAAAGTCGGAGGGTGTTGTGTTAGAGATCAGTTATAACTAAGTGAAATGTAGTAGTAAAGCAGTAGATCTAAAGCAGTATATCTTGGCGCTCCAGGTCACATGAAGTCTGTAGAACTTTCTAGTGCCAGTTTGTTTTTGGCAGAGAGGAGATAGTGACAGCAGTTATTTACGGCAATTATCAACAATTTGGCAGAATGGTCAAAAACTGATACTATGAGACAAGCAACAAACTGAGACCTGCCAGTAAAATACAGAGGAGCAGAAATCTTATCTGAGGTTGACTGAAACACCTACAGAAGCATCATGTAGCTCCATATCTACATTAGGACATTCAATATTTATTAATTCGGGGGCGTGGTTATGGCGCGGAACCAAGTACACGTCTTTTGTGAGCTCCTGGTGATGTTCTAGTGAAATCCTGTAAACTTTCCTTTAACAACAACAACAGCGCATTAGCAACATTAGCAAGGCTGATGCGCTAGATAAACAAGTGACTCTCCTCACAACTTAACTTGAAAAAAAATATATATATATACTGTAAATATATATATATAAATCTATTAAACACATGCACTGTTACAGCTTCGATCCTTAAGAAATGAGATGCTGTTTAAAAAGTTGATCAAACAGAATGATTGTTTGGAAATCATTTAGAGCCTAGATGTTGCATTATTGCACGCAAATGGGAAATGATGTATAAGCTTGATCAAAAATGCACATGACTCGGTCTGAGCTCAAAACTGTCCTGTGGTCCAAAACTCCAGAAACCTTCCTCCTCAGTTTTACGGAGTTTTGTTAAAAGAAGAGGTGATGATTTGATTAGTCATCTTTGGACCGCTTCCAATTACATAAAAAAACATAAATTATCACACAGCACCCCTACTTTAATGGAAATGTGGCTGTAGGTCACTCGTGTATTAATTTTACTCGTTCTGTCCCCTTTATACCCAAAAATAAATTACTGTGACAGTTCCCCTTCACAAAAGGAAGTTGTGGTTTTTGTGCCTTTTGGGTCATGAAGCGTTCTGGTAATTTAGTGTATCCCTGGTTTTGTCATATGAGTGCATTTCCCCTTATGTTCCTGTCCCCCTGTAGTCTTGTCTTGTGAGTTTTCAGTTTGTGTTTGACCCTGTTTCCATCCTGCTCTCTGTGTTTTATTCTTTAGATCTGTTTCCAGCATTTCCTATTTTATTTTGTATTAATTTATTCCTTGTGTTTCTAGTCTGCCCTCTTTGTTAATCACCCATGAGTTTCACCTGTGTCTCATCTGCCTCACCTGTTGCTCGTTTCCCAGTGTGTGTTTATAGTCCCTGTCTTCCCCTTTGTCTTTGTTGGTTCATTTTGTATGTTGATGTGTGCGTATGCTTGTGTCCCCAGTTGCTCCTTGTGATTTTTTCCCCATGTCTTTAGTTAGATTTTTTTGGTTGGATATTTTTAAAGAAAGTATTTGTTGCTTTTTATTTAGTTCTTTCTAAATAAATCCTTTTTTGTCTTCATTTGGGTCCATTTTCTGTTGTTTAACTCTGCCATGTGACATTCTAATTTTTTTTTCACTGTGATTTAAAAAGAAAAGTAAGTAGAGGACTGAAATTCAAGGAAAGTTTTGAAAGACTGTGGCTCGGGTCAAGGTAGAGCCCCTCCAATTGTGGACTGCATTTGGCAAACAAGCAATAAGAGCAGATCAGGATCCATACTCAGATTTATGAAGCGCTTAAAGTGGAAACCCAATCACTGTCTCTGAAACATGACCACATCCTCGAGAGCACTTCTAGTTCAGGCACATCTGAACCTCTGGACGTCAGTTCTTGTTCATGCATCTGTGAGTTAATGCCGCTGTGGCTGTCATGGTATCATGTGAGCATGTGATTTTTAACACGTTATGTCTGCACAGCGCCGCCATACCAGCTACTTCGATGCTCCAACAATCAGTCTGCTCAACAGCCCATGAATCATTCAGACCAATGAGTGCACATCACGACTACGGGAGCAAGATTCAATTTGCTGCTCTGTTAGATGTTGTGGGGGAAACTTTAGCAGGCTTTCCTTTAAGCATCTCCGTCTACTGGAATTTATAATCCTGATTAATCAAACACAGAGGCTTTCCTTTGAACTCTCTCCGCGGCCTGGTCGGTGACCCAGCCAGCTAACCGCCAACAACCTCACAGAAAGATCTCTTTGTGGTTTCCTTCACCTCACTGCGGAGAGGCTAACACGACCGTTCAAGCTAACCCAGTAGTATGAGCTGTGGGTGAGTGTTTTCATTCCGAGCGTACCTCTGAGGATTCAGAAGTGGAGGATTTGTTTGAAAACGTGGAGATGGCCAATGACTGGGAAGGAGCTGGGTTTGAAGCTGGAGGTCTGGGTGATTCTGTCGTGTCGCCGTTAGGCAGGAGACCATCAGCAAACCAAACCCTCCTCTGCTCCCGGGTGAGGGACCCTTAAAGAGAAAGACCGGCAAAACGTATATTTGTCACACCACAAAAGCGTTAAAATTAAAGTGACTTCAGCTCATGTTCTCAATGTGAAAAGGAAGCGCTAAGAGCATCTTTCATTCTCGGTAAAGGTCGTACCCTCGTTGCCAGGCTGTTTCAGGACTCCCACAGGCACCATGACAGTAGGAGGAGGAGAGCTGAGCACCCCGGAGGCCTGAGCCTGCTGCAGAGGGGGGATGGTGGAGCAGTACTCTGCTGGGTTGTTGGGGTTTGGACTTTGGTTGCTCGTAGTGGTCTGTGTCTCCCATGATGGAGCTGAAGAACAGAAAACATCACAAATAAAATGTACAAAAATACTACATGAACAACATGAAGTAACAACATAAAGTAACAACAATTCTAACAGAGAGAGAGAAGTTTATTTTGTAAGTCTATAATTTTTCTAAAAAGTTTTGCACTCATGACAGAGGTCACGTCAAGTTTTTTTAAAATTTTGATTATAAAGGTGTAAATTTACAAAAATAAAGTTGTAAAGTTGTAGTTTAAGGAGGCTGAGGATGTATCTTAGATAAAAAAAAGTAAAAATAGCAGGTTATAATTCATCTATATGTGAATTCATAGAGAGGGATACCAGAAGAGCAGCCGGCTGACAGTATGAAAGTGAAGAACGTGGATTGTCGTGTTTAGTTATAGTGTGGAGTTACAGGCTAGAATCGGCACAGGCTGCTCATTGGTCTGCCTTTCTGTCTCACACAGTCTATTCTTATGAGGATGTGGTGCAGATGTGCTAAAAGGTAAGATATTCAGTTATTCATGACATCTATAGAAAAGTACTGCATCAGAAGATGCACCATGTTCTTCATATTAGCATCGGCAGCAGGCTGCTCCTCTGACTAAAAGGACTTTATTCTCATTGTGTTAACTTAAAGTGTTTTTTTTCCTTTAACATCTCCCTAATACTCTGTTAGACTGATAGTTTTACAAGTGTGCTCTAAACGTAGTTAAAATTTTGCCTTATTAGGATCTATAAACGAAGATGTTGTTTGTTTTGCTGCTGATTGGCTCTGTTTCAGTGAACGAGTGCGCCAGCAGGCTCATCTACATACTCATAATCAGAGCTGATAGTCAAGCAGGATCATATAAAACTGTGGTGTAATGCATACTGTGTGGAAAAGACAGCAAATATTCAGTATAACATAGGGCTGGGCGATATGACCTCAAATCAATATCACGATATATTGAGCAGTTCACCTCGATAACGATAAATGGACGATAACTACTCCACAAGCTGCTCACCCCCTCCCACATTAACTTCATTCTACTTCAGCCACCGCTCCAGCTGCTACAACGTTTGAACCGTCCTCCATCTCCTCACCTGTCTTTCCCTCTTTGTAACAGATTGGATGGGCAGACACGAGACCAATTACTATTTTTTTGACACAGAATATACCGATATGGGCAAAATGACTGATGGTTATTGTCGTAGATTTTCGGTTTATCGCCCAGCCCTAGCAAAACATCAAATATCATTTACCACATATATACTACAATAATGAAAATGATATAAGAAATATTATTCTCTTTAAAGACCAAGTGACTATAAAAGGGGTTGATGATGTGCTTGTGTGAGAGGAGGGTTGTTGGGTTTTTACTGTCTGCCACTTTAAATGACACAAAACATGCAAAAACTATTCTAATAAAATGAAAATCGAAGGGAATGCGTGTGGAAAATCTACCTCTTGGCTTGGACTGGTGCTCACCGCTTGTAAGCGCAGAATGACAGGTGACACAAACTCGAGCCTCCTTCCTGTCCATGTACACCAGCCTGCACTTCAGGCTGCAGCACGCTGCGCAGAACACCTTCAAAGAAAAAAAACAAGCTGTTTGTACCTCTTTCCAACAAACCGTGATCACACTGGATGAAAAACACTCCTCTGAATGATTTTTACTTTAACTGCTCAGCTTTAAGGCTGAGGAATTGAAAATAGCTGGTAGTAAGCTCTCAGCAGCAAACGTTACATTTTATGGATATTGATTTTCTGTTCGCTGCCAGAGCTCCAACGAGCTGCAGCTGTGTACAACTACTATAGCACCTCCCTACACATCATTATCCAGTAGTAACATGTATTTAGTAGACTGTTAGTCAAAGGGGTGGAGGATCGCCTCACAGCACCAGCTGATACTGGTTTGTGTATCTGCCAGTGTGGTGCAGGTGGATGCACTGAGGACCCCGCTGCTGCGTCTATTGTTGGCGGTGCTGGTGTCAGTAGAACTGCAGCGCCAGCTCCTCCCTGCTCGAGTGGCAGAGGCTGTGTTTGTTTACCACCATGGGAAATTAAGTAGCAGTCCGGCGATTTTTTTTCCAGTGCAGTGTCAGCGACCGCATCTTCACTTTTAGAGCGCTGTGCAGCAGACGCCCTGCTGCTGCTGCTGCTGCATGTGTGGGTGGCTGTAACGCTAGAGAGCTACCTGCACAATCGCTGCATTTATCTACAAAGACAGGAGTTTATCTTTCAAAGCACTTTGTTTATTTTACTGTCTTTTAAGAAGCTGATAAAGTATTACTCTGATATGGTTTTTAAAAAGTCGTGATATATTTCTCAGGCTGTTTTTCTTCTTGTTTATCTCTGTTAATACACCACCAGTGCACAGAGCAGCAGAATTAGCCCAGAAATGTCGAGCACTGAGATAAAATTATAGTTTTTAGGAGTACAGATCTGTGCTTCAAAGCAGCCCAAGCCCTCCACTGACCTTTCCACAGGCCCTGCAGTGATGCCTCCTCTTGGTGAAGGTGAACTTGACATCACATTTCATACACACAGGAGCCTGGGAGTCAGGCACCCACACAGGGGCGACCTCTCCCAGAGAGCTGGCGGGTTTCCTGCACAGAGCGCCCTGCTGACCTGCCTGGAGGTCGTTGTCCGGGCTCTCTGAGGGAATCAGGGTCGGAGAGTGTACGACAGTGTCCCCGTTCACCCCGACTGCACTCTGATCAGTCCCACTGAGCTCGGCCGGCGTGCTTCTCCGACACTGGTTCTCTAAGTTTTTGTTCTTGCTGACGACGGTCTGGCCGAGCTGGTTCTGGACCTGGCCCGAGAGTGGCTGTGGGATCTGGAGTTTGAGGCTGACCGGCTGCTTCGGTCGGGCCCCTCCGTAGGGGACGCTGACCGGCTGCAGACGATTGTTGTTGAGTTTTGGTTGGATGCTACCGGACCCTGCTGCTGCTGCTCCTCCTTCTCCGTTCTCTTGCTTGCTTTCCTCCATTTCCTTCTCCTCGGTGACAGAGTCCTCTTTAGAGGGGACAGGGGAGGGAGAAAAACCTTCATCCTCCTCCTCCTCCTTATCCTCTGTCTCTTTATGCTTTGAATGTCCACTGCTCCCTGGCTCCAAACCATTGGGAAGGCTGGGTATTCTGAGGAGCTGGTCTTTCTGTCCTTCTTGACCACATCTCTGCTCCTTTTTCTCCACTCCAGCTCCGTCAGGAGGAGATACTCCATTCCTCTCCGCCTCACAGGCAGTCTGAATACCTCTATCTTTCTCTAAGAGACCATCTCTCTGCTCCTCCTTTACATTTTCAGTTTTTTCTTGGCTGCTTTCCTGTAAAACAGCTGTAAAAACCTCCTTTTTGGCATCTTCCCCATTCTGTATTGTTGCTTCTACATTTGGCCGAATTTTCTGGGACAAACTTTCTTCCTGTCCTGGTGCGACCTCGAAGGTAAAGTGAGTGTGAGTGACATCAGAGCCTCCTCCTACAGGGGCGGCTCTCTCTTCCTGATGAGCTTTACTCTCCTGCTCAGAAGCACCAGGCTTGTTGTCCGAAGGAGGATTTATCTCCTGTCCGAGTCCATCCAGTTGTGGACTCACAGGGCTGGCAGGACAGCCGTTCTCCACAGCACTACAGGCTGTCACAGGGGGCGGCGAGAGGTCGTCTGTGCCCACCAGTTTGCCGATATTGGGCTGGGGAAGAGGCGGGCTGTGGACGTCTGCCGGCCTCTCCTCTGCCCAGGACGGAGGTTCCGGGCCAGGGTGTCTTTTAGGGTCAGCCCCCGGGGAGGCGGTGGAGGAAGAGTCTGGGAGGTTCTTAAAGGGCAGAGGACTCTCCCGGGGGCTGAGGTCTGCGTGGGCCAGGGCGGGGTTCAGAGAAAGTAGGTGAGCTGGTGGGGCCAGAATCTGGGTCCACTTGGCATCGGAGAGAATTGGATTGTCTGACTCATCTGATGGAGAAAAAGGAGAGAAAAACAAATTAATGTAAAGATACGACTTCACTTGATCCTAAGAAGTCAGAAAACTCTACCTGAGCTCACATTAGTTAAAACAAACAGACTGATTTGTCCACAGGGGGGCGCCAAACCGAAAGTTCCTCACAGGAGCTTTAAGTTTTGATTCAGACATTAAAAATTCTCAGTCTTGTTGTTGATGGTCTTGTTTACTTTTCCGAAGGCATCAGTATGGATGTCAGTCTATTTCATAAATGTAAGTGGAACTTTAAGTGGAAATGCTCTTTGTGTTTACCATCTTTGCAGTGCATTGTGTGGGATTTAATTACAGTCTATATTAGAGCCTTCAGTCTGTCGTTTAATACTAGAGGTGTCCCAATACAACTTTTTTTACCTCCAATACGATACCGATATTGTAGCCTTTAATGTTGACCGATACCGACATTGATCCGATATTTTCACAAACTTTTGCATGACAAGTTTTGCACTCAGCTGCAACGTCTTTTTCGGACTTTAACGAAAAATACTGCCACAGGGCCGACATCACTCCTACTCCTCGCCACTTTGTTAGTACATTAGTACATAATGTTGTTGTGATCACGTGGGGTCTACATGCTGGATCTGGGTGCTGCTAGATAGAGGTGCTGGAGTGGAGTCTGGACTGGACTGCCTGTATCGGAGTGCTGATATCAGAGATTTTAGATGCAGGCCTAAATAATCTGATATTTGAATTTTTGCTGATATTGGACTAATATCTGATATCAATATCATATTCAGGATACCCCTAATTAATACCAATTACAGAGAGCATAAAACTGCAACAGATGACAACAGAAAGCGCAGATGTGACCGTCTCTGGGTTTGCAAACTGTGGACATGTTGTCATCCCTCACAACCTAATATTGTCCTGCTAGGACACATTGATTGAGACCACAGACTGATTAAAAAGACAGATATGGGACAGACAGAAGACATCATAGCCCCTCTGAGTTTGTTCAAAGATTGCTGTTGCTTTAAGGGGTTGTTTTTTCGTTTGGATCAGCTTGACTACAGCATAACAGAAACTAAAAAAAAAAGGAAGAAGTTTGTAAAAGCTAAGAGATCATGAACCCAAAACAGCGTGACAGGAAGCCTCAAATGATCTGCTACAGAGAACTAATCCAGCCATACACACTCCCAGGTGATCAAAAAAGCTAAAAACGGCTGTAACAAAACCGGGGGACAAATTGAGAAATGAGGTTGGCATGGAGTGGGAAATTAGCGTGTGGATGGACTGGGAAATTCAGAGAAAGTGGGCCAAACGGCTCAGCCACACAGGGAGCCATCAGTCAGGCTGACACATGAATGCAGCGTAAAATGAGCAGAAACTTTCCTTACATTTATTCAAGCGACTGCCTGGCACAGCCGTGTCAGCGACTGCACAGCGCTCTCCTCCCTCCAAAGGAATTCATGCTAAGCTCTTTTTGTATGTGTGCTGTACTATGTTCAAAAGACACACACATATTCACTCACTCAAACACACACACACATACACAGAGTTAATCTCCCAAGCTGGATCTCTGGCACAGGACACACAGATAATCACTCCCAGCCAAAACACACACTGAGCTCACAGTACCATTTAAAGATGCTGAGTGTGGAGGACTGGGGTCGTCTGCCATAAATCCACTGAAAAAGGCAGATTGTTTGTTCCTGACAGCTGGGAGTGTGCAGACACACCGCTCAGTAATGCAGTGTTTACTTAACAAATCGCCATAAATAAACACAGAGAGGGACCTCTGATTCAAAAAGGCCCTGGAACAATCGCTGCGCTGGATTTGAGTGTTGAGAGAAATGGTGGAAAGCGCCTCGTCTTGCACTGATTCCACAGTTTCACACAAGCCTAAGGGAAATTGATAATCCAATTAGTGCTATTCCCTCTCTGCACAACCTCAATCAGCACCTGTAAATGTTACCCAGACTCACTGGGTGTAGGCTGCACACCTTGATGATTTACTCATAGGTTACATAACGGCGTGCTAAACCATAAATCCCGAAACTCAAATCCCACCGCTGCACCTTGTCCCATCTGTCTTTTCTCAAACACGGTGACTCACTGTTTGTCCGTCTTGTCTCTAACTCACCTTCGTTCTGCTCAAACTCATCCAGCACCTTGTCCAGGTTGAAGGCCTCGGCCTGGAAATAATTCTCCATGGGTCAGGAAGCTCCACCCTGCCGACGGCCGTGTGAACCTTGGAGTAAGAGGAGCGTGTTTTATTAATAACATACAGTCTGCAAAAGTCCTTCACAGCCATGAATCATATCTGCGTTTTCAAATCTTTGTCCTCCACTCATTTCAATAAAATTTGTTTAAGCAGGAATATCCCCTCCAACTCTCTTTCACTCTTACTTCTCATTTCAATCACATGCCGTCCTCTCTTCTTTGATCACTCCAGGGCCACAGAGATAATGAAAGCAGGCCCGGGTCTGGGTAAGAACCGGTTACACAGTCAAATATTTGACCTGGAGTACAGTAAGAAGTTCACATCCATAAAGGAGGTGTGTCTTCCCCTCTCAAACCTTCTCCTTGAGCCAAAATACACCAGACCATCCATTTATTGTGGCAGGCTTATTTAAAGGATATGACTTCAGCGAACTAGGTCTTTACACTGTTTATGGACTGAATGTAAAAGAATAAAAACTGGAACTACATATAAAAGGGGACATGTTTAACCGCCTGATCCATAACTCAAAAATATTATGATTTAAGACAAATCTTCACAGTTTCTGTGGCTGGATTCAAGTTTAACTACTTTTTTTTTTTACTAAAAATAACTAAAACTTGTATTCTTAACTGCTTTAGTGATAAGATGGAGGATAATCTAACAGCAAACATCTAGTCAGAGACATTGTTAGAGGGGTAAATTTCACAGTCACTTACGTAAAGGTCAAATTGATATCTGTCTTTGAGTAATAGTAGCACGTACTATCTTTGCATATCATCCACAGGAAGAATAGTTTTAAAAGCATAACACTAAAACATTAAATGCAAATTGTCTTTCGTTGGTTACATTGAAGAGTTTATGATTTTATGTTGGTGTTGGTTTGCTCTTGATTGTGGAAATAGTAAAAAAGTATGCAAAGCATATGACAAGATATCCAAGGCAAGCACACCTGCTGGATTATCCAGGTGAGCTGCGGTAGTAAGCGACTCTGTAACAGTCAATACTTTTTATTCACATTTCTAACTCTCATAAGAATCATTAAAAAGTCTCTCCATCAGTCCTCACCTGCACAGAGGTCCTCCCAAGCGGTCCCAGACAGTGTTTTTTTTTTTTCTCAGCGGGTTTCACTTTCGGTTCTCACCTCACCCAGTCTGGCAAGCGCCCAGCGCCCACACCTAAAACCGAGAGGAAAACACCATTATTCATTATTCAGCAAAATAAACTGCTTCTCATCTTGTTTGGTATTTAAGCTGTAAAAGTAGAAAAAGTGTGAACTCTGAATTTACAGAAAATTAGAGTTAAGCACAATGAGTGATAGGTGATAAGGACCTTTTCAAGAACTCTTTGGGATTCAGCTGCAAGAACTAGGATCTCAATTTAGTTTTTAAGGTGAAAGAAAAGCCTCTGCTCAGGGGGGTAGTCCTTTCCAATGGCCCAGGTACTTTAGGAGGCAGGCCCCGATGAAAATCTCATTTACATCAATAAATGTTTGCACAAACACACACAGAGTAAACAGGAGAAGGGATTGTTGATCATCCCGTGACTAGGTTTTTCCATATGCACCAAACTATTTTCTCAGAAAACCTTTTCAACATCATCAACCGGAGTTCAATTAACGCACAGACACCAGCTGAGCACAGAGAGGGTCAGACAGAGGCATCAACGGGTGGTACTAGTATGAGAGCTACTGTTCCTGTAACCTGGTAGTTAATCATTAATACAGTTTACCTGCTGTCAATAAGATTTGTGACACTTCGTTTGATCGTTAGTCCAAAAAACTCGAATAAAGAGCTGTGAAAGAGCTGTGCAGAATCGGTGGCTGCCAAATACTTTTTTGCCCCGCTGTAAATGAACCTCAAGAACCATTTAGTTCCCAGAACTAAAAGTTCCTAGTACTTTTGGTACTTTTGGTGTGAACAAAACAAAGATGTACATGAACACCACCAGTAAGTTAATCTTTAATTTAAGGTATTTTCTTATGTTTTCATGTAAATGTACTAGAAGGATTCACAGTAAAGCCTTCCAGAGTCAAACACATGGCTAACGTGATAATGAAAGACACACAAGCACACACCTGACTCAGGCTTTCTTCCTTATTTAATGGCACATCTTGTTTCCAGGCAACGTGTGATGTCACGATCGTGTGTTCCAATCCTCATTTATATACCATCTCAGGCCCTCAGACTAACGCACACACACACATTCACGTCTGACGTCAGTTCAGTCTCTGAGGAGTCAGTGTTTAGGCTTTTAAATGGATACTGAGATTGGGTTAGACTGAACACCTGAGTGTTACCGGACAACAAATCAGCCGCACTGATGAGAGTAAATGAAGTCCGACCGATCAAAGACAAGACAAGGTCAAACAAATCACTAAGAGGTAAAACAAAGCTTTGAGTTTGAATATCCTCAAGGACAAATCAAAACACTGAGGAGATAAAATCTGCATTTTCCACTTTTTTAAACTGACTGAACGGTAGAAAAAGTCAGTGGTGTCGTTCTTCAATCATATGATTAGAAAAGAATCACATCAGACAGCTCAGGCTCACTGTCTCCACCACCACCCATCACGGCCTTTGTGAATCAGCGTGGGACACTCAGTGCCTGAACAACACACTGCATCAATAGATAGGACAGCACATCGAGCTTATCTTGTGTATTGTACATCATCACAGATAGTGGGCCATTACCCGTCCGAGCTCTACATGAATGGAAAACAGCTGCGCGGTCTGTCCTTGCTGATGAGGAGACCTTGGAGCGTGGATGTGATGCTGTGAGGGTGTGAGAGCAGCATGTGTGTGTGTAGCTGCGATGAGTAACAGCCAGGATGAACTTCAGGGTCATTCTCATAAGGACAAGAGCGACCAGGGATTACACCAGGGACCAGATATTCCACAGAGCCAAGGCTTCAGCGAAAGGAGCCGAGTCGACACATTTTCTGCTTAGTTTAAGGTGCAAGCATGGGCACCAGCATGTCAGCACTAAACAGAAAAGGCACGGAAACAGGAGGATGCTACACATGTAGTGTGGACCGAGGGTCAAAGTCTTTCTGTTGAGTAAAGGATGAGAGTGAAAGAGGACGCAGGAGCTTAAAAAAAAAACTAAACCGATTCATTAAAGAAAAACCTACCAAACGAATTACCCATCAGTGATTGAAACAAAGCAGCGCCGCTCTCTTTAGAGCATGTCGCAAACCTTTGAGAGTCCAGATGGAGTTTGATGACTCAGTTTGGATCCAACACACACACGCCGAGTGATGTCACGGCTCAATCAATCCATGAATAATCTCCACTCACAAGCAGAAAGCCTTTGGGATGAACATTTTTTCAGACATCTCTCTCATCACAAGTGAATCTATATCTTTACATAGTCCTGGAGTTCTGAGAGAAGGCTCAGCAGGGATGTAAAAGGACCACCAGGAGAATAAGAAAGACAAGACATAAATCAGTGGTTTAGTGGTGGGTCGGTGATGGTCTAGGGAGGCAGACCCTTGAAAAGTCTAGGGCCAGTGGTAGCCCTGACTTTCTTTGGGTACTGGGGAGAAATCCTCAGAGCATCTGTCAGATCCTCCAAGTAGGGCTTGGCGATAGACCGAAAATTTACAGATACCGAAATTAATGACAATAACCAAAATCATTTTGCCCATATCAATATTTTTGGTATCAAAAAAGTTGTATCAAAAGTTGTGGCGGCTGAAGTAGACGAAGTTAATGTGGGAGGGTGTGAGCTGCTTGTTGAGTAATTATCGTCCATTTGTCGTTATCAAGGTGAACTGCTCAGTATATCGTGATACTGATTTGAGGCCATATCGCCCAGCCTCATCCTGGACCTGTCTCACCTGTGTGTGTTACTTCTGTTGTAAAAGTCGTAGTTTTTGTTATTTTACAGGAACAGTCCATGTACCTTTGACACCCTAATACTATGTTAAGCAATGTATTTAAAAATGTATATGACCTCCAGACTATGTATTAAATAAACACGCAATCTACACACCCAAAATTATTTTAATACCGCGCTCCAATCATGTTCAATGTAGCTGTATAATTGTGCATGATTATACAGGACTTAATAGAAACTCACTGACTTTTGGAGCAAGCCCCAAGTGGACACTCAAGGTACTGCAGATTTTTTTTTTTTTTTGTGGTTTGCATTATTATATCGCCATACGTTACTGCTCAGTTTTCCTCATGTGCGCACAGGTGAGTCAACCAGGACCCAAAATCAGCCAGACTAAACCCGGTACTCTTTATGGTCACGGTTCAGTTCTTCAGCAGCGTGACCCTGGATGTTAAAGAGCTTGAATTTAAAGCTGAGTTGTTGTGTCAGGTGCTGAACTCGAGACTTTGTGGAAAATTGAAGCTTGTGGAGCAGTTATCATCCATATATCGTTATTGAGGTGAACTGCTCAATATATCATGACATTGATTTGAGGCCATATCGCCAAGCCCTACCTCCACGGGTGCTGTGGGTCCTGGACCCCCTCCTGGCTCAGAATAACCCCTGCCCCTGTGTAGCTAGAGTGGATAGGCAGGTCGTGCATGACAAAAGCATTGATGGTATTGACTGACCCTCATGTTCCTTTGACCTAAATCCAACTGAGCACATATGGGACGTTATGTATGGATGCATCTGATCTGACTCCGCTAAGATACTCACTGATGCCCTGATCCAGGTCTGGGAGGAGATTCCCAAGGAAACTGTGTGTTGACTCACCAGAGGCATGGCCAGACATTATTGGGAGTACATAAGGCCGCACACAGTCCTGAGTCGCTTGATGAAATTTAGATTTAAAGCTTTCAAGTGTTTGGTTGCCATAGACCACTGTTATTTATTTCGTTATCAAGCTGCTCCAAACAGAAAACCTGTCCATTATTTTTGCACACATTCAAGCGCGTACACATCTCTATTTTAATCCCATGTTTTAGTCTTCATTGTGTTGATTTTGTTGCATTAGTCCAAACAAAGAAAAAGTCCTCGTTTTTCTTGTTTCAATTGAACCAGAACTGGTAGATGCTAAAACAATTTAAACAGAACTGTTGGGAAAAAAAACAAAAAACATTATTGATTAAATTCAAGCTGTAGACTGTTGTTGTTGATGTAATGAAACAAGAGCCGGAGTATCAAGTATCAGGCTAGTCTCAGGGAAATTGCCTCTGCAGGAGAAGCATGAAAACAACCAGCTTTTGAAAATAGACATGCAGGAAATCTGCAACCAAAACCCAGGAGATGATCCAGGTTGGGTTACCTGAAGTGACCGCACGAAGAGTTACCTAACTTTAACCTTGTCTAACCTCTGCAGCTTTTACTTCAGCGGAGAGGTTTCCTCGGCACTCTACACTCTTTTAACTCACTCTACAGACTTCCTAAATCGTCTCGCACCGTAAGAACCTAAAAATAAAAGAAAAAGCTCTGGTGGATGGCGAGAGTGCACACACACACACACACAGACGCATGTGATCAGACACGTACAAACACTCACAGACAGATACGCCTCCATGAGGACAGGAGCCCATCCCTGATTAAGATTTAATTACTCTGCAGAGGCATTGAATAATGCATCTTTAGTCATAGTGCGTGAAGGAGTAGTATTTTTAGACATGTAAACTTGGGCAGATGTTTTAAAAGAGACATATGTGCATAAGAAAGAGTGACAGTCAGAGAGCCTGTTCGACTAAAGCAGCTCAGGGTTGTGAAAAGGCTGTTTTTGTACATTCATGCTGCAACACCCCAATTAATGGGAAACATTTAAGAAGAAGAAGACGATGCAAGCAATTACACGTGGTTTGGCCTGAAGTGAAACAAGAATTACAGGACTGTGCATGACAGAGGAGCTCATCTGGCTGTGGTTTTGAATTATTTCACACACTAATCTAACACCCGGCCAAAACACAGAGACGACTTCCCTCAATATGAAAAGGAGAATCCCATTTTTTTTTCATACTTCTTCACGAGTCTTAGCTACAACCTTGCTAACTGACGCCTGAAATAATCACATGAAAAAAACGCTTACAGCCTGAAAGGACCTTTATTCTTAAATTTGAAAAAAAAAAAAAAAGATTTTGTAACAAAAAATAATCAATTTAAATATTGTAAAACAAAAGATTGCGATACTTATGTGAATTTATTTTTTCCCCCACCCCTAATGTGTTACATGAGTAAATTACCCTATCCCTAATATGCAATCATACTCCTAGTGTCTCCAAAGAAAGATGCTGTGTGCATGTTGTTGTTCAAATCATCGTAGCTTCAGAAAGTCTTAATTCGTCTCCTTGTTTCTGGAGTTTCGGGTACTTTGAGCCTCATGACTTGTCTCCTTGCCAACCTAGTTTTCCTTTCTCTTCATATTTCAAAATAATAACAGTATAAATAGTTCGTGCAAATACTGAAACTGTTTCTTCCCAAATTGGTAAACACAACAAAGAGCGTGACTAAAACAAGACCTGGGTCCTATATTCCAAACGAGGGGACATGCAGTCGTTCTTCGTTCACTCCAGTCATGCTCCGGGCTTCAGCATGAGCCAGACATGCTAATAATGAAATGGCCTAACAGACTCCTAACACGATAAACTATGGCTGACTGGACATCCTGACATGGGAGCAAAATTAAATAAGACAAGGACATAAACAGCGAGGAAGCTCGGGCAAACCAGCATGTTAAAACAGTTCACTGAGTCCGCACTGTCAGGACAGGACTCTGCTTCCTGTTGTTGTTTCCTGTGAAAGGAGCAGCGTTTGCTTCCTCAACGATCAGCTGGAATTCCTTCACGGTCATGAGGATTACTAGACGTCTTTCTTTAGGTTTGGCATATAGAATCAGGATTATTTGAATAATGGGTGTTTATTTTACAGTGTTTTCAATAGTAGTTTCTTATGTCCTCTGATTTGGGATCATTATTTTCTGAGGTCTACTTTGCATTGGAATTAAATTGTATTCAAACAAATAAAAATGCTGTATTCTTCCCAGAAATTATAGCCCCATTTGAGGCTTTTATTTTAATATGTCACGGCAAGAAAACGATGTGAAAAATACTCTTAAGAGCAGCGTTTAAGTGCCCCATTTTCAGGATTCAGAGAACACTCTGTCTAAACTGACATAACATAAATGCTGTTCCCACCGTGAGTCTCTTTCAGCTACAAGTCAAAAAGCTGACAGTGACCTTGTGAGATTTTCTTTCAGTTATGAATAGATGTGCATAAATGATAAATGTTCCCAACGTTCAGACTTGGTCCAGCTCTTAAGATACTGCAGTGAGCAGAAGAGGTTTCATAACTATGGTCAAGAATTTTTCTTTTGAGGCACAGAGTCAAAAACGGTGTAAGAAAAGATGTTTTAATGAGATGTTAAACCATGCTGCTGGACAGTGAATTCTTTATCTCTTATTTCCACAAAAATCTCATTTGCCAGTGTATCCAAGCACAGATGACAGATAGCACCTCTCCGCACGGCGCAATTTGGCAGCGTTTTGATCTAGAAAGCTGTGTGTGCAAGGGCCGTGTCTGGTAAAACTGGCAACGTCTCAACCAGAGCGGTGTGGAACCAGCAGCACAGACACGAGGAGCTGAAGGCTGGAGGTGGTGATAGCTCTGCTAACATTAGCCACACTCTGCAATCCAATTTCACACTGTTTACCCTCTGACTCTGTGAGCCTGTGTTTAGCCGTGAGTGTCTTTACGCCTGTAGACTCGAGGTTTACATGCAATTTACATACCTAAAATTAGTCACTGCAGGAGACTCTGACCTAGACATGTTGGGTATTATCAAGGTTATGAATGATGGTGTCGACTGGCACACTGGTAGATTATCTAATCTAATCTAAAAACTCGACATAAGCTTTCCTTTCATCTACCAATTAGCTTTATTCAGCATTAAATCACATTTTCCTCTGCAGTAATAAGAATCAGAAGCAAACGCTCACTTAAACACACTGAAGCATAAGTTATGAGTGACGAGGACGCTCCATGATGAGAAGCTGCACATTAAATAATGAAGGATGTGAGGATGCAGCCTTGACATACAGCCCAGGGTGTAATGCTGACTGATATGAACATGCACCATAAAGACATGGCAGAAGATGAAGAGCAATGGCCTTAGTGAGAAAAATTATTTCACTTGCATGTCCTGTATGTTCACGTTTAGCATGCAAGCATTTGGCCCTGCAGACTGAGTCCTCGATACATACACTATGTAATCACATGAAGCACAGCTGAGCTGGAATCCACACTAGTTGCTGAATTATTATGTCTATATTAGGGCCCAACCGATATGGATTTTTTGGGGCCGATGCCGATTATTGGGGGGGGGGGGGGGGGGGTCCGATTACCGATTAATCGGACGATTTTTTATGAAGTTCTAAAAATATATATATACTGTAGATATCTGTAGGCCACTGTTCTTTGCGCTGACAGGAAGACCGACTCTGATATAACTCGGACCAGCAAAGTGTTTTCAACTGCCCCACCCCCCGCACCGATCGGTGCCTCCTACCTGGTCCGGTCTCATCTGGAGACATGCAGCTGCCTCAGTAAGAGAAGTAGCTCAATCACGTAATGTGTACTTTTGTTTATTCTACCGTTACTGGCAAGGCTAACAGTGTAGCAGGCTAATAGCAGGTGGCTAACTCTAACTTAAGCTTGCATATAACATGGTGCTTCACCGTTAACTCGGTGTGACCGTGACCAGCACAGCGGGGAACATGGTGAAGTGGGTTGAACTGAAACTTGTTGACTTATTGTGTATTTCACAAACTGGTTTATTTACCGATGAGGCGGACCACTCTACTCCGTGTGTCCCTGAGCTGCCTGCTTCAGATCCGTCACTCTGCTGTGCTGTGAGGTAGTTAGTGGATGAAGATCGTCATGAGGTCACTACGCCATCGACAGGTTAAGTCGGGGAACTTTACAAATGGCGGAACATTTTCAAAGTGAAACTGAATCTTATCCTCCACATTTTATTTCTGAAAATATCGGCGAAAATCGGTGAGTTATGGCCAATTACAGATAAGTCTCAAACAAGCTAAAATTGTCCGATTTAATCGGCTCACCAATAAATCAGTCGGGCCCTAGTCTATATAACCATGAAATGACTCTAGAACTGTTTTTATAACAGGCTCGTCTGTTCAGCAAACTTTCAGGACAGAAAGGTGAAATATTAGCAGCTTCAAATACTTTGGATGTGCTTTACTCTGACATATGTGACAGTAAACTAAAAAACTCTGTTCCTCCTTACTCTCACTCCTGGTTTCTTACTCTAACACTGTCCTGTCCTCTCTGAGAAAAGGCCTAAAACATGTCTTCAGAAAACAATAATAATACTGTCACAATTATCTTCTTTATAGGGGTGCATAATATTGTCAGCATTGTAACAGTATTTGAAGAAAGTGAGGAACTTTGGGTTTGTAACAGCGATGAGATTGATATCGGCCAATAAGAGTTTGAAAATGTCAGTGTTTTGGATTTTTAACACTTGGAAACTTTGTAAAAAATGTCTGAGAAAACATTTTTAAAATAAGTTGCTAAAGAAAAATATTGTTGGCTTGCAGTGTCAGTTGTAAGCGTATGAATTTTAATGAAAACGTTGCTTCTTTACTGGCAACTAAAGTAGGAAAAAAAGTTTAAAACAGCTGCATGACTCACTGGATTTTTTATATTCGTCACTCTTATCTGCATGCTCTGTTTGGGAAAGTTATAGTAGTCATTTCTGAACTGTTCATCTTTGTCTTTGAACTCCAAAACTTCCCAGGATGTCAAACTCACATCCTGATAAACAGCGTTTTTATTTAGATCCGTATCCGACACCACTGCGCTCCAGACGCCGTCTACTCGAGGTGAACACAGGAAACCTCAAATGATCGCTTCCTCTCTTTAAGAATGGCCTGACATCACTTTCTCACAATGCGATCGCATGACTGAGTGACACATTGTTATGTCATTTTTAACGCCCAGACTGGGAGTACACTGGGAGTTGTCTGCCTCCGCCAGTGAGTGTTCTGTTGTTGTAGAGAGAGAGAGTTCAAGAAATACGAGTGAAACCTATCAAAGTAAAACACGCCACAGGTTTGCACCTCACCACCCACTAAAAAACACAAATGCTTTGAAAATGAAATGATTTCTGTGACGACAGGTTGAAGCGGGTGAATCAGCAGAGATTTGAAGACGAAAAGGTAAAGAAGAGAATAGCTGTCCTCCTGAAACAAAGAGCTGCTCTGCTTCACAGCGAGTGTCAAAAGCTGTTACGATCCTCCTTTCGTCCTTGTGTTTTGATCAAGACAGGAGGAAAACTGCAAAAGGAGACAGGCGGCTGGCTGCGATCAGACGGAGACTAATACTTTCTGAAAGCATACAGTAACCTACATCTGGGAAGTCTCTGCACACATGAGAGCTCGCCTTCACATGGGAGCCTGTTGGAATCAGTCTACTCGATCAGGCCCCTTGAGTTTTAACTCTGCTTGAAGATGCTGCAAGATGACTAATTCTTCTGCCGTTTGTAAAAAAAAAAAAGAAAAATCCTCATCAAATATCCAGACTTGAGTAAAACCAGACAAGAAAATTACACGTGTTAAAAAGTGTAAGCTTTTCCAGAGATGTGAATGTAACACTTGTGTGTAAAATAATCTGGCTTTCTCTTTTCTTTTCCTCGCTGATGATGACTATTCAAGGTGGCACCGGGCTGGGCTGCATAAATCCACCTTCCAGCGCTTCAATAAAAGCCCTGGGACCAAATGATGAGGTAAATGCAAAAGACATCACCTCACCAAACCGACTCTCATGAGCAAATAGATGACCATTAGCTTGGATTATGTAACCATTAAGTGGCACCGTGGCTGTGCTCGCTGCCTACAAGCCAAACACAGCCTCAGAGGTGAATAACACTCACGGGCATGGCGGTTAAACACATGGGAAACTACTCTGTGTTGTTATCCTGCAGATTCACGCGTTAAAAACAGCAACAGAACCGCACAGGTGAAGGTGTGTTTGCACAAGAACTTTGGGTTAGTTGTGTGAGCAAAGCTGCTAATGACGCTGAAGTTAGCGTCTTATTCATTACTTACGATCCAGTTTCAAAAGGGGAAAAGGTCCTGATCCAAAACCGCTACGCCAAGACTTCCCAGATATGGACTAGACTATCTCACAGAGGTTTTGGATCAGAGAAACAAACATGTCTTCAAAGATGTCAAAGGCAATGCTGAAGCTACCCAGGGACCCATGATACTCAGACAAACGCAACATCATGAGAATCATTCGGCGATAGTGTTCTAGGGTTAAACAGAGATGTAGACATGTGCAGCATTTTTGTAAATATGCAAGACAGGTCGAGTCACACCTTTTATCACCTGAATGGACCAGGTCCTGATCCAGAATCACATTACTAGGGCTTCTCGGATGCAGACGTCATTTTCAAAGAGATGCTTCAGTCTTTCACAAATACAGTGTCAAACTCTCACTTGCATTTGGGCAGTTTCACTGGTTTATCACTACAATACTGCATTGGACCAGGTCCTACTCCAGAACCACAACACCAAGACTCTTTTGATCTTTGCTTCATTATTCTAGAGTAGCTGCAGACTCTCATGTATGTGTTTTCAGACATGCAGACCCTTTATTCTAGAGAGGCCAGTGTTCCTGTTGGGTTCAAGACCTGGTCCAATGTGGTTCAGAGGTGAAAAGCAGTGAAATCTCCCTTTCTTGCATTATGACTAAGAGAATAATGGTTTAGACCTTAAACTGTGTTAACTAGGGCCTTAGTCTTGCTCTAATAGTCATCCATATCCAACAGGTCTAGATAAAGTGTTTCTGGATCAGGACCTGGTTTCTGCAGCTGAATCGGAAACAGTGAATAAGATGAGAACTTCTTCAGCGCCGTGGGCAGCTAGCTAAAATTTAACATCAAATACAACAAAAAAGGCCGCGAGTAAGTTTCCAAAACAGCCACCAGCAAGTCAAATGAACGTGTTGGTGACTATATACACCTCTAAGTGATGGAGAAACTGCGAATAAACCCGTAAAATCCGCCTCATGCTGTATTGGGAGAGTGAAGTAGCTTCAGCGGGCAGCGTCGCGCCGAGTGACGGCAGCATGTTGCTGCTCTGACGGACAGACGCAGCGTCATCGCCTCGGTGGGCTGTGAGGCTAACGGCCAACCGTTAACGGTTTAACGGGACTAAAAAAGCTTTCCCGCCCTGGTTAACTCGGTATATTTCTCAAAGAGACCTAAAATCTTTTCTCCTCCCGCCGCACTACGAGCGTTTTAGTGAATGTTCAGCCCGTAATTCAGCCGTTAACGTGTTGTGTAATTGACGTAAAATAGTGTTACGGTAACACCACCTCCACGGTATTCCTCCTCACTGTTTAAGCTAGCTATAGAGTCCCGAAAATACCACAACACCCATCCACACTGACTTCAGCTTAGTTAACACTTGCCGCTGCAATGGCGGGGTGCAACATTAGAGCAACAACAGAAGAGCAGTGAAAATGTCATGAAAACAAATTCAGACACTCACCGGAGGAATCCTCATCTTTACGTAGAGTCCCGCGGAGCCCCTCCGTCAGCGCCCGTCATGTCTAATCGCCTTTGAAAGCTATTTTCGAGTATCCTCGCGTAGACCCCGCGCTGCCTGCTCAACTCAAACAGCGCAAGTCGGAAAGTACAGACTGTAGTCTACCGTAGTTGTGCGACAAAACTCAAGGATCCCTCCCCTAAGGTTTATTATTGGGAAAAATAAGGAGCAACGGCAAGACAACGAGAATCGAATTACACTACTTCCTGTTGACTGTTAGCAAAATAAAAGCCCTTGTGGAAACATTGAGCTCATCTATTTAGTGAGGTTTTGATTTTATTACTTTGTTAGAAAAAGCACAGTTACAAAAAATAACTTTATAATTTGACGAATTATGTTTTTAAACAGATTTTTGTAAGTTTATTAGCAGACAAATACTCCTATTTAAAAACTGGAATGAGCTGTCCAAATAAAACAGTCAACGTGATGCAGAAGATAATTTGTTTACATGACTTAAATGTTTGAAATAAAGGTTCTTTGCAGACATTTTCACAAAATAAAATTTCCAAAATTTTCTAAAACTTGTTCGGGAACATTCTCACTTTTACAGACTTGCTTTACTGTCCTTTTAGCTTTTGTTACACTCGTACTCTTTATTAACCTCTTAGGCCTTTTACTCTTTTATCTTTTGCTCATTTCTGTTGCTCTATTATATTACGATTATTATCAGTATTACCTTTTATTATTATTTTATTATCATTGTTGATATTGCCTTTTATATTTACTATCCAGTCTCCGCTTTTGACCCCCTCTTTTAATTGCATTTTCTTTTTTCTTGAACATTTTATTTTTTTTATTTTGGTCCTCATGGTCTCATTTTATGTTGCATGGTTCTTGTATTGTCTGGGTTCCTTATGACATGAACATTGCCTTCAATTCCATTTTAACTGAGCTTTTTGTTTTTATCAATCTTTTCCCATGTGCTCTATGACTATATGTCACAATAGTACTGAAGGAATGCAGTAAAATAAGGATACAAAAAAAGAAATTAAATGTATATATTATATATTAAAGATGAATAAAAGTATAGGAGAAATATTTACAAAGTGCAAGAAATATTAAAAGTGGAAAGGGAGATATTTACAAAGTGAACAAGCGATGTACTAGGCGCTGAGTGTAAATGTGTGAGATGAAGGATAAGTCGGTGGGATACATGAGGTATGAAAACTGCTGTATTGCACATGAATAATAATGGTGTTTGAAAGCTGTATTGTACATCACAGATGATATTGCACAGTTAAGTGGGTTATTGAACTGAGTATTGTCCGGTGGTTCAATCATCTTAATCTTTATCTTTCAAATTTTTCATTATTTTCTTCACACACACAAAAAAAAAAAAAAAGTTCAATTCGAGCTCTTATTTCTAAGGCGACAACACTCCGTTTCCGGTTTTGTTCCACCTGCCGCTGTCCAACTTGACGCAACTCATCCAGCTCCTGCACCGCGGTCCAGCCGCAGCAGCAGCAGGGACATTTTGGCTCAAACCTGGCCGAGGGTGGTGCGCTGAGGCCCCGGGGCGGGTCCGCAGCTCCGTCCCGCTCACAGCAAGACACAGTTGAGCCAAAATGGCTCATTTCACCGCCGCCCCCGCTCCCTCCCGGTGGTAACCTTGTCAGACCTCTCAGCCCGCTCCAGCATCAGCAGCAGCAGTAGCAGCAGCGGCCCATTGATCAGCACGATGCAGCAGAGCGGCGTCAGAAGTGATCAATGAAACGGGATGTGACAGTGTTGGCGGGGATGTAGTGATGTGTACAACCCACCCAAACTCTTGTTAACCCCTCCTTCTTTACAGACCCAATCACACTTCAACTGAAGCCTATTAAGCTGTAAAACATTAAGGACTTAACACAATGTCATGAATATTTTATATACTCATAGAAATAGTCTGTCTTCATGCTGATTATCTGGTTTGCCTCTTTATAGCTCATAAAACGCAGCATTAACTTAAGTGAAACTGTTGTATTTCATCACTACTAAATGGCATGTCAAAAGAGAAATATACTAAATCCTGCGCAGGAAACAAACTGATCAAGATTGAATAATGTAGCTGCTGGTTTGCTCCCTGTGAAATACTGCCGTATGTACGAGTCCAGATATCTATGAATGCAGGGAAGTGAAGAGGAAGAGGCCCTCTGTGGGGCTTCTTATAGGCTTGAGTGTTAATGCTATTTATAAAATAAGCGTCAGTTGCAAATACTTTTCATGGAAAGACATCAATCATCACTTTATATGCCACATCTACAATTAAAAATTTCCGCCTGTGTTGCAATTTTTCCCTGAAGGACGAAAACAAATCGGACAAGTCAAGCAACAGAGAAAATAAGTTGCCCAAAAATGCTTTATTAAATTCATAAATCACCACTATAAGTAAAGTGAACTACTAATTCACTTTAAATGTAACTTCATAAACAATCTCTTAAATACTAGCCACATTTAATCATGTAGAAACCTTTTATATGAAGGATTTTGAGTCCTTTAGGTGCTGGGAGGCAGCATTAATTTGTGTCCGTGATATCACGATTGATTGATATCAAAACCTGCTGTATCTGCATGTTGCTGTGCTGTTGAAACAGCCTGACCAGGAGTGATTCACGTCTCAGGAGATGATGCGCTGAACCTTTAACAACCCCACAAGAGGGAACGCCCTTTGTGAGTCCGTAAGAGGTAAACAGTAAAACACTTGACAGGAGAGGAGGGGGGAAAAAAGGGTTCAGTTTGCTTCATTCTTTGAGGCTTCATCAAAGTTCTCCACGAGATCTGTCAGACAGAAAAAACAAAATGAGAGAGAGGTTTTGAAGCAGGTTCACAAAAATATGGTAAAAGTTATTATATGAACGATTATCAGCGTCTCTACCTGGTACATCGTCGTCCTCTTCTTCTGCTATTTCCTCCTTGACTGCTTTCATGTCCATTGCTGCAAATCACATGAAATAGAAAATCAATTTCATCTTCATTGCAACAACACGCAATCTGATTGGTCAGAAGTGGACAAGCAGTATGAGAAACTTTAAAAAAAAATTGACTGCTATCGGAAAAAATAAATGCCGCAATATCGCCGGAAGGGAAAACGTCGCTGATGTGAGAATAGTCTCTTGTGTGACAACAGTGTAGAAAAACGGCGGGTCTCTCTCATAGGAAAAAAAAACCTGATCTGGCCTGTACTCTGATAATCAATCCAGATGTACGATCACAGTATATTTCTCATACTTGTGATATAGACAGAACCGATAACAGAGCGGATACAGCTCTCAACTTATCGTCTTTCAGTGTATTTTTGGCTGAGATCCCTGCGGCTCACAGATAAAATCATGTGAGATGCACTTCTTATGACACGGCCTTATCTGTCCACATGCACACCAGAAATCAAGCTGTTTCAAGACCGTCATGCCAAGGTAGGATGCAGTCTGCTGTGGAAGAGCAAGCACGATCTCATAGATGCTCAAACAGTGAACTGGCTATGATGACTGTTCGTTTTAATCCTAATGTTAGTTTTCCTTCACAGTTTTTCTTCTGTCATCTCAGTCCCTGTTGTCGTCTCCAGTTTTCGCTGCTACACTAACCAGTTTCTTTGTCACATTTACACATCCATCCTCCGCCGTCTCCCCTGGGATTTTAAACAAACAAACAGACTGTGCAGTACAAAGCAGATCTGCAGAAGTACACTAAATGTTAAAAGGCAGCATATGCAAATGTGTGATTCTGTGTTGAGCAGATTCAACACCGTCCAGCTGCCTTTTACTGTCATGGTCACTTCGATGTCAGCGCAGGACCTCTGCTCCTCTGGTTTAACAGTCGACCCTCTTTTTTGTCACCACATCAACCCTTCCTGCTCACCCCACGTCTCAAAAAAATCTGATGACTCAAACTTCTAAAAATATCCCTGGTATTACACGACCACAGAGAACCCTGACATTGTGACTTTGAGTGTTTTAAACGTGTATGTGTACACTCACGTTGCCGTGGGAACTGCTCCGCCAGCTTGCGCAGGCTGGTGAGGCTGTCGGCTCCCAGCTGGCTCAGGATGCCGGGCAGCATCTCCGTCAGCTGCTTGGTCTCGGCGTGGCCTGTGATGGCGAAGGTGTTTGCAGACAGAGACGCCTGCACTTTGGGGTTGTTGAAGTGGATGACTGTACCGTCATCTTTAATCATGTTCACCTGAGAGAGAGAATAATAATAAGAGACACTCAGTTGGAGCTTGAGCCAGTTTTTGCACCTTGAACACCTAAATTACAGTTTAGAGAAAAGAAGGTGGGTTTTAAAAAGGTATTAATTTGTCAAAAGGAAATAATTTCTTCTCAAAGGACAACAACATGACAATCCTCAGACCTTAGAGTGTTACAGTGTAAAAATAAACAATCTTAACCCTGCGTATAAAATTCAAAAAGGTTAAACTGGGCCAGAACATAGGTTGTGTTTTGAGCACCAGATTCGTATCTTGTCCTCACATTTTCTCTGCTTTCCTGCTCAGTTTTCCTTTTTAATCTGAAACCTGTTATGGGAGCGTGTTAGATAAAAGTACCCTAAAAATAAAACAGATGAAATGATTGGGAAACGCTTTAGTCAGGCTCTCCCCGTCTTTTATCTTTCCTCTCCACACTCCCGGTCGGAAAGGAAAAAAAAAAAGAAGTTAAAACGGCACAGCTTCAGAACAACACTGCTGATCGTTTCCCTTTGATAGCTCACCTCCTCTATGCCTGCGATGTTGTTCACTGCCAGTTTCTTCAGTGAGCCCTGGAGTTTCTTGTCGTCAGCTGTTGCTGTTTTGTGAACAACCTTTTTCTTCCTGCGTGCCGTTCCCTGAGGAAAGAACAGGTGTGGAAGGAAAAAGGGGGGTTAGTTCGCCCAATTACCCAGTGTGTCAACGCCATTATGTCAAGTCAGATGTTTTTGAGTCCGTTCAACTCATGTTTGGATTCAGTAACTTATTTCTAGCTTGGCTGCAGCACTTCTGCATTAGTTAACAAAAAAACAACCCTAACTATGCCGTGAGGAGCGGCTTTATGCTACTTTTGCCAAGGAAATGTCTGCTGGCCATCAAAAAGAAAAGAAGATCCTGCTCAAGGTCACATATCAAAGCAATCCCCTTTTCCTCTGGGGCCTGTACAGCTCTGTGGTTTGATCCCACACTCCATGTTCAGAGGTTACAGTCTTTGCAATAGGTGGCCTAGGTTCAAGACCGGCTTGTAGATTATTCCCCACCCTCTTTCCACTTTCCTACCTTGTTTATTGTCCTATTAATCATGTGCAATATCAATATCAATCATCACATCCACACCTGTTTTTTGTTGGAACTGATCTTTCCTTTTCTCATACTTGTCTTTAATACTGTTCTTCGATTGCGCTGCTCTGTCTTTTTTTTACCATAGTTCTTTATCTTATTTATTTGTTTTTTGTATTCCATTATGAATGTGTATGTTGTGTGTACCGCTGCTGTCAACGACTTAATTTCCTCACTGAGGGATGAATAAAGGAAAATCTAAATCTAAATCTATCCTTGCAGTAAAGGCTTATAACTTTTATGTATTCTTTAAAAAATTCTTTCAAATTCTAATAAAATAAAAAAGATGGAAGTGGTTAATTGATGTGGCAAAATATTTGCTTCCTGAAGCATTTTTCCTTAAAAGAAAAGGGAATTTCTGCCCTCCAAGTTTAAGAAATGATACTATTACTGAGTAAAAAAGCACCTTATTGGTATTATGGTTTTGTAAAGAGGAATAAAGTTACAGAATAAAGTTCGGTCATTAGTACGTTTTCATTTACAAAAGGTATTCTTGGAAAAATTCCGGACTAACTCTCCTCCTTATTCATCTTAATGGACGGATTACACAACCTGAGATCATTGAGATTTATACAGTTTGTTGTCTCCAGAGTCCGAACTGAAATGGGAAAGAAGGTTTTCAGGTTCTTGGAATAATCTGCAGACTGAATTTAAGCTGCAAAACTTGGTGTCTTTGACTGTTTTTAAATCTGGAGTACAAACTCTCAGAATGTCTCTGTTTTAACTGATGTTTCCTCACATTTTTGTTCTGTATTGAGTCTGTGTGACTGTTTGTTGTAACTACGTATTGCTGCCATTCTTGGTCAGGTCTCCCTTGCAAATAAGAGCCTCAGATCTCAATGGGACAAACCTGGTTAAATAAAGGTTAAATAAAATAAAAAATACAGGGTACTTGGAAGACAGTGGAACTTGAAAACCACTGAACAACTTAAAAAGGAATTAAAACCATTCAACACTCTATTTATGCAGTTTCAACTACTATACTCAATTTCCACACGAGTGGAAACGAGCTTCCCGAACACATAATTTTTACATTACTGCCCCCTATTTCAATCAAATAGGCCCAAAACTTCAACTCTGAATGAGTCTAAGCATATCCAGATGTTTAAACTAAACTGTGACAAAGGTTCACAAGAAAATCTCTGACAAGTGACCAAGATCAGGGAGTGACAGTCATGTGCAAAACAAGAACAAAGTAAATGTGATTAAGTCTGAGTATGGAATACAACTATGAAAGAGCACAAGGTTACTGTCACAGCAAAAACAACAAATAACGCCACCTAGTGTGTAGCTAAAGGCCTTACAATGAATTAAAACAAAGCCACAGAGGCCACAGATGAAGGGGCCAATGCCCCCATAAAGGGACTGCTGAGGTCAGGAGGACAGACATGGCAGATGCTGAATACCATCAAACTACTTCAAATGGACCAATGACATGACGAGACTAGGGGCTTTGGTAGAGATGAGATTCCTCCTACTAAATCACATTTTTCTAACACTATGATGGCACCAATAGAGAGGTCAACAGATTTTAAAGTATGTCAGAAATGATAGTAAACTCTTACCTTTCCTCCTATCCGGACCTGTGCCTGAAGTTTGGCGAGCTTCTCCTGATTCATAGTGTTCTGTCTGTTTGTAAAACATAAAGTTATATATTTGAACCAATCAAACAAACAGAGTTGTCCTCTGTTTTACCAAAAGAGAAAAAGATGCAACAGCTGAAATCCAGTGAGTCATTTTAGAGTCAACATTAATCCTCATTTCCACACCTTAGCTACAAGACAGCTACCATTAACTGAAGTGTACAATAATAATAAGAATAATTAGAAGAAACTCTCATCGTTGACTAATAATTACTGGTAATAATTGAAAAAACAACATTTACATCTTTGAGGTGCTATCTAACGCAACTAAAGCATTTGAGAGGCTAACCTGTGGGCTAATTTAGCTAATATTAGCATAGTGGCCAAAAAACAAGATAAACTACCTGCGACCTCAGACACGACAAGACAAACAGCGACGGTCAAATGCTACTCTTTAAGTAAAACTTAACAGATAAGGTGTTAAAATCAGAATAAAGCTATATTTACCTTTTAAATGGGCTTGCTTGTGCGGTAAAATGTTTCTCGCAACTAATGAGTCTGTAGCAGTGCAGCTTATACCTCCATCAAAAACCAGCATTACTTTCTACTTCCTGTTTAAGTTTTCAAAATATGTCAAGTTTGTAATGAATTTCGATGTTTTTTTACATTCACAGTAGAATATAATAATCAAATAAGAAAATAATTCGAATTTATTTGCGCATTTTATTTAAATGTAGACGTGAAACTGTATATTGACATACGGTTAATTCTTGAAGTGGCTTTTAATTTTTAAATTGACAGTCCATATCCGGTCTGTCTTTAATTTAACGTTTTCTAACTTGACTGGCTGGAGCACCAGACAGGAGCACGCGGTTTTGTGGATGTGACGTCAAATGAACGGCCCCAAGATGGTCAAATGAGTCAGTGTCGACCAATCAGAGGAGGATGGGGGAGGAGCCATCGTCACACTGTTGCAACATTTTACACGAAGATTTCCAGAATTTTATTGTAGATTTTTCTTTTTTTTTTCTTTTTTTTTAACCGTTTTTTGGATGTCATAAAAATACATTGTAAAATTATTTTAACTTTTAAAATAATAAGTATTACCTTAAAGTTGCGAATTACTACACATGATTATCCTATTTTCAATTTCAGTTCAAAAAAAAAAAAAAAAAAGTTTTCAGTTTAGTTCTGAATCTTGGCTTTTTATCTACCATCTCACTGAATTTCAACAACAGCAATCTAATAAATCATGGGTTTGAATGATCTCTTGATTTCTACTAACTCTACTGTTATGTGCTATTAAAACTCAATATTTTTCACCGATTATGAACAATGATTTTGGCTTCTGAGTACTATTACGAAAAACAATCTTCTTAATTTCGATACTTTCACTCTTTTAATAAAACTATCAACAAAACTGAGCTGGTTATTAATCACCTGCACGGACAAAATAGTAATAATTGGGAAACCTTTATTGTGAAGGGTAACTTTTGTACATCCGGGTCTGTGGTTCATGACGAGTATCGGTGGTACTGCAGCTGTGAGGGAAGAAGGCCAGTCAAAATGCAAACGTCTCTGGTTAATATCGTTTTATTTTCATCCCTACATGTTTTGTTGTCCTTGACGTGTTTTCATGATGTTGTGGGAGCTACCGGCGGGAAAGGTGAGTTTATTTGGAGGTGATTAAAATCAGTTTTAGTGTCTTTAGAGCCTGCTCATTGATACTTTGACCACAGCCTGGAGGGAAGCTAAGCTAAGCTAAGTGTCTTTGTAGCAGCAGCATCCTGGATCACAGTCTAAGTCCTGGAGGGGAAATTTAGGTGCACTGAGGACGTGTACTTTAAATGCAAAACATGACAGGTCAACAGACATGTTTAACTGAATTCCCTTGTATTCCTAGGTTATCTTTTGAGATGATATCAAAGTAAATCACCTAACTAAGGAACGTTTGAAAGTAAAAAGTGCTTCAGCTCATAAATAAATATGTCTGCATACTGCACAGGACATTTTCTGTTATTCAAGGTGCAAAAGTAAATGTTTTAAATAGTTTTTAAGGGGGGAAAACTGTTTAAAATGGTACTGAAGTGAAAATAACAAACATAGGAATAAGAAAATCGTGCATACGTACTTTTAAAAAGCTTTGCATGAAGCATAAATGCGCAAATGTCCATTTTTATTATTATTTTTTAAATTTTCTTTTTATTGATTTCACATATGAATACTCCCCCAACATTTTACATTTATTAAAAAAAAATTCCAACTGTATAGAATATTTGCATACTTCTCCATTGCAGAGCAGAAACACAGTTAGACATAAATTGTCAAGTTAAAGTAGAATAACTGTGAAATAAAATGAAACACTTTTCACTCATGTCCTTTTTTCACACTTCTCTTGCATCTCCCTTTTCTCCTGTTGGAGGGTAAACATGATAAATTAAATGTGCAGTTATTTATACTACAAAAAGAAAGAAAATAAGTTAAAAAAAAATGCAGTTAAATCTATCTTTACTATTTTGATAATTATATAACATTTATCACGTGGTTTTTAATGTTCTCATTCATTTTTAATAATGATATTTCTGCACAGTGTTTACGATTGTTTTTACAGCAACTTTGAAGTCAATCTATAAAAGTAGAGACAGAAATCATGCAAATTAGTCATGTTGTGAAAATCAGTGTTAAAAAAACACATCTTCTTATTGTTTTTACTCCTTTTACTTATTGGTTTTGGTGGCACCTAAAAGTCATGTCTATATATTGTAGGGGTGGGAGAAAAAAATCGATTCACATAAGTATCACAATTTTTTGTTTTACAATTTTAAAATCCTTTTTTTTTTCTGTTCAAACATTGATTTTTTTTCCAAATGTAAGAATAAATCTGAAAAACTGACTTACATTTGATGTTTAATTTTTGGGAAAATATGGTTCCTGGAATAGCCAGTAGACAATCACAATCATTCACTGTTTCGCTGGTGTTACAAATGCAGAATAAAAACCAAGAAAATCAACAATATCATAGAATCGCAATTCAAATGGAATCGACATCCAAAAAATTGTAGAAGAGGCGAATCGGGAGAAAAGCATATCATCCCAGCCCTAATATATTGGGATTGTATCGATTTCCTGTGTCCTGCAAATGTAAATAACAACAACTGCGTAACTATTGAGTAACTTTTGGTTGTGTTTAACATGACCTTCATATATGTGAAGGTGCTGGTTATTGTAAAATTCCAGGTGACAGAGCTGAGTTAAATGTTCCCCACAGCCTGATATGAAATTACATCTGCCACTGCTGCCACAGCTTCCTCTCTCTTCTTTGTATGGACACGGTTATTTAGGGCAGACCCACCCTGTAGTAGAAATGTAATATGAGTTACACAATGCCCGTGCGCTCATTAATTTGTTCCCCCGCAGGGTTCGGAGATCACATCCACTGGAGGACGCTGGATGATGGCAAGAAGGAAGCAGAGGCCAGGTGAGTTCACGCAGTGAGAGCTGGAATAACTCGAATGCTTCCTGTGAACCTGCTGAGCGGCCTTTTCTACAGCTATTAGCCTGAGGTTGAACACGGTGTCTGCTTCTCAGCTAATGGCTGAAAGGAAAACTGACCCACTGATACATATGAGTGGATCTTCTTACTTCTTACTGTTTCTTCTTTTAAATATGATACATGTCCAGGAGTCAAATTTTATTCTCTTTGGGTTTCCAGTTTCCACCATGTCCTGGTTTATCGTTGACAGGTGTATTTTTATGTGTTTGATTTCACAGTGGGCTCCCAATCATGCTCATCATCCACAAGACCTGGTGTGGAGCCTGCAAAGGTAAAACTACTCTCTTTACCTTTCACTTGAAAAAGGAAAACCCTCAGATTAGACGCTGTTATGGAAAATAATGGAACACTAAACACGTTTCAGCTGTTTCTGGATTATGTTTATATAGTTTTTTCTCTGCTGTGTACAATTTTAACCTGTGTTTGTGGACACGGTGACATATTGTATCCATAGAAAGTGGTTTTGATCCCATGCAGGGATTTCTACTACAGAGTCATGTCTGTTATGTACAGTTCTTCCCAAAGGCCTGAAAACCACAGCCATCCAGTATTATTTTCAGCCCTGCACCTTCTTGTACAAGAGTTTCCTCATATTTTCTAGACAACTTCATGCTATTGTAACCTTCAGATGAAGGAATCTAAAATTGTTGAACTGGTAGCTCACGCAGCCTCGCACAACCGTTTATATCTTTACTTTTGAGATACTTAACTTCTCTTAAAAAATGCCCTTTTTGACCAAGTCATTATACTCTTCTGCCGCAAATTAACCTGAGAAGTTGGGAGATGATCCTCTGGGTGTTTTAAAGTGTTACACCTGGTTGTCCTTGTACCAACTTTTTGGAAATATGTTGCTGCCAAATTAACTTGGTATAACCCTGTGATCAGGGGTAAAATATCCAACAGTCTTGTGTAAAAGCAACATTTTCGATCGTGTGTTTACTTAATTTTGACTCCAAATCACAGCGTTTTTCTACATTAAAGTGACTGACATGTAGTTCATTCATTAATCAGACTCAGTTGTAAAAGATGTGACTTGTTTTTGCTCGTAATCATTAAACAGTTCAAAAGAAATGAACTTCAATGTTTGCTTTTATTCGAGCCGACGTTTCACATCCCTCTTTATTGAAGGTGAGACGAATGAGCCGCTCCTCTATTTACAGTGGAAACAAACCACATCTGAGCGTCTGCATCAACATGAGCGAACCCTCTATCTGCGTTCATATGAACACATTTCACAGTTTGGATGGTGGTAAATGTTGATTTGAAACAACACAAAAGATTAATAGTTTGTGTTTTGTTGTTTTTTTTTCTCCATCAGCACTGAAGCCCAAATTTGCAGAGTCCAAGGAAATCTCTGAACTTGCACACAACTTTGTTATGATCAACCTGGAGGTAAGAGAGTGTGCTGCACGTTTCTGTTTCATTTAAGAGTAAGCAGCCAGCATTCACCTTGACGGTCAGGTGGTTTATTTCAGTTCCCAGGCCTGTTAATGATCGTCTCTTGTCTCTTGTTTGAACAGGACGACGAGGAGCCAAAAGATGAGGCCTTGAGCCCGGACGGCGGATACATTCCTCGGATTCTTTTCCTCGGTACGGAGAGGAGGGGGGTTGAGTCAAGCTGGATGTAAACACTCTGTGGGATTCTTTTGGACACGCTGATACGCAGTTACTCATGTCTGGATCACACGCAGAGTCTGATATGAATCAGTGGGCTGGGTTTCAGTTTCAGGGGCATGTTTGTCTCCCACTGAGTGAGAGCACACTGAGAAGGCCAGGGCGGTGTAAACGAGAGTAGACTTCTGGTGGAGGAGCGGTAATTCAGCTGCAGGAATGACCGGTGAATAAATCTTAAAATGAACTTCTGAAAGGAAAAAAGGAGATTGAGTAGAACCTGTTTGAGCAGAAAGAAAGAGTGTTCAGGAACGAATCAGATCACGGCATTCGAGGACCAGACTGTGGTCAGAGCATCTTCAAAACTGCACCTCTTGTGGGGAATTTCTGGTCTGCTGTGGTCAGTACTAACAAAAAGTAGGCCAAGGAAGGAAAACCAGTGAACCAGGGAACATGTTCATTGATGCATGTGGAGAGTGAAGGTTGACCCATGTGGTTCAATCCAGCAGAAAAGCTACTGGAGATCAAACTGCTGTGGTTCTGACCAGTCAGGGTGTCCGTACCGGCCCCTGTGCACCATCAGAAGCACCTGCAATGGGCTTGTGAACATCAGAACCAGACCATAAAGCAGTAGAAGTAGGAAGCCAACAAAGACAGGACAACAAATTCTAGATGTTGACTTGGTCTCCAGATTTCTTCGATTGTAATCCAATCGAGTATCCCTGAAATATGCTGGAAAAGGAGGTCTGTCTACTCCTGTTTGCAGACCTTCAGTGGATAGATTACCTTAATTTTTCTGAACTAAACCTTTTAATTTCCTCTTCTTTCAGATCCCAGCGGCAAAGTCCACCCTGAAATTACCAACAAGAACGGCAATCCAAACTACAAGTACTTCTACAGCAACGCGGATCAAGGTAACACTCCAGATTTAGGCTTTTAGGTGTTTGGACAGAGTTGTACTCTCTTCAGGGTGCCGAAAATCACCGTTTGAGGTTAACAGATATGCAAAGTCCCTCTTGAAGGAGTTGAAAATCACGTTTTTTGTTTCCCTCCGCCCTGCTCAGTCGTGTCCGGCATGAAGGAGGCTCAGGAGAAGCTGACAGGTGATGCCTTCAAGACGGGTCACACAGGGGACGAGCTGTGAGGAGGCGGAGACAGGCATCAGGCTGTAAGGGCTACACTTCTTCTACCTCAGCCTGAGCCGCAGACGCCAACAACAACGACATCAACAACAACCCAAACGATCTGTATTTATTCTCCAACTTTAACACAGCAAGGCTCTTTCTCGCTGGGCAAACCAAGCGAACCATTAAAACGGTGCTTGAGTCGTCTTGTCCGGTACTTTTTCTTTTCTGATAACTTTTCCTCTCATCGTCTTTTTTTTTAATCTTTCAAACATGTATATTTGTAAGTAATCAAGTGCCATGTACTGTATTTACTGTCTGTAGAGGATATAACTAAGTCATATTAGCCAAGTTAGCAGTTACTCACTTTGACTTCTGGGTGCTGTTGTTGGGATCATCTGGGAAAAGCTAAGTTTTAACAGGTCAACTGCCTCGTTTTTTTTTTGTTTTTTCTCCATCACACTACCCTGAGATTTTTACACATGAAGAAGTTGAGTTTGTAGTCGACTGTTTAGTTCACCCAGCGGCGGTTCTTCTACTTCACATTAATCAGGATAGATATTTGAATACCTACAGTGATGTGCTTCCAAAGATCCTCTACAGTCCGTTAACTCTCTTGTGTCTAATATTTATCGATCACTCCATGATTTTTTTTTTTTTCTATTATCCAAATTCATTTAATCCTGCAAATCCATGTGCTTGTTAGCTGATGATTGTGTTCTCTTTGTCGGGGTTTGTTTTTTTTTGGTTTTGCTGCTCGTGAAGTGACAACACTCGGTTTGTCTCTTGAATGAGGGAGGGAAACATCGGTTAAGTGTCTTGATGTATTTTATACACGTACACGGCCAAGTGTGCAAATAAAAGTTTGTTCTACTGAGTCGTCTCGTGAGTCGGATGCATCATGACACAGCTGTAATAACAGTATATCAAATTTTATTGTCTATCCAACAACAGTGATCCCTTATGGTTTGTCAAACAATATGAAACGACTGCAAACAGCCACATCAGTACATCAGAATCAAGTCACTATTTAAATTCAGTTTGACGGTGATTTAAATAGTGCACTTACAATTTAAGACATTGGATTGCAAATGATCCCGTTCCACAAACAGCCTGCTGATAAACGGCTTCTCGAGGAAAGACTCTTCGGCCACTTGTCAGCGTATAAAAATCTGTTACAGCATATGATTTTTCAAGAAACAATAAATTACAGAAACAATAATAAGCAGACATCTCTAAATAAGCCTGAAGTCGTGACAGGTTTACAGTGTTTACAGACTTGGAAAAGACGAGAAAATAAAGAGGAATGTTTGTGTGTTTAACAGGTAAAACTCCTCTGTGTTGATCTGATGGACGAAAGGCTTGAGCTGAGATGTTTAAGGGCACGGAGAAAAATCACAAAGTAAACCAACTTTAAACAAATCTCCAAAGTTTGCTACTCTATCGAAGAAGGAAATAGAGAGGATATATTTCTACAATCACTATAATTACACTAATTACACCATGTTGCCGCTTTAAAAAGCAGCAATATTTCACATATAAAAAACTATAAAAAGCTGTATATTTAAAAGGACACAGCCCTAAAGTGAGATTCAAAGAGAGTGATTGTTTTTGAAGTTAAAATGTGCAGAAAAGACCAGTGTGCACTCTGTTCTGGCATCAAGAGCTCCAAAGACGCAGCTGTGCTACACAATCTTGTCTCAAGTGGACGTACAAGAGGTTTCAACAACATCTGGAATCAATCCTTACATTTTTGGAGGAGGGTCCATGTTGAAAACTGCGTCTATAACGTTACACTGAAATGCTGACATGTTAGATTCCTTCTGTAAACCCACGAGACTGAATTTCATGCTTAAGACATTCCTGACGTTCTCTCACACGGAGAGTAAAGCTACACTTAAATAGAATTAATTCACTCTTATTATTGTCCAGTTTGCTTTTTGAGAATAACGAGAGGTGAGTCAGGGGGGACGAAGGGGAGTGTGTTTGAGAGGGGGAGAGGCAGAGATGAACTTAAACCCTTCCCTGCTTGGCGTCTCCGATGGCGCCCCAGACGTCAAATACAAACTCGTCGGGGAAGGCGAAGTCTCCAAGGGTCTCGTCCAACGCCATGGCGAATTCATCAGGGTTCTTCTTGTCGCGGCCGACCTCGACCATCGTCGCAGCTAGAATAGGAACAGAGGAAGATCTCACTGGTGTTTTAATCAAATTAGAGACCCTCTGAAAGTGAGTGTCCAAAACGTTCCTATGGTCTATTCTGTATGATAAACTTCTATGATGCATGTCAGCTGATAAATCACAAACTGTGCATGCAACAGAAGAGGGATGAGTCTAGTTTTTTTAAAGACCTAATTTCAACCATCTAGATTCTGTGTAATTTTATCAATTATGATAGCCACTGAGCAATATAAAGTGTAGTATAGATATATCTCAGATTTAGACTTGGTCCTAATTTAGACATCTAAAAAAACGTTCATTTTTAGACCTGTGGTAGCCTGATTTTAGACCAGTCATCTCGGCTGCATTTAGACGTCTATTAGACCTCTTTTAGACCAAAAAATGCTCACTGGGTTCTTCAAGAAGATTCATGATCGGCATTTTATCCGTCCTAATACAAAGTGAAAATCCAGGCCCTCCTTAGAGCGAGGCCTCAGTGCTGCTAACGTCTTATCCACTTGTGCTGACATTTTTCTCACAGGGGTTTTTGGTCGGGAATGCAATGTGACTAAATCATGGATTAGCATACAGACTGAGGTCACAGACAGGGTTAACTGAGGCCAAAGCTTTTGGGCTGAAATTGGACATGAAAACAACCCGGTGATCTGCTCCAAATTCACAATGAAAAGGCCAGGATGAAAAATTTTCTTTCTGCTCTGATATTGACATTTAACATTTAATAACTATGACATGAAGCTGCAGCCCAAGGAGACCTGCTTAATTAGAGGCTCTGTGCACATTATTGGACAAACTGATTAATCCAGGTGTGTCGGAGTAATCACAATGATCAGTCACACCTGGATTAATCAGGTGTGATTGATCATTAGAGGCTAGAAATGACTCCTACACCTGTGATGTATTGCAGATAATCAAAGCACATACGGGATTTTCGTACTAAGAGGTCTAAAATGATCCTGCGGGTCATATTACAGGGTGTTTTACTCTGCTTTAGGAAAATTAACATTACTATAGTCATAATACACAGGCAGCCTCATTCATGTGGGCTGTTGAACATCTCTGATACTTGAATTGTTGCTCACCGAGTTCAGTGTCTCTGATGCCCATGTAGCTCTCCAGGAGGTCGTCCACTTTCTGAACCGCCTTCTCCTCGAATTCTGTTGGCTGGAAAACACAAACACCTCCGTTGTTATGATCCAGTTTCTCTGTTTTTTTTGTGCTGTATTCCTGCAGATCACTCCACGGGGTGTTGCAGTTTAGGCGAGCATGCTCACAGCGGTTCTTTCTTTTACATTTGGAGGGATAACAGACGAAGATAAAAGTCTGTGGATTACCTAAGAATGCAGGGCTGCGGGGACTAGTTTGCCCTCTCTCTTTTGTTAATGTTTCGGTTCGTTTCTTATCATTTATAGGGATCCTCAATAGAGATGAAGAAGAAATGGAGCCAGCAGACGCCATAGTTTAAAGGGGTATTCCGGCGTAAAATTAATTTAGGGTCAAACACACCGTAACACCGAGTTAGACACCCCCTTGAGAGATGAATGTTGCCGACCGCTTGCTTCTCTAGTTAAACCAACTTTAGTAATGACCACAGGATAGCAATACACAGCATAAAGAAATGATCATAAATGTTCTTCCTTGAGCTGCGTCACCCCGCTGTAGTCCGTAATGGACTGGCCCGAGGTCTCGCTACAAACAAGCGGCTGCTGGAAGAGAGTAGGTGAGTTGTGTTTAATCTCTTTGCTAAAGAAATTAGGCAAAGCTAAAAAGGCTAGGACCCTATATGTACTGTTGATGAAGTTAGGTGCTGTTCTGAGCATTATTTGTGGCTATAGAGTGGCTTTTTGGTTCAGGTTTGTTTATGGCTCCTCAGACCGCTGTGTATTGCTATCGTGCGGTCGTTACTAAAGTTGGTTTAACTAGAGAAGCAAGCGGTCAGCAACCTTCATCTCTCGAGTGTAGATGTGTCTCTCGTGTGTTTACCCTAACTTAATTTTTCGCCGGAATATCCCTTTAAGTATTGCTGAATGATGAAACTCACCTCGTCTTCCACAGTTGCTGGGCCCTTCGAGCGAAGTCTCAGAGTCCCCTTCCCGTTAGTGATCTTGTTGTCACCAGCTGGTTTGGCACCCTTTGACCTGGGCTCGAGCATTTCTGTCAATCAGATGGAAAAACACATCATAGAAAGTCGAGGTTTTTCTATCTCTGTATGCTTAACAATCATGGTTGATTAAGGGTATTCATAATCCTGGAGGGAAGAGCAGAGCTGTCTCACTCAGGTATGATTTGACCCTTTTCAAGAACACTGATTTGAGTGTTCTTCTTTATGCTAATGAAGCTGTAAAAGCACAAACTGATCCTCTGTCCCCCGCTGTCCGGGCTCGCCTGCTGAGAACACGCTGCTGCAAACGTTTCTTTGTCATATGCTAAACCTGAAGGTGATCGTCTCGTCCTTTCAGAGTGGGTCAGTTATATAACCCGTCTTTTACAGCACCTACACTCGTCCTGCACTCACCGAAGGCTTTCATGGGCTCGACTAGTTTGAGGGTGAAGGTCTTGTCTCTGGGAAGCTCTTTCAGCATGCGCGCCACCTCGAAATGCCGCGTCCCTACGATGTTCTTCCCGTTGATGCACTCCACGTGGTCGCCCACGCAGATGACCTTCACTCCGTCCACCACGCTGCCCTCTTTGATGCGCTGCCAGAGAAGTCGGTGACAAATATAATTAGAAGACGGGAAATAAAGACAAACAGCACACAAAAACGTTCTTCCTGAAGGAGCTCCAAGAGCAAGAAGAAGAAAAAAAAGACATGACAGCAAACACAGAGAGTGCGTGTGTACAAAACATTTCAGGCAAGACTAAAGGGGCCTTTAGTATTTACTCTGTCATTATGTTACACCAGAAGATGACTCCCTCTTGTTTTTAAAGCTCAGAAAAAAAGACGATAACAGCTTTTAAAAAATAAAATTCAATAAACAAATAAATTAAACAACATTTGGCATTTAAATTTCACTCCTTAAAGCTTGCAGGTCAACAAATAACAACGCAAAAGGCTCAAAGACAGTCTAAGTTTGAATCACTCCATAAATACTGATGTCTTTATGCAGTTTTGGTTTCTTAGCTTTAACAGTTCATGTTGAACAGCAGCATCACAGCACATCAGTGTGTCAGAAACCCTGTCAGAGGGCCGGAGTGCAGTGCTGTTCAGGCGTCACATGATGGCACACGTGAGCACTTTGTTTCACAGGAGAAAAGGTGACTGCGGAGATTTAAGCTCAGTAAGAGGAAACATACCAGCTGAAATGATCCTTTTTTATTATGATGGAAGCAGCTTTTATGACTTTGTCAGCAGGCTTTCATATTCTTGTTTTTCTGTTACAGCTTACAGAGCAAAAATAACCCTTTTTTAATCAGGAGTGGTATAGAAATCACTTAAAGAAAATTATATTTTTCAAGCTTTTAAAATCAGTTAGTACCAGATCTGCTAAACCACAGAAAACGATTGCAAGTTGCAACAAATATGGGAGGAATATAAGACTCTGTTTCAACACAACTAAGGCTGAATGTAAAACACAGTCAATATAATCCAGTTTTCTTCTTGTTTCGATCTAAACTCTCTGCAGGCTTCATCTCTTGATTGTGTTAAATTCTTCTTTCATAATACCTTCAAATACCTGAAATAAACTACTAGAAAATGTCAGGTCTGCTGAGACTCACAGTTTGTTTAAATTTAAGTTGAAGACTCACCTGTTTACAGCTTTATTATTATTATTATTATGATTGTAAACCTGTCTTTTTTAACCGTAATTTAACCTTCTTTTTATTCTATTGTCCTTGCTTTAATTTTGAAGGATTTGTTTTAATGAATTTTAAATGTTTTCTCTCAGTATGTTTATTATGACGTCTTCTATATGAGGTACTTTGAATTTCCTTGTTGCTGAAATGGGCTGTATAAATAAACTCGCCTGTATTCCGATTGGTCAGAAGCCTCTCAGCTAAAATTATTAACTCTGAATAGTGAGGGCAGCGGTTGGAACATCCTGATCGCGCACAACCCTTAAAATCAGCTGAGAGGACATCAACCAAATTGAAGAAAACAGACATGAAGCAACAACAAACGGCTAAATCGAGAGCCGTTTGACTGAATAGAAAAGAAAAGAGTCGATACTGGTGCAAACAAAAACCTGTTTATGTTTGAAACCTCAACACGAGTGAAGATATAAGGTGGGCTGATAAGAATACTGTTTCCATGGAAGCGCCACCAAAACTGAGGGACTATTTTGTTTTTGATCCAATCCTTAGTTTCACCATGTTTGTATATCTAGGTGTTTGCCAAGAACGAGCACCAGTGCCTAAGATAAAAATATTTAACTGTGACTGTTGCGTCGTACCAGGTAGAGTGTTTTTTTGTCTTCCTACCTTGATGAACGCGTATCCCGCGCCGTTGTCGGTGATGGTGAGGCCCAGAGCGTCTTCGGATTTGTGAATTTCTACCTCCTTCTTGATCCCTTTAATGTGGGCGAAGATAAAATCCTCGAGGCCGATCTGGCCCCCCAGCAGCTTGTCCATGTCAATCTTGTGGGTGTTGAGAGTGCAGAAAAGGATCTGTACACACACAGACAAGAAGATTTAGTGTACAACAAAGAGAACATAAAAGAAAAAAATACTCAAAGTTTTTGGACATACTCTCAGCTGTGAAAATGTTTCATAATGCGCACTCAGCACAAAGACGGCATGCTGTTAATTGTTCATCTTACTGAAGGAAAGTGTCCAAAGAGGCTTTACTGTAGAGGAAAACTCCAGGTATGCCTGCATATTTGAAACCCAACCAAAACACAATCCCTGTTTTGAGTCACAGCCTGAAAGCTGAGCCAGAATCAGAAATAAAACCGTTTGAGAGAAGATAACGGAGCGCTGCCTCTGTATGTTTAACACAAATATCATCAGAGAGATCCTGCTGCAGTTATTTATGCAGTTGTGTCCTCTTCCAACTCTGCAGAGTCATCAGAGTGTGATGTGTCTGTGCATCCTAACAACAGAGTCCAAACGGGACTCTGACGAAGCAGAGGAGGGGGGGAAATTACTTTTCCTCCTGTGCCAGGGGTTTTTAAATCTGGCCTCGCACCTTGTGGCGGCCTGCCGAGTCTTGGCAGCACAGAGAGAAGGAAATGTGATCAGCAGGAACTCGATACACCAGCGGACTGATTTAACGGGGCTTTAAACAGAGACTGGACGGTGAAACCCAGGAAGAGGAGGAGGAGGAGGAGACAGGAGGATGTGAATCATTTATTCCTCTCGCACTCACCTCGACAGACAGAGCAGCTATTATTAAATTCTACCTTCATTTATATTTACTCAGAGCGACTACGTCTATTGTGAAATCGGCTTTCAGAAATACCAAAGAACAAGAAATACCAAACCGGGATTTAGCGGCTGACTTCCGGGACTGATTGGTGCTGGTCCATCAGGGGGATGACCTTTGTGCACCAATCAGGCTCTGGCAGCCGAGGCCTCCCTTGTTTGGGCCTTTTTTCTTTGTGTACCAACAGGCGCTGATCACACACACACATTAGCAGACAAGGCCTTCTGCGTTGCCGTGGGTTACCAGACTATAAAAGAATGGGATTATAATGAAGGGGAGGCCACTAGAGGAGCAGGGCAGAGAGAGAGGGAGCGTGGAGTAGAAGTGGAGGCAGAGAGGGGCGTACTGTAGCTGAATTGATGGCTCTCTTCCATTCTTTTTCCATTACAGACCCCCATCGCATGCCTCCTCCCCACCCTCCCAGGCCAGGGCATTACCCAAGAGCGAGTGGGAGGAACAGCAGCGGACGCCTACACCGCGTTACCAAGGCTGCTGACTACATTAAGCCGCTTGTGTGCGACGCAGGCAGCACTCAGCACTCCTCTCCTCCTGCTGGGCTGACAGCCGCAGTGTGTTCACGCCACCGGGGGGGAAAAGAGGCAGCGTCACACACTGCGGCGACTGCCTCTCCTATCCACGACCTGACTCACAACAGCAGATACTAAACCTCCCACAGCCTGCGCCACACTCACCCGAACCTTGATAACTTCACGGGAAAAGGGCAAGTGAAAGGAGAGAGGCGCTGCAATCTGTTCAGCGTCACCCAAGACATTCGAGTTATTCATGGGTTCAAGCTTTAAGGAGAGAAAAGTGGTTCTAGATTAGTTTAAAGCTAAAACAAGTGCCACCATCATTATATTCAACCTGCACAATATCAGAAAAACACGTGACGTGCATTGTTCAATTCTGCACAAATGACATGGAGCATGATAAACTGACTCAAATAAAAGAGCGCACATAAGCTACAACTCGCAGTTTCTGTGTCTGCCTGCTGCTCTTAATGTTTCACACAACACCTGTGTGAGCATCATGTTCTCCCGAATCCACAGAAGTGACAGCAGTTAATCATAGGGTGGCTTATATCCAACCAGAGCTTCATTTGAGTCCATCAAAATGGTGTGAAAGCACCGCTGTTGTACCCAGACCTCTATCTAGCGGGTGAAATCTGTGCATACTGATGACTTGTTTGAAAATTTATTCACACAATAAAATCATACAAACCAATTTTGGTGCAAAAAATGGTGCATTGACAATAAAAACTGAAAAAGTTGAACATTTATGGAAAATATGCTTCATTTAAACATGATGATAATTAGGCTAATCTGCAACAAGTTATCACAAAAGACTCTGAGGCTCTTTATTACAAAGTGACAAAGCTGAAAACTGATCCTGGTTGATTGTGATCTGCAGGCCCTCTCACACACACACTGCATTAAAAACAGACAAGACAAACCTGTCCTGCACTATTACCGTGCTGGAGATCAGCGTCTGATTCACAGCCGCCAACATCCAGCCCTCACCTCTCGCTGGCCTGTTTGGTGTTCTGCCCGCTGACCACCTACTACTCTCCCACTTTGCTGACCTTGCAGCTTTTCTCACTTTACTGGGAAGGCGTGCCAGTTTGATGCACTAGAAAACTAGACGGATAAAGGATGCCGTGTCTTTATATCAGAGTACATAAAATATATATATAATCTCTTAGAAACCGTAGAGGAAAATTGTGTAAAATCTAGCAACCTTTAATTGGACATTTCAAATCCTTCCAGTTCTAAACTGTGCCTGTTGACTGAGTTCTCTACTCCTTATGCTAGTGGTACATGGTATATTAAATTTGTTACTGTTTTCAAATGTTTCTTGTTTTTTTTGACAAGACTCTGTAGTGGAAGTCATCACATGGGCTCAAAGTCTGTCAACACAGTTTGTCTCTGAATCCTCAGCATGATGGTTAACATATTTCTGACCCCAATGAAAATGTTTTTTTTTGGCCAAAAATAATACAGACATTTGTTGTAGACAGTACAAGTGTTAAATTAAAACCCTAACATTTAAAACTTCAAGATATGTGAAATCTGAATTATTTATCAACACTTTAAAAGGTAGGTTAGGCAGGACTCCGTTAAAGAAGCATCTTTTTTTGTGGTGTATATACAAAAAAGGTTTTAATATCAGTCAATAGCTATTAGTTATTGATGATATTTAGTAATATAACGATATCGCTGTGTTCTCTTATGTCTGTGTAGTCAACATTTTAAATTTTTTAAAACGGTCCGCTCTTTCTGACTGTAAACAAAGCTGTTCTCCACCTTCCCGACCTGATTGGTTATGAGGCGGACGTTGCTCCCTCGTGTGCCCAAACAAAGTTAGTGTGCTACAATATTGGACAGTAGAAACCAACCAGAAAGTACAGAAAATCGTCTGAATCCTCCTTTGACCACGACTGCCTACACAAGCGAGAAAACGAAGTAAATACCGGAGACTCTGGCGGAATAACAGGCGCTTAAAAAGGAGGTAGACCGGACAAGCGGTAAAAAGCCAGGACAATGAAGCTAGCATAAACAATAAAAATTTCTGCTGGACAGGTAAACCGCTTTAACAAAGTAAGCCAAGTGTCTGTAACAGAAGTGTTTCTTGTCAAACGGGACCTGCTGTGTGTTGTAGCGCCGCTAAACTGTTGACCTCGGGTCCTGGACTATGTCACTTTATCCTAGTTGTAGAAGTCCTGCAAAGATTGTGCTTGCTGGTAGTCTGTTGACATCTACAGTAGCACAAATGCTTTTTACTTTCACATTGACTTTGTAATTATTTTAAGTATTTTATATCTGAATTTAATTGGAACGATACGAGCGAGCAGGAGCGTCTGTTTGTGGGCGGGGTTTGCTGGAGCAGAGAGGGAGGAGAGAAGAGGAGCTGAGGGGAAAACTGGCTGGGAGGGGTAGAGTTTACATTCAAGATTTCGCCCCAAAAACTGGCACTTCCTCAGATCTTGCCTACCCCACCTTTAAGGGTTATCTGTGTGTGGATGTGCTTGTAAAAGACATCAATAGCCAGGGTGGTTTTAAAGTAATATTGGGTGAGTTTGCAGACTCAACCACAAACACTTGTAAATCTCACAGCTGTCAACAACCTCAGCCTAGCAGAGCACACCGGGCACAAAGCTCGGTCCGTTTTCTTTATTTGACAGATATTTTCATTTCATAATAAAAATGATGGGATTCAAGACATTCCCTTCACTTCACTGTCAAATCCACTCTCAGAGGAGGGGGACTGCAAACTTCTGTGGTGTCAACTTCCCAGGCCAAATGTTCAACATATGAGGTGACTGTTTAACCCCTCGTTTGGACACTGCGCCGATAATGAGATGAGATGTGTCACGATCCATCTGACTCAGCTCAACAGATGATTGCTGGATTAATCACAGCGCACTTTCACTTCAGCCTTATTCATCACAACAAAGTGGGGGAATGAAACGGAGTACTTTTACCACGTCCTCCTCTGCACTTTTGAAGTATTTGTGCTTGTTAGAGTAATTCCTTATTTTCTACTCGGTACTCGTCCTCCACTTCATGTTAAAGTGTGAGAGTACACTGTGAGGCAAGTTTTACTTTCCTTCTATTGTGAAAATGAATAAACAAGCTCTCTGTTATTGGCAGAGCTTCTCATGCACCAAAGGAGTAGTTATGTACGGTAGTTCATACAGAGCAGTTCCTTTCCTCTGGCCAACTTTCTGCAACATAAATGTTCACACGGGATTCCTGTCTGTGTTTAATATAAATGTCAAAGAGGTTGATCAAGTGGGTATCCTAAAAAAGTTTGGACAGTGTGTAAAATGTTAATGAAGTCGAGTGGTTCCTCCGCTGTCAAATATTGAGTCATCAGATCCCATCAGAGAAGTTGGCAGCATTTCTAGATCGTGTTCACGCACGGTTTCCTCTTTGACCTGCATTTCCGGATGCAGCGACAAACTGTGCTATGGAAGTGGTTTTGAGCCCAAGCAGTGACCTCCACTACAGAGTCATGTCTGTTTTTAATGCCACTTGCTTCAAAAGAGTACACCCATCCAGTGATGGTTTTTGGCCTTTTCCTTTTTGTACAGAAATCTTTTCAGATTTTCTAAACCTTTAATTATTTAATGCTGTGAATGATGAAATCTCTAAATCCTTTGTAATCTTACACTGAGGAACATTATTCTGAAATTGCAGAACTATTTCCTCACCCAGTCTCTCTCAGAGTGTTAAATCTCTTCCTCTCCAAACAATTTAAAAAGATGTTCCTACAGAGTAATTTTCTTGTTGTACTGTTTTATTGTCTTTCTTATTATTGCACTTCTTTCACTTATCTGCTCTTTAACACACTCCCCACTTTATTTAGGATCTGCGTTGTATGACGGTTTGAGTCACTTGCATCTTAGAAATCTCCACACATATTCTCTACAGAGACACCTTCTCCTGCCTTTAATGAGGTTTCCTTCTGTCCTGCCCTGGGACGACGTTAACAAAAAGCTCTGGAAACCTGCTTCTTTGGCAAGCCCTGATCATTCAGCCCCTTAAACAATGAAACAAGGTTGGAAAGATTAAATAAAAAGTATAAGAGCTTAAAGAGAAGATTATGTAGGGATAGAGCAAGAGTTTAATAATAGAGAGTATGATAAGATAATTCCCTATAAGCTGTTATATCTGCACCTGGTGTTTTGCGTAGTTAACAGGGAATGCTGATGTAAGCTGTGTGTTTTGTGGCGTGGCTCAGCGTTCAACAGGATATCACATCCATCAGCATTACAGCCGGAGTAATCATTTACCTAACTGCGGATGTGAGATTCTGCAGAAACATAACTGGAGGCTAGTTTATGGACATGGCTCAGGGAAACGGAGCTTATTAAAGAGCTCCTGAATGAGAATTAAAAACTCGAGCAGGATTTATAGATTTCATTAAGACGGTATAAAGCTGTGTGAACCTGGATGGAGAAATTAAGTGCTGGATGCAAAAGTTTAAAGAGAATTTAAAGTTTTAAGTGTAAATGCAGCTTGTTAGAAAGCTGTAAGGGTACAATGCAATCCGAGGTCATATATGCAGAGTGGACTTCAGTGAAGATACTTCAGACTCAAGTACGCAGGATAAGGAGTTCATCTCGTACACCTCGACAGCCACTGTGATGTACCTTCTCTGTTTTCAGCCAGCCTCTTTGGAGACTCTCGTTCTTTAGTCTCTGAAGTACCTATATTTGAAAGAAAGGTTAAATACTCATTGCTACGCCTCTATCCCAGCTGAGAGGTCGCCATGGTAACAACATGTCAGGCAAAGGTGGCTAATCCCTAAAGTGTACTCTGCTTGAACTTACACCCTTGTGAGTTTGATGGTTTAACTTTGTCTCATCGAAGCTTAAAAACTAACCTGACCAGAGCACGCTTCAGAGCTGGGGTGTGGCCGGGGGATTCTGGGCCTCATTAAAATTCATCTTCTTGATCTTTCTTCATCCCTGTTTACTGTGTGTCTCTGTTGACTGGTAAGCTTCTCGGACCTCAGACCATAGGCCTGATTTTCTGGCAAAAGCTCCACTGAACTGTTTTCTCTTTCTTCACCTTCTTCTGTCCTCCCTTCATCATCCTCACTTTTCTGAGACCTTCAACTTCTCGCTCTCTTCACTTCACTCCACTCCTCTCTATCTGCTCCAAATGCTGAACCCTGTACAAGCATGAAGCAAAAAGCTTAATTTACTACCTAAAACACTCCCACAACGACAGGGAACAGTTTCACTTCACATTGCATTAATTGGAGTATCTGTTTATTTAATCTGACAGAACTGACTGACTGAATTTGTTATTTGTTAATCAATAACATTAATTTAATTTATATCTGTGTTAGTTTGTTACCTTGTTTTTTTTGTTTTTTTTTTAATGCCTTCACTCACAGGGCAAGGTATACAGTTCATTCATTCAACAGTAGTATTGGATCGGTGTTGGATATCGGTCGATACGCTCAGCCCAGGTATCGGATTTGATCGGACAAAAAATGGATCGGTGCATCTCTACATTAAACACCCCTGCTTGTGACATGTGTCTTTTCTCTGAGGATTGGATCAAATGCATCTCAAAGTCCTTCAAGAAACAGAAATACAGTGAGTAAGTTAGTCTAGTTTAACTGGTGATCTTACTGTGATTGTATCAAGTAAAATATAACCATTGGGATCAAACTATCAGTAACAGAGCATGTGTGTGTGCATGTGTTCGTTGAATGATGCACTGACTTGTCTCGGTAAAAACAGGTACTAGTCTGTAACAACCAGGGATCCAACACTCCTCCAAAAACAAGTACAGGTTTCCTCTCTTTTCAGCCAGAGTTGTTTGGACTCCATCGTCACATCCATCCTCAGGGACACAGTTGTTGTCTCACAAGATGCAGCACCATGGCAATGCACTCCTCTACATCCCTGATGGTAAACAACCACTTAAATCCCTATTAGAACAGACTTGGTCCGGTCACACTCACACACACACACCTGGGTGTCTGTTTCTGCAGTTTCTGTACACATCCTTTTAGCAATGAACTCGTATCTTTTGGCATTCACACAGTCACACAGGAACAGCTGATGCTTATTCTGACCACATGTGTGACAAAGCAAGAACACGTGATCACACATTCACTGAGAACATGTTGGAGGATTACTCAGAGTGTCTGCTCCGGCACAAATATGATCTAATTGGTCCTGTTTGCTATTTTCTGGGTCATGTAGAAGATGATTGTGGTTTTATCTCGGTTCGATAAAACACTGAAGATTTTAGTGGGGACAAAAGAATGTACATCGGCGAAAACCCGCCTACTTCTCATGCAAATTGCTCCCACTCATCATCATGTAGTTGAAAGAGAAAGGATGAGGAAACTTCACGTCTTCAGGGATCACTTTCCCTCTGAAGAAGACTTCACAGAGGATGTTGAGTGATTTTAAAGACAGAAAGAAAAATCAAACAAGCAGATTATGATTGATGGAGTAACCTGCTTGGTAACAGATTAATGTGAATTACTAAACTGGAGCAAAAACAAAGCGGAGATTGTTGCTGAATGGATAATTACTTTGCACATCCTTGTTTGAAAATCAGAGCTGTCCAATGGGACTTAACAACTCTCAGAGGTTTAACAGCTGGGTTTTCAAGGGTACTCAGGGCACTCAGCTCAACTGAACTGTCAGTCACATATATAAAGCTTGTATATGGTTTAATAGTGTTATATTCTTGCTAAGTTGTGTGACAGCAACTTGCAAGTATTGCCAAAATATATTTGTTGAAGTATGATTTCTACGAGGTACGTCACTTCTCAGAAACGTCACTGAGGGGTGAGGTTTTGGGATGTTTGGCGGGTTATTTAGATCTCACCGGTGTCGTCAGACCGTTTTTTTAATCGTTTTCCCCGTTTCATTCATCCGGTTTTAACCTCATTTCATCTTGTAACTTTTTCATTCGAAGGCAAAAGTTTTGGAGCTGGATCAGTGTGTTTTCTTTTCCTTTTTGAACAATAAACCACTTGTTTAACAAGCAAACTGGGCTGAACCTAAACCCCAGGGGCCTTTTTTGTTGAAGGAAAGTCGCTACAGTTTGAATGGATACATAAAAAGGATTAAGTCAGGTAGAGACCGAACAAGTAAGGCGAGTAAAATAAGGCCGATGTCTAAGGAAATTTGCGGATATCAAAAATGTCAATATTTTCAAACTAGAAGGTGACCAGTATTGGTTTTTCTGGGCCGATACAAATACTGATTATAGGTAGTTTATAAGATAGATAACTGATAATTCAAATCTGGGATATCACAAACTCTACACAGAAATTTGGTTTGGTGCTTTTGGCAAATGTTTGATGATCAAATACAGGAGTTAACAGGTAATCAGCTGTGTGGTGTCTGGCCAATCAGAGAGAGGAAAGACTCACCTACCAAAACCTCTTGTACATAAATTGTCTGTGTATAATTAACAAGACACCTTATTCCCTGTACATAACTTTGGGAGTTTCATAGCTGCTGGTAAGAATAACAAACTTTTGAAGATGTTGTAAGCTAATACAGATACCATAATGATAATATTGTGCACTCTTCGGTGAAGTAAAAGTCCTTAGATTGATGGTAAAATGTGTGACAAAGCAGCAAAACATGTGAAACTGTCAGATCCTAGACTTTTAAATGATTTTATTTTTAACATAAACTGATTATTCTCATTATTATTTGATTATCTTTTGGTATAGTAACATTCTAACTTCATATGCTGGAGTCTAGTTAAGCAAAACCAGTAGCTGTCTATTATGAGGGTTTTACAGGTAGGATACAGGGAGCTGTTTAACTGGATTAGGGTGTGTGTTGTTACACGAATACTATGAAGATAATGACGTTAATTTAAATCCTCTTGATCCACCTAGAAGTGACGTCACGTGAGTGTGACATGACTTTATGGCTCTCATAAATGATGCCTCATGTTTATGTAATGACACGTGAGAAAAGCCCTCACTTATCTCTCTCCGTTGAATGGACGAGGCATCATTACACAATAATAGTATTGTAGAAATGCAGTTTCTTCCTGTAGGGTCATCTAAACTGGTCTCTTTTCCCATGATCCCTCTGCAAACACGAAAGCATGAGTGCCTGCGAAACAACAACACGGCACGTCACACAACCGCAGCCCAGAGATTCAAAGCGAAGGCAAATGTATTGTGTACTTTCCTATGATCGCCGAGCACACTTTGAGCAACAGGTGGACAAAAGGCAAAGCCGGAGAGCCACACCTTAAACTCGACAGCTGCAGGGCCAACAAGCAGACTTTGACCAGAGCAGAAGTGAGCTACATAAAAAGATCTCATTATACCTACAGAGTGGAACATCACATCTACAGTATACAGTCATAGGTGAGATAACACAGAGGAGAGGAAGGCTAAAGCTGACAATAACTTATTTTAAAAGGTGACTAAAAGGTTCCTCCAGCCTGTTCAATGTCCCTTTAAGGCCTCCATAGTTTTAGAGGAAACACCCACTTTAACTTACGAATAAATCACCCATGACTCCGCGTCAGGATAGGATGTTTTCTTTTTATATTCCATTCACTCTCAGCTTCTTTAAATATTAAACTTATTGATGTTGAATTAAGTTGACTTGCACTTTTTTCTGAGAGTATGCCAGGACTCACCCAGTCTTTTAAATCAACCCGAAATGGCCATCCCTGGAAGCCCCTTTGCTCACTGAGGGTAAGTCCTCCCTGTGATTTAATTTTGACCCCCAGTCCCTGAGGCGGAAACTGACTAAGTCATTCAGAAAGTCCTTTGTCCCCGGAGAGAGTTCCTGCTGTGAAAGTGCTGCTTTCATATGTGTGTCTATGTGCTGTTCTCTAATTTGCTGTAATTATGTTTGAAATGCAAAGAACTTCACTCAGACAAATTCCTTACCACAACGTCTGCCTCCTAAATAAAGAATCTGACCCTGAGCTTCAGCGCAACTTAAGGATTCGTGTAATTAAAAGGTACAACAATAGATGCTGACTCTGCACATGCTTTAATGCAGTGAGGCCGACCTACCCCCGAGGAGGAAAAAAAACTGAAAGCTGAGCGGAGAATAGAAGCGCAAAGTACAGCGTTTTTCATTAGATAATACACACCAGGCTGCGACATGCACTCAGGTAACCTCAGAGCCACAGAGAAACTTGTCTAAAGACAGACGGCCACATCTGCAGTTTAGTTTAAAGTGCTCAGTGGGCGTTAATGAGTCTTGTTTTCACAGTAGACATCTCCTAAGTAGACACTTCCTTGGTTGTTGTGTCATAACAGCAGCTGTGTGTTTGTTTTATGTATGATATCTGATGCTACGTTTTAATCAGAAATGATTAAGAATTTACAGTGTACGCTAAACGATGCAACATCTTTACATGATTAAGTCATGAACTTGTAGAAGTGGTAAAAAATTAATCATAAAACACCATTCACTGAAAGAAACAGCCAATCAGCATGCTGGCTTGTTCACTACAAAATAAAAAGTGGAGTAGGTGTCATGATATATGTTCTGGTATTTAGTTTTCCCCTGGTTTTGGTATTTTGAGAGTATTTTCTTTGTGATTTTTCCTCGTGTTTCTGTTCCCCATTTTGCCATTTGTGTTTCTTGGATTTTTGAGTTGGGCATTTAAAGTAAGTTTTGATGCTTTTCTTTTAGTTCTTTTATTAGGTATAAATCATTTTTGTCGTCCTGCATTTTGGGTCCTTTTTCAATTATCAACCTTGCACCGTGACAGTAGGACATATTTCTATTTTTGAAAGCATCTGTCTGCAGACCTGGAGGCTGCAGAATCAGGACCGCATTATTGAGACCACATTTTTGAGTTCAATGTTTTTTTGTGATGACACTGCCTGGTACATTAAATTCCCAAAGACTGCATTAAGACACCATGTCTAATTGGCTAATTGCTTTGGGGTACCACTCTTAATTTGTTCTGGCGTACATATTCTCACTTATGCATGCAAATTTGTTACTAAAGGGTATATATAATACATTTATGTACATTATGTACATCTGCTAGTGCAATTGTGTGCTATGGGCATCGTGCAATTCAATGTAATTTCTCACTTGTGCACTTGATCAATATGTACTGTTCCTATTTTTACAAATAAATAAATAGAAATGTAAATATTTTAATGTCTAAATAAGAACCTGAAAATAACCACTCTGAGTATCTAACTGGTTATCATTTTAAGAGTCTTAATGTAACTATTTTAGTGTGACATGTGATTACATGTAGCATCTTTCTATAATCATAGTTAGTGTCTTACTGTAATCAATTTAAATGTCTAACAAAAACCCCGACCCTTTACCCACATGTGACTGTCACAAAAACACAAGAGATTTAGAGCCTTCAGCTCTGCAGACACAAACTACACTTATTTTTCACATTAACATGCAGGTATTTGGGGGTAATAAATAGTTTGAGTTCTGAAAAACAGCAGTTTTCCACCCTAGGCTCTTCCAAATTAAAGCAGTTACCTTGATACGAAAGTTTCTGCTTCTTTTTATCAGGTGTTAGTGATAAAAACTCGAGTCTGTACAAGAGCAGAAGCAGCTCAGAAATTTAAAATATGCCTGATGCTCAGCTAGAAATCTTCTTTTCAGCACATTCTCAGAGCAGACTGTGTTCGACAGTTTGCAAAGAAGACAAGTTGAGTGCTGGTCCTTTCACTCAAATACTCACAGTTTATAATCTTGCAAAACTGTCTGAAATCTACAAATGACATTGAATGGTAAGAAATGACAAGAATCTGAAATTGGCATCAATCTCAGTGTGTTAATTGGACTGTTCTCGTATTGAAATCAGTACAATATGTGTCTAAAATACTTCAAATTAACTTGAAAGCCTTTCTGCAGATCAGCCTCTCTGATTATCCATCACTTATTTGCTTTTTGAAACATGATTTTCTACATTCAGCCATAAATAAGAAACAGAGTATTTTTCTGAAGAGGAAGGCCTGTTTGTACTCATCATCTTTCCACCCACCTATACAACAATGATGCTTTATAAAGTGACAGACAGGCCTCATTATTTGAGCACACTACAGTAACACTAGGCAAGAAATCTTCCTCGGGATAACATTCAGTGAGGTGTGAACTCTTCTGTCTGTTCATGTCCTTTTTTTCATTTAAATATCTACAAAACAAAATGAAAAAGTAGGATATAAATGTAGAGTTTCATATTAATCTCATAGACTCCACTGGTATAAAATGTACAGCAATGCAAGCTCTATTTTAAGACAAGTTAATTTAGAAAGCACTAGGTAAACATCGCTTTATCAACCCCAGTAGTAAAACATTTATCTCAGGTTCCCATTAAAGATCAGGCTCCTTTATTATTCCAGGATAGTGATGTTTAACAGGAGATACAAAGGCTTTAATCTCGCCGTACTGATATCTTTTGTTCTGTGTGCTACACGTCATGTTCAGTCAACATGGGCTCTACCATCACAGTGAGGTTTGCCGATGTTTATGGAGGGAGGAGGCCCTGGGCAGAGCCGCTGTGCTGGGTCCTCTGGGACTCTGTCTGGCGGAGGCTGGGACGAGTTATCTGTTTAAATTTGAGGCTATGCCCACTGAGCAGGACGTGAGGGACTTCCTGCGGTAAAAATGGCAGAGCTGAACGACTAACACTACCGCGTTTTACTCTGCCCTCTTCTTGTCTGTCTCGCTCAGTGTCTTTCTCTTGTGATAGTATCTGTGAAACATTTCTGAAAAGGCCAGTATCCTCAGATGTAGCTACATGAAAGAAACCCAATGTGAGATAACTGCTTAACAGAACAGACTGATGCACTGCCGTTTGGGTTGTTATTTTGCTCTTGCTACCCACTGACAAGCTTTTAGGCATGATTTCACCAGCGTACGTTTTCTTCACCAAGTGGCAAATACAAAAATAAACACTGATCTGGTTCTCTTTTAAACCCACTAGTACTGATCCTCGATTTTCCTCCCTTCAGGGGCGCCAGAGGTCAAGATCTGCTACAAAACAGAATTTCAAGAGCTGGTGCAAGATCAATATTTTTCACAAAATAGGGTGAAAAGATTTGTGCTTTCAAAAACAGAGGTCAAAATCAGGTCAGCCAATGCACACTGCTGAAAATCAGCTAAAATTCCAAATCTCTTTAACTCCTGAGTTGTACTGAGCTTGTTTTTTATGAAAAGAACAGACGGTGAGGCTGTTTCTGTACTTAAACAAGTCTAGACAGATACTGATCTGCCCTGAATGTAATTAATAAGACGTGATGAGACAAATACCAAATTGTCTGGTGGTTCAGAGACTTAAACCACAGCAGACTTGAGTGATTTTTCTGATATCAAATCAGAGAGAAGGCAGCTATTTTGAAGAAAGCAGCCCTTTACTGATCACTTATTTGTGATATTTAAAGCCTTGTATTGTGTGCGTCACTCAGCACCAACGCTTCTGACACAGATATACTTGTTGAATGATGGGGCTCCAGAAATGATAGGAAGCATCCGTCTCGAGCTCTTACAGCACTCCAGGCTGATAACAGGCTGCCCCGCCGGCCTATCTACTCATACTTTGACTGACAAAAGACAGACATGCCACTCACACTTGCCTTTGAAAAGGAAAGCTTACGCAGTCTGGGCTGAGAGGAGGACACAGAAACTGTTTGTTTCCAGGTCATCAGCACACAAACATGCAGATTTTACTCCTGACGGTGCCAGATGGGCCTTAAAGGTGAAAGTAATTTGCCGGTATCCAATGGAGTTAAGTCAAAGATCTCCTTTAATCCTGGATTGAAGGTATGCAGGCTGGTAGAGAGTTGGCAGGGCGTGCCTTTACAAACACCGACTCGCTTTGACACAAGACAATCAAAGTTGACGTTTAATGGCTACACACGGCTAATCTCTGAAGGAAGCTGCTTATAAAACTGTTTACTTCAACTTTTACTGCAGTATTTACGTTGTCTGCATGGACGAGTGGTTCATGATCATTTATTTTGGTGTAAGAAGCATCTCTACAGGGTAAAATTAATCTGAAACTAGTTGAAGTATAGAGATATTTGAGTGTTATCAGCTTAAATTTACACTTATATCAAAACTTAAAGTACTTCATATGGAGAAAAATGGTGCAACCAACCAGATGGTCCAACCAAACAGATGTATTTATATCCTATTTAATATTACAACATTAATAGCTAGTTTTAAATGTTTTTATAATTCAAGGTTTAATCCAGTGGTTTCCAATTTATAGGATACGTGACATTATTGACATAATATCGGTATAAGAAGATAACGGATTAAAAAGTTCATGAAAGTTATTGTTTTATGTTTATTTCTAATGAACAGACAAAATAAGACTTATAGGTAATTTCTAGGATGGGAGAGACTATTCTTTACAAGATAGATAGATAGATAGATAGATAGATAGATAGATAGATAGATAGATAGACAGATAGATAGATAGATAGATAGATATTGGCATCAATATTGGTATTGGTAGCAGCTGTGAAATATCTGTAAAAATGAAATATTGTGCCTGAAGGCCTCTTCTGTAGGCCACATGTTGGATGTGATGGTTGTGATTGTTAACTGTGTTGGTTTAGTCTAACTACACTGAAGCAATGAAAATGAAAATAAGCCGATTCAGTTTAATAATGTAAGAAAGAAGAGTGTCAAGGTTTACTAAACAAAGCTACACACATCAGTTTGACTTCTGTGTAATCTTACATTTTCTTTAGAGGGGAAAAAGGGTTTTAATTTGATCTTTAAGACCTCAGTTATCTGAATGAAACCACCTGAGGGGTTTAAAGGGCAAATGTAATAATGGCTGGAAGTGCTGACTACTCATAGAGGCTTGAAAGGGGACAGGAGCCTCAGCCAGGCATTTTTGAGGTTCTTTGTGCCATTTTTTAAGCCTTTAAGTTTATAATAATCCCAAAATAGTCCTCAGCCTAAAATAAAAGGTTTCTATTTGTTAAGTTCACTGTGGTGTAATGAGATTTTATACAAGAAACAAAAGTCTCTGTGAGAATATGTAGGAGTTTTAACACTTGAACGCAACACTAAATCACTGATCACTTCTACTACAGGTGAGCTCTTCTTACCTCATGTGGAAGTATATTAAACGCGTCTGCTATTTTCCCATATAACTCCTTTACGTTGGAGAATCCCTCGATCCTGCCGGTGGGACTTCCGTGAGCGAGCTGCGTGTGGAAGACCAGTTTGGGCCGCAGGTTGGCAGGTGGAGGCGGGAGCCCTGCACCGTTCACGGCGGCTTTAGCCAGGCTCCCGGCACCTGCGTGTCCGCCACTAACCTCCTCGTTTTCCACTAAATGTTCCTTTGTCGATTTGTTTTTCTTCTTCCATGGTGCCAGCGGCATTTTTTATGTTGTTATCGTTAGTTTTTCTCGACGTGGAAAGCAAAAAGTCCGAGCCGCTGCTAGAACCTTGAAGTAGCTAACCTGTTGAGTTCCCAACGGCCGACTTGTCCTTATTTACTTCCTCGTTTCCTTCGAGCTTTCCTCAAATTCTTCCTTCCTTCTCTCCGTGACCACTTCTCCTTCTGCTCACCTGCCGGTAGTTGAGAACTGGACCTGAGTTCTTCGAAAGTACCTCGACCCCCTCGCTTGCAAATAAACGGTTTGAATATTCAACAGGTAGGAGGCGAGCGGGGCTACGGGATAAACTCTGACACAACCTGCTGGCTAACAATAGCCACTCTGTTTGTCTCGCGTGCCGTGGGACGCAGGCGCAGTGGGACTGAACCCGAGCTGAGCACTGAGGGAGGAATCAAACCCGGTGCACCTGTGCTCCATCACCGCCGGGCATCAGTTTAAAACTATTACACAGGTATTTTTGACAAACATCCTCAGAGAAAATACGTGAGAAAATGATTCCTACTCATAGAAAAGTAGCTGAACAGTCTTGGTTTATGTCAGTCATCTCTTAAATTAATGGCTGCATATCCCAAACCTCAATGTAGACCATTGTTCTGTTGTCTGTAATCATGAAATACCATCCTAAAATGAAAGAGGAGGTGAGTCAAGAAGGAAACCAGGCCTGAAGGAGAATAATTAGAAAAGTATAGAAGCAGGGCAGTGAAAAGGGTCATTTAAACTTTGAAATATAGGCCTATTCAGAGTTGTATTTATGTACTTGTACCTGTATTAGTCAAATTTAAAAACTCACTTTTACAGACTTGCTTTTACGTAATGCCGTCTTTTATCCTTTATCCTTTATCTCTATCTTTTATCCATCATCTCTTATCTCTTTTACCTCTATCTTATTTCGGCTTTACCGTCTTTTCAGCTTTTGTTATACTTGTACTCTTTTCTTATTTAATCTTTTAGGCCTTTTATTGTTTTATCTCTTGCTCATTTCTATTGCTCTATTTTATCATTACTCTTATCAGTATTACCTGTTATTATTTTATTATCATTGTTGATATTGCCTTTTATATTTACTATCTTGTTTACGCTTTCATCCTCCCTTTTAAATGCATTTTCTTTTTTCTTGACTATTTTATGTTTTTATTTTTGGTCCTCATGCTCTCATTTTTTTATTTTTGCATGGTTCTTGTATTGTCTGGGTTCCTTCTGACATGAAAGTGGCCTTCAATTCCGTTTTTATTGATCTTTTTGTTTTTACTTGTCTGTTTCCATGTGCTCTACGACTGCATGTCAAAGCTCCTCTGGCTGAGTACAGAGGAGCCAGGTCAGGAAACGTCAGGAGGCCAACTGCACTGGAGGCTGCTCACAGCCCAGGGTCGGGACACCTCCACCCGGGTGCGCACCCCGCTACAGGTTAGTAAGGGGCCCACAGCAGCAAGCACTGCTGCAGACCACCACCTGACCGAGCTGAGTGCACACCACGAGGTAGAGAAACCCTAGACAGAGCCAGTCACAGCCTCCAGTGCAGTACATATGTACATGTGTAAAGGTGTAAAGAGCAATCATAAAGTTGTACTTAAAGCAGCAAATGTAAAAATACTCTGTAAAAATGTCTTCTAAACTTCCCTGTATAATTCTATCAATCAATCAATCAATCAATCAATCACTTTATTTATAAAGCACTTTTCATACATAAACTGTATCACAAAGTGCTGTACATTAAAAAACACGAGAAGGAGAGGATCAGGGGATACAAAATAAAATACAAAATAAAATACAAACTGCAAAAACCCCACCCACCGACCCTCCAAGTCTGCATTTATCAGAGACAACTTTGGGGACTATTAAAAGACCACTACCTGAAGACCTGAGGGCTTTACTGGGCTCATATCATAAAAGCAAATCAGATAAATAAGAAGGACCAAAACCATTAAGACATTTATAAACTAATAAAAGAGCCTAAAAATCTATTCTAAAAGATACAGGAAGCCAATGCAGAGACTTTAAAATTGGTGTAATGTGGGCTCTCCTGCTGGTCTTCGTCAGCATGCGTGCAGCCGAATTTTGCAGCAGCTGAAGCTGTGAAATGTTCTTTTTAGGAGGACCAGAGAGGAGAGCATTGCAATTATCAATTCTGCAGGTAATAAAAGCATCGATAAGAGTCTCTGCATTGGCTTGAGAGAGAAACTGGAGATGTACTTAAGGTGATAAAAAGTTTGGTTAAAGTTAGTTTGATAATTTGCTTTTAACATACACTTCTGATAGATGGCTTAATGTAGGATAATAGCCTACAACATGATATTTTGATTACATTTTTGTGTTAAATTTGGAATCTAAAAAGTAACTACTTTATGAATTTTGAGTGAGGATTTGAATCTTTGACGCTTAAAGATACACTCAAGTAAAAATGCGCTTTAAAGTGTTGTTACATCAATTTTGTAAAGGTCCTAAGTATATAATCAATCACTTAACCAAAAAATACAATCCTTATCAGAAGCTGAACCATCTCAATTGTAAAAAAAAGCTAAAATTCAACTAGAAGAATATGTGATGCAACTTTCAACCAGTGCATTTATGTTTACATCATGTTATGCATATAAGGAAGTTTAATGCAGATGCGCCTTTTGCTAATTTCCTCACTTGGAGGTGCAAGTTTATAGCGGGGAAAAATACATTAATGAAGTGCTGCTGCGTATTATTGTTGTTCTTGTCATGTTCTTTTCAAGGCATTTCCTTCATTTTGAGAGGGAGACAAACAGGTTCTTCTTCTTTTTCTTAACCATTTACTCCCAAACTTTGAAGGCTGATTCAGGCAGCTAATAGCAGATTTTAAGCTGACTCTGTTGATTAACTATGATGCACAAATAATCAACTAGAACTATGGGAAATTGATATTTCTCCCCCTTGCATTGAAAACTAAATCTTCCTCTTTTTTGACCCAATAACTCGCACCAATGAGAACCAAATGAGACAGAAGCTCACACATTGGGAAGGAGCAGGTGTGTTTACTCTCTACCCTCCCTGGGTAATAGTGACTCATCATTTGCACAAATCTCTAACACATGTTATTAATACACATCTTTCCTTGCAAGAAGACACTATCTGTGCACCACGGGGTCTCTGTTTCTTTCTAGAAAAATAACTGGTATCTGTGTGCAATTACAGGTTTCTATCTATAGATGTACCCTACACTTTCTGCTTCTTATATGATCCCACCTCATGGGGGCCCCTGGCTGTGATGAGTGATGTGGCGTCCCCTGGTGGGAGAATGTAAAGGCCACTGTGTTGGCAGCTGATGGCAGGCAGCTGAGCGCAGACAGCTATATTTAAAAATTCATAATGTGATGGTTAGTAAGCATTTAAAATCAGTTGGTGTATTTTAGGTCAGCCTATCTTTGCACATTTGACCATCAAAATATAGGATACTGTTCATTAGTGATGAATGCTGTAGGCCTGAACATCACTCAGGTTTCAGACTGCTGTAAATCATAGATAAATATACATAAGTATATATTCCTCAGGGAATGACTCATCAAGTATCTCTGCACAACTTAAACAGCCCCAGATCACTTCATGTGGAAATATTTATTTTAAAATTCAAGTTCAGTTAATTCACATGTCAGTTTCTTAAAATGCACACAAAACAATCCAGTTCATTAAACCAGTTTCCTCCTGTACACACATTTTAAGAAAGCCTCCAAACTGACTGAGGCTTGTATCCTAAATTTTGTGACAAAATCAACATGAATGACAGTTAAAAAATCTCAGTGATGACGCCTATCGAAGAAAACAAAAGCAAGAAAATGTACTCGCTTGGCACTGCAATGTTCCCCCAAAATTAATGGGGTATTTTGGCAACAGAAGACTCATTCACTACCAAGTATTTGCACAAACAAAAAGATAAAGTGATTGTAGCAAACCTACAAGCATAAAATGCCATGAACAACCCAAACAGTCTTTCACTGATATCGACTTGGCAGCATGCATGGTATTTATAAAAACACCACATAGCTCAAATATAGAGGTTGCACATTCGTCAAGAGGGGGTCCATCTGCAACCTGTCAGAACTGTCCTTGTATGTGCTTGTGAGTGTGCGAGTGTTGGTGTGAGTGTGTTTAGCTCTGTCATGTGGTCGTCTCCTCTCTCCTAGGTTGGTAAATGCCGTTTCAGGACGTCCTTGGCGTTGCCGGGCAGCGAGTCAGGAAAGTTCACATCAAACTCCACCACCAGATCCCCTCTCTGCTCTGGGTTTTTGGGGAGAGGGAGACCCTGCCCCGCCACAGTCTTTCTCATGCCGGGCTTAACGACGTCTGTGATCTTCATGTTGCACGTCTTCCCATCTATCGTTGACACGGTAACCGAGCATCCGCACAACGACTGAAAAGACAGGAAAAGCAAACAAGTCAAAGTGAGAATCTAGAGAACAGCAACCCACACATGGTGTACTGCGTGCAAAAATAACCCAAGACTCTGCTGGTGCGATATAGAGCTGGGTGATTTTGATGAAGTGAATGTCATGGTAATGCTAAGAATATGCTCCATTATCTATGGCTGGCATTAAATGAAGAAAATCCAACTGATATTCAAATCAGGCGGTTATGACTAAGTGCTGTTCATTTAGAAACAAAAGTCACATCCTTTGAAACTTGGACAAGCAGATTACCCTTCATCATCAACATTAACAGGTATTTGCTGCAGAATAACATTGATCTCAGCCTCACTGTGAAAAAGATAATTACTAAACTGCACTAAATAACTGAAATGCAAATGCGTTTTCACACTCTTGACTTCATGTCTGAGTGCAGGAGGCTGCCGTCTTGCAGGGCCATGTTTCTACTGTAGCACAGAACAAACAAATTATGTGCATTTTTATATTTAATGAGTGTCTGCTTTAGTTGGAAGACAAAGAACAAGAGAGTGGTTCTTGAATGTGTTTTGACAGTCAGAGCTTTTTGTCTTCAAAGAACACCGTCGCTTTACTGACAGGAGGGGTGAGCAAGGGGGCATTTCAGTCTAGAATTCGGCTGCTTGATACAGCTAAATATTCCTATTTCTACACACTGTGACTTTTACACATAGGTATTTTTTAGCAATACTGTTCTTCTGTAAGATCTTAACCAATACTGGACCCTTTATTATACAATTAGCAAATCTAGTAATTAGGTTTTATCTGTTGTCCATGTTGTTAGGACTCCTGACAAAAATATGCACCGACCTGGAGACATATACTTGATAACAATACCATATGACAATGACATGTTTTTGGTTATATATCAGTTTCTAAACCCCACATTAGTCTCTGGTATTTAGATTTTGTTTTAATCAGCTGAGCCGAACTATACATTTACAATGCAAATATGCAACAAATGTACAAAAGCTGATGTTTCAGAGTTGATTTTAAAGCTACTGGATGTTTTTTTCAAGTCGTCGCTCCAAACCAGCCCTCTCAATATCAACGTTTTAGATCAAAACACCTTTAAAGCTTTACAAACTTGGATTTTTTCACATTGAGCAACTATTCTGACAAAATAATGTTGACTTGATAACTTCTCTGGAGCTTTCACCCGCCATGAACTGAATCTCTAACTCTGTTCTCTGAGTTTGCTCAGCTGTTGTGGCGGAGATGACTCAGTTGTCATCAGGTGACAACAGGTGGTCCTAATCTCACTGTACAATGATGGGTTTTGGAGTTGGACTTGATCCATTAACTTTCCCATGTCCTTCTTTCCCCTCTTTGTCTTTCTGATGAGGACTGTGAGATGCTGTGGAAAGCTCTGGAACAGCTGGAGAGTAACCTTTGAGTTTGGATCATTTCTATCAAACTGCTCTCAAAGTCAAGACAGAGCTTTCCTGCCGATACACTTATACAACCTTTGAATTATAAGAAGCATAATTTTAATTTAAAATCAGAGATGAGGCGGTGAGATTTCTCTCTAAGAGTAGGAGGAACCATATAAGTCCATCTTGAAGTGTGTGAGCGTGTGTGGGCGGGCGCCGCCTCTCCGCCCACCCTGGGATACAGCTCCTATTTCTCAATGTGGATGATTTAGATTACACAAGTGCCCAGTTAAGTGTGTGTGTAGTCCAGTACTATACTCATTCAGTACAGCTGTACATTCCAGGGGAAACGACTTCAGAGGCAGACTTCCTACAAACTATTGATCGTTTTGAGCATCAGAGCTTTAAAGCAGCACTCTAAACTTAAATGTGAGCTTGTTCTGACTCTGCCTGCTGGGTGACTAATCCATCCATCAGAGTCTATTAATACTGATACACTCAGTCAAAGTGGGAGCCAAAATAGAAAAATGCCTCACCTGTCGCAAGCTCACGTGTACAGGATAGACAATGTTCGAGCCCTCTCGCCTAAAATGGGGGTGTGGCTTGTCCTTGATGACGAATACAATGTCAGCAGGAATTGTGTTTGGCGACTCGTCTCCTTCCCGTGGGAAAGTGATCTTGGTTCCCTCTTTCCAGCCCCGCTTGATCTCGATCGTGAGGATCTTATCCTCTGTGCGCATGGTCCTGCCATCCGGATTTAGCCTTTTGCGGGAGATTTTCATCCTCTTGGTGCAGCCGTGAAAGACCTCCTCCAGGGAGACCCTCAGTTCATGGATGATGGCCGGGTCCTGCTTCCGGCGCTGGGGCCCTCCTGGTCCAATGTGCCCGTCCCGTGGGAATCCGTTCAGGTTGAAGCTGGGGAAAGAGCTGAAGGGGTCGTTTCCGTCCACTTCCATGTCTTCGTCATCTCTGCCGTTGGCTTTACGCCCAAAGAACATCTCAAAGGGGTTTGAACCCCCAAAGAACGTGGCGAAGGTGGCGTGCGGGTCCCCGTGGAAGGTGTATGTGAAGGTGCTGCCTTGGCCGTCAGCAGTGGGCCCATTTCCTCCCTTGAGACCTGAAAGGGAACACAAATGATTGATGAGTCATCCTAACGCTGACATTCAGCAGCAAGAGCTTTCTGACATGAGGGATGTCTGCTTCGACAGCAGCAATCCACAATCTAGTCCACTGATCAGGTGCCAGCCATGAAGTGACTAATCCTCATTGAATGGAGTTTATTAGAGCCGCGAGAGGCAACAGGAGATTAATTTCTGATGCAAATGCAAACAAAGACATCAATCATTGGATGATCTCAGCTTCTGAAATGTCAGAATTTGCTCCTTTACATTCTTAGTCAGAACTGAAAATGTTGAACAGATAAAACACTAGAATTATAAAAGTCCATATTTGGAAATACTTCAACCAACCAACCAAGGACTAATCGGTTTGTTGGGTGAGCACCAGATTAATTGATGGTGTCAATGGTTTATTAGTCAGTGCCACTAAAAGATTCAGTGTTTTGGCTGAAATGAATTCAGTCACGACGGCCCACTGTCTGGTTTCTGAGCACCATAGCAACCTTTAGCATCCCAATGCCTGACATAAGAAGAGTCCCAATAAATTACAAAATAAAAGCTTGAAAAAAGCTTGAGTGTTATAGAACTACAACTCAGCTAAGGAACTGGTTCAGTTAGTCCATTTCATAATATCTATTTTATTTTTTATTTCAGCATAGTTACAGGTCCATAAAAGAAGCTGTCATGAGGAAAACTAAATAATTTTTGGAGCTGAAATAAAATCTCATCACTGAATAGACCTCACAAAATGAAAATGGACTAAAATAGTGCTGTTCAAATGAAGCATTACTGTTAGAAAGACCACGAATTTGAAATAGAGATTATATTAAAACAACTAATAACACTGTTTTATTACCTAAAATAAGCCGGATTGATTTGTATTTAAAGATTAACATCATATATTAAACCTAATGTCTAAAACTTTTAAGGTAGGGTACCAAAGATTGGATCCAGATTCAACAGAATACTCTATATGGCACAAAGTAGGTCAAGTTTGGTGTTTTTGGTGCTTTTGCTGCATAAACTAACACAATTCACATGAAAATGTTTTGTTTTAATAGACTTTAGAGTCAAAACCCCAATCAATTAAAAGATTATAACTCTAGTGTTTGGTATCTCTTATGAAGGCTGTTTTACAGGTTTTGGTTAGCCTTGAAAGCAGCCATATTGTGCCCCTTTACAGACCCATAATTCAATGTCTAGAGTTTCTATTATTGTGATTTGGCAATATTTACATCTGAAATTAGATTTTTCTGCTTTAACTAAGTGCTTCTAGTGATGTTTGCAACATCATATTATAAATTAAAAGCATAATAACCACCTTTCACTGGTATAATTTGTTTTATTGTGGATCTGTGGCCTTTGCCTCCCACCTTCTTATATTAATTACACCCTAGTGCTTAAATGCTATGCTGTGGATGTACAGACTGCTGCAAAAAAGCTCAGGCATAATCAGAATAACAGACATTTCTCAGAAAATCTATGGTTGAGATGGGGACATATTTCTAATTAACTTAGAGTAGAGACATTTAAGGACTTAGATGATGAAGGACTTAAGTCTGATATACTGAACAGCTGTTTTGAGGCCTCCCTCTGGTAACTGTGTGTGACTTGAATTAAAGCCAGCTGTGTTTTATGCCCAATCTTCTCCACTGTATAGCGGATTTATTACGGTGTGTTTCGGCTAAATTTAGAGCCGCAGCAGGGATGAATAAAAGACCATAAAGCCCACATTACCTTCCTCTCCATACTGGTCATAAACTTCTCTTTTCTTCGGATCACTGAGGACTTCATAAGCCTCAGCGATTTCCTTAAATTTCTCCTCGGCGGCTGCAGACTTGTTTTTGTCCGGGTGCCATTTCAACGCCTGTTTTCTGTACGCTTTCTTTATATCCTCCTCTGTCGCTCCTTTAGAGATGCCCAGCGTTTTGTAGTAATCTTTGCCCATTTTCCTCGTATCTCCCCGGAGATGAATTATTAATAAAAAATAGTAGAAAAGCCTTTGCAGGAGTGGAGCTGGATGGGGCTGGTCGACGGTCTGAGCAGCAGTGAGTCAGTCGGCCTCAGTCTGGACTAAGAGAGAGTGAGAAGCCGCAGACAGATACACAGTTCAGGATGAAAACCATTTAGAGGCGATTCGTCAACACACCGGACCTTCTGCTATTTATCCGTGACTGGATGACCCTCTTTAAATAGCCACAGCTCCCTCCTCTCCAGCATCCACAGCGCCAACGTCAAGTTCAGATCAATGTGATGAATCTGCTTCCTGTGAGAGGCTCCTTCAGGACCAGCTACCACCGACTTTGAGCGAAAGTATCTTATTTTGATGGGGTGTAAGAGGAAATAGACAGGTTCTTGGATTAATCAAATGTTTCCTTATCACAATGTCAAAATGTTCCAATTGACAGCTCTGAATTAAATGTTGGTGAGGGATAAACTTAATATTTAACCTTTCTCTTCATGACAGGGATATAAAATTTCTTGTTGATTATGAATCAGTATTGATGAATCAGGAAGCAGGGGCGTGTGCAGACTTTTCCCCCAAGGTGGCCCAACTGGATTGTTGACTTCTGAAAGGGTGGCATTAAAGGTATGTTCCAGCGTTAAATTAATTTAGGGTCAAACACACCGTAACACCAAACTAGACACCCCATCGAGTAATGAATGTTGCCGATCGCTTGCTTCTCTTCTCTTATAACGACTGCACAATAGCAATACACAGAGCCACACGCTCAACCAAAACGCCACTCTATAGCCCCAAATGATGCTCAGGACAGCACCTAACTCCATCAACAGTACATATAGGGTACCAGCCATAGTACTAGCCACCGAACATCTTTTTAACTTTGCCTAATTTCTTCAGCAAAGAGACTAAACACAACTCACCTACTCTCTTCCAGCAGCCGCTTGTTTGTAGCAAGACCTCAGGCGAGTCCATCGACTGCAGTGGGGCAGATGCAGCTCAAGGAAGAACATCTATGATCAATACTTTATCATTTCCTTGAAGTAATGATCATCATATTAGTTATTTTGCACTGCAGACGCGGTAGTTCTTCTGCCTTAGTGTCTCAGTCTGATTGCATTTCCATGAAGAAATGATTGGAAATGGCTTAATAACGAGCTGATCATTTGAATCAGGTGTGTTGAAGCAGGGAAACATCCAAAACATGCAGGACGGAGGGCGAGGGGGGGGGGGGGGGGGGGGCTCGAGGACTGGACTTGAGAACCACTGCCGTAGGCGGAGATTAAAAAGCCATTTTCTCCAGCGTTTTTCAGTCAGCTTCTTATATCTTTCCCCTTTGAGTAACACTACTTTGGGCACACGATAAAAGCTCTTGTTTTTTCCCCGTTCATTCGATTCGAGTAGCCGTAAACGGCGCAAAACATCGGCATGTTGCTGGTCTCTACGGCAGCAACTCACTTCCTGCCCTCCATCTGTATTGCGCGCGTGCCGCGTAACACGGAAGTGATGTCAAGTGAAAACCTCCTATAGTCATGTATAGAGGACGAGGCTATAGAGGACTCGATAGGGTTAAAAAAGGTTGAAAACACTGGAATAAAGAAAATGAGTGTTGATTTTAAAGTGAGACACTGTGTAAAATTGAATCAATATAAAAAATTCCAACCCTTAAAAAACCCACTGAGCTGGTCTGTGGTGACGGACAGGGGAAGATCTACTTTCTCCCCTGGAAAGAATAAAAATACAAAATATAACTCTCTAAAGTGCTGTGCCTACCAAAGATACTGTTTCCTACCTCTTTGGTGATGGTGAATGTGCAATATATAAAAAAAGGGGATAATTTCTAAACTATATACTGGAATATAAAATTATGTGATAGCTGTCAAGTAATTATTTACTGGTGCCTTTGATTTAGATTTATGAGGAAACTTGAACAAGGAACAAAAAGTATGGTTTACACTATTAGTTTTTATTTTGGATTATATTTATTTATTTATAAAGGTTTAAAATTATATACCTTTACAGGTGAATGTGGTGTATGAAACTAATGAAGTGGATAAATTATTTCAATAACCTTGAATTTTTTTTTTTTCTGAATTAAAATGGAGTTTGATCAGCAATCAGCTTGGTGTTTTGTGTTTTTGTGAATGAATGGGAATATTTTTCTGATTGCAGAACTGAAGACAGATTTAACAAAAAACTAAAATTGAAGAACTATTTATATTGTTTCAATAAATTACTCTGTAAGGTCAGGTTATGCTCTCATTAAAGCTCCTATGAAGGGCTGTAAGATTGCCTTGTTTTACCGACACTGCGCAATGTTAGATTACGGTATTCGAATAGAGAAACCCATATTCTGTCCATTACGGTAAAAGGTACACAGTACTGGCCAATCAGCGGTTCCTGGGCGTCCAAAGAGGAACTTCACAGTGAGTCATTTATCACATTAGACGCCATAAACGTTCAAAATACATGATATTTGTTGCTGACATTAAACCTAAAAGCCACTTCTGTTCACAGACAGCGCTGTTCGTGGGGCAGAAGGGATTTCCGGTGAGTTTTGGTCATTTTATCTTGGTGTAAACATCAAACCGACGATCAAGTAATGCTGTAGAGACCATAGACTGTATAGAGTTTGGAGAGAGCTGATTTCGCCTTCAACATACGAGCAAATGGTAATGTTAATGTTGACTTATGTCTCTGATCGGTTCATATGTGTAGCTTATATATTTAGTGTCTGTTGTGGATTTCTTTATTATGGCTGGATGCCTGTTTTTTTTAGTATACACAACTTGTAATGGTCATTTTATTTACTTTTAAGTGGAAGTAACCTGTTGTTTTTCCTACACAAAGAAAGGGCACCAAACCTTGTTGTTGTACCAGAGTGAAATCTTATTTTCAACAGTGTCTGAAACTAAAAGACTTTGACTTTTTCCCTTTCTGCAAAGTCTAACCACATTAATACTGCAGTTTGGAGGGTTTCTGACTCTCACAGTGCTGCACTATTGTTTGCATGTTGTATGTAAATAATATCTCTCCTGGAGTCCAGTAAAGCTGCGAAGAACCGTCTGTTGCATGCTTTATATTTCTAGACTTTGCTCCCTTTTTATGGTTGCTTTTACCAACACGCCCAGGACTACAGTTGTATATATAAAACTTGCTTGACGATTCAAAAATGTTGCCTGTCCACTCGTCTGTATACTCAGTGCTGTGAAGGATTGTAAAGCTTTGTTAATAGATTAAAGGGAGAGGCTCAGATATACAGTAACTGATGTGTGTTTTTTTCCTCTCTGCAGAAATGAGGACGCCCCAGCCTGCAGATGTGGTCCAAGAAGAGCAGCAGCAGGCCATATGTGGAAGGAGCTTATCCTCAAACTTTGCTCCCCTATGTCTGGAAAACAAGATCCTGGCTCAGACCTCTTCTCTCTCAGCTCTCCAGCCCACTAGCTTGTCCTCTACCTCCTCCTCCCTTCTCTCCACCTCTTCCTTCCCACCCTCCTTCACCTCTCCTCTCCTTAGCACGGAAAACAAGCTTCTAAAAAGTGAATCGCCTCTTTTTTCCGTCTCACTGACCTCATGTTCAACCATCCCAAATAAACCCCTGCACTCATCATCGACCAGAAGTCCTCTTGTTCATCCTTCTTCTGCACTCACTCCTGTTTTGGGTGGAGAAAAGAATGTCGATAGAGAGAATGAGGGTGAAGAAGAGCTCTTTCGAGTCATGGAGTCCTTTTTTGAAGACTCAAGTGTGGTACATAAAATAATCCTCTTTTCCACCATGTCTTCTGCATGCTTTAAGTGTCAATCAAACTATTTCAGAGCATGTTTAATGAATACTCTTGACAGCATCTCTTTTTTAATGTGTCTCCTTCTGCGTTAGATCGGCTCTGAGGAAGATGAATGTTCATTTGTGGAGGAAGATAACGCTGGATCCTCCATGGATTTAGCTACTCTGGGAACAGATTTGTGCAACCAAGAACCTGATCAATCTGTGGTGATCAGACAGGAGGAGTTTGCTGATCTGGAGAGGAGAAATGATCAAATTGAAGAGGAGCTGAAGGATAAAAAGGTTTGTCATAGAAAGACAGAGAAACCTCACCATATCTGTTTCTGAAATTTGAGCATATATTTGATATTTTTTCTGTTCCTCAGTATCTCCTGTTGAACGCCGTGTGTTGCTCCCTCATCAATAAGATGAAAAACCCGGGTGACAAGGAGTGGGACTCAGAGAAGAGTGTTTGGACCAGCATCATGAACCTGGCTAAGGATATTTCTGACTCTGACCCACAGTTTCTTCTCAAGGTGAGCAAAAAGTAAAGCAGTAAAATAAATCAAAAGTCATATAACATTGAAGGGAGAAAGCAAACATATTAGTAATACAGGTGCAAACAGCTATAAAAGCAATAAAAACAACCAGAGCAATAAAAATGAGGGAGTAAAGTCATCAGTAGAATAATAAGGAATAAAATACAATTAAATTTAAATTAAAAATGAAAAAAGGGTCATTAAAACAGCAGCTGGGCTTCAAGTGCCCTCAAGTCTCAGAGGGGGGAGTATCTGTCATGAAGCCTGGGTTAAACTAAAGAAAAGGACCCAAATGCAGAGCAAAGGATTTAATTTAAAAGAACTAAATGGAAAAAAACACCAAAAATTTTCTTTAAAATGTCCAACTAGAAAAATCTAAAGGCAGAATCTAAGAAAAGACACTGGGGAAAAAAACCACAAGGAGACAACTGGGGTAACAAACATACACACACAAAACGACATACAATGAACTAACAAAGACAGAGGGGAAGACGGGCTGTGTCCAAAATGAATCACTCAATTCCTGACCCCTAACCCCTGTATGGGGTTTCACTTTACAGCTGACTATGAAGTGAGCTCAATCACCGGAGGTTTCAGACACTACATGGCGAGATGCAATGCATGACGGGATGCCCACCACCAGTGAGTGACCATCGGATGGTCACTACATTTTGCAATGCTCTATAGGAAATTTTGAGTTGCCTATACGGGGCATTGGAGTTGATCACTCAGGTTTCGGACACCCCTCAAAATGGTGCTAACCCCCATATAATCTCCTTTATAGGGGTTAGGGATCCATTTCGGATACAGCCAGGGACTATATACACACACTATAGACAGAGGTAAAACTCATGGGTGATTAACGAAGGAGGGAAAACTTGGAAAGTAAAACCAGACTAGAAACACAAGGAATCAACGACTACAAAATAAACACCGGAAACTGATCCAAAGAATAAAAAACAGAGAACAGGAGGGAAACAGGGTCAAACACAAACTGAAAACTCCCAAGACTGGACTTCAGGGGATCAGGAACAAAATGCACTCAAATACAACCAGGAGCATAACTGAACAGAACAGGTCATGAAAGTATCTTCGATCTCCTGCATAACAATTAAAGGAGGCGCAGTGTGGCTGAATTATTTGACTAAGTGGCAGCCAATTATTGGAAAATGAAATTGGACCCAAAACTGAGCCTTGAGGTACACCACAGGTGATAGTGAGATCAAAGAGGAGTGATTACCTACGAATAACACCAGCTAGGTGCACTATCCCTGATACCCATGCAGATTTTCTGTAACATTTCACTGTAACAGCATGATTAACTCTGTTAAAATCACACAGGTGGCAGTTTACACTCGACAAGAGCTGAACATTCGCATCACAGCAAACTTCCTGTTGGCTCTGGCTGCTCATCAACCGTCCACCAAGTCCCATGTCCGCAGATACTTCTGTGCCGCCGTACAGCTGCCCTCAGACTGGCTGGAAGTGGTCAGAATCTACACCACTGTAAGTGCTTCAATGCTGGTGTTGCATAGTATTAACAAATACTTATTAGTCTGGTTATTAAGACACATTTTATAATTGCAACATATGTGGGAATTGTCCTTTTTGCATTTGGATTTCAAGTTCAATTTGATAGAGATATACATGTTTCCTTACATTTTGAGGATAACATTTGAATAAAAGTAAATCTCTGCAGTACTACTGTACCTCATAATGCTGTACAAAATTAAAGCTAAGCTGCAGCTGATCCTTTTCTAATGTTCCTGCCTAGTTTGAACACCAAATTTGTCTGTTTCCAGTGTTTCAGCCGCTCTCTGCCGATGTGCTTAAAGAAGGCGATGGTTGACAAATTCAAGCAGTTCAATGAGTACCAGTTGGCTAAATACAACACACGCAAACACCGCTGTAAACACTACCGAAACAAAAGCAAGGTAAGGAAGTGTTCAAAATGGTTTGTTCTTTTTTTAAATTTAGCAATAGTTGTTTCAAAATCATTAACTTTGTTGAATGTTTCTGAAGCCAAAAAAACAGGACCTGAAAAAGTGGGCGGACCTGCTGCGATCAGATGAAACTATTCTGTCCAAGTTTGTAAGTATTGCACATTTCTCCTGTTAGCAACTCTTGAATCTGTCACAGTTATTGCATTTATTTTTTACTAGAATTGGCATTCGTGGAAGCACAGGACTGTAAAATCACCCAAGTAAACAATGATGTATATATATGGATGTGTGTGCAGTTGCAGATAGAGGGCAGGAAAGCGGTGGATAAAAAGCAGAGTGAGTTCAGTATGAAGAAGATGATCAAGCGGCTTCACATTAAAGACCCAGCTGAACACGTAATGGCCATACTGGGAAAAAAGTAAGCAACACAGCGATCCAAAAAAAAAAACATTAAAGTCTACCAATAGTATGTTAAAAATGATGTTTTAAATGTGTTTACAGCAAAGCAATGAGGTCAAATAAAGTTTAATGAGAATACTTTTCTATAAAGATATTTAAAAATATATTTATTTAATGCATCTACAGCTGATCATGATTATATAAAGAAATCTTTGACATAAAACATATTCAAGGTAGAATGAAAGGTGATTGGATCTAGGGTTGTTTATATGTCTATCCTATAAGCAGGTAGGTTAAATACACCTGTGTTGTTCTCAGGTATCCTGCTGATATGAGGTCTTTCACTAAAAGTGGGATGAAGGGCTCATGGGACAGGGAGCGAGCCGGGCAGCGGATGAAGCTTAAGCAGCCAGAGACGTGGGAGCGGCTGCTCAGCCAGGAGGGAAACAAGGCTGCTACCTGGGAGAAACTCATAGGTGTGCTCAGCACAAATATTTAAAACGTTCTTTAAGTTTGTACAAAGAATTTTTTTTCCCTTTGTTGTGCTGGCTGTCGCAAAATCCTTACTAGTCTCTAATAACAGAAACGGGACGACTCACTTTCATTGTATCAATCCGCCACAAGAGGTCCGGAGGAAGTTGACGTTGGTCCATTTACAGTCAATGAAGAGATAAAGATGATAGACAGACGATAAAAAATGCAAGAAACTGTTGGCCGTGACAGAAAATAAGCAAAATGTATAGCGTCCCATATAGAAAACTCTTGAACGGATTCGGTTCTGCCAGTACTATATAACCCTAAGAGACTGAAAAGAAAGAATCTTAGACTGACTGTGAAGAGGCAGGAAACTCACTAGCGTGCTGCGCTTGTAAACGCGGTTGTACTGTACAATAAGCAAAAAAGTTCAATAAAATGTTTGTTATAACAACGGTTCGCTCGTTTTAAAGACATCTAGTTGTAATGTGGGTAAAAAAACCCTCAGTTTTCTCATTCAAAATAGTGCCGGTTTATTCACAGTGATAACCGTTATAACTGTTAGCTTAAAAAGGCAACCGAATAACCGTTAGCAGCTTCAGTGGCGAGGCTAACGGTCATTTTTCTTAGATGGAAATATAATTACTAACTTCTAGTCAGCAAAATTGCCAAGGATGAATGTTTCATTAAGGTTTATTTTTAGTGCGCGGAAACTGATATGCTGTTCTGCTAATGGGTTCTCAGCTTTTGAAATATCAATATTACTGTTAAAAAATATATTAGCATAGGGTCAGGTAAAGTTATGAAACTGATTTAAATAGTCATGTCCTTGTCTGATATGCTCTCTACTAACTTGACTGTAAAATATTTCAAATTAATATTTTTATAACCCAAAATCAAAACAAACCTATCATTAAAAACACTGATTTATTGAAATGCACCCTTTGAGTGATTGATTGTCAGATAATGATCATACATATTGCTGAATAATGTCTCCTCTATTCAGACAACAAGTCTCTTCCATTCATGGCCATGCTGAGGAACCTGAGGAACATGATTATTAAAGGCATCAGTGAAGCTCATCATAAGAAGATCCTCAGCAGACTCACCAACAAGGTCAGATCCATCAAAACAAAAGAAAGCATGAACTTAGTAAATTTTTGTAACTGCTACTTTCTCTGTGTCTTTACAGAAAGCTGTTATTCAGAGCCGACAGTTTCCTTTCAGGTTTCTTGCTGCCTACAAAGTTATCATGCAGCTTCAAACTTTAGGTGAGACAAATACAGCTGAAGTTAACACATGAAAACTCTGAGTATGTCTCTTTTAAATTTGGCGTCACACACTCTTTACTATTCTGTTGTTTAGCCTTGGCATCACAAAAGGCCATTCCATCTGGCAAAGAGATCCTAATAAGCATCCTGAAGAAGATCCCGAAGAGCAGGCGTTATAAGCGCATGAACTGGGAGACAACACAAAAGAGCAGACTGAGGGTGACACTCAGAGCGCCGTTTATCTACAAGATGTATAAAATGAAGAAAGCCCAGCTCATAAAAGCCAAGTATGAAAATGTCTCAGAGAGTCTGTATTTTTTTTCTCAAACTCTTTTTCTGATTTTATTTTTTCAGTAGCAAATGTCTTGTTTTCTGTGATGATGCAGGAAATATAGGAAGAACAAGTATAAACGCCACAAACAGCACTTCAAGAAAAACTAAAAAGGCTAAGGAAAGAGAAGACAGACATTTAGAAAAGCCTGACAGACAGGAGTGTATTCAAGGGAACCATGTTCGGTCATGTAATACCACTGTTTTTGTTTCTGTGAACCCAGTGAGAGGCTGTTCACCGCTGACCTCTTGGATCGTTACCGCAAAGCTCTCGAGACAGCCGTGCAGCTCTCCTGTCGCTACAACGTGCCCCCGCTTCCTGGACGGACAGTTATCATACTGTCATCAGACATGAGTTCATACAGGAACCTAAAACTGGACTTCTGCCTACCACCAGACCCTGAGCAAAACGACGAGGAAAAGAAGGAAGAAGAAGAAGAGGAGGAGGAAGAAGAGGAGAACAGGAGGAGAGAAAAAGAGAAAACAGAAGAGGATGAGAACTTTACTCCATCTGTAAGGCCCTGTAACATAAAACACAACCATAAATGTACTATTACATAAATCTAACATCTCCCTGTTTTCATCATCACTTTGTCTTCTCAGATTGAAGAGATCGCAATTTTGCTTTCTCTGATGATCAAAAGCAGCGCTGAGGACTGTCAGCTCTACATCTGTAACTGGGGCTCCTCTGAAGAAGTCAAGCTGAAGTCTGATGTCCTTCTGGATAATGTCAGGACTGTGGTCAAACAAGTGAAGGTCTGCTCTGACAAGAAAAAAAAACTATTTTATGTACTTGCCAATACCTTACTGCATCAGTTCAATCATGTGTGAATGGGCTGTCTCTTTAGGGAAGTCTTTGTTTATGAATGATTCCTATTTACAGGCATTCACAGAGGAAAATCACTGCAGAAATGTCCTCCCCACAGTCTTCAACAACAAAAACAAGGTCAGTCATTTTTATAGTTTGATTTCACCATGAAAAATCTTGCTGATTTATCCGCAGTTTCCAAGGTAAAGTCCAAGTTGTGCTCAGTAGATGAAAATTTCTACTATAAAATGAATGACTGTCTGTAATTCATTAAAACAACAAAGAAATCTGTAACTGGACCTGAGATCATTTCCACTGATATCATTCTACAGCTTTGTTGATTCAACACTTTAGAGGGTGAGATCAATCAGCTGTATTCAACTTCAGTATCCTACATTTGTGCGCTCGTGTCTCTCAGATTGACAACGCCATCGTGCTGACTGACAGCTACGTCCCCAATAGGGTTGAATGGACCATCAACAGCTACAGGAAGGATGTAAACAACAAAGCTCTCTGTGTGCAGGTCTTCCTCCATGAACGGTAAATCTAAATAAATCAAGTAGAATGTACAAAGATTCTGAATGTTTAGCTTTTTATGGGTCCTTTCTCTAACATTTGTGGATTGATAATGTATAGTTTTGTTGATACCTTGCAGACACCAAGAGTTTGAACCTGAAAGGAACTGTGTGAGCCTGGTAGGCTTCAGCGAACAAATACTCAGGTGAATATGATGGCTTTGAAATGAATGTACAGCTTAGTTCAGAGCTGAGAGTTTTCAGAGAATATGAAAACTGGGAGAGTGGTTTATGTTAAATGGAAAAAAGCCTCATGTATGTCAGTATGTATCGATATACTACATAATACTGAGCTATGCTGAGCAGATATTTGCAGTCCTGGAATATTAACGTTTTTCCTACAACTTGTCCAGGTTTGTGGCAGAGCGAGGATCGTCCCGGCTGCTGGACCATGTGGAGCATTTGGACAAACTCTACAGCATACCACCACCACTAGAGGGAGCTAAAAAACCACAGACCTCTAACACTGTTGCCCAAATACCAGCCAGCCCAAAGCTAAGGTGGTTTTGATTATTTCCTGTGACAGTCACCTGACTTAACTTTTTATTTCTTGCTTTCCTGTTAATTATTTAACAAAAACTACCCCGTCTGTCCCCAGGTGGAGAGGCGTCCGTGTGTTTGTCTCCTCCACCTTCAGAGACATGCACGCCGAGCGGGACATCTTGGTGCGCAGCGTGTTCCCAGAGCTCAGGCGTCGTGCTGCTCAACACTGCCTCTACCTGCAGGAGGTGGAGCTGCGCTGGGGCGTGACAGAGGAGGAGTCGGAGCGAGCCGCAGAGCTGTGTCTGTCAGAGGTTTGTCGCAGTCAGATGATGGTGGGAATCCTGGGAGAGAGGTACGGCCTGGTGCCTCCCAAACCGGACCTACCTGACCTGCCTCAGTACAGCTGGGTAAGACTGATGACAGTGAAGAGAAGTTTGAAGAGTTTTAGAGGAGGGCTGACTTCACAGATGACAGTCAGATCTTTGTTGTTTCCCTTTGTGCAGCTGGTGAAGGCTTCAACAGGCATGTCCATGACAGAGATGGAGATCCGTCAGTTTCAGGCTCTTTACCCCGACACAGCACAACAGCGGATGTTCTGCTACTTCAGAGACCCAAACATCACCAAGTATGCTATCTATGCTCACTTTTAGAACCCTTCTTTACAATAAGATATATGATGTTTTGGGATTCTGTGTAGTTGATTTAAAGGCTGTGACAAGCACTTTTCTGGATATCCTTTTAAGTTTTTATTCCTTTTGTGTTATTCAGAGCTGTACCTGTAGCGTGGAGATCTCACTTTGCTCCTGAATCAAAGGGGGCTGAGTCCAAAATGGACTCTTTGAAGAGGATGATACGAAACAGTGAAGTCAAGGTCACTGAAAAGTGAGTATGTCCTGAACTATATTTTCAGAATAGTGGCTTAAATTCCTTTTGTGGTCGTAAGTTTGAAAAGGTTGATATGAAGCTTCCCAACAATTAAAGTTTTTGTGTCTAAACTGGAGCTTTTTTATTCATTTGTTTGTCATAGTTACCCGTGTGAGTGGGGAGGTGTTGTGGATGGGAAACCGTATCTGAAAAACTTGGAGAACTTTGGCAAAGCTGTGCTGGAAGACCTGTGGACGGCTGTTTCAAAGCACTTTGTTGACGTGAGTTGTGAGATTTATTTGATTTATAATTCATTCATTTACTGACTCTGTCACACTGATCCCATCTTTCTCACTTCTAGATGAGTTATAATTTTAATTTCCACATTAAACGGCTTTGGAACATCTTTCTCTTGATACAACAACACAGCTGATGTGCGGTTAACATCTAACTATTGTCCATTCGACAGAAGGATGATGATGCTGAGGCTGCGTCTGATGTAAAAGAGCAGGAGGTTCACCAGGGCGCGCTGCAGAGACATTTCTTTGGCAGACAGAAGCTGCTGAGTGCAGCTGTGGAGACGGTGGAGAAGGTCCAGAATAAAGGAGGGATGATGGTGTTGGAGGGAGGACCTGGAGAGGGAAAAACTGTCTTCATGGTACTTGTTTTTGAAAACCTGCTTTAAAACATTGAACTGTTATTGTAGGGTTTTAGATGTTGGTACTCCTCTACAAACAGGATGAACGGAGGGCAGAAAGGGTGTAAAGCAGGGTGACCGTATTCTGACTTCCCAACTACAACTATGCAGGGGGCGGAGTCACAGAGTCACACAAAGCTAATTTTGATAGTTTTTTGGGTCAGATTGAGAGTCTTTTTCACACCTCTAACTCAGTAACTCCATGTGACACAAACTTGAAATTTCCGTACAAAACCACGGACGTTTGAAGGATTTTAAAAACTTCCCCGGACCAAGCTGGACAAACTTGGACAGCCCCCAAAAAAGAGGACATGTCCGTGTAAAAGAGGACGTATGGTCACCCTAGTGTAGAGCAGGATGGCAGAATAAAGAGCACGAGAAAACAAGTCCCAGAGCTCTGGCTTATATCTTTTTACTGAAACTTCACACACAAGGTACCGAGTCTCAACTACATGCAGCAAAAAATACTCCTGGTAGACAGCCACACTCCCCAGGTGTAGCTGATCCCCTAATTATAGCTGGTGTAGCTGATCCCCTTGATTACAGCAGGTGTAGCTGATCGCCTTGATTACAGCGGGTGTAGCTGATTGCCTTGATTACAGCAGGTGTAGCTGATCGCCTTGGTTACAGCAGCAGGCCAGCAGAAGAGACACAACCTTCACCACCTAATAGCATTTACTTTAAAACATATTCACAATAAACAATATGTACAAGTAACAAATACTATGCAAGTGACTTATAAACTAATACAGCTGAAAGGAGATATCTAATAAACTGAGGAAAACCTAAACAACTCAAAACTAACAAAATGTCCCCTCTCCTCCCTCTGCTGGACTTCTGTGGCTGCATCTTCATGTGTGCACTTGCCTTCCTAGAAATAGACCTTGAAATAATGACACACATGTTTCTCTCTCTGCACACAGGCTGCTCTAGCAGAGACCCTCAGGACCCTCAGAGTGAAGTCCAAGACCAAGTTCATCTGTGACGTCATCTCCTACTCTACAGCTGCCAGCCAATCAGCTCGCTCTGTGGAGAACCTGCTTCAATATCTTATTCGGCGGTTGAGAATAATGAAAGATAGTGAAGAGGAAGCACCCATTTCCCGTTCTTACAGGTGGACAGTTTTTAAATTTACTTAGTAGAAAGTTAAACCATCATCATGTTGTCCTTACACCAGCCTTTCACTGTCTTTTGTTAATTTTGAAAACAGAGATTTGCTGTCCGAGTTTCACTCCAGTATCAGTGACATAGAGAAAGACAGACCTCTGGTGCTGCTGGTTGATGGAGTGGATCTTGTTCATGATGGCAGAGGTCAGCTCTGCTCTGATTGGATACCACAGCAGCTCCCAAAGGTCAGTTACAGGGATGGAAAACTGAAATAAAGTTACCTCCGTCTTTGAGGCTTCTCTGTATGTGTGAACATTGGATGTTTTATTTACGGTTAAATGTTTATCATGTATTTCTCTGTTTCCTTTCTTATCAGGGTGTTTGTTTAGTAGTGAGCGTCCCATCCAGAGCTGCTCTGCTGCAAACGCTGACCAAGAGGGGAAGTTCTGTCCTGTTTTCTCTGGGTCAGCTCACCATGCAGGGCAGGAGAGAGATCGTTCAGAAGGGACTGAAAACCTTTGGGAAGAAACTCAGTGACTCTGCGTTCAACAACCAGGTTTGTCTCTAACGTTTTGTATCACATGGTTTCTTTTTTGTGTACTCTTGATAGGTTTTACGCGTCCAATTTCTCTGTCTGTTCATAGATACCTTCACTTGTTAATGCACCTGTAATTCTTCTTTAAACTATAAATGCTCCGTTTGCTTGTGCAGCTCCAGACTCTGATTATGAAGAAAGGAGCAGTGAGTCCTCTCTACCTGCACTTGGCCTGTGAAGACCTGAGGAACTACGCCTCCTTTGACAGGGTCTGTTTTTTTTTCTCACAATTCCTCAGTAGGAATACAGTTGATTTCCTGTGTTATTGGCTGTTATAATGCAAGATTAGACTGTATCTCCCTCCTGTGACCACACAAGAGGAAAAAATTGGGGTGCTAACTGTCCTTGCGGTCTAAACACATGTACCTTGTACATCGGCTGCAGACCTCAATGTGGTGATCATTGGTTTGACTCCCAGCTACAACCTGTATCTCTACCGCTGTTCTGTCAATTAAGACAACATGCTCCAAATAGTTAAAGAGAAAAGCGGTCATAAATTAAAGGAATATTGTTTATTTTTTGTGTCCCAGCTGAAGGAAAACGTCGAGAGCTTACCTCAGTCTCTGAGTCAGCTGGTGAAGCACAGCCTGGACAGACTTTGCTTACAGTACAGAGGCATGCTGGGACTCTGCTGGGCCCTGGGAGCTCTCACTGTCAGCACCACTGGTGAGATGAGCGGAGCTTTTATGGCTTTTTTCAGAATCACTGTACAGATTTATTGATATGAAGAGCTACATTACAATATTTATGGTTTTGGGTTGTTATAAAATCGTAAGTTTGTACTTACCTGTCAACATTTTGTCCTCTTCATCCTCAGGCCTGAGGGAGACAGACCTGTACTCTGTCCTGAACACATGTAATGACTTATCCACCCAGTATGGACAGCCCACATGGGAGGAAGCTCTTCACCTGTCTAGGAAGCCCAAAGGACGCGTTCCTATGGCAACTTTCACTCGTATAGTGCAGAGTTTACAGAGGTAAGAGTTTGAACTTATGGTTAGGTCTGTTTTCATCATATATGTAGTGGATGGGTCTATAGAGCTAATACAGAAGTGCTTCAGTTCTTCCTATAAACCAGCAGGGGGCGACTTTACCAGGTTGAAAGAAGGAGGCCAAATATAACCTGACTTCCTATTTGATTGTTTTCCAGGACTTAAGTTTTTAACTTGCTAAACACAAAACCCCTTTGACTAAAATTTAAACTAATCCGGTGGTCACTATTTAGACAATCAAAAAGATTTCCATCGCTCATGTGCTTTTCCTTCTTTTCTGCAGTCTGATTGGATCATCTGATTGCCTCATGACTGACAACCAGCTGAATTTGTCCAATCCGGAGGTGAGGAGGGCCTTTGAGGATTTCCTGCTGCCAACAGAGAGCGACAGAACCAGAGCTCACCTTGTACTTGCAGGTAGATTACACACACCCTTTTCTAAAACATCGGCGGTACATCAAGGTTACTGTACACTTCAACTTCACCATCATGTCTCTTTGAATGCAGCTCATCTGTGGGCTGTAGCTGACCCTCAGGGAGCAGACACCTTCCTGCACTGTGAGGCCAACTCAGTCATGCAGCTGCCCTCAAACCTGGTGAGCAAGTGATTTCTAACTCTTGGAGACTTAAACAACAAATGTCTAGAGTATCTAGTATAGAGAAATGCAATCATTTACATACATTTATTGCTGTAGATTTGAACTCATGTCTGATTTTGTCTTTAACCAGATTCAGAGTGATCAGATGGAGGCTCTTCACTCTCTGCTCTCCAGCTACTACTTTGTGTACGCTCAGGTGCGTCACGGCCTCCTGCACCAACTCCTGCAGACTTACAGCTCATATGGTCAGTGTGCATGACTGAACTGTGTGATTAAAACTAAACAGCAGGTTTCTAAATTAACGTTTGTATCCTGTAAATTGTTCCCCTCTCTGTAGATGAAGAGTGTGATTCTGCATCCTCATGTAAGTTCTGAAAACTAACTGACTCACAAAAAATCTTCCAAGTTTTCTTTATTCCTCTTCAGCTCGTCTCTCTTCTTTCTCTCAGGCGGTTCCCAAAGTCTCCTTGAAGACTGTCGTAGTTTCCTGAAGCGTCACTCTCAGATGTTCTCCTCTTGGCCGGCTCTTTTCATCCAGCAGGCCCTCAATGAACCTCCTGAGACCTCTGCTCACACCTGGGCACAGGGCCTGATGGGTAAAGGAGGAGTCCGTGTTGTGGAGTGGCTGAATAATGACAATGAGGTTCAGCAGGAGACCAGGTAAGCTGGTAGGACTGCAGTTGTTTCTGTTCAACCTTCTGTGTTCAGTGTTTAAAGTAAGTATTCATGTGTAGGAACGTTTTAGAAATGTGATGTGTTAAATCTCAGTGAGCTGGTGTCGACCTTCTCCTCTGAGCCGACCTGTGTGGTTGTGAGCCCAGATGAAGATCTGATGGTGGTCAGCACTGGACAGGGAACGCTGCATCTCATCAACACACAGACTGGACAGGTTTGAACACGACTTCTTTTACTTTTATTGAGACGGATCAGTTTGATCAGATTTTAGCATTTCACAGATTTTGTGACCTCGATGGACTCACTTTTGGTTTTTTCAGGTCCTCCTAACTTTTTGAAAACTTGATATGTTCTCTTGTTTAAAGTTCAGACTCCAATTTAAATACATTCATCAAAATAGGTTGTACATTAGATTGTCTGCAGTGATCTTGTACAAATGTTAAAACCAGTTTAGAAACAAGCTGATGAGTCAATCCAATTTCTCCTCTGGTTTTGAACAGGAAGTGAAATCTCTGGTGAGCAGCTGTGACGGCATCTCGAGCTGTGTGTTTCTCAAAGATGGCCGCCTCGCCACCACCTCCTATGACGGGCGGATAGAAATCTGGGACATCGGGAACAGCTGCAGGTGAGAGGAGAGCTGGACAGAAAGTTTAGCCTGTTTAAATCACTTGGTGTCTGTTTTTGGTGGATGTAGTTTAAATTGACGGACTCATGTTTCGTCTCTTTGCAGGACCGCTCTCATTGATGCCCACACTAACACAATAACAGGAAGTGACATCACTGCGGACAAGAAGAACCTTGCAACCGTGTCCTTAGACTTCACGCTGAAAGTCAGAACCAAGATGAATTATTCAAACTTAACATTCAATTATTATGAAAGTTTGTTTAACATCATAGTTCCCTTTTGATAGTGATTACCTGACTTTTCTTTCCAGGTCTGGTCCTCGGCTAAAGGTAATGAGGTTGCAGCCTTTCACAGCAAGAGTCCTTTGAACTGTGTGACCTTTGACCCCGATGGTCACCTGCTGGCTGCAGGTTGCTGGGATGGGAATGTGATCATTTGGAACTGGCTCCAGAATAAAACCGTCACAGTGAGTTTTACAAAGAGATAAATAATCAGTTAATCGTTTATTTTGATTAACACTCACCAAGAAATAAGATCACTTGGCTTTGGATAAACTTTAAAACTGACAGAAAAAATCTGTCCCTCTCTTCTATTATTCAACCATGAGCAGGTATTTACTTGGTAGCTTAAAAAAAGGTTTCAGAGAAGAAGTGTGTTACTGTGATTAAAGGTTTTAATGCTTAAATAATTATTACCATCTCTGTTTTGCTCTTCAGAATCTGTCCGGTCATCAGCGCTCTGTTCGCTCCCTCTCCTTCGCTCCCTCCTCCTCCTCCATGCTCTGCTCCGGCTCTGTGTCTGGAGAGGTCAGGGTGTGGTCGGTGCCCACTTCCACCTGTGTGGGATGTTTCCAGGCTCACAGCGGAGCCACAGAGACTCTCACCTTTGTGGATGAAGGGAGCATGCTGCTGAGTGCTGGCTCTGATTACATGGTGAGGAAACGCTGAACAAACTAAACCTTGGATCAGAGAAATGAAACCGTCTCAATGAAGGTGAATAATTATATATTCTGTAAAACAGCTTCACCTCTGGTCAGGAGGACTTGGACATTCAGTGGCTACATTAAAAAATGATTCAGTAAGTATTTGATTAAGTTTATTAGGTCACAATTTATCTATCTGAATATGTTTTGTTCATCTTTATGTCATAATTTATGGATGAAATGAAAACGTTGCTGCTGTAAGGTAATCGAGGCAAGAATATCTGACAGTCAGGGCTCAATTCTGTCTTTATTTTGTGTTTAAGTGTGAGCAGGAGCCTCCACACAAGAAAAAGAAATCTGCAACATCGGGGCCGGCTGCTCTGTGTGTGGCTGTCAAAGGAGATTTTGCTGCAGTGGGATATCATGGTGACGGCTTCAAACTCTTCAGTCTGGAAACAGGTGGGTTTCATGTCACAAACATTTCATTGTTTTTGTAAGTCAAACCTCCTGTCTCTTTTTATATGGTGATGACTTAAACTAAGACAGATATTGAAGGTAGATGAAAAATTGTAATTACAAAATAAATCGACAATTATGTAGCTTAAGATGAGAACATGAGTTAAAATGATGAACAAAATATGCACATTTTTTGACCAAACAGACATGATTGTTTTTGACACACATTGTACAAGTCTCAGTGAGATATCCCCTGAAAGTAAAGATTCAGAAACATAAAATATTATGATTTTACTCTTTCATTTAAAGACTTTGTATCCAAACAGACCCTCACTGTTTCTGTCTAATCGTAGGTGAGAAGATTTGGGACTCGGGGAGCCTCAGCGTGTCCGTACCGTGCCTGCGATGGGTCTATTTGGATGCCGAGGAGAAGGAACCTGAGCTGCTGGTGTCTGCAGGCAGCGACATGCGTATGAGAATCTGTAGGAAGAGGGACGGAAATAAAGGGCTGCTGGGAGGTCTGGACCAGTGGGCAGATTTTGGTCGCCAAAGACAGCCTGTTCAGGCCATGGAACAAAACTCCACATACCTGGCTACGGCTTCAGGTGAGTGATTGCAGTTTCAAAACACGACTGAACCTGTCTCTAGACTTATAAGAAACTCTTTTCTCTGTCTTTCTGTGAAATTAAGATGACTGCACTATTTTTCTGTGGTTGCTGAGTGATCTGGCTGAATATTCCTGCGATGAGCCTCATACCATGCTAAAAGGCCACACTGGAGGAGTCACATGTCTGTCTTTCAGCCCTGATGGGGAACAGCTGCTGTCCGGAGGAAAAGATAAGGTATGATAAGTTTGTGCTGTAATGTGTTTTTCCAGTCTGGCACGTAAAGTTTAAAATCATTATCCTCGTCATGTATTGGTTTAACATGCTAATAAATCTTTGAGTTTGTTTGTTTTATTTTGGATCCACCATTAGTTACAACAAAATATGCAGCAACTTCTATTCCTGGGGCCCGTATCTTCTTTTCCATTTTCATTTTGAACTAAGACAAGTACTTACAAACATTACACTTACATAACACTCATTCTACACTTCATTCATACAGTAGCTCTTATTCTCTCTTGCTTGTTGAAAATAAACCAATACATAAATAAGATGAAGAAAGTAAAATGAAAAGACAAAAAAGAAAAACAGAACTTATAAATTCCACGTCTATTTATGAAACAACATGGCAGCTGTCTCCTGATATTTAAAGTCTATTTTCACCTCTTTATCAGCATCACAACTAACAACTAACATGAGAAGATGAACTGGATCAAAACGACAATAATGACCATGATGACTGATACCGAGAATATTATTTAGAGTACCATTAAAGTTTTATAAAATTGTGTGTGTTTGTGTGTGTTTCAGGCTCTGATGGTTTGGGATGTGAGTGTGACTCCTCCTGTTCTCTCCAAGTCACTCCCTCACGCTCATAGAGACTGGATCACCGGATGTGTTTGGACTCCGGACTGTGTGGTATATACAGTATCTCATACTACTATACTGAAGCACTGTTGTGTTTCTTTAAACAACTTGCAGTTCTTTGAGTTTGTACTTGAAATTGGCTCCAAAAGCCAGGAAACCTCATTAACTGTCTTAATCAGACTCTCTTCTCTGTTCCAGATCAGCTCGTCAAACGATGGGAGGCTCTGTTTTTGGGATCTGCAGGCGGGCAAACATCTCAAAGAAATCTCCTGGACCAGCTCTCTGACATCTGTCTGCTGTCTGGTGAGAAAATATGAAACTTGTGTTCATAAGGGAATTGAGATCGTATCTTCACAGAATTCTTAAAAGTGCAGTAAATGAGGTCTCGGTTTATGTTCACTGTCTACAGGGACAGTTTGTGGTGGCCGGCTGTGCAGAAGGAGGACTTCATGTCTGGAACTGGGAAACAAACACAGAAATCAGCCACATTGCTGCTCATAAACGGCGTATTCACCACTGCACTGTCCTACCAAACACAGGTAAACTCTCTCTACTCCACATGCATTCTCTCTTTGTCTCTCCAACTTTGTTTAACAAGTGATAATTTCTTGATTAGATTAAATAATGTCTGCTCTTTCTTTCTTTTTTCAAGACAAAGACAAAGAAGTAAACCCAGAGGAAATGTCTGTCCTCACTGCGTCTGATGATGGAACCGTGCAGCTCTGGAAACCTCTGCAGGTCTACCGTCTTTAAAATATCACTTTGAGTTTAACATACTTATTTAAGAAACATGTATAGGTTTTTTTTGATTTGGTTAATTTCATTTCTTTATTTTTTACTCAAAATGCTAAAAGAGACCACCTTCTGCTTTTAATAATTACTATTTTTTTGTATCTTCATGTACAGGTGGAGCACTTCAACACCTTCCAGGGTCACAGCGGCTCCATACATGGAGTTTCTCCCAAGCAGGGACTCCCAGAATTCCTCTCTGTCTCTGAAGACTGCTCGCTGCGACGCTGGACATTGACAAAAGGTTAAACTTTAAATCCTGCTTTTATAACAAAAACAAATTAACTCCTCTTGGATCCATTTTTAAAAGTACGAACATCATAACTACTGATCAACTAAGTGAAAATGAAATGTCATGAAATGTCACTTCAGTTTCCTGTCCTTAAAGTACACACCTTCATTCTTCTAAATTGTGTCAGTATGTGTCCAGCCCTCCAATTATAATGAGTTTTATTCACAGACAGCTGTTTTGTGTCTTTTCAGAGGGTCCTACCAGCCTGAGGGGTCCGGTCACAGCTCTGTGCTTCTCTCAGATGGGTAATCTGCTCCTTGTTGGTTATGAATCTGGTTATGTGGAAATGTGGCAGAAGAACACTGTGGTCGGACACAAACAGGTGAGGAACATGCATGAGAAGAGGTTGAACACTGGACTCACAGCTGGTTTTAAACGCTGGTGTTTGCGCGCGCGCGTGTGTGTGTGTGTGTGTGTGTGTGTCAGACTTCAGCCAGCGCAGTCACAGCGATCTGCTCCATGCCTGATAACAAGTTTGCTGTCAGCTACATGAAAAAAACGGTGGACGTGTGGAGGCTGGTGTGGAATGAAGAGCGTACCTCCGCCAGGTAAACAAAACTAACCTGCCTATATTTGTGTACACGTACTAACAGACTTTATATTAAACAGGAGCCAGTGACTGTTGTGTTTTTGTCCCCCTCAGCCTGGTGAGGTTCAAAACATACGAAGTTGAAGACCCCGTGGTTCACCTCATGTACTTCAGGGTCCTGTTGGGAGTGTCATTCAACGGAACAATAATGGACATCGTTAGGAACAAAGACGACGACTGGGGCTACAAAATCTCAGAGTAACACAAGATACAATCTAAGAATGGATGTTTATTTGATAGATAATTGTCTGACTTAATTCATAGTTTTCTACTTTTTTTTACTGTATGTTTTATTTAATATCTACATTTTATTTGATGTGAGTTGAAGTGAATCTATTTACAGCAACACTGAACGTATTATTGTCAATATTACACCAGTGGATGCTTTGAATCCAGATTCTTTCCTGGAGGTAAAGGGTTAAAGGTCCCTATTTTTTTGTCTTTTTTGCAGCTGGTCGGAGAGAGTTCGGGTAATGCAGTCGATTCCTAACGACCAGAAGAGCATGTGGCTGTTGGGAGAAGCAGAGGGACAAGTTGAGCTTGGCTTCTTGGTGAGTTCTGATGAAGGGATTCAAAAGACTTTTCATTGATAGTGAATTAAAACCTAAAGGCTAGTGCATCGCTTACTTTGTTGGCCAATGCCTGCGTGTTTTTCCCCCCCTAGATGATTGTGAGCCCCAAAGAGAGGTTCAATACAAATTTTAGCTCTTCAAAAGTGGAGACTGATGAAGAGGAGCAGAAAGGGAGCCTGATCACAGCGATAACTATGGACGAAAGTACGAACATGCACTGTTTATATTACCCACTGTTACTACTGAAAACATTGAAATTACAATAAGAACTTCTTAATACTGTGCTGTGTTCTTTCAGACTTATTTGTGTGTGGAGACATTCAGGGCAACATGTGGTTCATCCAGCCTCCAGAACCTTCCACATGGCGCAACAAAAAACCTGTAAGAATTCAGAGAAGAGCAGCATAACAGTTTACGCCCCAAGACGGTGTATTTGCAATAAACAGTGATTTTCTGTGGTTCCAGGAAACAATTAAAGCTTCTAATGTCTCCTAAACTCTCAATATTGTTTTTATCTTGATGTTTGATCCTCAGGCCCACAGTGACAGGATCAGCGTGCTCAGACTCACAGACAGCACCATCATCTCTGCGTCCTACGACAGGACGGTGAAGCTGTGGGACAGAAACACCAAGAAACAGGTACACTAGAGACTGATGAACTGATGTTTTTTTATACTTTGTTGTTTGTTTGTTTTTTTGTATGCAGATGTCACCCTTATCCTCTCTTTCTCCTCCTCTAGGTGGGGATGTTTGTGTGTGGAGGTCCTGTTCTGCTTCTGGAGGTGAACCCTAAAAAACCCACTGAGCTGGTCTGTGGTGACGGACAGGGGAAGATCTACTTTCTCTCCTGGAAACAATGAAAATATAAAACTCTCTAAAGTGCAGTGCCTACCAAAGATTGTCTTTAATGTTTTACTCACTCTGGTTTGGTGATGGAGAATGTGCAATGAATAAAAGAAGAGATGGTAAAATTTACAATATATTCAGTATACTAAATGATAGTCATAACAGTTCATGCCTTAGATTAAAATGGAAAGAAACTCGCAAATGTTAAAATAAAGAAAAAATATAAGGTTTCTATGTAGTTTTTATGAAATGTTTATTTTTGATTTTTAAATATTTTATGAAAAATCTGAATGTGGCAATATAAAACTCTTGAAGTGTATTCCTTTAATGTTGCTTTTCTACGGTACGGATTAAAATGATATCTGATCAGCTCTGTTTTCTGTTTCATGTCTTTTGTGCTTTGTCAAAAATTGCATCTATTTGCAGAAAGATTCATTTCTGTACATGTAAGTTTGTGCTTGAAGCATTTCTGTTCTTACTGAGTGGAAAATGCATATATAATGAAGGCAGATAAAATTTAAATAATACCAATATGAGTATATACATGAATAAAGAGGGATTTATCAACAAATATAGTTCACAAAATAGAGTGTATCTTTCCACGAATGAATTAAAGAGGTTCTAGAAAAAGAAAAGGTCACTAACTGAAGCAGAAATGTTGTCGGTGTAAAGAGCCCTAAAATTAAGAGTGTGCACTGTCAGAAGAGGAAAAACGTTTTCAGTGGAAATAGGCCTTAAGACTCCAATTTAAGTCCTTATTATCTGTCTTTTAACTGCTCGAATAATCTCTTTTCTGTTGTGTTGTCTTTTTCCTTTTCATTGTTATCGAGTCGTACCTGAAAGCAACAGCAGATAGAATTTATAACTGTTTCTGTGCCTCAACTTTTCCACAATATACCGCTGATATGTTTGCTCTCGTGGCTATCGGCACCCATAGACATGACATTACGGTAATGGCCCTCACAACATTCCCAGCCAATCACTGAGACGCAGCAGCTTCACATGAGGAAGTTTCAGTAATGAGCTTCAGTTTGCCTTTAGTCCTCAGAAACAGATGTAAACACTAACACTTATCACTACAGGACATCTTTATCTGCTGCCTGCGGGTTCTGTGTCGGGGCTGCGGTGAGTTTTAGTCACCTAAATGTGGTTTCCATAGCGGACCACTACGTCTCAGACTCTCTTACATAATATTAGACATTTTGAGGCATGTTTTCATGTGACACCCTGACTGGTTTAAGTGCTGGGTTATGTCTCAGTTTAGTTCATATGGGGAAGTTAAATAGAGTGTTTGTGTGGACGCTGCAGCATTGTTGTGCATGATTTTTTTTTTCCATACTTGAATGCCTGATTCTACCAGACCCAGTTTAAGAGTGAAGAGATTAAAAATCACAGCTTTAAAAACAGTGGAAAAAGTTTGCAACACACCAGAATGTATGAATGAACCCAGAATGTCCCATTTAAACAGTTTCTGGAGTTCATTTTCTGTTGTGTCCAGTGCTCAGCGAGTTTGCATGTCCTGTTTTTAATTAAATCAATGTACTGTATGGGAGGACACCACATTTTCATGATACTTGACTGATTTTGCATGCATTCTTTTCAAGAGTAATTCCTGATTTGATTAGTGGAACTAAGAAAAACTGAGTTGTTTCCGGACCTTGCTCAGGTTTTATTGATACCTGTAGTGACACGCCTTTGAATAGGGGAGAGTTGGGTAAGTTGAGCCAAAGGGTAAGTTGAGCCACCCCCTGTTGCTTGGACATGGTAAAAGAAACTGATCATGTGACCAAATATTTAGGAAAAAAAACATTTTCACTCTTGAAAGTGAATTTAGTCTGTCATAAGTTTTTTTAGAATTGTGTTCAGACCAAAAAAGATCATTTTAAATGTGTTTTATACATCAATTGTGGTATCTATGAGCGACAATATGAGGGCGAAAACGTATCATAAAAGTCCACCATTTTAGCTTCGAGGACTATTGAAGTCATAGTAGTTCTGGGGTAAGTTGAGTCAGTGGTTCAACTGAGAAAGTAAAGAAGTCTGATGAGAGGATCAGAGTTTCAGTTCAGATTGTTGAAATGTTTTATTTTTTCTTTTCAAGAATACAGCTGTGAATGTTCTGAATCATTTTAAAATGACTTTTTACAAAACAGCTTTTTAGCAGATGTATGCAATAATAATAAAAATAATTATTGTACCAGTTGAATAGCGTATAATAGATAAAAATACACATGAATGTGAAGAAATGACTGTTATTTAGGGAGAGAGAAGGTGGTCAACTTACCCCATACACGGGGTAAGTTGACCATAGGAGACCACTTTTTTTGGCATGCTATATTATCAAGACAGTTTTGTTTACACTCATTCTGTTGGTTTGCAGGGATGAACAACATTTTGAAATATATGCAGATACACTAGTTAGAGACAAAACTATGATTAACTTGGTGTGGTGATCAGAAATATGAAAATTGGCTCATCTTACCCCACTCTCCCCTACTACATTTTCATGGTGTTTGGCTCTTTTCAAGAGTAATTCCTATTTTGTTTAGTAAAACTAAAAAATCTGTTGAGTCGTTTCCGGACCTTGCTCAGGTTTTATAGATGCTTGTCGTGACATGCCCTTGAATGAAGCTTCATAAAGCTCGTTTGAGCAGCTGAAGAAATGTTGCTGAACTACCTGTCTGTATGCTGGGATGCTATGAAGCATAATGAGAGGAGGAGCCATCATAGGATTTACATGTTTGTTTGTTTTTTCCCTACAGAGATGAAGAAGGTGACTTCCGATGTGCCCCAAGGAGAGCAGCAGCAGCAGCAGACGACGACGATGGGTGGAAGGAACTTGTCCTCCAGTTGCGCTCCACCGAATTTGGAGAACAAGCTCCTAACTCAGACCACCTCTTGCCTCGCTCTGCAGCCCTCCAGCCTGTCCTCCACCTCATCCTCCCTTCTCTCCACCTCCTCTCCCTCTCCTCTCCTCAGCACTGAGAACAAACTCCTATCCAGTCACAGCCAGTCACCTCTTTTCTCCTCCTCTCTGACCTCTTGTGCCGCTCCAAAAGACTCTCTGCTGTCAGCATCCACAGCCTGGAGTCGCTTCGCTCATCCTTCTTCTGTCCTCTCTCCTGTTTTGGGAGGAGAACAGAAAAGTGGAGACGGAAGAGATGAAGGTGGAGAGAAGATATCTGAAGCGATGGAGTTTTCTTATGAGACGAGCGTGGTATACAAAATAATCTTTATTTTTTTAAACTTTTTCAATTTTCAGATTGTTTAGATTTATTGTGTTTCTTTTCTGATGTACCTTCAGTCGATGGAAGATGAAGAGGAGGGCGTGAAGGAGGATAATGCCGGATCATCCGTGGATTTAGCTGCTCTTGTAACAGATTTTGGCGTCCAAGAACCTGATCAATCTGTGGTAATCAGAAAGGAAGAGTTTACTGAGCTCGACAGAAGAGATGATCAAATTGAAGAAGAGCTGAAGGATAAAAAAGTAGGTCACACACGGTTGTCAAAGAAAAGCTTAATAAATCAAACCCTTTCCTAAGATTTGTCTTTGACATACCTCTATCTGTCTCTCAGTATTTGCTCCTGAATGCCGTCTGCTGCTCCCTGATCAATAAGATGACAAATCCGGGTGAGAAAGACTGGGACTCTGACAGGGATGCTTGGCCCAGGATCATGGATCTGTCGAAGGACATCTCAGTCTCTGACCCACAGTTTATTCTCAAGGTGTATATCCACGTCAGTGTGGTTAACGTGGACCAAGACTCAAGCTCCAAAGTCTTGTTCTTTGACTCTTTAACAGTTTGCTCGTTATTTTTTGTATCCTTAGGTGGCAGTTTACACTCGACAGGAGCTGAACATTCGCATCACGTCAAACTTCCTGTTGGCTCTGGCTGCTCATCAGCCGTCCACCAAGTCTCACCTTCGCAGATACTTCTGTGCCGCCATACAGCTGCCCTCAGACTGGCTGGAAGTGGTCAGAATCTACTCCACTGTAAGACTGAGCGAGCTAAAGTTTGATTTTTAGAGACATTTTATTCTGTCTTTGCATCAATAGCTCTGTTCAGGTTTAGCGCCATGTATCTCTGAATATTCATCAGTGTTTCAGCCGCTCTCTGCCGATGTGCTTGAAGAAGGCGATGGCTGACAAGTTCAAGCAGTTCAATGAGTACCAGTTGGCTAAATACAACACACGCAAACACCGCTGTAAACACAGCCGCAACAGATCCAAAAATAAGGTGAAGAAGTGTTAATTTTGATCCCTGCTTTTGTTTATTAAAATTCATTAATAAGATTACACCATCTCGTCATCAGCTGTTTCTGATTCAGACATAATGTTTGACATAACAGAAACCAGATGATCAGCAGCTGGAACAGTGGGCAAACTTGCTGCGATCAGATAAAACTATTCTGTCCAAGTTTGTAAGTAAATTATCTACTATTTTAAAGTTTTAATTTAACTTTACGTATTTAACTAAGAATATGAATAAAGCACTGATTTCATTTTTCATATTTGCTTCAGTTATACTTGTTTGTTTGTTCTGTAGCAGCGCACCCCTGTAAACAGGTAACACTGTACCTGTGTGTGTGTTTTTGTAGTTGCAGGTAGAGGGCAGCAAAGTGGTGGTGGTGGATAAAAAGCAGAGTGAGTTCAGTATGAAGAAGATGATCAAGCGGCTTCACATTAAAGAACCGGCTGAACACGTTATGGCCATCCTGGGAAAAAAGTAAGCAACACAAACACACACTGATAGACACACACTGACTAATGACAGAGACAATGAATATAGCAGTTATAAAACTTATATTATTATTGTTTACTATGAGGACAAACAACAGTAGTTATATTTTCACTCATGATATTTCCAGCTTTGACACGAGAGGAAAAGTTAAAGTTTATATTTAACTTACATGAAGAATCACTGACAAACACCCTTTATCTGCTTTAAACAATATCATAGTGTCTTACCATAATGTGTAAATGTCTATACAATGCTGTAGTAGCCAAAAAAAA